TACGGATTCCGAATGCCATTCCTGTTCCCAACCAGCTAACAAAAGTGGCTTAAATCAACGGATGACAATGCTAACGAAGCAGTCAGGCAAAAAATGGGGAAGGATGGGGCTGAAGATGAGGAGGAGCAGCCAGGAGTCGGCACCTGGAATTGAGTGCAAAATATGGCGCACAAGAGAGCCAAGAAACACTTTAAAAAAGCCTCGATAATGCTTAAACAAAATTAAGTTTCATACAGAAATATGAAGTCATTGCCTTTAATTTAAAAGTAGCAGACATCACTTGATAGAACCCATTCAAGCTATACAAATACCTTAAAAATTATATTTTCACCAAAACTTGTTTATTTTGAACTGTAAACTACCCCGTATTGCTCCAGTGTATCCAGTTGGAGGAGGTACTTCTTATGTCTTGTCTGGGCCATATCCATGTTACTTAGCGTCTTAGAGCAGTTGGCGCGTCATGTAGCCAATTAAAAAAAGCGAAAAACGACAAGCGCGAAGAGCCTGAAGACCAGGGGGCGGAGAACGGTGAGCGGAGAAAGGGGGCTGCAGAATTCGGGGCTGAGATTCGACAATGGCGGAGACTGGAGGTGCGGCAACTGGCTGTCCTGGTCACGATCTCAGCCAGAGTCGCCCAGAAATCTAAGCGAGGCAATCAAATTAGGAAAGAAACAAAGTTGCATTCTCCCTGCAGATCTGACCCACAGAGAAGAGAAAAAGGGGATGGGGTTTTGGGGTTTGGGGGGCTTCCTTGCACCGCCTTAATTGCATCCTTAATGTGGCAAAAGCACACACACTCGTATGCTAATAAAGGTCAGGCTATATGCACATCTTGATAGGAGAGTGTCAACGTACCGTTGAACAAATTTCATGCCTGATTTTTGGTTTTTCAAGCTTGAGTTCTTTTTTTTTTTTTTTGGTTTGAACGGCAGCTGGGACATTGCAACATGACACCTCGACATGACAGCAAAATGAGCTTCTGTTGCCCGACTCCTTTTCGAGATCTTTGCCGCACCAGCAGCGGCAGCAACCGGAGTGAGTGACAACTGCAACGGCATGGCTTTCAAATATTTAACACCAGCTTCCAGCAGCAGATTCGGAGCCAAAGTTTCGACGCACCAAATGCATGTGAAATCGATGCCAAAACGAACACTTTTCGCACTCACAGAAAGATATAAACTCGGACAGGGAGAGTGGACACTGGCCATACAGTATATACTAACTAAGGTCGAAGATATATAAGTCTAAATTCTATTCTATGAGTCTTTTTAAGAATTTGTCGAATCATTCATGATTTTTTTAGTTTATGTATGAAAGGATATTTTCGTAGTTTCTGTTTTAAAAGCCTAAGGGGTTCACAAATCTTGTTTAAATATTAATAAAATATTTCGAAATTTTTAGGGGCTATTTACTGTACATTTTGCATTCGGGCAAGGCGTCTCTCTTTGATTCGACCAATGCCAGTTTGGCATTCATTTATTCGCATCTGTTGCCAATTTACAAAACTCAATTTCAGTCTTTTTTGCTTCTCGTGTGATTTTCGATTTCGATTTGGTTTTTGCTGTTTTCTCGCATTTTTTGTCAAACGTTGAGCCGCCTTAATTGATTTTGGCGCTTTAACGAGGCTCAAAGTAAACACACTCCCGGTCAAAAAAACCCATTTGACAGCTTTGTGGGCCGAAACGAACTTGGCTATCGGAGTGTTAATTGAACGCGAAATTGTAACGCGATTGAAATTGTAATGTGTGATTAAAGTAAATAGACGGATTATCAAATTGAATCATTTTTTTTATCCCAACGATATTTTTTTTGTGACCTTAGTTATAGCATCCCATACTTATCGACCTCCAAAATTAAATTGCAAATATATTTTTAGTTTTTATATTTTTTATTTCGTAATCATGCACCCGGTCGTTTTGCATTTAATTTTGGTTGTGTTTTTTGGATTCTGTCAGCTTTCAATTAGTTTTCCACAATATTTGTAATCATTTATCATCGCCATTTTAATATTTATATCTTTTATTATATGTACACCTTTGAAATTCGGACTCTTTTATGGGAGGTATATGGCCCGCAATCCGTATCCGATTCGTAATTACACATATTTAAATGAGTTTTCAGCTCCATGCTTCTAAATGTGTAAGGTTTACTTTATTTCTTTTTTTTTTTTTTTTTTGTTTAGTACTTGATAGCTTATGCAAGAAACAGTTAAAATCGCTTATGCCGTTTATTATTTTCTTATTATCCATAAGTATATTCAATTATCCATCAATCTCTACGATCTCATGTGTCTTGGTTTTTGTGCATCCGTTTAATTTTTACAGTATTGCAAGTAGTCTCAGTTATGTAGATTAAATATTTATTAATTTTGTTTTGGATTTGTTTCCTTAATTACCACAACAAGCGTTTCCAGTTTTCTTATTTGATTTATTAACAATACATTCATATACATTATTAGATAGGGGAATCAGCTCAACTGCAATATGGATTGGATTCGATTCAATGGGCCTAAGTCCCCGAAAAAATTAAAAAACTTACAAAACTTAAAAAAATAGAAATAAAGTTTAACGAAATCAAGCTTTGTTTGAATAAATTATAAAGTTAAATAGTGAAACGATTTTTATATTAATTTTTAATTGCATAAGCCCAATATATAAAATCGATTGAATTCCTAGTAGTTTAAGTTCTATACAGTAGGCTACATGCAGATTAAGCTATTAATACTCGATTGGTAAATTTCACATATTAGTTAGTAATAGAACTTTATCGATAGAGTGAAAGGATGAACTGGGAAAGGATGGGAAGGGTTATTTCTACGCACAGATTGTATCCTCTAGATGTGTCGGCTGCATTCGCTGTAAACAATTTCACATGTAGTTTTGGTTAAGTTCAAATACGAACACGCAAAATGGCTGTATCGATTATATATAATACATAAATATTTGGTTTTAAATATACTGTATAATTCCCTTGGTTTTTTTTTTTTATTTTTTGTTTGGTGTTTACACTTCATGCAAAAGAAGAAGTTTAAAACTGTTAAGTACATATAAAAAATATGAATACTCAGCCTTGTACTGAATGCTGCTTGCAAAAAATTCTGAATACCCAAAAATCAAAAAACAATTGTTAAAAGAAATTGAGAAAGTATTTGTGGAATTAATATTTAATAGCATCCGGAATTCAGAACAAGGCTGCCTATTTTAACTATTGTTAATCGTAACTATTTACAGATATTGTAAAGTACTAGACAAAAATGAGTTAAAAAACTCTTACAAATTCAAAGCTATGATTTCGTGGAAAATGGAAAGATAAAAATGATTACTCGGATATCAGACAGTCGACATTAATCGTTTTTATGTTTATATACACAGCTATATTTACTTTATATATTCTGCTTACTAATCTGCTATATGTTGACTGGTTAGATAGAGTTTCGTGTGTGTGTTTACCCGTATTTGCTGTTGCAGAAGTGTCAAATCATAAAAGTTTTACGCATCACAATTGGTATATGGTATATGGTTTGTGGAGGAGAAAGGAAGAATCGAAGAAGACTGAAACTATGGCCATTCATCGTTAGATATTCCGATACTACATTTTCAAGGTACGAGATGCAAGATACAAACATGCAATCCAACCCAGTTGAGGTTGGATATGGAGAATCTGATGTAGGGGTCGAGTGCTGAAACTGAAAATGGGAAACAGAAAAAAGAAAATAAAAATGATGATCTCCTCTCAGATTTTGCTTAATGAATTTCGATTTAATCAGAATTTTGCTCGGTTTAAGTTTGCAATTTGTTTTCCATTTTATTATCGCTCTTGCTTACGCTCTTACCGATCTACAATTTACAAACTACGAAATTACATCACTACATAATTATTGTTTAAATGTTTTTGTTTTTTTGTTTTGCTTTACTCGGTTTTGTTTTGGATTTAAAATATTATCGTTATCATTAAAGTTTATATTATAGCTTTATTTTTATTATGTTGTTTATGCCGTTGTAGGTGTTGCCGCCATCGCATAAGCATGCTTTTCTGTTTGTAATTACCAATACAATTAAAATTATTACCTTGTATAAAAATAATAATAATAATAGCATACAATAATAGTGTTCTCTTGCAACTCCCTATATCTCTCTCGATCTGTTGCCTCTGAAGTTGCATTTCTTAGTTAAAATAACTAAATGTAGTTTAATGTGTGTTTTCTTTTCGTTTAAGTTACAGGATAAGTTAATTTAATTTACGTACATTGAAAAATGTGTTTTTGTTACTTTTTTGTTTTTGTTTCTACGGGCTGCCCTGATGTGCCACGCCCCTGTTTTTTTTTTTTGGGCAGATAGGGTGGTTCTGGGCGGGGGCGATGCCTCATCGGTGGAGCAGCCCGGCTAAAGCGCGTGGTTCTGAAACGGCGTGAGCCGCAGAGAAGTGGTTCCTTCTCCATCGTTACAACTATTTGAATCACTAAACATAGTTTCATAAATCAATAATTCTTGCTCTTATTTTGTGTGTTCTGCAATTATTATCCAATATTTACATTTTGCTATTTAACACTTGAGTTGTTTCCGTTGTTGTTGGTGTTGGACAGAGGAAGTGGGGAGATGGAGCGTGGGTTGGTTTGGATGGGATCTCTTGCCCAAGAGAAAGAGCCAAGTTCTCGGTATGCATTTCCATATACATTGTACATATATATATTTGTTTTATTAATTTAATTCTTAATATGGTTTAGGGTTAGGCGATCTTGAAAAATAAGACCTAAATCGTTATACACACATATGCTTCTATATATAGGCTATAGAAAATCAAATTAAGCGAACTTTGTTAATGGTGGCTTTCATTTATACAACAAACTCTCCTTCCCATTCCACTCACTCACTTTCTCCCTTGGCCCTTTCTTTTCTGGCTGAAAGATCTTCCTGCTGGCTGCTAATTTACAGACTATAAATCTGAGTGCGCGGGTCTTGTGTATGCATGTGAAACTCGGAAAACCTACTAACTGATTGGCTTTAGACCAGCTCGCTTTTGTTGACCAAACAGAGGGTGCAGCAGCAGTGGGGCTGCTGCTGCAGGAGCTGGCTTAAGGCCACTTGGGCGTCGGCCAGAGGCAGGGATATGGCCACCGCCTGGGTTTCCGCCTCCGCCTCCGCCTGCGTCGCTGCCAAACTGAGCGAAGTGCCGCTGGGCAGATGCAAAGGGGGTTGTACTCGATGTTAGCTGCTGCTGCTGCTGCCATCCGCGTCTCATCTGTTGATGGTGGACGTCACTCCCGCTCCCCCTGCTCCCGTCCCGGCCGTTCCTCCTCCACCAGCTCCCGTGGCACTCACACCACTGCTCACAGCTCCTCCTCCTCCGTTTCCGCCCGCTCCACTGCCATTGTTATTATTATTGTTGTTGCTGGTGGGCAGTACGACTCCTCCGTTGTTGGCACTGGCTATCACCTGTTCCACGGTCAGAGCTTTGCCAACCTCCTTGGCACTCAGCAGACTGCCGTCCTGAGTGCTCACATTATTCGCATTCGTGGCAACCAGCTGCCTAATGGTGGTGGTGGTGGGTCCCACGGTGCCACCGCTACTGTTCACAGTGGTTCCCAGCGGCAGGGTTCTAGTAATGATCGCCGAATTGTTGAGGCGTCCCCTGAGCTGCAGTCCGCCCGGTCCCAACTGCATCTGCATCTGGCCACTGTTGTTCTTCTGCAGCGGCTTCACATTCAGCAGACTCGTATACAGCACCCGCTTGTCTCCCTGGACAGTTTGTGAGTTTCCTGCGGTGGCCAGCGTCTTGAGCTTCTGATGCTGCTGTTGTTGCGGCTGCTGCTGTTGGGATTTGTTCAGCAGCACCGTGGTGGCGCCCACCTGCTGCGCCTGCTCACCCGTGCCGGCGCTGCTGACAAAATTTAGCTTGAGGTTGGAGTTGGACAGCTCCTTGTAGTGAAGCTTTTGACTGGCGGCCGCCGCCGTTTGCAGTTCGGTGGCCGTTGCAATGGTATAGTTGCCAGATGATCCGCCGCCACTGCTATTGCTGCTGGTCAGGAAGATCTTGTTGGCCTGCTGGGGTGTCGCCTGTGCGGTGATGATTGCCGTCGAAGCAGGATGCAGGCTGTAGTTGTGGTTGGCCGCAATCGCTGCCGCCGAGTTCGGCTTAAGCTGCTGCTGTTGGGCCTGGCCAGCCACCGATTGCTGCTGCTGCAGACTGACATCCGACACGAGCAGCGGAAACTGCGACATCTTGATCACCTTGCTGAGCTTCTGCTGCTGCTGCTGTTGTTGTTGTTGCTGCTGCTGCTGCAATCCATCGCTCGTGTCCATCTGCTCGGAGTTGTTGCCCGGCGTTGTTGTCACCAGTTCCTCTAGCTCCTCGTGCTGTACCAATTGTTGAAGCTGCTGCTTGGTCAGTTGGATGCACTGCTGTTGTTGTTGTTGCTGTTGCTGCTGCAACATATGCTTGCGCAGAACCTTTCGATTGAGCAGGAGTTTGTTGATGTCTGAAAGGGAAAATAAATTAATGTTTAAAATAATATAGAAAGCATAGTCTATAAGGGTCCCGTTTGAAAGGAAATCCTAATTCAATGTAACTGGGATTTCTTACAAAAGTCTTAAATACATTCCTGAAAATGAATTTAATCATGACTTCTGATCTCCATATCTTACCTGTATTCTCCGGTCCGTTGAGCTGCCGTTTTTGGGTTGCCCGACTGGTCCAGATAATCTGATTGGTTCCTGCCTTCGGCGAGGAGTCCACCGTCGTGGAGAGCACCGCTGTGGTGGCCACCGCCGTGTTGGTGCCGCTCATCTGGCGCCACACAATCGGCTGCTGCTGCACCAGCTGCTGTTGTTGCTGCTGCACATTGTTGCGGGTGGGCGTGGCGACAAGCAGGGGAGTACTGGTGGTCACCTGCTGCACCTGCTGATGTCCCTGCTGCTGCATTCCGGCAATGCTGTGCACGGCCAGCTGCTGGCCACTGGCAGTGTTGATGATGTTCACACTGGAACCGGTGTTGCCGCTGGCCCCCGAGGAGCTATCATCGTTCTGCACCTTAACGTTGGACAGCGTGATGACCGTGTTGGGTCCAATGGACGCGGTTGTGGCTCCTCCACTGGTGACTCCCGTCTTCTGGATGGCGTAGGTGACCTTTTGGTTGGCCGCCGCCGCAGCTGCTGCCGTGACAATCTCGCCGCAGCTGGTGGTGTAGATCAAGTGGTTGCTCGTGGCGCCAGCGCCGGCAGCTTGCAGGGGCGTCAGGGAGCGCGAGGGATCCCGCTGCATCTGGAAGAGCAACTGCTGCTGGGGATTCTGGTTCTGATTGGGGGTCTGAGGCGCGGCCTGTCGCTGCTGGACGGTCACGTTGCGGAGCTGGGCCTGCGCCAGCTGGTGCTGCAACTGCTGCTGAGCGGTGAGCGTGGGCAGCGGACTGCTTCCCGTGTGCGGAGTGATGGTCACTATATCGCCAACGGCCGCTCCTCCGCCGTATTCCGTTCGTGCGATGATCTGCGGACCGGCGCTGGCGAACTGATTGAGCAACTGCGTCACCTGGGGCTGCTGCTGCGGCTGCTGTTGTTGCTGCTGCTGCTGCTGCTGCTGCTTCTGCGTGGTTATCTGGGCGGGTATGTTGATCAGCTGCGTCGTGGGCAGAGCAATGGCTTGTGGCTGCAGCTGTTGTGTCTGTGGGGCGACAGGAACGATCTCCGCCTGGGGTTTCTCCACTGGCTCCACCTTCACAGGCAAAAGCGGTGCTTCTTTCGCCACCACCTCCGACTGTTCCACTTCCGCGGGCGGTTCCTCCTTGGGCGTAACAACCACCGGCGGCGCTTGGCTGAAGAAGAGCTCACGCTCCTTTAGAGTTTCCACAGTGGGACACACTGTAAAGGTGGAACTACCCAGCGGACATTGCGCTAGTCTCGTCTTGCGATTGCGGCCAGCGCGCTTCGATGGATCGGCATTTCCCACCTTGGGTTTCTTCTCGTCTATACAATCCAGCAGCTGGTCGGTGATCTCCACTTCGTCCACAGCTGCCTCGCCATCCAGAATACCATTCCAAAAGCTGGTGGCCTGGTTCAAAGTCTTCGGGTCATCCATGGCGCACTCCTGCAGGATATTGTCCAGCATGTGCTCGTGGTTGTCGTCCTCGTCATCGTCGCCCAACAGGTTGTTGATATCGTTTAGGAGTCGCCGCCACTCAGGTTGAATTCCAGGGCAGATCCCGATCCTGAACCCGAGCAGTTTGGACTCTTACTGCTACCGCGGGCGTAATCCTGGCATTGAACCGTCTGCAGCAACTGGGCATCCGACTCGAGATCCGTGTACTTGAAGCCGCTGCTCAGGAAGTACGAGTTGGATTCGTTTTCATCCGCTTCGCGCTTGCCCAAACGGCTCAGCTCCACATTGATGGGCGTGGCCTGGGTCCAATCGACAATGTAACTATCGTTTAACTTGCCCACTTCACAGTCCTGGCTATCGGACAGTTCATCCGTGGGTGTTTTGGGTCGGAAGTGCAGCCAGTCGCGCCTGATCTCCGAGAGCAGCTCATTGCAGATGTCCAACCGCTGACTGGAGGTGGGCGACAGTCCTCCCATGTAGTCCGCATTGAACTCATCCTCAACAGGAGATTGGATGAACAGGTCCTTGGGCCGCGCATGCACTTGGCTGTTGCGCAGATTCCGCAGGCGAATCACATCTGGCAGCTGGTTCAAGCACGGCGCAGCATCATCCTCTTCCATACGCCTGGCGGCCTGCATTTGTTCGTGCTCCACCTGCTGCTGATGCTGCTGGGCCTCCAGCTCCTTCTTGACCGCCGTGTGTCGGATGATGCTGCTCAGTTGGGCGAGATTGACATCGTCCTCGGCCTCATCGTCCATCAGTTCGGGATCGGGTTGCGTGGACTGCAGGACAGCTGCTGTGCGGATGCTGCTCAGCGGCTCGTTGGAGTCGTCGGCATCGATCAGCTCGCGCTTTATCGTCTTGGCCATCTCCTCCAGCGAGGGTCCCGGATTGGCTGCCACAAGCGTGCCCGTCGATGCGGCTGCCTCCGCTGCAGCGGCTTCTTCGGCGGCTCGAGCGGCGGCCGCTGCCGCCGAGGTGGAGGCCACCGGCTGATCTTCACCTCCGACTGCGACGCCGACGCACTCCTCCGCCTCCTGCTTTATCACATTGATTTTTTCGCTAATGCTAACATCCTTATTGATAACGTTACTACTACTACTACTATTGTTGTTGTTCAACACGGTGTTGTTGTTGTTGTTGTTATTGGAACGGTGGTGCTGCTGATGATTGGCTCGCGGCGGATGCAACTGCTCCGAATCCTTCTTATCCAGCAGCTCTGGTGCCAGATTCTCGCAAACTTCCTTATCCTTATCCTCTTCCTTTTTCAGTTTCTTGCCCAAAACCAATGCCAGACGCTGGAGATAGGCTCTGGGCAATGGACCCAGCGCCGGTTTGGAGTCCTCCTCCTCCGTCTGAACCTCTCCAGCTGTCGCCACCGCTTCCGAAGATCTTTTAAGACGCTTGGCTGCATTTAGTTCTCGCAGCTGCTGCTTTTTGCGACGCAGGCGACGGCGTTTCTGGCGATGCTCTATCGAGTTCTGGGGCAACGTGACCGCTGAGCTGTAGATTCCAAGCCGCGACACATTCTCGTCGTCGCTAGCTAGATATAAATCCTCTACATCAATCTCATATCCCTCCTCGACCTCGAGTTCTTTGCTCTCTGGGCCCGTTTCTGGAACCGCTGCAGGCTTCTCCACGTCGCTGGGAGGTTCCACCTTTATTAGCTCCGGAGCAGGCTGCTCTCCTTCGACGACGGGCTTTCCGGCAGGAACCAAATCCACCACTGTTGGCGGCGAATTGGGTTTGCTTAACTGCTCGAGGTGCTCCTGCTTGGGTTTGTCGCCACATCTATCGACCACCAAGCTTTCCATCACCGTGTAGTCCAGCTGTGACCAGAAGTCGTCGAAATTCGTTGTGGCGCGATCGAGGAGAATACGACCGCCACGACCCAAACGACGACGAGCGAAGCCGATGCAACGTGGCCTGTAAGATTAGCCCGATTCGGAGTGAGTATGGGCATGGACATGGGCCAAAATAGAATGGCAACAAACCTGGGATAATTGAGGGAGGTCAGAGTGTAACGGTATTTGGCATCCGAACAGTTTGCACTGGGCGCCATCTCCTCGTCGACTGAGTCCCACGGCCAGCGACCACCTTGGTGTCGAGTCTGTAGAAAAAGTGGATCAGAATTGGGCTTTAAACTCACAGCGAATAGAAAACTTACCGGTAGGTAAATACAGCTCGACCTTCGCCTAAATGCAAACGGCGTCTCCTCCTCGCTCTCGGAGCCCAGCTTGTTGCCATTCTGGGCACCAAAGTAGTCCTCCTCCTCGCTATCCGCGATCGAGTCGTTGGCCGCCGGCGAGGCGCTCTGCTGCCTGCTGAGGTGGTGCAGGTGGTGGGGCAGGTGGTGCGCAGGCGAGACTCCGGAGCCTCCAGACGCCGGCAGACCCGGCAAATACTGTTGTTGCTGCTGCTGTTGGTGTTGCTGCGTCGGCTGCTGCTGGTGTTGCTGCTTGTCGCGGGGCAGTTTGTGCTTGCGCTTCTTGTATGGACGCTTTTCCTTGCGACTGCTGCTCCCGTTCCCACTGCCACTGTTGATGGCATCTGAAAAGGGGGATAGGTGTAAAATATGGGTTACAAAATTATACAGTTTCTTATAAACAAAAAGGTAAATAAAAAGGTAATTATGTTACTAGGGAAATATGAGATCGAATAATTGTAGACTAAATTATATCATACTAAGTTTGAGGAATTTTATATTAAATCATTTTATACAATTATAATTTATATTAAATAAAGATATCAACCCACCCTTACCCAGATTCGACGTGTTCAGGTACTGCGACCCTGAGCCGAAGACATTCGCATTGCCCGCTACTCCAACTCCGCTCGGCAGCAGACCCGTGGGCAGGGCGGCCAGAATGGCACCAGCCGATACCCCCGCCGCTGTCCCTTGTGAGTATTGATTCGTATACAATGGATTATACGCGGGTCTGCAAATAAACAAGGAGAACCTCAGTACCTTTCGGGATAAGTAAGGGGCATTTCGAAACGCACCTTGTGTGCTTGTACTGAGAATTCAGTTCCGAGTAAACAGCACCGTTAAAGTCGCGCATTTCGACACGTTTCTCGAAGATGCTCACAGTCATCTTGAGATGATCGCGCTTCGTCTCCTCGCGTCGCCGCACCATCTCCAATATGGTGGTAGCGCGCTGCAGGTCGCGTCTGGTGTACATGCAAAGTAAAGGTGGATTAGTTCGATTCAGGTAGGGACAACTGGGCAATAAAGTATGCTGGCTAACGAAAACTACCTGGTATGGAATTTATAAACGACAAAAAGGAACATTTTTCATGTTAAAGGATATTCTTAACAAAATAGTATTTCTCTTTAATATTTTGATTTAAGCACAGGAATTACTATAACATTATGAATATGATTACTGTTACAATGTATAACCACAAAATATCACAATCAAACAAATCATTTTACAATCAAAGCAAGGGAAACAATACACAGTGTATTTTCCCTGGCAGACCAAAATAATGACTCAACGTATTTACACAGAAATCAAAAATTGTGATAAAACGTCTTGAAATGATTCATTTAAGGCAACATTGAAGATTTCAAAGTATTTTCTGAACGTAGAGCAGCACGATTAGCCAGCATTAATAAGATTTGTCAACCGACATTAGGCAAACTTCTCTCAATTCTTACCGCAGCTTAAGCATCTTCTCGTAGGAGGCCTCGTCGTTTTTGCGATTCTTGCGGGTTTGCATTTTCTCGGTGCGTCGCCGGAAAGCCAAATAGGGATTGTTGGAGCTGGCGCCAGGTCGACTCTCCGTTTTCACCGTCAGAATCAGCGGGTGTTGCTATAAAGTGATAAGGGATCAATGCATGACCTCCTACTGACAGCTATGCAAAGATATTATTACCATCTTTAGGCGCTTGTTTAGCCAGTAGTCGTAGACGGATATGCTGGTCTCGTCGTCCTGGTTGAGCAGCGACTTGGCCTCGTTAAGCGTGACCACTGTTTGGCCAGAGCTCTTTTCCAGGCGGTCCATCATCTGCTCGAACTTGAGTTCGGTGAGCTCCAGGCGCTGCTGCTGACTGAGCCAGTCCTCATCGGCACTGTCCATATCATAGTCAGGGACCTCGGTGTCCAGCCCAAGAGCTGTGAGGTTAAGAGTTCATTTAATTTCGTTTGATTTCATATTTGATTAACTAATATCCTTACGTTGCATGTGGATCATTTGGCGGGGCATCTTGTAGTCCGGCGGATAGTAGTCATCGTAAAAGGGCTGGTCCGTCTGCAGTACCTCGGGCGTGGGGATGATGAGGCCCGTGCATATTGCCCGCTGCAGATGGTGTTCCTACAAGAGATCACAGGCCAAATAAGTTTACATCAAGATTGGACCTTAAAGAAATTAACACTTACCGACTCCTCCTCCTTCTCCATGCCACTGGGCATCTGGGGCACCGCCCGGTTGATGGCTGAGTACTCGGGCAGGTCGGGCAGCTCCTCGGCCAAGTAGATGGGCATCTGCTTGGACGGATCCAAATGGCGGGCTCTGAACGAAAGCTTCGACATCTTGCTGGCTTTTGTTTTTGGGTTTCGGGGAGGTGGTATTGGGTGTTTTTGTGGTGTGTGGAACGTTTCTATTTGCTGTTGCTGTGGCTGTGTTTTGAGTGTTTTGCCTAGTGGAATCGGCTGCTTATGTGGCTATGGATGCTAAGGCGCCTGCTCCGGCTGTCCAACTGCAGTAAACAGTGGGACTCGGGCTGCTACTGCTACTTTGGATTCGGAAGGAGGATCTACTCCGATGCGTGCTCTGCGCTGCGGATGTGAGTGCTCCTCTACTCGTTATTGTTAGCTGTAGCGGAGGATTTTTCTGGTACAAAAGGTGCTGATCCTTCCGATCCTTCTGATCCTGCTCCTGACACCGATCCCGATCCTGAGCACCGGGGCTGCGGTGGCTGTGGCTGCTCTGCCAGCTGGTTAACGCAGCCCCTGTGCCCGTTGCCCTGGCCGAAGACGTAGTGCCACTGCTGGTGAGGATTGGGTGTGGATTGGCGACTATATAGGGCGTGTCCTCCTCCCCCGGGACACCCTCCTCCCGCTTCCGCTCCTCCTCCTCCCTCTCCTCCTCCTCTTGCCTCGGCTGTCGTCGTCCTTGATCCTGGGGGATTCTTCTGGCTGACAGCGACGACAGCAGGATAATGGCCAAGGAAACGATCTGGTGGCAATTACGACGACAACGCAGTGGTAGCAACAACAGTGACAGTGAATGCAGCAAATGTGTCGACGACATTTTTCACGTTGAAATCGAAGGTCCTGTGTGAATTGGCATAATTACGTTCATCAAATTTGCACATTTCAGTTCATCATCGTATTTTGGCTTTATCAAAAGTTGGTTCTTTTCTTGTTTCTTCCTCTTGTTGTTATTATTTATTATTATTTCGCCTTGGCTTTTGTGTTATCGGTTGACTGATAAAAATCTAGAATCGAGAACAACAACAAAAACTAGTAAGTAAACAACTCACACACAGGCGCACACATGTGAAGGTGAGGGCAAGCGCGCGCGGGAAAATATCACAAATTACACACACATGGATTTATATATTTTGTTTTTGCGTTTTTAAACTAATATAACACGCACAAAAACATGCCCCCTATGAATCATTGCCGCTGCTGATTTCATTTCTAATTTTTTCAGTTATTAAGTTGCGAAAAACGCATAATCATAGAAACGACGAAAAAAAGGCGGCATAAACAAACACACGCGCGCAAAAACACACACCTCAAACAAACGCGGCGAATTAAATGCTACTTTTTTGTGGGATGTTAACCCTGTCGGTTAACATGTTGTTTGTACAGAACTCTGTTAATTGAAAAAAAAAACGCAAGCAAACTCCGCCTCATGTGTGTTTTGTTTTTTGCTTTTATCCGATTAATTAGCGTTCAACCGCTGAGTGCGTGTATTTTGTTAGATCGGGACTAATTTTTCACACACTTTACCGCACTTTTCAGAGAGTAGCGCGGGCAATCTGGTTGATAAATCGCTCGAAAAATTTTACACAAAAATACCGATTTTGCGTATAGCGTGGTTTCGCTGGAAAGCAATAATGGCGGCCAGAGAGCCGAAGACCGACGACGCCGCGGACTGCAGAGCCGTGAATTATTTTCGCCGACGGCGGCGATAACGATGAGCGGCTGCAGTTTGTCAGTCACCAGTTTGCCTTATTTTCACTTGGGATAACTGTTAAGTCCTAGCCGAAAATTAAATATTCACTTGTGTCATTTTTAGGGCTCCTAAAAACAATCTTTTACATATAAAAAATGCAGTTTAGTCCAGCGACTGTTATCGATAGGTCGCCGATGCTTGTGGTTAATTCACGGCCTCTCACTCCGATGACACTCCGAACAGTGAATTAGCGCCCCTTGCGAGCTCTTTCCGCACTAAGCCCAACGCTGCATGATTTTTTTTTCACAAACAAAAAAATCGATTTAGATTTTTTCACGCACATTTTTCACACTTTTCGCAAGGCTTTCTAGCGCTTGCAATGCTCAAATGAATTGATTTCCAACGTATTTACCACTGCCGCACCGTTTTTAGCTATATTCAATTGGTTTCGCTAGCGTAAACGATCGAATTTGTTCTTCAGCAGCGGGACACGTTTTTACTTATGGGCGGCCATTACGAATGAAATTTTCGGAGTTGTCGGAGTCGTGCAACCGTCGCCAGAGTGGCGAAATTATTTTCGCTAGGCCTCCGGGGGATTGGATTGACCATTTTTTATGCGGTTTTTGGCTAAATCTGTGGAATTTTGTGGATGGTCAAATGCATACATTCGGATTGCTGATGCCTAGCTGCATTTATTTAATTTGTTGTTAATTTACGCAGCCCCAAATCGCCAGCTGCCACCTAGTGGTGGGCAATTAATTCGGAGTAGTGAGGCGTTAGGAAATTGTTTTCGGGTTATCGAAAGAGCTCACAATTTCGTTGTGGGCAAAAATGTTCTAGCGCGTTGGTTTTGAAATAGCACTAAACGTTTTTTTTATATATTTATGCCGTTAAAAATAGATTGTTTCTTTGTATAATTTAAAGACAGAAAAATAATCTCTTTTATTGGTAATTTTCAACAATAAAGTTTATCATTTAAAAATATATTCCACACAAAACAATGTAATTTTGTATTTATGTTTTAGCATTTTATTTGCCTAGATAATGAAGTCATACATAACAACAGAAAATTTTAAATTTTCAATGTATCCGTTTCATTTTTACAATTAATTTTAATAAATTTGACTTTATTTTTTTATTTAAATGCTTTTGTTTTATTATAATCTCTTACAAGGCTTTTCGTACTCGCTGTTTTGCTTAACTTTGTTTATTTGCTAGTTACAATGTCTTGATAGTTTTAAAGGTGCTCGTTGAGTTTTCATCTTTTTTGGAATACAATTAAAATATTGTCGATATACATTAACAATTTCTGGGATTATGCTGAGTTGGCTAAGCGATTTTGAATGGTAATTTATGTTGGTATTTGTATTTGTCCAGCAAAGCGAGTTGGAAGCACCTGCTTAGTAAAAAGTAAGCCTCAAAGCTTTAGTTTTTAAAGCCCCAAGCAGAAGAAGCTTGATTTGATAAGATCCCGCGCCGATCCTCCAACGGTTTTCTCAGCTGCCTGTGTATCCTTAGTTTTTGTGTTTTTTTAATCTGTTTTTTTTCGGGGGAAATGGCCGCACGGACGTTCACAATTACAGTTGGGACCGCGGCCGCCTGTGGCCAAAAGCGATTTTTTGGATATATTCGCCGGACAGGCGGCGCCGGATTTTTCATTTTTACCCTCGAAGTTTCAGCTGCTCGGCAATGCACGCGCGCCTGCCGCCCACAAATTGCCAGCGTTTAATTTGAAAAAAATTAAATAATAGTATTCTGCAGTTGTGGAGCGGCTGTCGCGGCATTGCGACCACTGTGGCATGGATTGCGATGGCGTACATGATGAAAAACATAGTCAGACAGTGGTGTCGTATGTGAAAAAGCACCATTTTCGTGGGTGGCTGTGGGTGGTGGGCGTGGCACAGCTGCGGCAGAGAGATTGAGAGCTCTCTATCGCGCCTGCGCAACCTTGTTGGTGGTGAAACACAGTGGCGTGGGCAGGGGTTTGAGTTTAACAGATTTAGCCTCCTTACTGGTCTTCCTTAAAAACCCTTCTACTCAATTCCTGCCTACGCCACTGGTGGAACATATGTGGATACCATCTGCGAAGTGGGCAGGTGAAAAGGTGAGTTGAGGTAGGTGAGTGATTGAGCGAGTGGTGGGAATAAATAGATCTTAACGTGGTGAGCTGAGGTGTAAACTCAAAGAAAGTCTGAAATATCTGATATTTTTGGGATGGATAATGGAAAAGTAAACAAACCCATAACTAAACTTAATTCGTAAAGCGACTGCTGATTCTTCTAGAGAGTTGGTTTTGTGGGCTTATTGTGTCTCTGTTTTTTCTTTTCTTTGCAATATTCATCAACCAATACCAATAATCAGTTTAGCTAGCATTCCGCTATATTGGTAAGATCTTTGATATTAATTTAGTGCTTTTTGTATTGTGAGGAATCTATGGATGTTTAAGCTTCGGCCCCGCATTTTTGGGCTCTCCAAACGGTTTTTATATTTTTTGTTGAAAAATCGCGCCTACAAGTAGTAAAAATTCACCATTGATAGAGTATATTAATGAGTTGGTTGATTGTTTCTCTAAGTGCATCGCTAATTCTGTAACTGTATCGTACTTTCTGTATATATTTCGCTAACATTCAGTGAGTGTAATTTGTGTTGTTGCGTGTACTTTCATTATTTTGTTTCTTTTTTTATATATACTACAGGTGTGGCTCTAGTGGAAGAGTTCTATGTGGTTTCTGTTTTGGAAGAAAGTTAGTAAAAAGAGTCTTAAGATCAAACAGAGTTGTTAGGAGAGTGTGAGAGATAGTTAAACAGATAGAAAGATATACAGAGAGATATAGAGGAGGTACAGAGAAAGAGAAATATAGAGTATGTTGGCGCTGAGAAAGATGTTGGAACTACAAAAAGTACTAAATTAAAATATGTTATTTTTGCACTACAAAATTCGTGTGTGTTTTTTTTGTTTTTGGTTAAACTTTATTGCCTGTTTTGATTAATGTTTTTTGTTTAAACTTTGAAACGCATTAACCGTTAATCAATCAATCAAATACTGGTTATAAGAATATTGTCAACATTCACAAACCAAAATCGGTTAGATATTTGTGGTTAAAATATATAAGTTTATCTGTTATTGAACAAACCAACATACCAGGAAAGCAAGAAACCATACAAATCAAACTCAAAAACTAATGTTGTAAACATTGCATTGGGATTTTCGCTTAGTGTAGAGGACTTTGCGGAGTTGGAGGGGGAGGGGTTGGGAGGGTCTTGGATCAAGAGGGGTAGTGAAAGTGTGTGAGTGTGCGTGTACCACCAAGATAGGCCGGCTAAAATCCGATATCCCATTCATCTACGAGCGAGGCAAGAGCGAACTAAGAAAACGGTGCGCAACTGTACTTGACTTTTTGAATTTTAGTTTGTTGTTTTTTTTTTTTTGACTTGTGACTTACCTGTGCCCAAGCAACGAAATTCAAATTCACATGCTTCCGGCTGGACGGATATGGATATTCTATTATTTTCATTTAGGTTTTTTCGTTAAGCAGTTTTGAACTAAAGCCAAGTCTAGGGTTAAATATTATACAAATGCGTGGGCAAAAGTGCACGAATGTTGAAAAGTTGGTTAAGTGAGTAGCAAGTAGATAAAGCAAATTGAAGCTAAAAGTTAACGGCATAGGTTGAGAGTAAATTTTGCTAAAGATATACGTATGGTAAAAATGGTTGTTTATTAGCCAATCTTCAATTATACAAATGAAAAGTTTTACGCTTAGAATACAAAACTTTAAGTCGAATACTCTAATCGAGATGACAATCATAACTATTAATTCATAACATTAAGTCAAATTCCAAAAATGTAAATCATAAGCTATGTAAGCTATAAGTTCCGATTCGATTCGATTCGTTTTAAAACTATCACTAGCATGAATGAGAATTGATTCAATTTCAATTTCATAATGAGGGATACGGGTTGTTAACGGATCTTGGGCGTGGGATCGGAATTGGGATCGGGGATCATCTACTTACAATCTAATTATCACTTGTTGAACATAAACCAAACGGGCCAGGGTGATCGGTACTTTATACAGTTTGGTGCTGGTGGCAGGTTCTATGAGGCTAACTACACTAAGATCGATAGGTTACCAAAGAAGTTCGGTCTCATTGTTGCTTCGTTACGTGATATGATGCGTGGGGTTTCTTTTTTTTTTTGGGGTCCAAGCGAGAACCGAGATTACAGCTTAATGACTAAGATCTAGGATACAGAGTATAACAACGAAATAACGTTTTATGCTTTATGGAGTTCACTTCCGACTTTGGAATAAACAAGATGAGCAAATGTTCCACTTGGTCACTGCAAATACTTTTGGGATGAACTTTGACTTTCGGGCTGGGCGATATATACAGTGTGTCTGGGTGTCGAGTTATTCCAAGTTTACATATGATTTAGACAAATGTTTAAAAGTAAGTGAGAATCGATTCAATTACTGGTTTCGGTTTCTTCGGTTTGACCCTCTGGTTGGGGCATTTACAAATGTAAGTAACAACGAAATCAAAATGTAATAATCACTACGATTCCTACTTAAGCGCTACATGCTTCAGCTTTAGCATCAACAACATGCAATTCAAATACCGAGTACTGATTCGACTTCGATGCGACTCGACAAAACTCGCATCTCAAGAACTCAGTGCATCCAAAGCTCGCTATAGTGTTGGTTTACTGTGTGTGATAGAGAAATAGAGAAAGCCTTCTGTCTATGGAAGCTTTGGTATGCATTCACATTCCTTGGAATCGGGTTTCTCGAGCTTTCGCTTGGTGCTGATAAAACTACTCGAAGTCCTTCTTCGAAAACTGTGCTCCAAACAAATCAATCGTAATGGTTACTGTTATCGTAATCAAATCAAATCAAGCTACAAATCATACGCTTAGATAGAAAGGAAGAGAGATAGTGAGTTCGTGTTGGGTTTTCTCTGGGTGTTTTTGTATGTTCTGAGTGTGTGGTTGTCTGTGGGTGAGCCTAACACTTTCTATCTGCTGAGCAATTGACCCATTAGCCATGACACTGCCACTGCGATGGGTATGAGATGCAGCTGGCAACCGTTAGTGTGTAAATTTTTACTAGAATTGCACATATCTTCCTCACAAAAGCACATATGTCCATTGCCTGAACTTTCCATCATGCACACGTGATCGACCATGAATAAATTGATCTGTAACTGTGACGTACACATGCGACGCACCACCTCGTACGCTAAAAATAGAGAGAGCAAGAGAAGAAAGAAAGAGACGGTGACACGCACACACAGGGGTGTCGATCAGTCAGTCAAAGGATAGTCAATTCGCAAGTAGGGAGCAAGAAGTACAGACCAGTTATTCTTCTGGGGTACAGTTGTGTCGGGGTTGCTAAGTACTCACGTGATCGCTGATGCCGCACCATTTTAACGCAGCAACCGTTGCAGGTCATCAAGGGAGGTTGATCCCTCGGCAGGGCGGTATAGTTGAAAGGATCCTGCATAAAACAAAACATTAATTTATATAGGCCATCTCAACCACTCTTTATCAACCTTGCAGCGGGCATCTGTCCAGGAATCGCACTCATAGCAGTAAATCGATCGCGCTATATGAAAAGATACCTTGTTATTACCATTCTTGATAAGCCTATGTTAACTGCTGATCTGCGAACTAGTTTGAGGTTAGTTTAGCTTGAGTACAGTAACGTCAAAGCGTGCAACACACAAAAGCATGCCAAGAGTTGCCAACACAAACAAACAGCGGGCAGAAAACATTTATCGATACCATTTTGAAAATCAAAGGGTGGTTTGATGAGTTTCTTTCGAATTGGTTGTGTGGCCTTTAATTTCGTATCGTATGGATAGTGTTGCGTAAATATTAAACCAATTACTCATTTCTAACCTACAAACGCAACAAAAATTTATCGAAAAATAAAAAAATGTGCTTTAAGGTTTTAGTAGGGTTGGAAAAGTGTCCTTTTAAAGCATGCACTCACACTCACATACTTGTATACCACAATACAGACACACAATTAACAAGGATACAATATCGGTTGCTCGGATAAAGTTTGTTTCAGAACTTAAATTAAATTCGTATCAAAAGCAATACGATCGGTTAATGACTATTTCGTTCCTAAATGCACACCTGATTCAAAATATTTAAAAAAGATTGTTGAGTCAAAATTAAAGTTAAGTTTAAAAAGCCTTGCCGTGGTGCAAAACAAACTTGAGAAAAAAGTGCAACCGAAAGAAAAATAATGTCAGGAAAGAGTTAAATGGGATGCCCCAAAGAACCAAACGAGTGTTGGTGGCAAAGCTTTAGGAATGAGAGAAATAGCACCAATCTTTCGGTTGATCGGGCATTGAATATGAAAACGAAAATATCTTAAGTAACATTGATAATCCAAAAATATTCCTTATTCAAGACGAACTCGAAATAAACCGATTCGAGTTTGTTAGAAATAGATTATACATATACTTATGCATGACTCTTATTTTCTTATATTTTGGCAAAAAGGTAATCGATAGGTTTAAGCAAATGGTTTCTGGTTTTGGAAAGACAATGGACTCATACTTTGACATTCGGCTGAGGTCTGCGGAATCCATATGAAAGTTAGAAATCCGATAACGGCTGCAAATAAATAATGGAAGAGAAGAGAGCAAAGTAGAAGTGGGCAGTAGAAGGAGCACAAACCAAAAATACAAAATCAAGGGGGCTTGGGAAGTGGACTGTAGATAATGCCCTATGCCAGGTAAAGTTGATCTGTCGGCTTGTTCCGATTCCTTGTTCCTCAGAGCAAGCACAACTGTACCTGTCATTGGATATAAGCTGAGTTTTGGGTACAGTTTTGGGAGAAACTATAGAGTTCTTAGGTGAATTGTGGAAATGCTACTAACGCCGGGGATTACTTTACAGCTCTTGGTATTCTGTGCACACAGTGTTCCAATGCCATTCGTTACCACCGCCTACTCGAAAGTATTACCAAGGTGACAGTGTTGTAAAGGGCACAGAGGAAAGACAATTTTTACAAATTACGTTTACATTTTGGTGTGAACTTCACTGCAACTCAAGACGCATACGTGTTGTTGTTGGATGTGAGACCAGGAATATGCAATATATATGGGTATATAGAATGTATAGAGTACAGACAGCTGCTTACAGTCGATATATAACGGCATTTACAATCAACGGCACGTACGAAACGAAACCAATAATGAAAACCAAACCAAACTCATATCGAACGCAACAATTGCTTTTCACGTTTTTACAGGGGATTATTTTCTTTTTAGATTAGTTCAAAAACTGAAGGCAATTTTGTTTAAATCGAATGGTTAAATGATACGCAAAACGAAACTTACTTGGAAAACAATTATCGGTGGTAGCGAATTTTGCCAATGCCAAAAAAACTATAGATTATTTTAGATACCGATGAAAAATGAAAAACAAAAATAATTAAAAAATGTTTTCAAATTCAGTTGAATTGTAATTAGCTTAGCCGCTATAAAGCCAAATGAAAATCAATTATTTTCGTGTCCTATCATACAAAAGATATACAAGATATAATAAGATCATTAAAGTCTATTAGCTGAAAACCTCACCAAAGGTTTTTTGTTGTTATTAGTGTTATTGAAGTGTATTTAAATTCCTATTTTTGCAAAAACATTTTCCTGTGTCTGGTTATTACTAAAAATCTAATAATCTTGTGTGTGAGAAGGTCTCCATTTAATTCTTTGATCTGTGTGAGAATAAAATTTTATGGTCCATAAAACAGCACACAATAAATGCTGGCACTTGTGTTTATTGTTCCGCTTCTGTTTATCATTCAATTCGATACGCTGTTGACCTTGTTCATTATTAACTCGATGATTATTTCTCTTGCTATATGTGAGCAGTTCTTTGATGAGTGGTGATGGATGAGTGAAGGGATTACCTGTTAAGACCAACAGCCAATTTCCGACTGCATTTCTCTGCGTCCACATCTTGGTCGGATTTCGGCTTTCCACCCACCTAAAATAATTTGCTTAATTAATTGTTGGAAAGGGTTAAATCAACATCGAATCTTACTTAAAGTGGGCCTAATTTATCTGAGTTAATACAATCTGCTGTCTGCAATCTGCTCTCAGGTTCTACTCTTCCATCGAAGCATTATTCTGCCGTCTCTAAAAGTTATAACAAAAGTAATAAAAAGTAAAAACTTATAGAATGTTTAAAATAGTAATACTTAGGGAGTAATAATCTTTTGTGAAAAATTATTAATAACATCGCGGAATATTCCTTGTATTCTCCTAACATTCCTAGAGCTTAAATTTGTTTGTTTAAATTTAAATTTCAGCTAGCTCCCCCTTAAAACACTTTCCATTTCTAATCCCTAGTGACTTCCCGCTGCACAGAAATTAACACTTTCCCGAATAACGACCGACTCTGGTTTCCCAACTTTTATGGTGCTTTAATGGTGCACATGTGCGAGAGTTGCCCAAAAAGTTTTGGGACGGAAATGATTTGTGGCGCTTAAATTTATGGCGACACTTGAAGTTGCCATGGAACTGCGACCAGTGCGTACGTCAATATGGCAATATAAATATATCGCTTATATGTGGATGGTATGGATATAAGTGGATAAAAAACACGGCTCTATAAATAGAGCCGCACAACCTCTAATAAGTGTTCTAGGTCAATCGGTGTGTGTGTTGGTCTGTGGTGCAGAGTGGTTGGGGTCGTGTTTTTTTGGGTGGTTGAGTTCAACTCATGGCTGCTGCTGATGTCAATGGTTCTTCGGTCCCCTGTGATTGACCGGCTGTTCGAGTGCCAACCATCGGTTTCATATCAACCGGATTTAACGCTCTGTTCTGCATTTTACACATTTTTTGTTTGGTTTGGCTAAATTTATTGCGGCATTTTTTGCATTGAACTTTGGCAAAGTGTCAAAAAAATGCGAGGGCGGCAACAAAAGAAGGCGAGGGGAAAGGCAGACAAAACTATTTATATTTATATGTATGCCACTGCTAAGACTATTCTTTAAGCGAGTTGAAAACCCAAGGATGATGAACAGCGGGTGCTCACTAAAAATGTTTTAGGCTTAGGTTTGTTTAATAAATGTTCCATTTTGTGACTTTAATTTTACACTCACTGAACTATTTAACATGGTTAATTGATTATGAGCTAGGCTTGTTTCAATCCTTATAACTATGAATAAAACAAATTCAGTGTCCATGTGGGGACTGTTACAGATTATCAAGATTTAATTTATAACTTTCGTTTCATCAAAAAAAAAAACATATATCCCCTTGTATCGTTGCAGCATTTGCTAAACTTTTCAGGTTAAGGTTTTAGCTTGGCATTACTAAATTTAGCGCAATGTCCCGCCAATATCGAAGACTTTCCACTGCTGCAAACCACCGGGACTTTCCCGCACCACCGCTGCAAATGCAAGTGGGTCAGAATTCGCACCCCGTTCAACAAGTGTTCACAATGCCTTCGTTTTAGCCACGATTATTATGGCTGCCGATCACATTTCATTGGCCATTCATCAAATTTTAATGTCTCTAACGGGCTAATTGCATAGTGGGTCAAAACCAGTCGAGAAACCACGCCCACAGCATTTGATTTTGTTCGTTGCTGGGATCCTTCAGCTCTTTTAATTACTTGCCTCTTGTCCTAGTTACTGGCTAACTGGAGTTGACGTTTCGTACATGTTTGGCAGCCAGCTTTTCGTTGGCCCAGACACACGCGATTATTGATTTTGTATGTTTGTGTTGACACGACGCTGCAGCTTCTCCACTTTTCCCAGCCGCTTGCCACTTTTCCCTTACACTTTTCCTGGTTGTTTCATAATATGTTCTCGCTTCTCGAATCGATTGGCCAGCTTAACTGGGCCAATGTTGTTGCCTTTTCCGGGCCTAATGCGATTTGCATTCGACCCCCGTTGCGGTCGCCTCACAGTTTTTCCTATTGATTTGCCTCACAACACTTTAGTGCATAATTTTGCCTTGATTTCAACGGGCTTTTCAATTAATCGTGTGCACTTGCCAATTGTTTAATTCACTAATTCGAATAATTTATCAATTGTTGGAAGATAAGTTGTGCTCGTTGCCGTTTTAGTTGGTAATTTTGTAATTTATTTTGAGGGGGACACACGCAACGACATCGACAACGACGGAGAAGACTGCGGATTTTCCGATTTTCCCTTAACGCTTCTTGACAGTTTTGGCGCATGACGCTTTTGACGTATGCTGCGGTTGAGCTTTTCCGCACACGAGTGTTGGAAAACTTTTCGGGGAAATCTAGCAGCATAAGCTTTTCATGGCGCTTAATTTGAAAGTAGCTTTACCAAATGTAATCCTATTTTTAACTGGCATACCTTTTAACATTTTTAATGGTAATAATAAAAAATTGCGTTTAAATTATTATATTTGGTGAAGCTCGATTATTATACCCATGTTCATGTTAGATATTTTTAGATTTTCAAGGTTTCCGCAAAGGGGACCCACACAGCACTTCCAAAACCCATAACATTATTAATTCAATTCCGATTTTAAAGTGGCATACCTCAAAATGTTTGTAATCGCATCCTGAATACAACTGCATTCAAAATTTTTCATTTTTCGATGGTCGAAATTTTTACCCCTGTTCATGTCAGATTTTTCCAAGTTTTCAATGGTTTCATTACTATGACCCAAAACTGAACTTTCAGAACCCATAACTTTTGTAGTTTTTTTTCCGATTTTAAAGTGGGATACCTTAAATCGTTTGTAATACGATTCATAAAGAAACCACTCTAAACAAAAAATATTTTTATAATACTTTTCATTTAATGTTTTCCACTTTATTGTGAACGAATGAGAGTACAAGTAATTTTGTTTCGTAGATTGCATTTTAGGGCAGCTTACACATTTAAGTATTAGTTAAATAAAAATGAACCTTTTATGAATAAATACATAAATACACACGAACGAGAAAGTACACGACATAATTATGACACTGAAATGAATAGATTAAATGAAGAATTGTGTTCTCCTCTGGTTTTTATCTTTCTCTAGATTCGAGACGCTTAAGTTTAGCTGTTCCTAAGCATAATCGCGTGCGGCGCCCTCCAGTTTGCGCATCTGTAAGTTGTAAAAATATGATAGTAGTAAAATAATTAGTTAAGTTCATTAAACAGGGATGCAAACCGATCGAAATTGTGGACGGGTTCGGTTGAAGGGATCACAGAATTTCTGAACCAATGGATTCGGTTTACAACAGTGGTGTTTAGATAGGTTTTGCGTGCAGTTGGTAAGAGCATTAGTATACAAATATCTGCTGCTAAGGCGATAAAGATATAATACATTTAAAGCGTTATTAATAATCAGTTGTTGAATTGAATGAAACTTGGTATTGCGGTTCGGTTTGCATCCCTGAAATCAAGAAGGCTGTGGTATTTACAATGCAGGTGTGCGTGAGAGGTGAGTGATAGGTGTGTGATGGGTGTGTGTGTGTAATGGAGTGGGTGTGATGATCACTGATCACTGATCACTGATCAGTAGAATGACTCCTCGCTCCAGGCACTTATCAACCTGACTCTCACCTCGCGTTCATCGGCGTGTGTGCGGTACTTTTCGGATGCCTCCGTCACTTTCGGGGCAGGTTTCGCCTCCAGAATCTGGGTATACAGAAGGGCGGCTGCCACGCCCCCCAGCACAGGTCCCACCCAGTACACCCAATGCGACGACCAGTTATCGGTGGCGAAGGCAGTGCCCATGGTGCGGGCGGGATTCATGCTGGATCCGGTGTACCGAATGGTGCCCAAGTGACCCAGGGTCACCGCCATTCCGATGGCCAGGGGCGCCGTGTAGCGGGAGTCCGGCTTGTTGGGATCGCAGGCTCCAAACACCACGAGGACCAGCAAAAGTCCCAGGAAGAACTCGATGCCCAGTCCTTGCAGCTCTGTGATGTTCGGCGCCAAGGAAGTGTGACCCAAGCCATTGTAGTAGTCCTGATCGATGAGGATCTTTAAGATGGAAATAAAAAAAATAAAAAACATCAATTAAATGATAAAGGAATCCCTTTAATTCATTTATTTTGTTAAGCTCTTTGTTTATTACAACAGAAAATGAGTGCAGTTACAATTCTTAATGAATGAATTACAAAATAAAACAATGTAATTCAAGTTGATGTACTTAATAAACTATCGCTCTTGAAATGTTCGTTTTCATTTGTCATCTTAAGAAACTCAAGCAATCGTCAAATGACGTGTTACTTTCTGACCACAACAGGAAGTGTGACAATCAAAATCATTTAAAGAAAACAATGGATTTTAAGCAAGCTTGAAACATTGCTTTCAAGGGAACAACCGAATCTTTATCAGTTTTTATTTTGCATTGCTTAAAATATGTTGATAACATGTCTTTGGAATATGAATAATGTGTTTTTTAATATTTTAAATATCTTACCTTAACAGCCGCTGTTCCAGCAATGGCACCCAAACACTGGAAAATAACATAGAAAATTGCTCTGATCAAACTGATTCGACCTGCGACCAACATTCCAGCGGTAACAGCGGGATTCACGTGCCCACCACTCAAGTGGCCCACAATCTGGAAAGTAGTGTTAAATAAGTAAAAAAAAAAATATAAGCTAACAGTTCCTAATAACTCACCGTGATGGCCATAAAAATGGCCAGGCCAAAAGCCAAAGCCTTAAAGGTTCCATCCTCAATTTGAGTGCACGCTCCGCAGGCAAAGAAATTGAGGATCAGGTTGCCCAGGAATTCTCCGATCAGGGCCTGCCACAATCGCAGCTCCTTTGATTTGAGCTAAGATATATTATAATACAAAAAATATTTTTAATTCAGATTTATCTTTTCAATGGTTATGATCCGACTCACCTCATTGAGACCCAGTGAATACTCGAACTTTCCCATCTCTTTCGCTTTGCTTTCCAACCGAAACTAGCGAACTGAAATTAAACACACGGAAAAATCAGTGAGTTATGTCTGGTAGTTAATAGAAACGGCAGTCCAAATTGTAAATGGAAAAGTGTTTGAAAATGGAAGTGGACAATTGTCGGACATGTGCAGGTATTTAACCACCGATGATGACAGCTTTTTGCGCTCATTTAAGGTGCGATATTGTTTTAACCTTTGGCGACAGTAAAAATATGCATTTCCGCAGCAATTGTCTTCGTTCCTAATTAGTTGACACTTATGTCTGGTCTTCAAGTTATAATTCAAAGCATGTCAGCAAAACATAACAAATTTTAAGTCAATCTTTTCGTTTATACATTAAGTGTTCAGCTGTTCACTTAACGCAATGTCGATGTGTTAAAAGTGGGCGATTAAGGGTGCTCCCTTTAACAACACCCCTCTTAATTCTACGAACCTCCTTATCAGCCATATCAGCTGCATGTGAGAATATATCTGAGCAAACACAGTGTATAATATTTAATTGGCAACGAGTCATTAAAGTGCGGTAAATATTTGAGCGAAACACCGTCTGAAGTAAACAGCACTCGAGAATGAGCAGTTGAGAGTGATTGGGGGTCTCAGGGGGTTAACGTTAACCCAATAAAGTAGCGGGGGGATTAGGCCTGCTTTTCCACAGAGTGGAGTCATTGGAGACTGTTTGTTTTGCTGTTCTTATTTGGCGTAATGCGGTCACGATCACTCGCCAGGCCCCAAAATGGGCTAAGACTTGTTGACCATGCCCCCACACCAAAACTCATGAGCATTACAAATATATGCCTATATATTTATACATTAACTCAGCATTCATCATATAGATTGTTCCATTTGCAATTTGTCTTTGCCATCAATCAGTGACCGCTCAATGTTAATTCCCATTTTCTATGCTCAGAAATGCTCACCGCATTTTGTATTTTTTTTTCTAATTCAATCTTAATGAATTTTCTGTCATATTTGCGTCATGTATCAGGCTCGTATCAATATCAGCCAATAAACTCAAGTGCTCTGATATGGAAACGCGGGTTCTGTTCTTAAATTAAAGTGCAGAGGAGTGAGCAGATAGTAATTGAATTGACTTAAGGTTGGGTTGCGGATAAGTGGAATACCTTGTAATAAAACAAAACCATCCCACAAACGCCGGCATAGTTTAGAATTCTATGAATACTGGGTAAAAAGCTGGGACTTTAAATATTTGTCATCGCCTGTTAATCATCAGTTGTTAAAACTGATTTAACAATTTCAGCATGTAATTATAAACATTAATGAGGTTCTACGAAATGTTACTTTAATTGGCCAGCTAATAACTAACATTCCAAAGTTCAGATTCACTGCTGGGGAATCTCTTCTTTCAGGCTAATTAAAATCCAAAGCGTGTAGAACAGCAATCAAAAAATCTAAACAATTAATCGGCCCTGATTAAAGTTTACTCTGCGATTATTTGGCAGCAATTTGTAGGCGATAAGCTGGTTATAAAATTGGAAACCTAACACCCAGCCCAACCTCTTTTCAATTGCGGAATTTTCAATGGCGCGCTAATAAGTGTATTGGCAGAGTATAAGTGTGTCCGTGCCAATTCGCATAATATCCGAACAATAAAGTAAAAGTTTGCTCAACAAATTAGCACAAGCGGCGGGAACAAAACACACAAAATTCACACATATTCCCGCACAGCCAACAATTCAGAATGCATTTCAACGCATTTCGAGCTGATTTTCGTCATTCGAAATATTTCTGTGGCTTTCGAAACGTGTATGGCAGGCGGGTTCATGAACTTCAACTCAAACCGAATTGAACCGTCAGGCGGCTAAAAATGTGTTCCAATAAAAATTTAATTATATGCAAATAATGAAGAATGTCATTAAGAAAACTCACAGCACACAAAGACGTTCGTCATTAATTAAAAACATCCAAATAACAAGGGTATAAATCTTGCGATGATGGAAGTGGTGAGGTAATACCTTTGGATTTGTTTTCGACATTTGTTTTATTGACTTCAACCACAAATAAACAAAATATGTAGATTTGTAAAGTGACTTAAATGTTATCTATTACCGTTTGGAGAACCATTTATGGGCATCAAAGTGAGTCGTTTGTTTTAAAACAGTTAAAAGCAGTCAAGTGTTTAAAAATATTGCAGTCACACGTTTTTTTAAATATTTTTTTTATTATTTTTGCTGCTTTGACTGGTAAAAACTTATCTTCTATTCAGGTTATATGGTCACGAAACTTTCATAAAAATGGTACATATATTTCTTCGGTATTTGAAGTGGAGTATTCCCTGTACAGAACTACCTCTTTCTTCAACTTTAAACTGTTAAATAAGATCTAGCCTACCCTCAATTGCGTATGACGGCTGATGGCAGCTACCGATAGAGACGTTTGCAATTGTTTGCCGCAACTTTGTCACTTAAAAAGCCATAAAACTTACTTAAGCTTTAAATTTGTATTCAACGCCAAACGTGGGAGGAGCAGGAGTTGAAAATAGGGGAACAAGTACAGAAGCAATTGCAGAGTTTATGCCCAAAACTCCCACACGTGTTCGGGGCTACAGTGGAGATCCAGTAATCGCAATGGGGCCTCTCCAATTACCAAGCCAGAGAGCAGAAAATTGGTGTGGTCAACCCATCAATCACGGGTGTCAGATATGAAACGAACTGAATGCCCCCGGCGATGTCCCATTACCAAATCATCGGATCATGGCATTGCCGCTTCTAATTAACCGCACAATACAAAAACGTGTAGAAATCTTAAAAGCTTAAACAGATCGCACAACCTCATCGTTTCACGCAACGCTGGTTTTGAAACGAAAAGCACAATAAAATAAACCAAAATTCTGTTCAAATTTTTAAATATCATTTGGCAAGATCTTTGTTCTATATCCGCTTTTAATTTCTAGGAATTACCCTGGCGGGCAGAAGTAAGAACCGACATAAATTGTCGTATTTTTACGATTGACACATGTGAGGGTGTTTTTGTCATTTGTTTATCTTAATTTGAGGAATAAGAAAACAAATCAATTTGACAAAAGTAAGAAATGATGGTAAAAGGAAAGGTAGGAAAAAGGAATTACAACCGTTCAATGCACAGAAAGAAATTCGTAATATTTTCAAGTAAAATTATTGTGTTGTTATACAAAAAATAATAATGCTTTAAAAATATATTGAGCTGATTTGAATAAAAATTTGTACTAAAAGAAGTATTGCATTAGACTTAAAATGAAGTTAGTCATTTAAAAATAAAACAGTTTTTTAAGCTTCAGGAATATTGTGTTGATGTACAAAAAGAATTAAATATTTAATAAATCATAAATCTTTGCTTTCCAGATTTTTGATTTTTAATTTTGATCTGTATGCTAAGTATTCTACTTGTTGTTGTAATTATGATCACTGCCAATTAGAAGTTTACCTTGTTTTTAAATTACCTCACTTTTGCACCTTTGCACCTGCTGTCGAACTTGGCTAAACACCAACAACAACTAACACCTAAACTTGCACTTAACAAATATTTAACTAAATTTGGCAGGAATATGAGGCGCTTCTCAAGCGATCCGCGCACTTTGACTCGACGACAAAAACTGCGCGTCCGCTTTTGGCAGCGAAAAACCAAAGCCCCAAAGTCGAAGGCGCAGAGAGCTCGATGTAAAAAATAATAAAAATAAGAGAGGAGCGCTGAGAGAGAAACCTTACCTTTTTTTTTGAAAACGGTGGCGCAGCTGGACGAATTAAATGTACGATTATCTTGAAATTAATAAACCAAAGTCATAAACTCACCACACTTGGTGGGGTTCAGCCGAGACACAAAGTCCGACTGTCCAAGACACGAACCACTTGCAAACATTAAAATTTAAACCGTCAATCCGAAGCCAATTTAGGCAATTTATTGTTTGCAAATAGTTATTTATTTGGGTGTTATTAATCCCACCCATTATCAACGTCAGCCAGTGACGCTTGCAGAAAAGTTTCCATCGTTTTTCAGCTTTCTTATCGTAGAAAACGGACCGTATCATGTCTTTCACAAACAATTTCTTTAATTAATTTAGTGCATGCCGTCTGGGGGAACACTGAACTTTTCCATTAAATGTTGACGTAAAATCAAATTCACTTTATCTTTACGAGGTGTAGCCTGTAAAGTTTGTTTGCATGGGCAAATAGAGGTTGGTGGGTGGTAACATCCTCAATATTTTTTAACGGCAAGGCATATTAATGATCTTCAGTGGCTTAAAAGTGTTTACTTAAGGCCAAAAGTATGCAACATTTTGTAGCTATATTGAGTAGTTTTCATTGAAAACCAAGCTTAGAAAACTCTAGTAAATATTCAGTGCGTAAATTAGCCAACAGATATTAAAAATCAATTTTTGCAGCTTTGGTGATTCCCCAACTTATCTGAGTAGTAAAAGGAATGCCCAAATTCAATTTCACAATAAAACATTCATAGTAGATAAGAAATTGATTCATTTACATTGTGACGAGTCATAAGGTTTGCCCTTTTCATAATTCATAAATAAATCATTCAAGCAGAGTTGACTGAAATAATGACTCACTTATCCCAGTAGCTACTTGCTAATGATAAGGATCTTTTCTAATTTACATAGAGCCATCAGCATACGCCTTTGTGGAAACAAAAAAGAAAGTCAAGTCCGCATTTCAACTGAATGGAAATATATGAACTGGCCGACTCCTCTTGGCACTTGAATCTTGACACCTGACCGACGCCCACTTTTCAGCCACCGCACAATAGTTCTTCGATGACCTTGGCCCGACCTTGCGCCCATTTGCATACGGCTGTAATCCGGTTGAAGGGCTTGGCTTTTTGCTTATTTTTCTGTCGGCGAGGAGCCTCACTGTGAAATATGGAAAAGCAAAGTAATTGTGTCCTGACTGGCAAAATAATAAATTAGAATTGTCCGGTCATAGCGCCCCCAAGTGGGAAGCCATTAATTAAATCAGACATTTCTGGAATTTAAAGCTGGCAGTCAAAGAGTGACGTGATACTAGCTAATATTTAAAGGGATGATTTAAATTTCCTTATGCTAGTTAGGTTAATTCGTTTAAAAAGAGTAAGAATAAAAAGTTAAAAACTATATATCTCAGATCTAATTGCCCTATAGTTTGCTTACCCCATATTCTATTTTTTCAAAAATATATCTTATTTTTTATAAAAACCATTGCTTAATATCAAAAGTTTAATGCCATTATCGTTGCTTGCTAAACACTTGTTAAACAGCTGCTTATTTTCGTTCGCTTCATGTTTGCATTTAAGCTGATAAATCACGCTTGTTTTAGAATAACCATTTCCGCACACATTAACTAAGTAGATGTGCGAACACTAGATTAAGCACTTATAAAACAACTTAATTCATTTTAACTGGGAACGATACATTTAATTCAACGCTTCAGGAATTTTAAGTAACGTTTTTTAGACATTTCGCGATAGCTTATATAAGATTAAGATTAAGATCAATTTAATTTCGCTTCCTTCTGTAGTATTTTAACCCCTTCAAGAGTGCTTTGAATATCCCTGAAAATTGCATTGCGAAAAAAACTCAAAACATCTGCGACGGCTTATCAGCAACGGCAAGCCAGCACATTTTCATCAATTGCCAGTTTTTATGTCCCCATTACCGTTCCCCAACTTAATGGACCCTCGATATATATAACATATATAACACGTACGCCATAAGTCAACAGCGGCCGTGCCTAGCTACAAAAAAAAAAAACTAAAAAGCCGAGAACAAAACAAATCGCTAAGCTGCGACAAAAAAATCTGTTCTTGGTGGGTTTTTATATAAAACAAAAGCCAGTGCGAGAACACAAAAAGCGAAAAGCGAAAATCGAAAAGCGAAGAAGTTGAGTAAACACAAATGGCAAATTGTACAAGTACGACCAAGTGCTTGTGTCAATCAATATTGGAGTGGAGTGCTGCGAACTTTTTAGCCTGGACAGATGGGAACGAGAAGTACTGCCTTTTATATTTGGTTAATTACCCAAAATTTTTTGGCACGGCACGCGCTTCAGCATCGCGCATACGCCATGTGCGCGCTGCAGGAAGTGAGTATACGCCTCGTGCGCCAGAATTAACCTTAACATTTCGGCTTGGAGAATGTGAGGCGTAGATCTGATCGGTGATCCATGACCAGAACTCGGTTGCGATGCCCGCATAAGATTCGTTTCTACGAAAGCTCTTCGAAATATTTCCCACGGCGCATGCGTGAAGACAACTTGAAAACTCAAATAACAACAACAACAACAACACGCAGATGTTAGTCATGGCTGCAAAGATGATGGAGTTTCAAGATGGAGATGATGGCGAGGGGGAGGGGGAGGGGGAGAGGCAAGCGACAAGCGGTTGAAAATGTGCAAAACAAATAGCTCAACAACAATTCAACATTTCGAATTGGACTTGGACGAGGCTTGCCAAAAAAACAATAACGAGAACCGCAAGACCAGACACAATAAAAGCAAACGCCAACAGCCCCAAGCAGCGGCCTTATTGAAACATAATGTGTGATATACGTGTACAGTGGAGACAGGCTAAAAGCGACAGACTGCTTAAGAAATATATTGTTACAATATCTACTCCCTTGCAAATAAAATAAGTAACTACTATATAAAGAGATTGTTATTTTACTTTAATTTTTCTTTCTGAAAAGGTGTTTCTAAAATTGAAAAAAAATTGAATTTTGGTAAAGAAATTTGATAATGAAATATTATAGAAACCTACCCACATATCATGCCTTAGTAAAATATCTTAGCAAACCATAATCAGAGCTCTGTCGAAAATTTGCATAGCCCGTAGAGATCGCAGACTCACACTTTTACAGCGACCACTAACCAAGATTGATGAAGTGTCAAACGCCGGAGATAGAGCATCGCAGACTGGGAAAAAAAACGATATGCAGAGGGGGTGGAGTGCGACATTGACCTTTATTTGATTTTTGGCGCTAGTCGGGCTAAATCAATCATAGGCGAAAAACAAACCGGCACACGCTCCTACTTTTTGCCACCTGATTGAACCAATTTCGAGGCATTTAATTTTCTACCGACTCATTGGCGGTTATTGTGCGCCCAAAATTCATTTCAATTCGTTTATTAGCCGCCTTCATAGGCATACACAATTTTTTGCGATTCGGTTTGAGATTATTATCGGTTTCTCTCTGTGTGCGCTTACACATTTATTCGGCTTTGTTTTCCTTTTATTTTTTTGTTTGAAATTTTCTTCTTCTTTTTCGGACCACTTGGCGATCGTCCGTCATTTTTACAGTTACAATTGCAAATGTTTCAATGTCACTGGAGTCTGCTAACGGTTATTATTGTTACCGTATTTTGAATTGTTTTCGTAGCATCGAAAGAGCCAAGTGCAGAGAAAACAGATAATTGCACAAAACAAAACTCATTTCAATTTGGATTTGGTAATTGCAGCTACCACTTGGATGGTTTTCCATGGATTTAGCATGGGCTTTAAGCCAATTTTATACGGTTCATTGGGAGAAAGATTGTGCCTCCTGAAAACTGATTTCCTATTTTAGTTTTTCCACTTTCACTTACTCAGAAGAAATATCCAATGTTTTAACAAGTAATAGTTGTAAATATCCTATACAAGTGTATATAACTTCAATATGCTATTGTAATGCATCATATTATTTTTAAATCAATGCAAGCATTATAGTTTCATACAAAGCAATTCGATTGATTGAGCATATAACAATTAACGTGACACTAATTGCATGGTTTTTAAGATCCAAATCTGATTCTACTCACCCAACTATAGTAATTTGGTGTTCCCTGAGTTTTTGCGAGTAAATTTGGTGAATGAAAACTGAAATGAAAAGGAGGCGGGAGCGCAAGATCTTTTGGTAATTCGACAGGCATAGACCATCTCGACAACTGCGATTATTATCTCGCCCATTTAGCCGGAGTTCGTGCCATTTTAATGGTTAACTGGCATTAAATATAATTACTCATTAAAGCCAGCCAGTCGGCGAGTCTTTTGGTTCACTTCCCCAACCGAAGGCACAAATAAATCCGTCTGAGTTTTGGCTCTTGTTTTCATAATGGGCTGAGACGCTTCCACAAACAAAATCGAGGCTCTTGGCTCTTGGCGAATGGCTCCTTTATTTCTGGTTGTCACTTGTTTTGTCAATAACTCGCAACTGTTGCTCTGGCCAGAAGAGATAAAAATAGACCCGCGACGACAAGGTAAAAGCCCTATTCATAGGCAAAACCCCGCAATCAATATGCCATATTAAAGCCGAGGAAAGTTGTTTAAAAGTGAAACTGATAAGGGCCCAACCGTCCATAACCCATTAGCCGAGTTAAAAGTGGAAAAGCTGCAATAATGTGCCATTAAAACAAAATGAAAAATGTTCCGCCATTAAGGTGGATGGGCGAAGCCAAGTAACGTGTGGCATTTTGGATTACCAAAAGTCGAAATTCCCCTAGCTTGATAAGATCTGAGCGATAATTAAGTCTGAGGTTCTGCATGACCAGCGCAATTAGATTAATCAAAATTGTTTATAGCCTTTTGAGTGTTTTACTTCGCACACGTCCATACATCAAGTGCCCGAAAAGGCGAGTTGATGGCTCGAAAGCCGAAAATGGCTCTGAACTTTCCCCTTGCTCAATAACAATTAGATTAAAAATTTGGCTCTTTTTCACTTAATTGAAATTCATTATTTTTTAATTGGCGCAAAATTGGCAATACAGTATTTTAGTGAATTAAAAATGACGTTATATTTTATCTGCTTAATAATATATTTTTATGTGGCTTATCTTATCATATTAATATTTCTTTTCGTATGCTAGATATTTGCAAGTTATTTGTTATCGCGCATAGTTGAATTCTATTAAAGTTAAGTAATTGTATTCCAATTTATTATGCTCTCCTTTGAAGAAAACCATTTTTACAAGGAAAAGTCAATCAGCAATAACTTTTCGCTAATAAATGCATTAAATTTAAAACGTTAAAGCCATTACACTTTAAGATTTCTTTTAAAGCTTATATAATTATTGAAATTAGTTCAGACATTTTTTGCACTACTTTAGATTACCACCAATAATGGTAACTGAAATAAGCCAACGCTTGCCAACAGCTTTTTTCCAGAAGGGATTTAATTTTTTGCGCTTGCAACTGAAATTGTACAAGCAACTCAAATTGGCGAAATAGAGCCATCAAAAAACATACTCGTACATGTGTCCCCGCCCAAGAGCCATAATAAATGTTTTTACACCCCCATTCGATTAAGTCATCAGGGCAGGTGTATTCCGAACCCAGATCCTTTGGCCCATTGCGAAGTGGAGCTCTTGGCCAAGCCCCAAAACTCAAATCTGCCTTTGCTGCCGCAGTCGACGCTGGCCGAGGCAGCGACTGAGACTGCGGCGCCGACCGCGACCGCGACTGCGACAGAGAGTATATCAGTTACAGCGGCAGCGTTGGCAACGTTTATTTGCGCTCGAGCAGCGAACGTGGTAGCACAGCTTGAATCACTTCAAACTGCGAAAGAAAAGCCAAGCGACAGCGGCAATTTGAAAATTCGAAAAGGAAATCGGGTGCGGAGCGGTTAATTTAATTGAAAATAATAAAATCGAGTTATTATTGTACGTTGCGCTTTCCAATTTCGAGCGAAACATAATCGCGCCCAGTGTGAAAAAAAGGAAAACGCTCCGTCGAGTGAAATTAATTTGACAAAACTCCACCGTCCGCCCATTCGACTCCGTGGTCAAGTGCCTGACAATTGTGCAACCTCAAGACTCTTAACCTTAACAATTATATTTCGGCCACAAAAACTATTGGCACAAATCAGTTCGATCCGAGTGCTCGCTAACTCACTTTTACCTGCAGCAGTAAAAAATTAAGCAAAAAGCGCGCCTTTGAAAACGAAAGCAAAACACAAGTTCAATTCAAAGCCCCCCACGCTTTGCCAAACTCAAGTGGCAGCCCCCAGAAGACAGTAGACCGAAGACAGTAGACCGAAGACAGAAGACAGCAAAATGGTTGAGAAAACAGGTGAGCGTTTGGCGATCGGAGACTGGAGAATGCGAACTGTGCGTGTGTGCGAAGGTTAATTGCGAATAAAATGGGGGCGAAATTGTTTTGCTTTTGTGCGAAAGTTAATGCTGATTGTTCGGGGCTTTTTTATTTTAATTGAAAAAAATATGAGGAGTTCAAATTGAAAAAGTTCAACCCACTAACGGTCTCTAATAACACAGTCTTACAAAATTCAAAAAAATTTTTGCAACGGAGATGGGGTGTATTTTTTTGTGTTGGGGGTGACAAAAGACTACAAAAAACATCAAAAAAAGGGTTAGTTAGTTGGATAAATTTCGCAGTAGAGGCAATTTTTAATTTTTCGCCTTTCTTACAAGTTTTCTTTACAATTTTTATCCGATATAGTTTATTAGTACTTTGTTTCAAAGGTAATACTCTCACGCAAATTTTAAGCCCATTTGACGTTGTCTACCTCATTGCTATCCCGAGTTATAGCCAAAAGTGTAGAAAATGCTTTTCAAAAAAATCGCATTTTTAGCATTTTTATTCACCTTTGACGTTGTAAAACGGTACCGTGGGGCAAGAAATGTTAAAAAATTCTTTTCTGGTGTCGTAGAGAATTCTATTACGAACATCCCCATATATCTCACTACGTATAATTATTCAATTATAACGTTCGTTTTTTTAAAAAAAGGTGAAAAATTAAAATTTGCCTCTACTGCGAAATTTCTACAACTAACTAACCCTTTTTTTGATGTTTTTTGTAGTCTTTCGTCACCCTTAACACAAAAAAATACACCCCATCTCCGTTGCAAAATCTTTGTAAGACAGTGTAATGTTTCCTTCGTATAAGTATTAAAAAAAAAAAAAATTAAATTAGCAAAAAATAATTTTGGTGTGAATCAAATTAATTAAATTGCCAAAAGCCATTTTTAAATAAATTAGATTTTGTTTGTTTTGTTTATTAATTAACACACTTTAAATTAAATTATAGATTTGACATTGAAATATTTTATTTATAAATAAACAAATCTGAATAATAAACAGTAAACTCAATTAGTTTCACTTTCTAAACTTACTAAAATTGGATTAAAATTACCCTAAGAATGGACCATTAATCATCTTCTAAGAGCCATGAAAGGTATTTCGATAAATCATCTATCTTGGTAGGGTTGGGTAAATCAAAGAGTAGTCCGCCTGTCGATAGCGATAACGAGATGATTGGTTTTCAATAATTTCTCCGGCGCAGCATGACAAAGACGGTAAATTAGCCCCGAGTTATTTTTCTATAGTTAGACGTATTTTTTGTTGCTTTGATTTAGCTTCCGTGGCGGTTGTTGATGATTTCTGTAACTGAAAGTTTGCATGACAGAAAAGCCTCGAAAGAAAAAAAATAAAGACAGATAGGAGAAAACTTTGATAGGTAAACAACAGCGGAAACTACACTCCAGCAATTTGGACGACGATGATGGCGATGCGATGACTCCCCAACGAAAGCTATAAAACCAAACCGCCAAGTGAATGAACTGAAAAAAAAAGAAAACAAATTAAGAGGGGTTTTTATTTGTGCAGCTTCAACGGGCAATTAATTAAAATCTTAATTGCATTCTGTGTTTACCGCGAAGAATTAAAAGGCGATCTCTGGCGTCATTTACGCCGCTTGTTCCGCCGATATCGCTCCGATAATGGCGATAATATTTGCCTAGCGCTAAATATTCATTTGCCAGCCAAGCTCCATTATTGAAATTCTTCGTTCCAGCTAATTAATGTCAACGCCTGAGCTTCTATTTGATCAAGTGTTTAAACACAAGGTTCAATATTTGATTTAGATATGAAATATTTTTGCTGCCTGCTTCACTGTTTTAAAGTGGAATCGTGGAATTTTTGGAGTAGTAAGACGGTAAAAATAGACCTGTGAGGTGCGTGAGAAATTCGCTGCCCTTTGGCGTGGAAATTCTGCAAATTATAGTACGAACGTGTGGCTAATTTGATCTCTCTTTTCGCTTTAACATCTTTCCCGCCTCATAATTCAATGCGATGTCATCTTGGCCAACATCGCTATATATATAAATATAGTTCCACTTGACGTTAGTTGCTGTTTTTGTGGCGTCGGATTCGCAGATATAAAATTACAGTAATACTCGTGAGGCGAGTTGACATGACATCACGGTGAAATTGGCATTCAAAACAGTAGCACACTTGAAGTCAGGAAATGTTTTCGGTTCTGGCCGCAGAGCATTTAGACGCTTAGCACAGTTAGTGCGCATCTAAACTCGGTTCTCAATGGAAGATCAACTTGTTTGTTAATCAGATAGCTTATAATTAAGATAATAAGCTGCCATTGAGATGCACAGAAGCGAAGACGCTCGGTTCACATGGAAAGTTTGCGATTCGCGTAACGTTGAATTAAATTTACGGAATTGTGTGGATAATAATTGAATTGTTAAAGTGTCCAGAGGTTAATGATTTTGATTGGCAACGCAAATTACTTTGTTGCGATATCTACATTCATACATATATAAAGTGTTCATTGTGTTAGTCTTGGGGCTTTGAAGTTTAATTAGTTTTCTCCTTTCAAAAACCCCCTTAAATCTTCCCAAATTTCCCTAATGTTTAAACTTAAATTATCGCAATTAATTGGTAAGCTGCCAAAGTTAGTCATAAACCCCAAACCCCAATAAATCGACTCAGATTTATGGTACACTGTAAACGAGTTAAGGCGACATAAATTGAGTTTGAGCAAAGGCCCATAAAGATTATAAGCGATAATGGACGCACTCCTCCCGCACAGCAAACGAAAACTGAATCTGAATAGTCCCTGCCCATCTGACTAATTAATTTATAACGATTTTAATGGCCAGGCCGAACAGGTTTCGATCTTTCCCGCGGCTGTTATTAATAAAATCATCACCTTGCCTTACAAAAGTACCCAAGAAATGCGCAAACCGAAATTAATAATCCGATTAGATTGATTAATTGTTGTAGACGAAATGGATTGAATACAATATGCGAGAACCTTTTGTTTTGCAGTTGGATATGCGAAATTAATGCCCCTGTGCCTGGCATTAACTTCGTATTAACAAAAATAACATCATTTGCATAAGTTTTAAAATAGCCCTTGAAAATTTACAGAATCAAATTAACGGATCTCCTTTATACCTCCAATTTTAATGGTCAAGACACTCCCTAAAGCAAAGTCCTTTGTTCTTTACTTTCTTCTTAATACTTACAAAAACAAGGTGCTGTCTCTTTAATTTCGACTGATTTATTTTCACTTTCCCGAAGATTATAATTGCACACGTGCCAAAGTGACGTCAGTCCGGGAAATTACCATTTGATACACCTTAAAAACTATCATAACCCATAAAGCTGACTTTTGTGAATCCTTTCCGTCAGCCTGTCAATTTCTACCTTCCCTTCTAAGTTTGAATGATTAAGAAACATATGAGCAGAAATGGCCATAAATTAGAAAACTTATGCCATGTTTGCGTGTTTCGAGGGAATTAATGAGTTCACAGAGCGGAAAATGCTTGGCTTCTGGCAACGAGGTGAGAAAAGCCAAAAGACGATGACATTGCTCATGTTCTAGTAATACGCAGATAAGTCAGGGACCTAACCCCACCTAACCGCAGTTCCCCAATCGGCATAACCAGCCGAGTGATTTGGGACCAGGACTTGGGAGCGGTTTTCGCAGAGCCAAGCCTTTGACTCACTTTATTTTTCCATGGGCACGGGCACGTGTGTTTTGCCACGCCCACACACCTTGATTTTTGCTATGGCCAAGGTTGAGCACAGGAAGCACTCGTAGAAATAATTATTCAGAAAATGCCAGTTATTGTGGAAGAGATAAGAAAAGATAGGCATTCAGAAAACCTAATTATTTCTAAGGCGAAAAACATCTTCTTTGAATAGATAATGGAGTGTGGAAGTTTATTTCAGTTCTTATAGTTTTAAGATATTCTTTGTTAATCACTCTTTTCTCTCAGTGCCTTTGCCATGCAAGGCTTACAGGATGTTAGCCACATTTTCCACAAGTAGAACAGGTTGAAGACCATGTCGAGCGGATGTCCGCGGCAACATCAAGTTATCAAGTTTAAAGCAACTGCAGCGCCGCTTTTCCCCGGGGTTCAGACTTGCATTTAATTGTATAGGCCAACTTGGCATAGATACCGATTCGGACACACAATGCGAATTACTATATTTGGTTCTGGGGGCTAAGCAATTTCCAGTGTCGGGTGTTACTAATAACACGGTAATTATATGCAGTTTAATAGTACAGAACCGTACATGGGGATCCAAAACTCTCTGATTTTCTGGAAGCAGGCAGCTCACCTGACTCACCTATCTTATCGGTCAGCAATTCAGTCAGTTGGCCGGCCATTCCACCGGGCAATAGCTATAAATCGTTGGCCAGAACGTACTTGGCAATGACTTGAAAGCAAACGGGCCGCAAATTCAAGATGTTATCTTGTGTGTTGCGAAATACTAGAATATTACGAGAATCACTTGAATCGCGTGGGGGTTGTATGAAAGTGAAATTTATTCAGTGGAAAGGAATTTTTCCCACGAGGATCGTGATTTATCAAACTTGCTAGCGATAGCGAAAGTGCTAAGAACTTTTACCTAAGGGTGTTGCTTAAATGGGAAACGACCTTGACATTTGAAGGAAAGTACTTCTATATGGTAACGAATACGGAATGCTCTTTCGGTAATATTTTTATGGTGAAAGAAAGAAATGCTAAGCTTCAAAAAAGCCATTGAGTTTTAAAAATAGTTATATTGTGAACTTAATAGGTAACAATTTAATGGAATTAATAATATTAGGATGATGTAAACGAGTTTTAAAATTGGATGACAGTTTTGAAATGTATCTCATGATTCTTGGAATACTTGGATGGGTATCAACTTCTTCAAACTTAGCCGGCGAGAGATTTCAATCTCCTCGGGCACGAGTAATAACAAATTGTTTTTTTTTTCATACATTGTTGTGCCGGTTGGTTTTTTTTCAAACACGGAAGCCAAGAGAAAGAAAACAGAGTGGGACAAAGCCTGAAACGAAGCCAATCTTTACCTGCTTTGAATTTCAAATTTCCATTTGGCTCTGCAAAAAATCGAAAAAACGGGAATGAGCAATGAAACTGAAGTACCTGGTACAGGTACTTGGAAAACAGGTACTTCTTTGGTATGTGGGTCAGGCAATTTCAAGCCAACATTTTGATGGCAAAAGTCCAGAATGATTTTGCAGACGATAAATATTATTACGCATACGGCGGGAATTTTTCGATTTGAAAGACATTAAATGTTAAGGGGTTATATACCTTTTTGAGCGAAAAAAATGAGGGAACTTTGGATTTTTTTTCAGGTGTGTAGCAATTATTTTATGATACTGAGGTTATTATTTATTGATAGTACATGTTTTTATAGACACAACAAACGTTTGTTCTTAAAAAAATATAAATAACTTTCGAAGTTATGGCAATTCTCTCATAACCCTTTTTTTGTTATAGCGGCTTGCGGTGACCACGATGGAAGTCCAGCGGGTCAACCAAAATCAATAAACCAAAATTTTTTTATTAGTTTAGTATTATATCTAGTTCGTCATTGAATTACTTTAAGAATATTTGGTTTTTTCTGCATACAGTAACAATTTTTTCAAAAAATTGATTTTTCGAGCTCTAAAAATTTTATTAAAAATTTTTTATCTGCAAAATCGAAATTGGCGCTTAAAAACTGATTCAATGACGAACTCGGGACAATCATTACGAATATTTAAAAAAAAATTGAAGAAGATCGATCAAATAGTTCTTGTGCAATCGCGGTCACAGCAAAGGCACTTTTGGAAAAAAACGACTTTGAGATAATCGCATTCAAAGTTTTACGTTGCGTTACAAAGAGGGACGAACCGCGCCTCAAAACGCTGTTTTCCTATCGAACTATTATTCGGATCTCTTCAAAAATTTGGGAAAATGTTCTCTAGGGGATATACTTTAGGATTCAGCTAAAAAAATTTTTCGTTTTTTTGAAAAAAAAAGGTATATAACCCCTTAAATGTTCGAGTGAGCACTTTGCGCTTGTTTCTGTTTATGTTCTGTTTTTGCGATAGCAAAGCAAGTTTACTTTTGATGTTCGTTCCACTAATTAATTTCATGTCGATGGCAATGACAATGACAACTTCGTGCTCTGATTGATGGGCTGGAAAATTGATGGAGGGTTCCCGGTTTCCGAAATTCTAAAGAACACACCCCTACGCACGACTCGAATTACTTAGAATTCATTGGGCGATCTCGAACCAAGCTTTTCCCTCCTATTAAATGAATTGCGATTCATTATGGGCATTGCCGAATTGTATTCGACAAATTAAACGCGAAATTAACACACAGATAAATCTTCATCTCGCAAATGTACCGCGGTTGGCCTTGCTGATGGATTGTTTTCATGTCTATATGGTTTTTTCGCTAAAACACACATGAAATCCAGCCGAAAGCCTCGACGTCGTCACGCCCTCACCTTCCAATTGATGACTATTGTGTGTAATTGTTGTTATTATGATTTTTACTTTTGTTAATTTCATTTTTTAATGTGCCTGCCGGCCACAGTAATTTATTGGACTTCGGATTTTCTTCAGACCACTTTCAATGGCAAAGCCAGAGGTGTGTTGTCGAGCATTGGCGATCAACCAACACCCAAGGATGTGACAACAAGGCCTACGAAGTTGTTTCAGCCCAAAACAAATCGCACCGGGCAATTTAGATTAAGTTGGGCAAGCGCCAAAGATAAGGTTTTTATTTTTAGGTAGCAGCAACTACTTTATCTTTATGGAGACTTGTTGAGTTAGTTTGCTTCCCGAAAGCGAACCCAGAGATATAAAGCCCATCAATTATAGAACCGATTGCCTAAGCGTTACTAAGTCCCAACAAGCCTATTCCACAAAGTGGCAAATTTCATTCAACTCAAGTAAAAGTTACTGCCAATTTGAATGTCAACTAAGCTGGCTAACAGCCATCAAGCCAAGTGCATTTCACGGCTCAAAGCCTTAAATGAAAGCCGCGCAAATTGCTTATTAATGATCCTGAGGTTCCATTGAACTTGAATCTCAATTTTCAATTCAATTGCCGTGATTAATACCTGGCAGATGAAGTTATTAATTTCCCCCCTCTCGCAGTATTGATTGATTGTCAATCGAAGACGCTCAGTTCGGCAATAATTTGTGCTCGCTTGTCTCACAACGATCGTGTAATTATGTTTGACATTTTGTTATCTTTAATTAAATCCCATTTACATTTGTTTTTGTTCTCGGAAATTAACATAGAGAGAACACTGATTGAATTAAACAAATGTTCATTGCAAATAAACCATAAATTTGGTACACTTATGCTAATTGAGTTTCGGCCAATTGCGATTCTTGTCAACAGGTCGATCTGGTTTCATTTGCCGATCTTATTTACGCACCAAGTGTGGGAGTCTCGGCCCACCAACATGTTGAGACTATCATATTTCACTCGATAAAATGGTTATTGCTCTTAATATTCTTTAATGGGCACTTCCTGGGCTTAAAATATTTAGATTAAAACTCTGATAGGTGATTTCTTAAGTTTTACTGTCACTTTTCAGCGCAGTTAGTCACACCATATTTTTTCTACATTTTATTGCTTTATCATATAATGTAGTTTTATTCCGATAAAATTGAATTCCGAGAAATATTATAAGTGCATGTCAGCTCAAGTTATTTATGGGTATTCTGGGTTTTTGTTTGGGGGAATTCCTCTGGGATTTCTGATCATTTAGATCACGTTAACCTGATCTGGTTTGCCAATTGAAATTTCCCCCAGTGCTATAAAAGGCGAATTTGAATTTAATGAGGAGGTACTACAGCTCTCAATTGCTTTTGAACTGATGCCAGTAGCAAAACGTAATTGTTTGCTGACACCCAGATTTTTACGATTGTTTTTATCACTAGTATTCAGAGTCATGGGACGCCAGATAATTGCCGTATTATGTGAAGTGTGCGAACTTGGCGATAACATCGCCTCTCTTATCAGTGGAAAAAGGGGCGTTGTGTGTTCATCACTTTAGCATTCTGGCATTCTGGTCAAGTGACGGCCATAAAAAAATGTCTATTTAAATGCGGCTTAAGTAACGAGGTGAAGCCTTTTACAACTCTCAGACTTTCTTAGCTCCCTGATAAGCGCTGCATTCCTTTTGATTTCACCAAATTAAACGGCAGTCATCACGTTTATAAATAGTTTTATTGGCACTGCAAGTGGGGCTTAGGCTGAACATTTTTCGCAAACATTTGCCAAGACTGCTTGGCCGTAGACAAATTAATTAACACCCACTCATTAGCACTCGACTACTACGAGCAATAATGACGAATGAAAGGCTTCTGTCAGGAAGTAAACAGCCAAGTGCTATTAAACAAATTAATTAATCAAACGATGCAAATTGTGTGAAGAGACTGCGCAGAGGGCAAAAAGTTTAGACAATAAGTAAACAACACTAAGAAGGCAACTAGAATTGGCACTTTGAAATGGCTTTTTTGTTGTTTCTAAATAAAATAATGTGAGACATTTTAATGCGAGGTGTGAAATTTCATTATCTTTTTGACGTAACTGCCATAAACGTGCACATTCTAAAGCGTATTTATATTGCCTAAAGCGTCAGAAATTGTGTAAAGTATCATAACATTCTACAAAATGCAAATTAAGTTTAAAACTACAATATTTGCACAAAAAGATATAACCTGAGTTTTGAGAGACAATATAATAAGAAATGTTTCGTTCGTAAAAACAATAAAATAGTATTTTATTTATGTTCATTTTCGTTTCGAATTCTCAAACTTACAACTGCATACAAAAACATATAATTAATTTTGATTCGCAATGCACTGATCAAGCTACTAATATTTGGTTCTGTTTGCTATGTCATCTACAGAAATGTCGAAATTCGTTGGCGTTGCCGACATAACCGAGAACAAGAAAATCTGGCGCATGCTGTTCGGCGAACTGGTGGGCACATTTTTCTTGGTCTTTGTCGGCGTTGGCAGCACGACGAGCGGAAGTGTACCACAAATCGCATTCACCTTTGGCTTGACGGTGGCCACAATCGCCCAGGTAACTATACGCATACAGATTTCATCTAGGATGGACCAAAGTTTAAGAAAAAACATCTGAAAACTAGATCGTTTTGTAGTATTTAACTCATTAAAGTTGTACTTGTCTACATGGCGTATGATTATGTTAAATTGCTTGTTTAAAAAAATGAGAATTTTTTATTTTTTTGGGTCCACCCTTAAGACCCCAGCACAAATCATACAAAGAGAACGCATCGAGCTGGGCACTTCTGATTCGAGATCAGCTATCCAACTCGCAGATGGAGATTTCGGGCGGGAAGTTGGCGGTGCGTGAGTCGATCGGCGGACATTTTCAAGGACACGCCACCGCCGCGTTACACTTTCGGGCTCATTCACAAACGTTGCGGCTGCGATTTTGGCCAAGAGACATTGGCATTTAAAAGCGACAACATCGCGGGCCCGCCATAAAAAAATGCAGCTCGCTGCAGCTCAAAACTCAAAACTCAAAGCTCAAGACTCAAGACTCAAGACTGCGTGCGAATGTAATTTACAAAATTGACAGATTTACAAACGCACCATGGAACTCACTCGCACTCGCACTCGCAGAGCAAATAATAAATGCGCGCTCGCAGCAAAAGCGTCTGCGCTGGCAATTAACATTAATCAACACGCAAAATATGCAATTAGATTATTATGCGTTTAATTACGCTATGCTGTGCAAGTGTGCGAGTGACGACTGTAGTCGTGCCTTAGCATTTAAAGCGATCTGCGCCTTCAGCTCAATTTATGGCACTACAAAAGTCGAGCTCCGCCAACCGAATCCATCAAGAACACGAAAAGGCTTCTATGATGTGCTATATTTAGATCCCTGCATCACAAATTGCACTTCTATAAATAAGAAGTGTTTATGGCAAAAGTCTAAAATCACTTTATTAAAAGGCACTCATTAAATTTGAAAATGTATTTATTTTTTACTTGTTAGGAAGTAAATTTAAGTTAAACTGATCGAAGATAGGTTCAATTTCATATGGGTAACATGTCGTATGAGTGATATTTATGATTACTTTGGTCATTCGCTCTCCTTTCCATTTTCTGATTACTGTTTAAAAATTGCCAGGTCAATCATATTGAAAGCGTCGATAATTTCCATAATGAAATCAAGTAGCAATATTGGCAGCACAATGGATGCTGCCCCAGTCATTTCCCCGCGGAAAACACTTGCAACACAATCGCTATTAGTGGCAAATTAGTCAGTTGGCCAGTCGCTTGCCAAATCACGTGAAAAGATCGGACACATGACTGCAACCTGCAGCGGGTTTTCCAGCTCTTCCACCTTTTCCATGACTTGCGGCACGAGTCGAGCCCAAGATAAACTCAGGTATGCATTGCTAATTTCGCCAGCAGGTGTGACGACAATGCCTGTTCGTCATCGTCATCGTCATCGTTATCGCTATCGCAAAACCAAAACCAAAGCAAATCCGAAACAACTGCAATTGGTGTTCAATGGAGCAAGACGCGTGGCGTCGAATTGAAAAACGTGCTAATCGCCAACAATTTCGTGGCCTGGAATGGCAGGTCCAGTAATAGCGTTAGAAATGAGCCAAGAAATATGATATTACCAGGCTTCAGCCTCGGGCTATTGAGTTCCCCCAGATCGGCACTTCAAATGCAAATCTCTCTGGAAGATCTGCTTTTGTATGCAATCAGTGATCGATTGACAGGCAAAAGTCATAATATTAACTACAATGGAATGCAACGAAAACATTTTAGAGAAATGGCAAACAGCAATGTGACGTGAATGGAAAAATTTATACAAGCCCAGATAAATGTGGCTTGGAAATTGTCATGACATGTTAACCGATTGTTATCGAAAGTTTAGTGGGAGGGATTGCCTTTCATTTGAACAATTTTTACTATGTAGGAAAATTACAGAATGTTATTGAATATAAAAGGTATTTTAATTGTTTGTTATTGGCTAGGCACCCCAATTATTTATATAAATTACTTAATTGTTGTAATTAAAATAATGCTAATATATTAATCAATAATGCAGGCAGTGTTAAAAGCATTAAAAATCGACAAAAGAAGAACAAGAAAACTGAAGTGCGTGTGGCATTCACGTTTCTGTTTTCCATTCGAATCGAATAGAGTTGGTTGAACAAACTCCGACTTCGACTTTGGCTTTGGCCCGATGCGAACTTGAATTGACTTGGCCAACAAGCAAACTGGCGAACAAACAACAACAATCGCCAAAATGCTGCTGAAAAGCAGAACGAAACAAACATTCGATTTTCAGCTGCAAAGCCATAAAATATGATTTAAGCGTAAATGTCGAGCTGCAGTTTCCACTGCACATGCGTAAGCCAATCGATCTTTATACATACGTATATATATATCTCGATCGGTAGAAGAGACTTGCCAGACTTTTAGTAGCCAATGGAAAACCTTGAGAACTTGGAGAGTTGTGACAAAATAAAGTGAAATAATGCTCAATTGATTATAGATTATGTATTGTGATATGAAATGATACATCAGGGGATACTTGTTTATCTTTTCAAATAGAAATAAATCTTTATAGTCTTATTTTGTAAAGGGAAGCTTGCTTTTGACTTTAAGAACAGAATGACTTTCTACAATTTATGCAACTCTAATCCTTTTTTATTGTTGGACAGGTTTCTCGCAAACGAAGAGAAGTTTTACTGTGCAAATATTATCGTTCATGGTAGTTTTTCCCTTAACTGTTTGTAAATCCACACACTTTCCATCCTTAGTGGGTTCACCCTCTGCCCAACTTAGGAAATTAGCTTTTGATCCCTTGGTTATAGATATAAACTCGTCATCCTTAAACTGACTAGTCACGTCGATCCAGTAGCGATTCAGGCCATCAAATTGGGTGTTGAAGGCATCCAACTCTTCCTGATTTTGCAAACTGGCCAAATGAGCACCCATTCTTTGGCATTTCTCCAGAGCTTCGTACCAATTAAGCTTCACTTCTTTTTCGATATAATAGTATTTGCTTCCCAGTTGCTTAAAATGATCGTTTAAAACCAATTTCCTGGCTTCGGGCTGGGCTTCTAATAGCAGTTGTGAAGTGTTTTTCTTTTCAGGTTGCATGTTTAATGGAGAAGCAAAGGTATCTAGTCTTCGATCGTTCAGAGCTATTCTCGCTATAGCAACAGCTGCTTCACAGGCTTCCGTTCTTCTCTGTAGATTTGCCAGGTTCGACATGCAAGGATTCAAAACTCCAAAGCAGTAACTTGCACACTGGGATTGACATTCTTCTCCCTAATCACAAATATTTTAAAATTGAATTTTAGATAAAATATATTTTATAAACCACTTACCACGCATTCTGCCGAATAGGCTGTCCTGATGAATATCGACAATACCACTAGTATAATAATCTGCTTCATTGCTCTGATCTTCTCTATTCGCGAACCAAAAGCAGACTGACTTAAATGCATTTACATCGAAGATATTAAGGAGCATCCCAGTAAATACATAAGGTTATTTATGCTTATCGAGAAAGCAGCAAATATTACGCTGCTTGATAAGAGATGTCATTATGTATTATGTATCTCATAACATTCTGAATCGCATATTGGCATTTTGTTTACACAACAAATATAAGAAAACATAAACATGACAGTAGTATCATTAGGGGAAAAGCAAAACAGAGAATATGCTTTCTTATTTATGTAAAGGTTAGATTAAGTAAGCACTGAATTTCCCACAAAACAAACAACGATTAAGTTCTCAGTTTCTAAGTCATATAATTAAATCCATTTAATAAAATTACCAATAAAGCAAAATAATAAAGACCTAACTAGATTCGGCCATATTTAATCGGTGACTCACGTCCAAGTTCAGTCGGTCCGTCACTCTCGGGTTTCACACGCAGCCGGTCCGTCGATCGCGATCGCTTTTGATGCATATATTAAATTTAATTACGGGTTTGGGGCTCGACAATAAATTTGATTAATTTCACGACTCCTCGAGTGTGTGCAATTAGGCGGAGTATGGGTATTGAGACGAGAACAATAGGCCTACTACCACGATGGAGATCTCGATGATTAGGTCAGGTGGAGCGGCAACAAAAGCGGCAACTTAATATCGCAATGCACGCATGAGCATAGCCAAAATGTCAAGAAGTTGTTCGAGTTGCAGTTGCTGCTCGGATTTGCTGTTTGCCGTTTGCCGTTTGGGCCAAAAACTCGATCTTGCTCTTGGCGGCATTTGTAATTAGCGTTTTGTGGCCGAACGGCCAACACGGGCATTTTTTGCGCATTTATTAATTAAACGCAAAGCGACGCACGACATTGGCCGTGCGGCAGGCAGCAAGCTGCAAGCTGCAAGCTGCTAACTATAAACTGAGAAATCCATATCGAAATCGAATTCGTATCGCCAAAACGGAGCAGAAACACGGCTGGAAAGAGATATCAAACATAGAAGCCTGCTTTTGCACATCGACCTTGAGTGATTGAGTGAGCAGTGAGCAGTGCGTTTCGGCTTCATTCATAACACTTGATTCGCTTCGATTCGATTTAGCTTCTATCGAATGCGATCTGTTCGGCTTGTCTGTGCGGTATCCACTTAAGTGGCTCCATGTGATCTCTTCGCGGGCAATGACTCAGCAGAACCCCCCGGTTCACTTTTACTTTCCAGTCGGAGATTCGACTTGAACTTTGCAGATACCTATGCACTCTGCAACAAATGCACTCGAGTGCATCGCTAGTCTGACAAATTGCTTGTATCCGTTGGCAGTTCGATATGTTGGCAGTTGATTGTGCAACGGAAAGCTCGGAAAATCGAAGAACCAGCCAAAGGGCAGCTATTAAAAGGGGAAGGTGGTTAAGATGTTGCATTGTCAACTTGACATTTTGAATCACCAATCGAGGGAGAAGTTAAGCTATTATATCTTGAATAAGTAAGTAACTTTTCTTCCTTTTTTTAGGGCTTGGGTCACCTGAGTGGCTGCCACATCAACCCGGCGGTGACCCTCGGCTTCCTGATCGTCGGCGAGATGAGCATCCTGAAGGCGGCCTTCTACATCATCGTCCAGCTGGTGGGCGCCATCGCAGGAGCGGCTGTGATCAAGGTGGCTCTTAATGGACTGGTTGGCTCTGGGCTGGGTGTCTCCAGCTTCGATCCTTCCCTGGACTGCGCCCAGGCGGTGCTCATCGAGGCGCTGATCACCTTCATCCTGGTGTTCGTGGTGAAGGCGGTTTCGGATTCTGGTCGTCAGGACATCAAGGGATCCGCGCCTCTGGCCGTGGGTTTGGCCATTACAGCAGGACATCTGTGTGCAGTGAGTAACCATTTAAGTTAGGTTTCGGGTTCAGATGTTAATTGCTTTACAACCACAGATCAAACTGAGTGGCGCCAGCATGAATCCCGCCCGATCCTTTGGCCCCGCTGTGGTGCAGGGCGTCTGGACCTACCACTGGGTGTACTGGGTGGGTCCCATCGCCGGAGGCCTTCTGGCCGGACTCGTCTATCGGTTCATCTTTAAGGTACGCAAGGGCGACGATGAGGCCGACTCGTACGACTTCTAGGCGGAAGTCGAACCCTACCTTACATGTTCTTGTAAATGTCCGCACCCGCTTCCCATCCGCATTCCGCATCGCCCATTCGCTTTCCATCCAGCCAGGGTCCCATCGAATCCGTTGCCGAAATTTCTCTTAGATTAGGTTCGCTCCACCACCAAACAATCAAACAAACAAACAAACACCACCAACCAGAGCCTTTCACGCAAATGTAACATTTTTATTTGTTAAAAAATAAAAACCACGCAAGTGTCTTATTTTAATTGTAACGCGAGAATAGCACGTGAATAATGCAATATTGTATTTGAGTAATTTTAAGCTAAATTATATGCACAACATCATTACGCGAATCGAAGGAAAACTGTATTGAAGCTTAACTAAATTGTACCTCGAAAGCACTTTCCCATGGGAGCTCGAATTCCCAATTCTTGTTGAGCACCTACGAATTGTATTATGACTATGTGTAATAAAAAATATTAAGAAAATACAACTGTGCGTCTTTTTGTGTACGTCCTGGGGCTTTAATCGTTGCCAATCATTATATTACTTGTAAGAAGGGTTTAATTAAATAAGAGCTACAAAAATTGGGGCACAAAAACTAAAACCAAAACAACATCACACATCACAGCCAATCATCCGGTGACATTTACTAATTTCTCAACTTTAGAACTGGGCTATGCTGCTTATGGAAATAAATAAGTCACGAAAATGGGATGTGATATTCTGTGATTTGCAAAACAGAGAGTTTAAATCGCTTTTATTTGTAAGCGATCGTAATGTCGTTCTTGGGTTTTTTTTTTTTGTATGCGCGGAGGCTAATGTATAAATTTCAGCTTAAGAAGGGCACCACACCATTCCAAGGTCATGAATCATTGTGGTCACTCGAAGCCTTCAGAATTCCAGTAATGGCTTATTTTGCATTTAGTATCCTTTGCATACTACTGATGATGTACTGCGTGCTAACGGAGACGTAAATCGGATCGGGAATAGCACATTTTATCACGTTACTCAACTAGGATATGAGGTACTTAGAATCCTATTTACTTAGTATAAGCGGATTACTTTGCCTTTGCTGTTTAATATTTATATTATGCTTTTTATTTTCAGCTAAAAATAGTGGTTTAACTCTTACTCGCTCCATTTAAAGGATTTAAATTGGGTTGGCTAGTTTCAATTGTCCTTGAACTTTCGTTTTTGAACGGACGTAAATATTAATCTTTAAATTATTATCATAAATAGTATAGAAAAACTAATTATATTGAAATAAATGATTAACATTTCGAAAATGTTTTTATTGTGTATTGTTTTGATGACTAATTCTACGTAAGTATATCTTCGTTTTTACATTTCTACATTATCTTTAGCTAAGACACCAACCTTGCAAAGACAACTTCACTACTCTTCATATTAACAACTAGATGGCGCCAAAGTGCTCTATAGAAAAAAAAAAGTTAGCGGGTGTACATTCTGTTGAAACGAAAGAAATACGAATAGTATTAGTGCGAAATAAGAAGGAATTTATTAAAATGAACGTATCATATAAATCTTTATCCTTCATGATACCTTATTAATACTGATAGTAAGAATTAGAAATAAAACTTCCTTCTACATAATTTTTTGCTTTAACATAACTCTCGCAGAAGACATTGTGCGACATCGCTCTTTTAATTACTCATAATCACTTTATTTCCTTTATGCCGGTATATTGTGTTGATAAAAACGTTAAAGTCGAACACTAAAGTGTTACAAGGTAAGTTGCGCATGCGTGCTCAACCACCCGCAAGTAATTTCAGCGGTCCGAAATGCCAATTTCGCTTCAAATACTGATAAGCAATTTCCGAGTACACTGTTCAAAATATGGCTCAACGATAACGAGCCAAAAACAATATTTTTACATTTCTAGCTTCTTATAGTGGAGCATTTAAGACCTCTCTGCCTTCATGTGTTTTGTTATCAGCCCTCAGCTTTCGCGTGGGATTCCGTTTGAGTGCGTTAGTGGCTGTAGCTCTATAGCCCAAGCTTAAATTATGCGGGGACTGGCGATTTCAGTACTCGAATTATTCAGCTCAAGTAAACATATCTCGGCGAAAATGAAGCCCTTAGCTAAGTTTTTCTTTATTTTTGTGGGGTTTCTGGTAGCTGAAATTTTAGCACAGGATGTCATCCCTGAGGTACCAGTCGACTATCCGCCGACCACTACAACAGAGGCAACTACAACAACCACCACTACAACAACAGAGAAACCAACAACTACAGAGTCCCCTACAACAACAACAACAGAGAACCCAACTACCACAGAATTCCCCACAACAACAACATCAACAACACAGCCAAGTACAACTTCAACAACAGAATCCACAACAACAAAGCAAACAACAACCACAACTACACAACCCACCACAACTTCTACAACACAAAGGGCACCAATATTACCAACCACCCAACCTCCCCATTTGCAACCCACTTCCTCAAGCAAGAAGCCTGGGATTTTAATGGAACCTTTGGAAAGGTGCTATTTGAGAAACCAGTTGGAGCTTAGTACTTGTAAGTATAATTGAAAAGATTAAAACGGGGAAATGTCCCAAGATGAATCACAGTTCATCTGTTTGTTTTTCAATTTGCAGGCTGGCCATCCCCTCAGACTTTCAACTGTTATCGCTGCTGCTACTATTACGACAAGCATATCACCGAATGTAGGAAGGTTCACCAGGGACGTTGTTTACGGTATGATTATGGGCAGCTGAAAGTACACGTTCATTGGAAAAAAGTTTAAAAAATTAAAACAAAATAAAAACGAAATAAAAAATGTACCTTATGGAAGTTTGTTTTAGAAACCAAGTTATTTTCCACAGTGTCAGCACTTAATATGGAATCGTGACGACTACTATATCATTTTTAAAAAAATTTAAGAACAATAAACAAACGATGTTAAAAAAAAGCCAATGTCAGAAGCTTTTATATTTAATTTGGATGTATTCAAATCAAATTCTGGTAAGAAATGTTATGGCTATCCATGTTGATTGTCTAACTAATTTTTGTTTAAGAGCCAGCATCTTATATTTGACTAATTTCCTAGCCATTTCCCCCATTTGTCTGCTAGTGTTCTGTTATCAGCCCTTACCGTCGCGTGTGAGTCAATTTAAGTGTGTTAATGACTGTAGCTCTGGAGCTGTAACCCAAGTGCAAGCTACTCGGCTCTGACGATCGGTTTCAGTACTCGATGCCATCAGCTCACGTCAACACAGCTCGCTCAAAAATAAATCCACAATGAAAGTTCCCTTTATTTGTTTGTGCTTGTTAGTGACTGGAATTTTGGCTCAGGATACAAAGCCAGAAGTTCCTGTGGACTTTCCGCCCCCTACCACAGTGACCACCACATCTGAAGAAACTACAACAACCACCATAGCAGATACAACAATTGCAGCAACAGAACCAACCACAACTTCCACACCAGAACCCACTACAATTTCAACAACAGAAGAGAGTACTACTACAACAATAGCACCCACAACAACTACAACACAAGAACTAACCACAACGGAACCCACTACAACTTCAACCACAGAAAGGAGTACAACAACGACCCCAGCGCCCACTACATCGACAACAATAGAAACCACCACAATACCCAGTCCAACTTCAACAACACAAAGGGAACCAATATTTACGAACCAGATACCTTCCAATGTGCAACCCACATATCCATGGCGACCCATTTATACTACAAAATCCCCTTGGACCTGGAACAACCCCACAGAAACGTGTTATCTGAAAGACCACCAGGAGTATCGAAGAAGCTGCTATGGTATGCGGAATATATAAAATTAAAGTGACTAAGTGTGAGAAGGGCAGTAACGATTTGCTTTTTAATTTACAGGATGGGGTTGGCAAACTACGTTCAACTGCTATCGGTGCTGCAACAACGCATACAGCGGCACAGTTGGATGCAGTAAGCTTCACGAAGGGCGTTGTTGGTGGCTTGACTACGGTCAATGGAGAACGCATACTGTTTATGTGCAAAAATAAATTATTAAAATACTTATTAAACTAAAAGTCAAATAAAGCCTGTACACTGCTGTAAAATAAGTTTTGTGAGCCTAAACAGCTTGAAAAATATAAATTTATTTTTTTCAATTTGAGTAATATAGTTTGTTTAGTGATAAAAGTTTTGTTATTTGGCTTACAAATATTAAGAGTGAAATTAGAACCGCTGGATAAAAATACCATATTATTATATTTATATATTCATAGGCTTATCAAGAATGAAACATACATACATGCCTCATACATTTCGGAAGTGGATAAGAATTTTCATTCGAGTCATCATTTGAATCATCAGTTATTTGAAATGGCAACTTGATTCAGTATTCGGTGGAATCAGCTAAAGTCAACACAGTTCGCTAAAAATGAATCCCGCAGCTATATTTTCGATTATTTTTCTGTGTTTTTTGGTGGCTGGAATTCGGGCTCAGGATATTACGCCAATCCCTCCATCTGACTTTGAGGATATTCCAATAACAGTAGATAAAACGGAAGAAGCCACTCTAATAATTAGAGATACAACAGAGGAACCCACCACAGCTTCAAAAATAGAAGAGGATGAAGAGTCCTTTCCGAATTCAACAATAAAAGAAGAAGAAGAGTCCTTTCCGAAATTAACAATAGAAGAAGAAGAAGAGTCCTTTCCGAATTCAACAATAGAAGAAGAAGAAGAGTCCTTTCCGAATTCAACAACAGAAAAAGAAGAAGAGTCCTTTCCGAATTCAACTATAGAAGAAGAACTCATTCCAAGTATAACAACCGAAAGAGAAGAAAACGAGCCCATTCAAAGTTTAACAACAGAAAACTTAGAAGAAGAGCCCATTTTAATTTCAACAGCAGAAAAAGAAGAAGAGTTAATCCCAAGTTCAAAAATAGAAGAAGAAAACCATACCAAGCCGGCAGAAAAATGTTATTGGAAAAACCAAAGGGAGACCTGTAAAGGTAATTCTGATAGGAAAATGATCAAGAGAGGAAGCTAGCTTTGCCGAAGCTTATATACCCTTGCAGTCATTACAAATGTCAAACAAAATGAATTAAGTCATGGACTTAGAATTATAATTATTGAAATTTGGTCAATTTTGAGCAAACCCATGTTTTGGAAATTTAGAAACTGCCTTGTAAACTTCTAACTGAAATTATAATACCCTATGCACACATTTCATATGGTTTAACTATTTTTTTTTAATTCTCAGGAAAGGACTGTCTACAAACGGAAAGCTGTTATCGGTGTTGCTATAATGACAAAAATTGTGCTGGCGAATGCAAGAAGCTTCATCGAGGAAATTGTGTGTGGCGGGATTATGAAGTTGAAAAACGTGAACAGTAAACCATTATATGTCGAACTTTATTTTCAAGATGAAATATTAACTATTTTATTTTCTTTCCAATTGATTGACTGTTAACACCTTTATTGTATTTTTACCGCTGCAAATTAAATTCCAAAAGCCACGTAACGTTTATACCGCGTTTATAGGATTCCACTTTAGTCCAGAGTATAGACATTGCCCAAATTAAGGAAACAGTCCTTCAAATTCTGCTGACTCTCGCAGAAATCGGGGAAGGGCGGTGCCAGCACTTCATACATAATCCGAATAAGATCGATGAACTTTGCCAGGGCCTTGGAGTACTCCCCGGTTTCGTAGAGCCTTTTGGCTGTGCGGGTCATCATCTCGGTGTCCTGCATGACCTTCAGACCCTTGAGGATGTTGGTAATCTCCCCACAAGTCACGCACTTGACCATAAAGTCATTGCAGCTCGGTGGCACCTCAATAACCGCGGAGCAATTGTTGGGTGCGTCGCAGCGGAAGCGGATGACATCCCGGGGAAGATCATCGAACCTGGGCCAGTTGTCGATGCAGGCATCGCAGGAGCACTCGAACCAGTAGAGCTCCTTCAACCGCGACTGCCGCTCCGAGCGTTCATCCTGGGTGTACATCGGTCCGTAGTTCTCGTTGATCGGAAGACCCGCCTCGATGGGTCTCACACTGTTTATATGGATGGTGGTGCCGCGGAAATACCGCACCACGCCAGGATCACAAGAGTGGTTGAACAAAGCGAGAGTGGGATAAATGGCTCCGCCAATAAAGATGGACTTCTCCCGACCAGAGGAGCTGAACTTGTGGAGCTCTGCCACCTCGTGGGTATTGAACTGGATAAACTGCAAACTGCGCAGCACCAGGGAGCAAATGATTGCCACCTCTTCTGTCTTGGGTTCCGATCCAAAGTATCCACCTGCCCGGAGGCAACGGGTCAAAAAGCGAGCCATCAAAACATGCTGGAAGAAATTGGAGGGCTGGCGTTCACCCTGATGCCTCTCCAGTTGGGCCACTCTGCGGAAATCGTCCTTGGGCAGGCTGAAAGTTAGAAATCAAAGGTTAAAATAAAGTATTTATGAGCTAATTAGAGCACCTACCTTATCAGCTGCTCTGGTGTCAACTCCTCGTCAATAGCTTTTCTTAAGTTCAGGAAATATTCCAACGGCTTGCTGGCAATGATCCTCAAGGCAATGTGGTTGTTAATGGAGGCACCCGATCTCCAAATAATAGGCACAATGCCGCACTCGTACTTGTGGTACTTCTTAGAGGCCTCTTCACGACATTGTTCCGAGCAGTAGAGAACATCGGCACAACGGGGACAGGCGACAGGAACTACAGTCCTTGAAGGGGAATGAGATTACAGCAATTCCCCTTAAATCTTGAAAGTAAGTTATATTACCTAACAAAGCAGTTCTCGCAGTGCGTTTTAGTAAACTTCTCCAGCAGTACTGAGACAAAAGGTCGCTCCACTAAGAGCTCTTCGCCGGGTTTTACGTCTGCCGAGGCCCTGGCAAAACGTCCCTCCTGCCGATTGCTATCAATCCTCACCAGCGGACTTACGAACTCGTTCTCCAACTTAACTGGCTGGGCCTGATCCAAAGCCAACTTCGGTTTCTGCTGCTTGGCCTCCTGTTTGGCGGTCCGCGGATCATGTTGCAGCATCTTGATCATGGTCATGGCATCTAGATTCAGTTTGGCCTTCTTGTCAGAGGTCAGCGTGGAGTCGTCCATGGCGGTGATGCATTTCCTTTAAAAAATTCAAAAGGTTAAGCCCTATTTTTGATGAAAGAAAGATAACTCTTACTTGAATGCTTCAATCGTGTGGGGATAGTCCTTGAGAGCCATGTAACAACGAGCCTGTCTTTCATATAGTTTGTAGATTAAATCCTTGGGGTATCCAAGATCTAAAGCTCTTCTGATATCAATCAAGCACTCTCTGTAAAATAAAAAGAAAACATATTATTTAGTTCCCTTTATTGAACATTGAGAACTACTTACTGATATTTCTGCATGTGGTACAAAGTGGCTGAACGATTGGCCAACACAATACGTATCTCCGCCACTTCAAAATAAAACGATCCATTAAACTAGAACTAGTCAATACTGTCAACCACTTACCGTTTTCACTGGGCAGCGCCACATAACTCCTGGTGTACAACATCATGGCCTCGAGCCACTTCTTGGCCTTAAAAGCCGCTGTGGCCCGCTCCTTGATCTCCGCCGCCAAAGAAGCATTCTTGCCGGCGAACTCCTGGTTCACCACCAGGTTGGCATCCCCCTCCTGCACCCAGGGCAACTTTTCCACATAGGCCACGCGCTCCTCATCACTCTTGCACGCTGATAACTTGGCGATGTCCGACTCGCAATTGGCGCCCGCCTGCTCCTTGAGCTTCAGATAGTATTCGGCGAAGAAGCCCGTCTTCTGGCTAAGTGGAGTTTTCATTTTATCTATAGTTTTTTACCTCCAAATTATGCAAGTTTTAAGAATTTTTTCAAATATTTCTGTACTCTCAGCAAGAAAACTGCAAATGAACTAAATGGGTATATCGGGAAAATTCGACGACAACGTGTGGTAGAAGATTTTTTTTGGGACTTTATTTTTAGAAGAAAGAGTGCACCGAAGAGAAATAAAGAAAGCTATGGGAGAACTAGTAAGAGAAAAGAATGTTTTGCGTTTGTTTACTAACAAAATTGCCGACACATGCATGTATAAATGGGCTATGTTTACCAAGCACGGAAAAGCATTTACGATTAATTAAATATCATGCTAAATTTGGCAAAAATTGAGAAAGAAAATGGCAGAGGCACAACCAAAAGTTCTGACTACGCCGCGTTGTTCGCCTCTTTAGCTCAGTGGCAGAGCACTGGTCTTGTAAACCAGGGGTCGTGAGTTCAATCCTCACAGGAGGCAGATTTCGAAGTCTGCACATTCTATTTAGTCAAGTCCTTCAGGATCTTTTACCTTTTTTTAAAGAATTAAATTGAACCATGAACAAACACAAATTTATAAAAGAAAAGCTTACAATTTTATTGTAGGTTCTTTTAAATAAGTCCAAAAGTAAATTTAAAAAATGCATTCAATATTAATTCTAGTTAATAAAAACTAAAAAAAAATCGCTTACCTGTATTTTACTTTGGTTAAACAAAATTGGCAAAAAAAGGCATTGACCCACAACAAACTGCCTCCTGTGAGGATTGAACTCACGACCCCTGGTTTACAAGACCAGTGCTCTGCCACTGAGCTAAAGAGGCTTGGGCAAGGCGGCCGGCAAAAGCCAAACTTGAGCTGAGCGCATGCGCTGGCAGTTGCCGCTGTCAGTTCACTCTCGCTTGCCGCGGGTAGTTTAAAAAGTTGTAGGTCTATATTGTAGTTGTGGATAGTTGCCGGGTACTTTGTGAAATTGGCTCCACGACAGAGGAAGTGAATGTTGGCCTTATCTGGCATCGGCACTTGAGCGAACGACAGCTGACTTAGTTCTTTAACTAATGAAGGCAATTCGAAGTTCAAAGAGAATTGCGGGTGTGCAGCTTCGAGTGGCAATTTGTTATGGGTAAATTGTGGAGAATTGACGTGGGAAGAGGTAGATGCAACACCTAATTGTGTCACTGGGGCTGCATGAATGGTTCTACAATGTATACGAGAAGGGCACAACTGTACCTCTGAGTTGATAGATGTTTCCCATATCGAATTACCTTTGTTAGGTCCCTTGGCATTTAAGCTGTATGCAAATGCTTTAAAGAAAAGGTGAAATGCGTAAATTACAGTGTCAACATTACACCGCCCACTTTGGTAAAAAATTCAAATTGCTATTTTCGGGGTGTCCCGCCGTGAAAATGCATTATGCACAAAGGAAAGCGAAACCCAATACCCATGGTAAGGGTGCACATTGTGCTGCACAAGTATGTAAATTTCCCTAAGCTGTTGAATCGCGCCCGCTTTTGACTTTGGGCGTTTGTAACCCCTTTTTGGAGATCCCTTTCTGGGTTTACCGATCCCTGGCGGCAGTGTTGGAAAACATGTTGGCTTGCCAACTGGCAACTGGACATGACAGCTTGTACATCTCGGCCCTGTCGTCAATCATCAATCACGTCGCAATGAAGGGGTGGCCTCCGTCAAAAACAATGTAATCATCAGGGCTTACAGCGGATCGGCAGCTGTCACTTGTACGCACAGTGACTTGTAGTACAGTAGAGCCACTCAAAGGATGCCCCCGTGTGGTCCTGATTGAACATTGTCAATACTCGTAATCGCAATGTTTATGGGCTGTCATCCCAGGCGCAAAATATTTATCACTCTGCGAGAGTTGCATCCTCGACTGCAGCGGATTCAACCCCTAATCATGGAGCATTGTGGAACTGCATTTCGGGATTTTTGAATGCATTTCGAATCGCTTTCGTCCAGTTTTTGACCCTACATTGCTTTTGCAACTGACCAAATGCAAATTCATGCGGCATAAATGATGCATCCCCCACCCTCTTCCCTTTATTGTAAAGCCCCGCCAGTTAATTACAGTGTATTTTGTTATTTCCTCTTCCCTCACCCAACCTTTTTTTTGTTCTTTATGATTCTCGATTGCTTACACACATACATATGTATATTCCATCAAACTTCCGTTGAATTTGAGTTTTTGTTTGCTTTTATACCCTGCTATGGGATTTTTTGTTACCCTTTTTGGTAAAACAACTTATTTGTTTAGCTTCTATCATTACAAATTCAATATTTGTTTGCCATTGACTAGAAAATTGATTTTTAATTGTTTCGCTAGGAATCGATTAAGCAAATTATTAACGTGCCGAAATATAAAAAAGAGGTAATCGATAATCGTTTAGAACCCAATACTTTTATTACATCAAAGGGTATTTCAAACTCCGATTTATCTAAACAAATCTCTGTTGCGTTCTTTATTTTGCAATATACTAAACTTCCGTTTTGCATTGTCGTTTTGTGTCTGCCATTGTCAACTCTTTGTTGTTGTCTGGGCTTTTTTGCAGGTATTCATGTCAACTTGTTTTGCACTGAAAACTCACAGCCCGTTCACAGACAACAATCAAATAAAACCGAAATTAATTGCAGCAACTTAATTGTGTTTAAGCCAGGCTGAGCACCTTCCTGCCTTAGTTTGTCAACAAAAGACAAAAAAAAAAAATACACAGCTTCATAATTAGAAACATTTTTCTCCTCCGAACCACATGCATTTCAATTGCCGACAAATGTCATTTGGTGGGCGACGCATTTGGCTGTTGACATTTGGGAAACGTCATAAATAATTTATAACAAACTTTTGCATTTTGGCCATTGTCTGAAAAGTCTTGAAAATGGATTTTATGGATCTTGTACTCAATTGCCAGCCGAGGTTTTTTATTTGTTTATGTGCCAAGTTGGTTTATATGCAAATTAAAGTGTGCCACTTAATTAATTTTGAACGTTCGGATAAGCATTTAAATAAATTAAGGTCTAAGGTGATCGGAATCAAGTTGTTTTCAGCTGATATACAAGTTTTTGGCTGATTAGTAAGCTAATGTCATCTTAATTTCATAGAGCGAAGGTAAGCGAAATAATGCTAAATCAACAAATTTGTGTCCATAAATTAGGTGTCGACTTAAATATTAGATGGAAATCGTATTTATTATTTTGGTTTATCTATTTAAAAGTGTTGGAACATAAGTTTTAAATTGGAAGAGGCATAAAGAGTTTTCAATTATTGAAAAGGGTTTGCTTGAAATTTGATTTCCATAATATGAACCAAATTGAAAGAAATCTTTCAATGGCTTTTCATCAAAAGTGTGATTGACAACAGTGATGCATTGATCCATTCAACTTTTCAGTTAACACATTTCAATTTGAGGTTTCTACGTTTCTGTCTTTCATTATAATTTTTCTAAAGCTGTCACTTTTCCATCAACGGAAGGAATCAAATTTCAATTAAATTCTCATTCAACTCTTTTCTATGATTTTCTTTTTTGAAGTACCTACTGGCGTTTCCCTTGGAAGAATTTTCTTCTCAGTGATTTCTAATTTCTTTCTGCGTTTCCTGATCAACCAATAACCCTCTTCTCCACATGAGTTCCCCCTTTTTTGCTCTGGAAATGTCGCTGGGGTCAATGGAAGTGCACAAAAGCCTTAATTCAATTTAAGTTCCATTAGCGTAAACGCGTTGCGTGGAAAACTCTTCAGACCGAAATCAGTTCAAATTAATTAAAAACTTAAAATAATAAAAATAGACGAAAAGAAAGCAAAACACGAACAAAAAAATGCACTGCAATGTGTGTGTTTACAAAGGCAACAATGGAAAGTGCTTCAGCTCAAGTGGAAAACAAAAGCTAAACGAAATGAATTTTCAAGCCGATGAGGGGGTTGAAACAATCCAATTTTGAAGAGCGGCGTCGGAGGCAGCTGGCCAAAAGGGAATAGGGAAAACGGGAAAGCGGGGATAACGGGAAACGGGGAAAAGGGGAAAAGGCACGTGGCGCATGCGCAGGACCTCGATTTGGGTCGGGATCATAAGCTGTCACATCCAGCCATCCGTAATACAGTTACAACCTGGGATTGATTGGTGCCAGGGGATGAGTATCCCAAATGTCAGACTGTGACGAATTGCCTCGGGCCGATTTCCCCTACCCAGCATATATATTTTTTTGTCTGCGATTTTTTTTTCGGGATGCTAATGACGACGAGCCATTGATGTAATGTCCTTTGCCTGTCAGCGAGTATTAGCCTCATATTTCTCTCCGTTGTCTCGTTTTTTTTTTGCTGCAATTTTACACTAAATCAAGCAATTTTTTACCCAATTCTTTGTGCTCATTGTTTTCGTTTGACACTTTTCGGATTGATTGGCAAAAAAAACAGGGAGACAGGGAGAATTAGTCAGCTTAATGCTCATACGAAATCCTTTTTTGCGGTTTAGGTCTGCTCGTTTTAATGCGATTTGATGGCAATTTGGGCACTTCGGGTAATTTTAGGCAATTCATTTATCCCTCGACACATTAACGGCAGCTGTTAAAATTTTACAACTCAGCACGCGACAGTTGCTTGTCTTTTCCTTTTCCGATCCTGCTGCGTGCCCTTTGTAAAACTCTTCGATCTTTTGGGCCAACATATGGGAGCTAATCGATCGGAGTTTCTGGGGAAAATTTCTGACCCGAAGCGCAGTTGATTTTACGGCTGGTAGCGAAGCGCAAAGATCGTTGATCCATTTTGCACGCACTGCTGCCTCGAAACTGAAATCGAACTGCACTCAACAAAAGTATATATGTATATATATATATATGTATCTCGCAGATGCGTGGTAATCAAAATGATGATGTGAAAATATTTGCTCATCAGGCATGTCGTCTTGGCTTTCAGGGAAGCCCTAATGGCTACATCTTGGCAACAGGTGAACAGGCTGCCGAATTTCTTTCTTTCTGACCCTAATTGTCATGGGCCACTGAAGCGCAGCGCCCAAGAGCCGATCTTAATGTTGATTATCCGCTGAATGTGTGTAATCTTTGTGAAATTAATATCCGGTCGGCCTGACCTTGTGTCTCTATTGCCACTCCACCTTTCTCTTAATTGCGTTGGAAAGCATTTATCAGCTCGGCGACAGCCGACGAAACAAGAACAAGAACAAGAGCAGCCCAACTGTGTCAACATATGTTCTTTTTCTGCGACAGCTATCTTTTGTGTTATTCGGGCAGATACAAGATATAGAACGCGTGAAGTGCAAGCCAAGCTCTCAGTTAGCAACTGAAATTCGCTACTGGGGCGCCCTCAAAATGTGGGCCTCTTTAGCTCAGTGGCAGAGCACTGGTCTTGTAAACCAGGGGTCGTGAGTTCAATCCTCACAGGAGGCAGAGTTTACCTCCTTGCGCGGTTACCTGAGATTGCGTGGGAGTTCGGTCAACACTTTTTTGGGAGCTAATGTAGTTAAGAGTAAAGTTACCTCGTAACTAGCTATATCTTAGTATTGTTCTCTACTTCTGTAGAATGTATTAACTGCAATGTGTTTAAACCTGGTTTAGTTTGTTCAGCATAGAATGAAAGGGTGAGCGTGGATCAAAGTCATTGAATAAACTATCATTTTATCATCATTTATGTACCATTTTTGAGTATACCGGCTACTTACAAGCACATACTACCAAAATATTCACTTAATTTAATATTTTAAGTATTGTAACCCTTTTGCATGCCCCATTAATATATGTAAGCCCATCTAAAATAACTCCACAGGGAACTGCATAATTATGGAAATGCCGTGACAAAGTTATCATAGTCTCCCTTTAGTCAAATTCACATTAAACTAGACCGATCCCCTAAATCGAGGGCACCTGTCACCTGCCACAGGACCTTGAAGGCGACCAAAAACGCGATCGAGTTCCGGTTCTATTGCTCTGTAGCTAGTGAGACAATTTATGTAGACCTGCGATCTTGGATATGCTCCATGGACACGCACACCTCAAACCAAACATGAAAAGTAGAGGATCGGCAGCGGAAAATGTCCAGGTAGCTCCGTGTTTACTTTACGATGGCATAAATTCAGTTTTAATTGAGGTTGCAAGCGGCTACTTGTTCGGCCATTGGAATCTCATCCACTTGGCATAAATTACGGAAAACAGGGCTCTTCCTCTGTTTTCCCATTTCTCAAGTGCCACAAAATGTTCGAGTTTATAGTGTTTGGCTTGGCCTTTGGCCCCGACCTCCGCCTCAATTACAGAACCGATCCCAAATTCAGACTCAATCTTATTCTCGGAAAATCAAGGGAAACCCAAAGCAAGTCAAGTTTTTCCAGCCACTTGCGGTCTTTTTTCTCGGTGTCGTTGTTTGTTTTGTTCGGAATGAAAAACCATAAAAAGTGGCGTCGCGTAACTGACAGCGTCAAGTGGTTTTCCTTTGTTTTTCTTCCCGGAGAGGAAGTGTTTTTTTTTCTATTTTTTTGGTGTTTTTTTTATTATTCGACAGGCAACCAATATCTCTTCGATTCTCCGCATTCTCAATCTTTTGTCTTGGCTCGCTGAAGAAACGAAAGACTGAAGCCACAAACGCGTATGGAAATGAGCGAGACGCTTTCAGCGGATTCGGTAATAGACTCGGTCTAACGGTAAAGCACATTTCACTCGGGGGTTTTGATTTATAGGCAGTGGCCCTGCCTCACATTAGCTAATCGAAACGATATCAACCCGAAAGAGTTTTGCAATTAGGCGGGCCGAGGGTTAAAATACAGCACACTTAAAACGCGCGAGAGGCGCATGTGTAATCCTCTTTTTTACCCGTTTTAATTTTTGTTTAATTTTGATTTATGCCGCTCTTGAGTTTTGGCTGCGTTGTGTATCTATTTTGGGTTGCACTTAATGAAGGGAAATACAATCAACGCCATCAACCCCTACGCATGCGGATTTTACCCCCGATGTAGGGTAAAGGGTTTTTTTCGGGATTGTTGTGATCATTTTAATTGACTTTGCGCACGAGCGGACTCATCGGAGCGAAACGCCGGAGATAAAAGGCAGATAGAGGGCACCATATAAGCCGAGAGCCATATGTCGATGATGATGAAGGCGATGATGCAACTGGAGCGGCAGGCAAATGAGCAGTTTAAGATGCGCAGTGCATCGTAAAATCTCGGATGCAGCGGCAGCTGTCAAAATAGGCAGAGACACCCACCGAAAGACGAGGGAGTGGAGTTCAATGCACTGGAACTCTATTAACCATTAACCATTTCGATCGCAGCGGGTTGGTCGCACTATAACCCAAAAAATCTGGAGACCAGTGCACTTCGACACTACTTACTCTTCGTTTTACAAGCGCTCTCTCACTTGCTCACCCACCTACCACCAGTTTTATGAACATAGCTATTTTCAAGCTATAAAAAAAAAAAAGATTTCATTTGTAAACTCACTCATCTGTAAATTATATTATATTACTTTACAAAGTATTTATAGCTTTTTAACTCTCAATTTTATTTTTTTTTTTTTTTTTGTTGCTATGAAATTTAATGGTAAACTAAACTTATGTATTCGAATACAAAGTTTTTCCCAATCTTGTATTGCGCTTAGCTATTTTTGTAACCTACTCAGGGCAACACTGAATTTAAAGGGAGGGTGCGGTGAAAAAGAGAGTCGAAGAAAGGTAAACTAAACCCAGAGAGCGGCTTCATGTAATGCCCGCCTGGCTATGAAGTCCACACTGAACGTTAACAGACTCATGGTATAATAAGTACAAGGTAGTCTCGTCGGCTTTTTTTCCCCTATCGACACTACAATTAGAGCGAGAGAGAGAGTGTTTTTCTATGGGTTCGGGTCGATAGGGGAAAAAACCCGAACGATTTTGCAGCCGACGAGACTACCTTGTATAATTCTACCATGAACAGACTGAACCCGAACGATTTAGGAGCCGATGAGACTACCATATACTCATTCTGCCATGGCTCATACCAGTATCATGGACTCAGACCTCATCCAATCGTCGAGGAGATCGGGTGTGCGCGCATGCTCTGTGTATAATCCCAAGCCGATTTCGTGAATAGTTCTCGTCCTCGTGAACCTTCTTCAAACAACCTAAAAGGAAAACGGATATAAAACTCCTACGGTCTATGTGAATTTGTGTGTTTTGTTTACTTGTTTACCGATCCCATTGGAGAGTAAATTTCCTGTGTTTACCATAAACAAAGGAAACAAGCAGAGGAAATATGATAATTAAATTAACTACTGCAAACGGAAATAATTAACAAAAAAATTAACATTAAATGTGCCGATCGCGTTTTAGCCACGGTTTCGATGCGGTTTCAAACAAACGGTTTAAGCATTGACATCATTGATTTATTTCCCAAGTGTAAATAATTGGCACAATACAATACACCAAATTGCGGCTTTCCTCCCTCTGCAAAAACAAACCAATCAAATGCAATGAAATGAAATGTTGCCATTGATTTGAGCACATTCCCATTGTTCAAAATTGTTGGTTGACTTTTAACTGGGATACTTTAAGCTGGTAAGTAGTTTTCATCGTCGGCAACAATGGCTTCAATCGAAGAGCGAAAATCACTTGCGGAAAGCGAAAGGTTAAGCAGCGATCAATTGTTGCATTCTAAAATACAGTGCGGCCCCTTTACAGCAAACGGGGTCGTCGCAGCTAAAATAATAATGATGATGGAGCAATTTTATCCGGTACCTATTTGCTTTTTTTTGCTCTGCAGAAGGCCGCTCCTACTGATGATCTTCAGTTGGAACTTGTCTTGCATAATGCCCACGTTCGTGGGTAAACGATTCTGATATCTGAATATTTATAGAGGAGCTTTCAAACTCTTTTATAACTCTTTCCTTATCATAACAAAAGCGGCAGAGAAAACTAAAAATGCTGCAAAATAAATCAGTCAGCCAGCAGTCTATTAAAACGCGATTTGCTTTTTTGATGAGTGGCAGATAAGGCAGTAAATAGTTTGGTTTTTGCTCATTATGCCACAACCAGGTTCAAAGTTTCACTGACAAACTTATGGGATTGGAATTCCCAGTAGAATTCCGCTAAGCAGCCACAATCAATCAGTCGAATATGTCTCGATCTCTGACCATATAATTACGTATTAGAATTTTGCGGTTGAATCACAATCTACGAACTTAATACGTTCTAGCTGCCCCTTTCGAATCGTGGCTCAGATGCAGTGGCAGGTTCTGTCTGTGTCTCAGTCGGCATATCACCCATCTCGCTTTTGTCATTAATTTTAATTAGATATTTCCTTTTGGGATCCACTGCCTGCATTTGAATAACAATTGATCGGCTTGTGACCGAAATGTATTCTCCGTTTCCATTTCTTCATTGAAATGCCAAACCCTTTACGACAGGATGTCTTTGGGGTCTCTAGAGTGTCATTTACATATTCTCCGGATTCTATTGGCTGTTCGTCTTTGAATTTCGTCTGTGTTTTTGATTTTTTCAATGCTAACAACCCAATCAAAGTTTGTTTTTTGGGTATTTGTTGGATATGCTAATTTTCGAATGACTGTATTTTATTTTTATGTGGGCTTCATGTCGTGATTTCTTGTCTATGTGTGGACCGAGATGCATCAACGCATTTGTGCTGACTTTTGTTTTGTCTACTTCACCCATTAAGTGGGAATAGAAAGCCGAGATTCGGGTAGATAGCTTTGCATACATCGTCGACCTGTGTATGTTGACTATTCGGACTAACTGTTTCGGTTGCGGTTTTCACTTTCATTCAGCGAGGCGCTGTAACAATTAAAACGAGAGCTGCAAATCTCTTCTGTTTCCACAAAATAAACCAAGCCAAAACTACCGGCATCGATTTCGCTTTCATTTCGATCGTATTTATGATCTCCGGCGAGGGCAATTTGCACTTTCATAGAGCGCCTAATCGCTGGCTAACTTTCTAGAATTGATTTGCATAAGTGATTTGTCCAGTGCGGAGACTTTCGCGACCCCAATCTGCATCTCGATCTCAAGACAGCTGACATTCTAACTGTGAACGGCATACTATACACACTCTTTTTCAAAATGTACCCCAGACTAATTGCCCACTGAAAATGATGGGCAATTATCAGCTAAAATGGCAACAGCTGCAAAACAAATAGTACAGTGATCACTGAAGAAAACGGAACTGTATATATTTCGGTGTTTGGTGTGATGTATAAAGCGAACATGCTGACCCCGACTGCATAGTTTTTCAGATTATGAAATAATACAATAGTTTATTAGAATTGCCAGCCACATAAACAAACCAACGACCTTTTCTTTGGAAGTCTCTCAGGGTTCATAAAAAGAAAGATATAAACCCCAAAACAAACAAAGAAATTTCCATATTTATGTCAAGTCCATTAAGCATATTCTTAGCCAGTTGTCAGGCCATCTCGGCCGCGGTCTGGTCCATTTTGTTGGCCATGTAGCGAGCAGCCTCCGAGGCGATTAAAGTTATCAATGTCGGGGCTGCGCTTGTGACACTTGTGCACACATAATAATGCCCGACAAGCCGGGCCAATTGCCAAGCTGGGCTAATTTGTATTTGCCGTAGTGTGTTAGTGCCAAGAGAAATATTTCAGCTCGTAAATAACTCGAACAGACAGGGCGCAGGTGTTGGGAAACCACACAGCCAGTCAGGGGTTAAGGTTTATAGGAAAGCCACACTGGAAATATGTACAAAACAAACCTAATTTGGCGTCATGCCCGCAGGGCAAATGTTTATTCATAAAGGTTATTAATACGTCGAAACGTTACAGAAACTGAATTAAGGCAATTTTGATAATTATTTTAACCTTGCTGAAAAGAAGAGAAAAAATTAAAATATTTATTAAAATAAAAATGAATTTCGTAGATCTGCCTCCTGTGAGGATTGAACTCACGACCCCTGGTTTACAAGACCAGTGCTCTGCCACTGAGCTAAAGAGGCTCTGTTAAAATGCTGGCCAAAGCGCAATAGACTCTACCCCTGCCAGAACGCTTCTAACAGCTGGAAAAAGTTAACAGAACTCTTATCTGCTGTTAACATTTCGCATTAGCATCAGCCGAAGCGAAACAGTCAAAGCTTGAAATCAAGTTATTACGCGTATGGTATATAGACAACTATATACAGGGTGCGCCATCTCGAGCTTCGGTATGAAAATATTGAATAACTTTGGAAAAAAACAAAAATTCATGGAAAATGTTTTATGTTTATTTAGATTGATCCTTTACAATTCATTTGAGTTAGTTTTTGAAGGGTCTAGAAAATTTCTGGTTACAGCAGGACGGGGTCCCATGTCACACAGCAAACGAAACCATGCAGTTTTTGCAGCAAAATTCCTGGATGCGTTGTGTCAAAAAGAGGCGATATCGACTGGCCGGACTTGACCCCGCCGGATTTCTTTTTGTGGGGTATACATAAGCAAGCCCTAGACCATCACAGAGCTCAAGGAGAGTATTCGCACCGAAATGGCCAATATATCGGCTGATTTCTCAATAAAGTAATGGAAAATGCTCGAAAAAGGACACTTTTTGCCATCAAGAACAAAGGAAGTCACTTAGTCGATATTGTGTTCAAAAACTAACTCAAATGAATTGTAAAGGATCAATCTAAATAAATGTAAAACATTTTCCATGAATTTTTGTTTTTTTCCAAAGTTATTTAATATTTTCATACCGAAGCGCGAGATGGCGCACCCTGTACGTATTATAACCAGGTGTCATCTCCATTTAGGTAATTGAGCAAAATATTCTTGCATTGTTCAGCAATTTGTGGGCGCGCACTGAGCTCATCTCGCAACAATTTCTTAGGCGCGTTTGGAAATAAAATTAAAATATACAAGTAACACAAGAGGGGCGGATTGGATAACGCCCCCCGCACGATAGACAGAAATTTGATTTGATTTCCAAGCTATTGAATTTACATAAAACCAAGCATTTGAAGCGTGGGCAGATGTTTTCAACATACACGTAACAAACTGTCGACATCGGAACGGACTGCAGTTGATATATGGCTATTGAAGATACCAGATACCAGATCGAGATCTCGATCTCTGCTGATTAAAATTTATAGCATGATTCTCAGAGTCCCCGTTTGAATTCAAGTTAGAGCTGATCCCCCGGGACCTTGGCGACATCAATTTCATCCAACTAGTCATCATTTCGCGGCTTTTTGGGTCATTTTGTGTGAGATATCTCGGCTAGACCGGAAAATTCGCATCCGAACAAGTTTCACTTGCCAACTGAAAACCGCTGGACAGCGTTCCACTTGCGTGGCCATCAGCTTTGAAAATGCAATTTGCAGCTTGAATTTAGGAGTAACAGTAATACCACAATTCGCAGCTTGTTCTTGACTGCAAGACATTGCATTGCAGCGCTACCTTGAGTCAAATTGCTTCATAAACTCGGCTTTTTGTCAGTTTCACTCCTCTAACTTGACTGAAACGCCGGAAACGCGCTCAACATAAATGAAGTCCAAATGGAAATGATTACAGGGCTCACTCTGTTCTTTGGCTAATGGAGATGGTAGCGTGAGGTAAAGTGTGGGCTTTAAAATGTGTAATTTACTTTCAAGTATTTCGAGTGACTTCAAATTGCCAGCATTTCCCTAAAGACAGCTCATTTTTATAGAATATAGAATACGATGTTATTACGGTTTTAGCCTCATAGTTTGGGTTGAATTTAATTAGCTTAAACCAGCAATGTAGATCAGTTGCTCGAGATGGCATTTTGTTTAATTATATAGGCTTCCCTACCGAAACCCCTTCACGTAACACTCCCTAATGACTTGATTATGGAGTAGAGGGCACTTGTTCTTGGTCTGGTTGCGCTTCAGTGGCTTCAGAGCCCACATTTTTAAGACCCGGGGCCTGGGAAGCCGGGTTCTTCGGCTCCCGCTGCACTTGCTCTCGTTCCTATTAAATATTAAGACAGTCACGGGGAACCCTTCAGAGCTGGGCACGCAAATTGAAGAATAATAATTACATGCATATAAGTCTGCTCTCATATAGTATGTGTACGTACGAGTATACTTAACCAGTATGCTGAAGAGGGTTTAGTTGAACGATCTTCACGGTTGACAGACTTTTCCCACAGCCAATTGTGGACTGTAACTGACACTGGTGCAATTTGGCGAACGCTAGATACTTTGTAAATTCCTGACAGATTCCTCTCCCCAGTTCCCCATAATTTCAGCTCATTAGCAAAGCGTTCTAACAAAGTACAATCGGCCGCAAGAGATAGATTCAAATCCAGCTGCTAATGTGCGAGTACTCGTCGTAGTTCTCACTCAAAGCTCTCTAAGCAGGTATCACTCCCTTCTCCATTCCACAATTAAGCATTAAGGCGAAATTAGATTAATGATAGGCCCACATTGGGCAAGGTAACCCAACCTGGCCCGAAAAACTCGCACTGGCACTAGCACTCCCCTCGTCGCCTGGGGTTCTATGTATCTAGTTCCTGTCCCAGCACGCAAGCGGAGAGATAGGCCCCAAAAGATGGGGTTAGACAAGATGTAGATGGAGTTCTTAGCTAAATTTTGTAGAACGTCGCTTGCGGCAGTCCCAGCATGATAATTATTCCCCAAGACTAATGACTTGCTTGGTTTATCTTGAAGGCAAAAGGCGCAAGCCTAAGCCCAAAGCTAAATAGTACAATGTTAAACAGATGCTAGAGATACATATCCCAATTAGAAGTGGCTTTACTTTGGGCATTAAATATGTTATTGTATAAAGAATTAAGGAACTACAAAAATGTACACCATAGGCTTAAATTCACACCCCAAAACTCTGATAATAGCTACCTCTTCAGATAATTAACCGAAAAGTATTTCCAAACTTTCCCATCGAAAGTTTGCCTTTTAACTTAGCAGCTCATCGGTTATGGGTGGAAAACTTCTAGCAAACGCAATGTGCACTGCTTTTTCATAGAACTTGTTCTTCGTTTAACGCTCAATAAAAACCAAGTTAACGGTTAGCCCTGGGAGATACATTTTGTATGTCACAAGTGTCTATGACAATTGCAGTATGAATGAAACGCTTTGTCTTCGGGTGCCGACAAAAGGAAAAAAAAAACAAGGCAAACAAGTGAAAAGCCAGAAAAGAGGGAAATGAGCAGTCGCCGTTGTCTTTGCCGGCACATTAAGTAATGTGATCTATGCAACCTCATCCGCGAGATACAATCTCGAGTGTGTATCTTGCGGCTGTGCAGATCTGCATATCGAATGCATTTCTTTGTTACTCCGCCCGAACCACCGAAAGTGCGTTGTTTTTTGTAACCACCTCATTTGCATGAAAAACATTCCTTCAAACTCCTAAGTTTACGGATGTGCAATATGAGTGGTGAAAAGAGAACTCTGAGGATGGTTCTGGATGCCAGGGGAGTTTAATTAAAGCGTCTTCATCGTATCGCAAATGTAACGTGCCAAAGTTGTTAAGACCGACGAACCGAAAATTGCAGACCAATTGTTTTTGCCCTGCCAAGCGGAACGTGAAATTAAAGTGACTTTGAAACGAGCTGAGGTGTAGAACCGAATTGTGGGGCTGTCCACTTGCCAGCGATGGGTTCAAAGTTCACCAGTAGTTATGTAGTTATACATCACTGTCAACTTGAGGTCATGCCTTAAAGTATCTGTATCTCTTACTCCATTTCAGAGCTGCAAACGAACATTGCGAAGTCTTCGATCATGGACACCGGAAGTGTGGTTAGCGAACCGATTTCCGCGCATCATCGCGCCTTCGCCAAACAGAAGTCCGCCTCCATGGTAAGTTCCCTCGATTGCAGAGGAAAAACCTCATGCACCTATAGGCCCATTGTGTAAGACCTAACATAATTAATGCAACACCCATTGGCGGCGAACCGCCCTATTGTCTGATTCGATTATGTAAGTGCGCGAATACTATCTACGCTAATTAGATTAGACACGCACGGGCTTAAACAAGCATCGGGCATTAGGCATTAGCCATAAACCATAAGCTGCAAGCACTCACCCCAGATACTTTGCATCGCTACACGCTAGAAAGTTGTCGAAAACGAAAACGAAATTCGCAAATGGGCAAACATAAATCCCAGATACAAGCGAGTAAACACCGAATAAAGCCAAAGAAATTGTCCGAAGATTAATTACACTTCAAGAATATCATGCACGAAGTTGTTCATAAGCCCAAACTGCAAATTATCGGTTTTATTTGTTTGCTTAATCAAAGTAGGCAATGTTGTTTTATTTCACAGTGCATTTTAAAATTTTATAGACACGCCTTAATCCAAATAAATATGGATTAATAAAGCGTTAATAACAACATAAAACACGGACACGAATATGTTCAAAACAAATTACAACAATTAATTGCAAATCCATTCGAATGCATTTTTGAGCAACACTTTCACGCAGTTTCAAATGCAAAGTCATTCAAGCAGTTGCATTAAAACGTTTGGCAGTCCGAGTATCTCAATATTTTTACCAGATAATATCGTTTTTCCCATGTGAGGGAAGTGAGTGGAATAGGTAAGTGTGTGAAAAGTGAAATTACAATTCAATAGACTCACAAAATTCCACATGTGCCTTGAATTTCCTATTGTAAATATTAAAAGCGCAATGTGGAGTAATATTGCAAACTTTTTTTTGGCTCAAAGAAAGTCACTTTTGCACTTATGATTGTGGAAATGAGGTGTTTATGACCCCACTAATCTTTAACATTCGGCCATTTGAACCTCATCACTGGTGTTTTTCGGGCTAAATATATCTTTTGCGAGGAGTAGATACTGCCTGGCGAATTAGTAGAAAGAAGTCAGACGCCACAATGGAACTTTCACTCGCAGCCAAATGATTGAAAGCAAAAGTGAGTGACGAATATGTTTTGTTTGGCCAAAAATCAACAAACAGCATCGATGCGAATCATTAACTGGCAGGTGTTTAGTCATGGGCTTTGTGTAGGCGCATCAATGGTAATAGCAACTATAAATAGACGCAGTAAATTGGCCATAACCAAAAGGCTGAACAAACAACTCCCCCCAAATGTGAAGTAATCACAGGCAGAGCGAAACGCAATCGATACCTTTACTTTCCCTACCCAAAGACCCTACAAAAACCGCACCCTGAAGTCGGGTTGCATTACGTTCCCTTCTCCTTTCGCCAGATTTCCTCACCTCACCTCACATATACGGTCAATTAATTCCTTCCACAAAATTACACCAATTACTCAACGCGAATGCTAAATAGATTTCCCGTCTGAGCTGTTAATAAATGAAATCCAACTCGTAAGATATGCAAATTTATTTATGATCTGAGAGAAAAGTCAAGAAATCTATAACCAAATCCGGCGACCAAAAAAGTTCTCACGTTCACACGGAGTAGTGGACAATGTCCGGTCCGAAATTATTTCCCTTCTTAATAATTTCCTACATTTTTTCAACTACATTCTTAAGGTGGTAAAAAGTAGGGGTTGCATTCAAAGGGGTGCAAGAAAACTGCGTCCAGAAGTGGTTGTTGCAGTTTTGAGGGGCACATTAAGTAAATGCAGCTGAAACGAAACTTTGTAACGGATTTCGGTTTTGTGTGCTTAAAAAGATCCATTAAAATTATAGAGCGATGGAAGTACATCTTTTGCTCTGACTTATAAGCCGAATAAAATTCAAACCCATAAAATTAGTTATGTAAGTAGATGTATTTATGCATATTAAATCAAAACTACCAAGTAATGCCTGTTCCAATGATATATCTGGCAATACCTCCTAGATACACCTATATTAGCATTGAAATACTTGTTCTGCGAATCACGTAGTCCCCAAAAAGCTTTTGCTACGTCAAAGCAACAGGTTCCCCAAAAGCTTTTAGAGGAAGCTCCCCAAACACACCCTAATTCAACTCAGTAAAACTCAACACTTCAGCTGATGTGCCGCTGAAATTTTTCTGTGTGCACCAAACATTTGTTTATTATTGTGTAAATCGTTCATTATTTGTAAACCAATTCCGACTCGTTAGTGATATGCTTTACCTCTGATCAAGTGTTAAATTTGTGATAATCGAAAGACTGTAATCGAAACATCAACAAAAAGTGCTCAATTATCAGTAATTTATGGAATTGAGAACTTTATCAGATTCGAAAAGCCAGCTCAATACTGATTAACTATAAATAAGTTGGCAAAACAGAAGTTATCAACTGGAACGTTCAGTGGGTAAATAGAAACCCCAACAGATTCCAAGCAAGCCCACCAATTACACCCGAAGTCGGACGAATAGAAACGAACCCCAAATAGATTGAGATACGAGTGGAAAATGCGAGTGCTTGGATCCAGTATGCTAACAGCCCTCAAGCGGCTCTCAACCCAAAACCCCACCACCTTGATCGGTAATATTCGGCCTATGAGCTCTATTGGAACCATGAGTCTTCCCGAACGTCAGCCCTTCTCTCCGGACTTCTTCTTCCGTCAAGTATGTAATCATCTCGAGTGTTATGAAATTTCATAGTGAGATTTTTACTGTTTTAATCTCAGCTGTTTGATGGAGAGAGTAGCACCTATAGTTACCTCCTTGCGGATCTGAAGAACGGAGAGGCAGTGATCATTGATCCTGTTTTGGAGCAGGCAAAACGCGATGCACAGCTGGTGAAAGATCTTGGATTTCAATTAAAGTACGCCAGTAAGTGGGATAGCTATCTATTTACGGATGCGTAGATAATTTCACCATATCATACATGTATTTCCCAAGTCAATACCCACATGCATGCGGATCACATAACTGGCAGCGGTTGGTTGCGGAAGTTGACGGGCTGTCAGTCGGTCATTGCCGCCGCCAGTGGAGCAAAAGCGGATCGCCACCTGAAGGAAGGGGATCGCATAGATTTTGGAACCCATGTGATAGATACTCTGGCCACTCCGGGACACACAAACGGCTGCATGAGCTATGTGATCAAAGATCAGGGTTGCGTCTTCACGGGGGACACCGTCCTCATTCGAGGATGTGGACGTACTGACTTCCAGGAGGGTTGTCCGCGAAATCTCTATAACAACGTGCACGGCAAGATCTTTACTCTCCCGGAGAACTTTCGCATTTATCCGGCACACGATTATAAGTGAGTGGAGTCAATATATCGGATATTTATCTTTATATAATCTGATTATCGTAGAGGACAATTGGAAAGCAGTGTGTGGGAGGAGAAGCGTTATAACCCCAGACTGACAAAGGATATAGAAGAGTTTGTCAAAATCATGGACAATTTGAATTTGCCATATCCCAAGAAAATAGGTTTGGCCTTGAATAATTTCTTTTAAATTTAAATAATGAGACAAATGCCTTTCAGATGTCTCTGTACCCGCCAATCGGGAGTGTGGGGTGTACGATATTCCCAAGGAGTAAGAAGACAACCCGCAGGCAGCTTATACTATAAGTTTCTCAAAGAGATGTGTAATCTTTAAAATAAATATGCATACATTACTTATCAAGATAAACCCAAGACTACATTACTTCCCTGACTTCTTTGTGCTTAATAAGATTAACTCACCTCTTTGTTTACCTTCTTTTGTTGCAGACCATTCTCAATCCGAAGGGTTGTGGCAGTGCTGTGAAGTACAGTCTGCACTCGAGTGCAGAGACGAACCAGGAGACTGCCAGTACCACCACCACCACCACCACTTCCCACTGTTCCACCACCGGAAGACGGCGAAAGGGTGGCTCTCTGGGCGGCACGCTCTCCTCGCGATCCACGCGCAGCGAGTCCAAGGAACTGAGATCGGCTCTTCAGGATCGGGAGGCTGTCATCCAGAATCTGCGCATCCAGCTCTGTCTGGGCAAGCTGCCACGCCCCACGGGACCGCCTCTGGACGAGTCCGAGAAGCCGGCGGCCGAGCAAAAACTGAACCGACTGAAGGCTGAGGCGGAGAACAAGCGCATCAAGATCAAGAACCTGAAGAGTGCCCTGGAGAAACTGGACATTACAGAGTGAGTACAGGGAGACCCCATCTTTAAAGCAGTTCGACAATACTTACTCCGATTTATTTGCAGCAACATAGATATCCGCATCCGTCAGGCCGAACTGGAATATGCTCTTGGCAGGGAGGAACTGCAGATGCTGTCGATTGTGGAGGAGGCTCGTGCCTTGCAGGCCCGCCTGGAGAAGTCCAAGCCGGAGGCCCAGACCCTCTATAACATCATCAGTTCTGGAGTCGCCCTGAGTCTCCATGCCGTGCATGCCACCTCTGGAAGATGGGCAGCTCAACAGAGAACAGATCAGCCGGGATTCTATGTGGAATGGGCCTTGGAGGGCGATGGTCTGTACAAGGGCGATCGCATCCTGGAGATCAACGGACGTTTGGTCACCGGAAAATCCAAGGAGGAGCTGCAGAAACAGGTGGGAAACTCCGGCAAGTGTCAGATGGTGGTGCTGCGCAAGAAGTCCGTTCCCATTCCGCAAAAGCAGCTCGATCAGGAGAAGGAGAACAACATGAGGCTGCAGCACCGCATCTCCTATTTGGAGGAGCAGGTGCGGGAGCTCCAAACGGTGAAGGAGAATCATCCCTCCCAGCAGCAGAACCAGCAGGCACACCAGACTTCATCCAACCAATCACAGCACGTGACCAGCATCAGCATCTCCTCACCACCGTCAACTCCGCCGGAGAAACCCCTGATATTCCAGCGGGGCAACTACATTACCACTTTGGTGGGTGGCAAGCCCATCGAACTGATGGGTGACGATCTAGCCGCTACTCAAACACCACCAGGACATGTCACTAAGACGCTGATCAAGGAGAATACCCACATCGATCTGAGGGATCGTCTGCCGCACATGTACTCCATGCCCTCCAAGTCGCTGTCCGCCTCGAAGATCTCGATAAATAGCGATTCGGCCTACATGCAGCACCATCGCCGTGAGAAGGAACGGCATCGGGATCGCCAGCACAGGGAACGCCCCAGGGATCCCCTCCAGCAACAGCAGCAGCTTCATCGCGAACATCTCATGAGCACGCATGCGCGAAGTGTGGAGCATCTCAATCATTACAATGGGTAGGTAGCAAAAATAAGAGAAATCATTTTTAATGGTAATGGTTTTTATAAGGTTTAAACTCAAAAATAGAACCAAAAGATCTAACTTGTTTTTAAGACACTCATAAATGTCCTAACCACTTTATTTCTCCTTTGATAAACTTTAATCAACCTGGCTAACCTCTACCTTTTTGTCTATTTTAGACTGGATCGTCGTCGTGATACGCCCCGTCAAAGTGAGGCCCATACCCTGAAGGCCCGTCTTCCGAGCGATATGAGGAGCGTAAAGTCCCTCGACTTCGATAGCGAAAACGAGGCGAAACCCGCGACAGAGACGCGCACCACTCGACCCACTCCCCCCAAGAAACCCCTTCGACTGTCTTTGCAGAGAGCGCAAAGTCTGCAGACCGTGGAGCTGCATCCCTGTGCGGATCTCGAGAGGAAGCGACCCATGAAGAGGGTTCACCACAACAACAACAGCAAAAGTGGAGGATCACCCACGGACGAGGGCCAAACCATGCTGATCGAGAACTGCAGTCCGATGCACACAGCCTCTTTGGGCAGACACAAACTCATCTAGGAACCCAATCCAACCAAATTTAGTGTAAATCGAAGTACTTTAAACCTCGAACGTCACCAGCTGGCGATTGAGTTAAAAAACAGGCGGACATGTGCAAAATTATAATTAGGAATAGCGTTATTTAAACAAACTCCCAAGAGGATAGTACTCTTTCGCAGCTGTAGTGTTGCAATTACTTACTTAATAAGTTTAAGTAGGGCTTGGCTATTAATAATTCAGTGATTTTTGTATGTACGTATGATGATTTTATTAGCACAATTTAATAATGTGAATACACGAATATTTTCACCTAATCAATGTGTGTTTTATTTAGAGTATTGGATCACGGCCTGCTGAAAAGGTTGTGTTTTTGAGGTAACGTAATCTTCAAGCCTGCCAATATTTTAAGCCATTACTGTTGGCACGAGCCTGGGGCACTTTTCGTGACGCTACGGCGATAAGGTATTTGAATGAAAAGCACGTTAGCGTGTAGCACTCAAAGTAATTTTAAATAATTTTTATTATATAGAATTTATTATATAATATTTTGTTGGTGATTTAAAATATTAAGTGGGTTGTTCAGGACAATAGATATTTAATTCTATCTGTTAGGGCTCAAAAATAACATTTTATCAATCGTAGTAATGTTGCGAGAGAGCGAGAGGTAACCTAATCGCAAGATAAACTGGAGAGCGCGTCTCTCTCCCACGCGATCGTGCTGACCACCCACTGCATTTTGCCCCGCTCTGCAAGATAGCGCGCTCGGTGCTCCATTCTCCGGTATCCGCTCTCCCAAAATATCCCCCCAAAATTCTCTCCGCGAGTCGACCTGCGATGGCAACGCCAAAGCCTCGGAACAGTTTCGTAGCAATTCTCCAACGGTAAAGAGGTGCAATCGCTTTATTCTCGCAAAAAACAATTACTACCCAATTATTAAATAGTTGCTAACAAGGTGAGTGCGCAACTGGCAGAACAAAAAAAAAGAAGAACAAGGGCTAGAAATCTGGAATAAGGTCAAGCTGAAGTTGAATTGTGTAATTAAATTTGAATTTATTCGTTTGCTCGATTATTAAAACCAGATATAGATATATTACCTGGGATTGCGTATTACCAAAAACCAGTTACCGCAAAACGCAGTTTATTTCACGTATTTATACCCTCGCTGAGGGTAGTGCAACTCCAGACAGAAATTTGAAACGTAGTAAAGAAGATCCCCAAAAGTAAATATATTCTTGGTCAGCATCAATCTGTGTTTACCAAAAACCTTCTTGCAGTTAGGACAAAGGTAGGAACAACTATATCATAAATCGGTTATATAAAATCAGAACAATAATAATAGGATAGTAATCTTAGTTAGTTTAGAAACTGCAAGGGTATTTAAGTTCCGTCTTGCCAAAGAGCCTTCTTTTCTTGCTTTGATTCTCTTTTTTTTGGGCAGCGTTCGTTGTCCGCTTGCCCTTGAGTGGGTTAAGGTAACCAGTTATAAATCCCAAAGTGTGAGTGGGTAAAACTGCACTTGAGTCCGGATATGAATAATATATTTATTGCTTGTCGGTTGCAATGAATATATTTCACCGTTTAAAGCTTTAGCAAAATTCTCTTCTGTGAAGAGTTTGTCGAACAAGTGTTTACAAATTCCTATCTTTCCACGAGAATTTTTGCCTCATTCTTATCTCAGAACTGCAAAGTTTCAGCGTCTAAATTAGATGCGAAGTCATTGAATGAAAAATCAAATAATCTTTGGTTTATTGTTTGCAAATTTATGATCATATTGTTCAGATAGGGAGGGTCTCATTAGCATAACATTACCCAGCACTTCGACTTCAGCTGAATCCAGACCCAGGAATTATTTTCAAATCAATCATATTCAGTCAGCAAGCAAAAGCCCTAATAGACCGTATTTGGTGAACAAAAGATGGCAATTAGTTGCAATTTGCGATCCATATCGTGACAACTTGAACCAGTTTAAGTAGGTCCCAAAAAATACTTTTGGTACCGTAATCGCACTTCCAGTTCGTCAGATAGGGCCAAAATTCAGTCGTGAGAATCGTAAATTACGATAAGAATTCCTGTTGAGCAGGTACTGACCGCTTTTGAAGATCGTCTAGGAACAAGAGTTTTCAGTACCACAAGCGTGTGGCGAACTCATTGATAAGGTCTAGGGAAACCGGACCCATAAACAAATAAAACCCTAATAAACTATGACACCCATCCATTTCACCCGAGAGCAATTCATTTATCGGGCATTGGAAGCAAAGTGCGTACGAAAAAGAGATTGTTGATTGACCTTCTCCCAGCCACACTTAACCCTGTGAAAAAGGCTGTTTGCATTTAGTTTCGTTGGGTATCGTTTATTCACACACATAAATATTACCCGTTCGCACATCATATATGACCCACAAATCGTTTCATAAATTGAGGCTAGGCGCTTCAATTCCGTACACAACTGACCGCTTTTAATGGAATCAAGTGAGAGTACACCTGATGACGTCCAAGCCAGAGATGAGCTGGAATCGTGGACTTTGGGATTATAACAAAACACCTAAGTAGCTTGGTGTGAAGAAAATTAGAAACATTTGGAGAAATATCTTTGCAAAGTTCCTACTATCAAGAATTTATACATTTTTAGATCTTACAGATATGTAAGATAATAGATTGGCTCATCACTAGTTGAAATTTGTCGAGCCTGTGCCACTAAATCTAATAAAACATATTTATTTATAGTTATACCCCACGTGCCTAATGTAACATTGCTTTCGTTTCAGCTTAAACATGTTGCAATATCTTGTGGTAACCCTGGCACTTTGTGCCTCAATCTGTTCGGCCGCTCAAACGGTAATTTTGGAAATCATTTGACAATTTCTTTACCTACGAATTAATACTTTTATCTTAAATGCAGCGCAATATGCCCATTCAAGCCATAGCTTATGTGATCGGACCCGTGCAATCGGATAATACCCAGGTAAAGGGCAACGTGACCTTCACCCAGAACGACTGTGGCCAGAATGTCCATGTCCGCATTCAGTTGGAGGGATTGAAGGAGGGAAAGCACGGCTTCCACATCCACGAGAAGGGAGATCTGACCAATGGATGCACCAGCATGGGTGCTCATTACAATCCCGATAAGGTAAGTGGATGATCCTTTTAAATATTTATAATGATCGTATGATACCTAATCGATTACTGATCATTGATTGATTGCAGAACATTTTAAAGGATAACTGATTAATAACTATTTTTATACCCAGGTTGATCACGGTGGTCCCGACCACGAAGTGCGTCACGTTGGTGACCTGGGCAACCTGGAGGCGAACTCCACGGGCATCGTCGACATCACTTACACGGATCCTGTGATCACTTTAACTGGCAAGCTGGCGGTCATCGGCAGGGGAGTTGTCGTCCACGAACTGGAGGATGATCTCGGCCTGGGCAACCACACGGATTCCAAGAAGACCGGCAATGCAGGTGGCCGCATTGGTAAGAATTCAAATAATTCATCTCTTAAAAGCTCAAAGAAGTAATGAATATTCTCTTCTTTCTTGCAGCCTGCGGAGTTATTGGTATCAAGTAAATATCCCTTCCAAGGCGACAGCCAAACCCAAATGCTGCTCGAATATATTTTGTGTAGTTATGTAACCCGAGGCCCACTCACTAATGAAATGTTTTCCCAGTTTTCCCCCCCTCAGTCACTCACCCTACACCCTACACCCTCAACATTTCCCTCAATTAACTGTCTCAGTTCACTGACTCACTCGATTCCACCTTTCTCCTGTCCTTTTGTGTGTTTGTGTGAAATAAAATCAACAAAAATTAACCGAAATCTAAGCTAAACATTAGCATACTATGTATGTGCCACTTGTTTTCCACCAACTCATTCATGGCCTAAACAAACTGCCTCACTTCTCTGCTGGGGTTGGTCGGCTGGGTAGGTATGACAAAGGGTTTCCTACCAATCATTTGTACTAACATCATTAGCATTAGTGGAAAGTAATGGAATAACAAACGACCGCTGCAATCGGAGGGTTTCTAATCCACCCACGAAGGCTTCAATCATAAGTGTCCACTTACAATGTGTGTTTTCCAGTGCGCCAACTGTATCTGCACCTGCACCACCAGCACCACCACCACAACCACAACAACCACAACCACGTCACCAACCACTGTACTATGTGCCCCATGAGGAGCCACAAGATCATGTTGTCTATCCACTCCAGCGCTATCCATACCCATATCCATATCCGCACCCATATCCATACTCCTCCTATCCGTATCCGTATCCGTATCCGTTTTCGTATCCGCTTGCGCACCAATTGCATCTGTGAGATCGCGAGACTACACCTGTTCGCCTGTTCCGCCTCTAATTGCAGCTCGGATGTGGACGAATGGCCATGTCGCGACGGTGGCGCCGGCGCCCTCCGCTACTCCTTCTCCATCCTGACCGTCATCGTGGCCCTCTTCATGGCCCGCAGCCTCGACTAACCCACTGCACCCGGAACTGGATCGAATGCGCATGTGGCATGGGACAATCGGTCATCGTAGAGACTCCGCATCCCGCATCCTGCACCCCAGTCACACCCATTAGTCACACAAAACCACACTAACTATAATACTCCAGCAACAACAGCATTATCCACCCAAAATATTAAACCTGAGGAACTAACCTAACTAAGCTACTTGTATTATGTTTGCATCGATTGATAATAAAGTTTGTTATTTGTACTTGGGTCTGTGTTTTTTACGTGCTAAGATAATACAGAAAATTAGGTACGTGTACGATAAGGCTCACTTATAATTCCGAAAGGAGATTGTACAAAACCACTTAATTGTGTTGCTTTTGGATTACTTTGGTATTATACAATTATATATATATTTCCTTCCTACCAAAAAGGTTAAAGGCAAAAACCTACCAGTCACCATTCTGTGTGACCCAAATAAGTAGGTTAGCACCTTTGGTTATCAGGAAATCCATAATCTAAAAAAGTCCCAATAACGTCACCAATGCGCTTAATATTTCTTAGCTACCTATTTCTTTATTCCAGTAATATAACTCCCCCTGACTTCTGATTGCTGAATTCTAACTTAGGGCCACAATTTGCTTTGAATTGTGAAGGCCTTCAGCAAATGTTTGCCCTCCAATCATTCAAAAGAGAATCCTTTCCCCAACTACGGTCAAGCAACAGTTTTTGGTTTTGTTTTTTTCGAGATTTCTGTGACCAGATACGACTGGCCAAAGAATGGGTCACCCAGCGGGATTCCAGTAACTCGGGGCAATAATTCCCGACACGCAACATCAACATCACCCAAAGACTGCGGCATACTTCTAGTCGTCTTTAATTATTTCGCACAGACCCAACGAATTCGAATTCGGCTTCTTGGCGAGGAGGCATTTACAACTTTCCTTTTGCCTTCGCACGAAAACACGCAATTAATTTCGCCTTGGGCCCGGTCGAGTTCCGAGTGCTAAGTGCTGAACTTTAAAGGGAGAACGAACACCAGACGTGGGTGGCCAGTTGAGTTTTTATGGTAATAAGTGCAATGACCCAACCGGAGGACTTGAGGTGTGGCGGTGGTGCAGTGAGGTAAGCCTCGGGCGACCCACAAAAGGCAACCAATCGCCCCGCCTTTCGCTTGGTCAAAGTTCTTTGGTATCGAATGTTAAATCAACGAAATGGGTTATAGGGCAATAAGCCTACCCGGGAGTTCCCACTGGCCCTTCCAACTGGCCCGATCCCTACTCCGGTTCCCGTGCCTAATCATGCCTGGCCTGGATTCGAATCGGGCCTCCAAGACTTTCACTCGCTTTTACTTTCTGCCACCCCATCCGTAATCGCGGGATCCGTTGCCATCGCCAACCCCCAAAGTGGCCACAACAGAACCGGGGCTTTCTAAAGCCCGGCCGGACCGTCGCTCCGGTCAGTTCGTGGCTCAACTTCAGTCCGGCCAGTCGCATCGGGCGATCCCAAGCTAGCTATCTCCCATTATCTCCCACCACAACGGTTCTAAATTCGGATTAAACTGAAACAAAAATAAGTTTGAAGAGTGCTCAACAATAAAAAAAAAATCAAAATGCGTTCGTGCGGTCCGAGCCTAATTAAATATGTCCTATTTGCCTTTAATGTTCTGTTTGCGGTAAGTGAGGATTGAAATAGTGAAAGTCACATCTTGGAAAAACAAGATTTCATTAAAAAAAAAAATTCTTAATAAAAAAGTATAAGTTAAATTGTTATTCAATTAAGTTTTGAACTAAACTTTCATGAAGTAAAATATTTTAAAGATTTTTAAAAAGGATACATATCTTAAGGTAGATATTATAAGCTGTATAACAAAATTCCAATTCAGGACGTGCCAAACTCTCCTGCAGATTTATTTTTCCCACACTAACATCATTAGCTAATCCAGTAATTTTCATATAATTCGCCATAATTAACCTTAGTTAAAGCACTACAATTACGCTTGTACAATGAGTCTTGTTCAGGTGCCTCGTTTAGATGGGTATCGCTGGAAAATACCATTTTCAGTCGCAATCGACTAGAACTCCCCCCATTCGGTAAACGCGATTTGACTGAAACGACATGCAAGTGATGTATGCGTGCTCCAAAGGACATGGACATCGGGTGTCCTTCGCATTGACCAGAACCAGAGCAAACGGGCCACCTTCAATGACGACATTGACTTGAACACGGAAATTCCATTGACTGAGTCGCGGGTGATTTTTATCGTTCAATTAGAAATGGGAATGTAAATACAAATGCCCGCTCGAATTAGAACTTGATTGCAAGTCATTAACTAAATTGTTTTACGGATATATTGGAGGTCGATTCGATTAATCAGGGGGATCGAATTCCTTACAGATCTCCGGCCTGGGAATTCTCATAGCTGGAGCTGTTGTCCTCGCCGATGTGAATGAGTTCAATCACTTTGTGGAAGGCCGAGTCCTTGCTCCACCCATTGTCCTCATAGTCACGGGTTTGGTTATATTCCTGATCGCTTCCCTGGGATGTTTTGGCGCGATCAAGGAGTCGCCAACGCTGCTTCTAACGGTTTGTTGTCTATAGAGCTTCTATAATTTGTATCAGATCACAAACCCCTTTAATTTCTTTAACAGTTCGCTGTCCTTTTGGCCGTCATCTTCATCGTGGAACTGGCAGTTGGCATTGCGGCGAGCGTTTTTAAGAAGGATCTCGAATCGATGGTGAAGAACTCGCTGCAGGAGTCCATCAAGCGTTCGAACAACGAGGATACCATGGCCTGGGACAACATCCAGCAGAAGCTGATGTGCTGCGGAGTGGATTCCCCGGCGGACTGGAGGACCCTCAGTGCGAACAAAACCCTTCCGGCCAGCTGTTGTCAGCCGCATGTCATCGATGCCACCGTGGGACACTGCCTGGACTCCCCGGCTCTTGGCAAGGACAAGTTCTTCCAGGACGGCTGCGTTGGCAAGCTGAAGGATCGGATCGAGAAGAACGCCATCATCCTGATCGGTGTGGGCATCGGCATTGCCTTTATTCAGATTCTGGGCATCGTTCTAGCCTGCTATTTGGCCACCTCAATTCGCCGAGAGAGGGCCAAGTAAAATCCATCGAAACAACCATCGAAATATTGTGTATCTATATATAATTGATAACTGTTTAGCCCTATTTAGATGAAGTTCAATTACCACTGAACCCTGCTCAATTTATAAATCAAAACTAGAGGTTTACAAAAAACGCAACAATCGTCATCAAATTTAAAATATCATTACCAAATTATCATTATTCCTGATTAGGAAAACATCTGGATCTCCCTGAATAAAAACCAAACAAAAAATGTTCTTATATCCCAGCTATTACCAACCAAATTCAACTGGTGTTGTAGTTTTCAACTTACTTAATAATAAAATCCCCATAGAACTATCTTTTTCATAAATTGTAGTGAATGGAAACCCAATCTTGTTACATTGCTCAATAAATATTACTTTCAACCAAATCGCGGTTTTTTTGGGTGTCTTCTAGTACTCTTTATTGTTTGGGTTCTACATTCTGATGCGGTTGCGATTATTGGCCAGGCTCTGCGTCCACTGAAGCTTGAGTCCCGCCATCCAATACATACGGATTTCAGTTGGGTCTACGGTTTGGGGGTACCATCCTACGACTACGGAGTGGACGCCGATGTGGTGTCTCAGCGGAGTGCGATTGCGGATTAACGAGTGCTCGACTACTGCTACGTCCTCTAGAGGCAAATGCAATTTAATGGTCGCGTTCCGTAACTCTGCAACTGGAACTGGATTCCCTTCCATCCGGAATCTTCCTACTTGCTCTGCAGCAGAGCCTCCGAGAGACGTTCGATGGCCGTCCCCGGATGCTTGCGTCCCTCCTTCTCGCCGCTCTCGAGGATTGCGGCTGCGGCGGCTGCCTCGGCGGCCTCCGCCTCCTCGAGGACGCGGGCCTCCTCCTGCTCCCGCTGCTTCTGGAAGTGCCGGAACTCCGTGGGCGTGAGCATGCCCCGCAGCACCGTCTCATAGCTCACACTGACCCCCTTGGCGCCCATCTTCTGGTGCAGCTTCCAGCACTCGCGCTCCTTCAAGCTCCGCACATAAGCCGGATAATTGTGATCCGGCTGCGGCTGTTGCTCCTCGCAGTTGGCCGCATTGTTGTTGTTCTCCTTCTTGGCCTCGTCCGGGGAGAGGGTGGCGTCGCTTGGCTCTCCACCAGCCTCCTTCTTCGGCGGCTGGTCCATCTTGCCCTGGACCTCGGTGAGGAAAATGGAGACGGGCGGCGCTGTCGGCGGTCGATTGGCGCGAATTCGGGCTGCCAGCGGGGCTATCGATCCGCGGCGGATCATGTGCGAGTACTCCTTGGAGGCCAGTTGGAATGTGGGCGGATAGCTGTCTTGAAACGAGACTGCCAGAAAGCTTTAGTTGCGTTTCAAACAAAGTATTAGTTCTAAACGCTACAGGAATAACTTATTGCGAACAAGAAAGGAAGCTAGCTTCGGCGAGCCGAAACTTATATACCCATGCGGTCGGACAAAATACATAATGGTTAAACAAAATCAAAAATCCGAAATGAAGCTATTTGGATAATGGTCTATATGGAGCACTTGGAAGCCCATAACTTTTCCTATTGATGTCCGATTTTGGATTGGTATACCTTAAAATGATTGTGATGTAGTCCCCTAAGAAACTGCATCCCTAGTTTGGTTTCGATTTTTAGGTAAATTTGTTTCAAATTCTCAGGTGCCAAAAAATAAGAAATTAACCAATGATGCAGCTTGTTAGAGAATTGAAATACAAACATTAAGAGATATGCCACTTCAAAATCGGATTAAAATTGACATTTTCCAACATTGACTTAGATGAAAGCAAGGATAATAGATATTCTGACCATTATGCAACCCAGATCTTGAGACATACCCGATTTGCCCGTCTTTCGGAGCAGCGGCGCCCGGCGCTGTTTGTCCGGACCGCCGGACCCGGCGGGCGGCGGGGAGACCGCCTTCGAACTAGTGTCCTCCCGCTCGGAGTCGCTGCCCTCGGAACTCAGCAGGGAGACCAACGTGATGACATCGGGGGCGACAACGCTGCGTGCCCGATTCAGGGACTTCTTAGCGGTGTTTCCGTTGCCGGCGGAGGAGGCGGACACGGATGCGGATGCGGCGGACGACGAGGTGTCCCCGATGACATCGAGGGGCACGGACGAGGGCGTCCGGGCGAAGATCTTGCGGCGACGCAGCTTCTGCTGGCTCCTCTTGCTGGCGGCTAGTACGCCCTTGCTGCTTTCGTCCAATCCGCGGACGGGAGCGGACATAGCACGCACCAGGGGCGGACGCCTCTGGACGGTCAACGCCGGCGAGATGGTCAACGGGATCTCGGGCGTCTCCACCGGATGGCTTCCCTCGATGTCGCTGGCGTGCTCCGCTTCCGGTTCGTGTTCCTGCTCCGGATCGTGCTCCCTCTCGTTGGTCGCCCTGATCGTCTGCGAGAGCACTATATTCAGATTAATCCGATTCTTGTCCGCCTTGGCGCTGCTGCAATGGGATAATAAAAATGGCAACTTCGCTGTAAGGTGAACGAAATCGAAACGGAAACGGAAAACGGGGAAATGGAAATGAAAGTGGAAAATGGAAAGTTTCGAGTGACCTACTCGCGCCGCCACCTGGCTAAATTTAAATCAAATTATTTGGCATTAGTTGCCGGGCAATTTATGCTGTTCTCGATTCCGAATCATGCAAGGCACAGAAATAGAAATTAACTTGGGAGTTGGGAGTTGGGTTTCCACCCACGCCCACGCCTATCCTTTCGAAAAAGGAAACCATGTCAATTACGTTTGGCAATTGGCGCCCGGCGAGCACCGTCCGATGAAAGTGAGTGTATGAATCTGCGGGTCATTGAACCCCATGAACAGAACAGCCATCAGCCAACCATCGTTTGGGCCAAGTTTTCAGCTTTTTAGCCAGCTATCTTGTCAGCGATTCCGAGGCACTGATCGACTTAAGTGTGCCGCCAGGCGGTGCCTCTGGGTGGTGAATGGAGTGGGTGGTGTTTTCCAGGCGAAAGTACCTGGCTCCTGGCACATGGCTCCTCATTTCGAGCATGTCTAGCGTGTGTTATGCACTGGAACATAAAACTTTGACGTTTGATTTCGGGCGTGAGGCATGCAAATTGCACACTGAGAACTTGACGCGACGCCCATATCGAAAGTGTCACTTTCGGCATATTTATATAGATGATATCAGGAGAGCCATTATGGCTGGAGTCGTTCAGCTCATTACGAATACGTATTCGGTGAGTGGAACCCAATACGCACCCTCGGCTGACACCAAGGTCAAACAAAAGGAAACCACTTTGGGGTTTCCATAGGTGCGACAATCTACGATATATTTGAATAAAAGTTGAAACTCTTCGTTTAGATAAGCGGTTAATTGTTTTGTAAATGAATTTATAGCTGAAAGTATTTATGAATCCTCTCCCCGATAAGAAACTTTTACTTGATGTTAGGATAACTCACATCTTTCCATCCACCGGAGCAGTCGGCGTAGTCCTTTCTGGTTCCTGGTCCTTGAGCAACGACGAAGTGGAAGACCAGGCCACCAGACTCTTGTCCCTAAGCCTGAGGCCCTGGACCTGCGAGGCGGTGATGCGGGGAGCGATCCTCGGCGTGGCCTCCTCGACGGCCAGAGACGTCTGCCTGCCCACGGGATAGAGCTTCTGGCGGATGTTCTCGATGGACCGGCCCACGGAGAGACCCCTCGAGAGGTAGCCCCTCTGCTGGGCCGAAAACCTGGACGTGGGCTCCACAAACGAGTGCTGCTTTCGCACCGACAACGGCAGTTGGTAGCGACCACCGGAAGTCAAGGATGAGGATGAGGATGGGTTCGCGCCGGACGATGGAGCGTTCGTCGTCTGGAGGCGACGACGGCTGGCCACAGACAGCGACATGGCGACAATGAAGTTATCCCTGTTAACCTTGATTAGCAACGGTGGCGATGAGTGGTTACTGGTTTGGAGTGGAGTGGGCTGTGGTTCGCAGACCGTGGAGCTGGGACTTCCCAAGCAAGGGTGCCTTACGTTTCAATTGCCAATCAATGTGGCACATCGAATGCAAATCAATTACGAAGTCATTAAGCCAGAGGCAATAACTTTGTCAACAAAGTAGACGGCGACTGAAATGGAAACCCAAAGCGAAACCCTAACGAACCGACAGCCGTACTCCGTGAACCGTAGACCGTAGACCGTAAACCAAATACCGAAAACCGTTAACCGTCACGAAAGCGAAAGCCAGTTTCGGGATGCGAAAACCCCTTTCTGGCCGAGATCGAGGTGGCTTCCACGTCCACTTGGCTCGAATGCCTTGCACCGACTGCGTTTTGTGAATGAAGAATTTCGGACTCCGAACCGGAATCGGTACTTTTTGTTTTTTTTTTTTTTTTTTTTGGCGAGAAGGGTTCGTTTATGTTGCCAACAAACAATCAACAAAGTCGCAACGTTGGCAAGGAGTTGCCTGTTATGCTGGGCTCTCTTTGGAGCTCAGTTGTTTGTTCCATTTCCTGCTCACACCCACACGTCAGACAATTTGCACTGAAAATAAATAGGATACCCTAAGGAAATTAAAAAAAAAAATGTATTACTCATTACTAATGATTGTCAACAGATGTGGATAGAACCATTAAATCACTTAAACCTCCCAATAAAAGGAATCCATTATACTATTTATTTAGTTTTTGTTCAGTGCACCCATCTGTCCACCTGCCAGCCCAGGATTTAGCCAGACCCCCCGTAAACTCGTGCTGTTCCGATGGGTCTGGCAAGTTTTCGAATGCGACTCAATGAACCCGCACGAACTTTTGTTTTCGTTTACGAGCCAGCCAAACGCCTCGTAATCGAAAGGATTACAGCATTTTTGGCAATATGCAAATCCGGCCATGAATGAATGAATTTTTTTGGCAAAATAAAGATGGAACGGGAGGAGGGAGGAGAAATGCGTACAAGTCGCTCAATGTCAGCAAAATATTAGATGCAAATTCAGTTGTCACAATATGGGTATGAATATCTCCGCTCCGGATGGGATGGCAAGTGAAAAACTTTCACATTTGTGACAATTTCAAATTCATCAAAGACATGCAAAGTTTGGTGGAAAAGTTCCGTGCGCGGTGGCAATCAAAGAAAAGTAACGTACATAGCAGAACGGAGCCGAGGCAAACACAAACACAAAATGGCATAAAATCAAAAAAAGCAAAACCAAATCAAGCTTACTTCAAGGTCACAGCCACATCAACCGAATATATGCCTGTTAGCCAAAAGTATTTATACGAAAGTATCCGATTTTCTGATTGCCAATAAAATGTACTTAAAACAAAGCTGAAAGGCCAATTCTGGGTGGATGGGCATTAATCATTTCCAGTCAATAGTCAATATTTACGGCTTGACTTTGACGACGCTCCTTGTACCGATCGAACAGAAAGCCGTATTTTCGAATTTCTCTTTTTCTCTGGCTTGTGCCATTCAAAATCAATTACAATCGAAATGCCGTACATTTTTGACGGATTACCGAATACGGAGCGGTACGAACGAGAAACTATCAGACAAAAACTTATTGTAATTAGAAGAGGTGTTGGTACCGAACCACTGTGTCTGGAACGGCCTAAACTTACATATGTATTTTGATAACTGACTTCCCTTACATAACATAAGCTTGTTCAAAAACCGAATTGTAAGAATATTTGAAAGATGAAAAGGTAAGTTATAATCCAATGGGAAATATGTACATATGTCAATAAATAACATCATTGCTAACATAGGGTATCTGGATCCGGAATTTTTTCTGAAAATAAAGGTTATCTAAATTTGTAAATTAGTCTGATCATTAAGTCTAACCAATTTCACCTTTACTAACCCACAGGATACTCTTTTTACTTACAAGTGGAAGGCATTTATATCCTTTTTTGGCAGATCTCTTTATTTATCGATAAAATATTTTTCAACAAGTAATCTTTTTGACCAATATATCAAAGCACTTAAAATAATGCAATTGTTGAAATTCATTGTTGACTTAAGTAAACTTTTGCAATGGTGTATTTTTTATAGCTACTTTAGCTATTTTTTAAAAGATAGCTTGCATCCCTGGCTATCACAGTGTGACCATCAACCCCAAGAGACTTCGGTAATTTTCGGAGCTGTCAAGTGACGTATGTTGCTGTCGTGGCGTTCGTTTTCGTTTTCAGAGAGAAAGAAAGTAGCAGGCCGCCGAGTTGAATCGCCGCTGTATTCCAAAAACTAACTGATTCCTCAATAAAAACCACCTCAAAAACACGGCCACAATGTCCCGTCAACTGTTTGCCATCTGCCTCATCGCTGCCGTTTGTGCGTCCGGCGTCTATGGAAGCTGCAAGGCCACCGTGAGCTCCTTCAGCACGCAGGATGCCACGATTCTGACCCAACTGGCCCATGTGGGCGAGTTCACGCTGCAGTGCAGCGGAGCGGCACCCGCTAGCCTGTTCGCCGAGTTCCCCTGCGGCAAGGTGGTGCCGGTGGCCAAGGTCGGCGATGACAAGTATCAGGTGAGTTGGTAATTCCCTCCATAGCTTGACCAAAACCCTAATCATTGACTTCTGCAGGTGAGCTGGGTGGAGGACATCAAGCAGGGTAGCAGCGGCAACGTCCAGGTGCGTCTCTTCGACGAGGATGGCTATGCCAATGTGCGCAAGGCCCAGCGTGATGGCGACAAGGTTTCCTCGGTGAAATCCCTGCTGGACATCTCTGTGCCCACCAAGGGCGCCTACAAGGGCCCCTGGATCAAGGCCGAACTCCTGGCCGCCTTCCTGGTGGGCGGATTCGCCTACTTCGCCTTCACTGCCAAGGGCAAGGTGCAGTCCTAAATAACGGATGCCTTCGTCATCGATTCCTTGAATGAAATTCATTCGCACTAAAATCATGTAGCATCAATTTGGCCGGGTCCCACTGAGATTTTTCCACATTTTGTACACTACGCATCGGAGCACCCGCCGACCCCAAATAAACCGATCAATAAAACTGGAGCTTTCTATTTGAGATTAATTTAAGTTTAATTTAGAGACAACTTGTACGAATACGCTTAAACCTGACCGGCGGAGGACACTCCATTCATGGTCGCCTCCTCGTCAGAGGAGATGTCGATCATGCTCTCCACGCGCGACGGCGACATCACATACACAAAATGCTCCGTGGAGCCCTCGGGACCAACTGGAGGCGGGAGTATGACCACAGAGCCATCCGGTGGCGGTGGCGGAGTATCTATGCTGCAGTATTTGAGATTCCCGGCCCCACCTCCCCCGAATCGTCTGGCGGTGGTGCACCTCCATTGCAGTCAAAGTTCTCCAGTTCCAGTTCCAAATCGCTGACAATTCGCATGCAGCGCATCTTGGCCAGCGACTGGAACTTCATGGGCATAGCACGCACCTGGCGCGCCAGGCTCAAAAAGAACAGTGTGTTGGCGTCCAGCTCCCGATTCGCCTGCAGCACGGCCGACACGTCCCAATCACTGGGGAAACGCGGATCGCAGATCTTGCGCGTTTTGGCGGGCGACGTCTGCTGTTGCTGTTGGATTTGTGGCATCTGCATCGGCGGCTGTGGCTGCGTTTGTACCAAGTTTGCCGCTCCGGAGCAGCTGAGATTAATGGCCGCGGTTTGTGGCGATGGCTGCACCCTTCGCACCTTGGATGCTGGCGGCGCTGGAGGGGGCGGTGTCGGAGTTGGATTGCCCACGGGTAGACTGACTCCCGGACAGCTGCCATTCATGCGACTGGCATTCTGCACCTGGTTGGCCAGGTTCTGGAACAGTCCCAGAGGAGCGCCCGCTGCCGCAGCGGCTGTCAGTTCCTTCTTGAAGTTATCCGCAGCCGCAAAAAGATGCGGTTCGATGATTAGGCAGCCAACATTACTGCTTGCTCCACTCGAGGAGCTGCATCCCGGAGGGGTAATGGTGGGCGGAAGTGGGAGTCCAGCGGCTACTGCCGCCGCCTTGAGCGTGGCAAGCGGAAACATCTGCTGGGCCAACCCACTCACACCCAAACCCATGGGCAGGTGATTGGCCAACGAAGCCAGGGCATTAGCATTGGCCTTACTAACGGGGGAGATGGGCAGCGGCAGAACCACGGCGGAATTGGAGCCACTGGTGGCCGGTGGGGTCATCGAACTAATCGGAGCTACTGCAGCGCAGTTTAGACTGCCGGTGGCGCTGCCGTTGCTATTGCTATTGTGGATTTGCGGTCCTACAGCTCCGGTACCACCTCCTCCTCCTGTTCCTCCACCGCCCAAATTGCTGCCTGGTGAGATCATATTCGGGGGCGTGGCCACGCCCAGGCTAGAGGTTGGTGCGGTGGCCGAAGTGCTGCTCAGTGCGGTCGTGTACGTGTTAACCGTGTGCGTTCCTATGGATGAGCAACCCGCTGAGGCGGTGGCAATGCTGATCTTCAGCTCATCCTCTCCACCATTGCTGGCCGCCTTGGCCAAAACTTGGTAGCCAAAATCGCACTCCGTATCGTCCTCATCGTTGGATTTGCCATTGCCATTGGCGGAGTTTCTGAAATGGAGTAGGTCGTCAGTTTGAATTGGTTGAAATGCTTATCATTGTAAGGGAAGTACTAACCTGCCCGGTCCCTGAAATGGTTTAAGGAAATCCATGTGGTCGGCATGCGCCCAGTACTGGTACTTCTTGGACGTTTTGGTGCCTACACGAAAAGACCGGAGATATTTTGTGTAGCTGTCCCTCAAATTTTTCCATTTCCGCTTGGAGGCCTCTAAAAATGTAAAGGAAATAAACAAATATAAACACTTTCTAAATATACATAAAAAAAAAATATTTTTTTCAATCATTTTTATTAATACCACTTTTAAAATAATTTAGTTAAACATTTCTTTTATAGGTACAAAATAAGCGTTTTCAATCATTTTCATTATTTTATTGTTTGATAAAAGTGTATATATTTTAATAAGTTCTTTTACCAAGCCCTTTTTTTTAGAAAAATAATTTTAAATTTCCGTTTGCCATTTCTTAGGAGTGTGGCCGCATTATGAATTGAATAAAATGCATTTTTAGGGATTGCTACTGTCCAACAGTACCACATTATCACTTCTCAATAAAAGCCCTAAGCCTAAAGTCATTTCAATTCTGAAAATCGTTCGACGCGAAGCAGATTTACGCAGTTACAAATAATTTGAATTGGACAGCGGAACACAGAGTTAGTGTCAATTAACCAAACATTTTCTTCTTGGTAAGTGATTTTAAATATATATACATATGCAGCTCATTGGGATTCCCCGAATTCCATCGTTTTAAGCTTAATGTGCACATATTTAAGTCTAAAGTTCATATGCATAATTATACCTGAGCGAAGTAATGCGGAAAATCGTTTCGGAAATATTGAATTTAAACTTCTGGGATGGAGGAAATTTTGATTTAAAGGGAAATGCAATATGGATAAGCATGACAATAATGCCGGCATTGCAATAAAATAAATCTAAAGTGTTTATGCAAGAGAGTGGGAAAACGGCTTAGAGAGAATAAGAGCAAAAGTAAATACAGGGTGTGGAAGTCTGAAATTTTTTTTAAGTAAACGGAACTCTTTACGGACAAAATGTGTAAAATACGTTTAATAGAAAAATACGTTTTTATAATTTTTTAAACCAAAGTCGGATCACATAATTTTTATTTTTCGTAGCACAGGTGGTTGCTTGTTTTGGTGATGAATTCACACCTGGCAATGCTGCCGCAATGTTTTTGTTTTGAAAAGCTCTTGCTAGCCCTCCCACTCCTCTATCTCTCTCAGCATCAGAGAGCGCGCAGTTTTCGCTCTTTGACTGTTTTTGTTTGTTTTTTCTGCGTGCCAGTGTGTTTTCCTTTTTATTTTTTTTTTGTTTCTGCTTCTCGCTGCAATTTGCCGACCGCACTCCAACACAGACACACGTACGATTTCTATATACATATATTTACCAGCGTACGAAAAATATCAGGCCGGGCGGTTTGAGTTTGGCCGCTTTCAGGTACATACATATGTATGTACATTTGTATATACTATACACCAGTGTGCGTGGGTTCTACGTAATTCAATTTCCTACGCCTCCTTTTTTAGAGGAGGGTGGTACGGTATTGGGGGTCTGAATTATTGTTACCTACCTACTGAAAGACCTATCTCATCGGCGATTTGTGTCCAAACCTTCAGCTTGACTTCGACGTTCTTGTAATCCGGATTGTGATTGTTGTAAACGACATCATATTTCTTGACGATCTCAATGAAATCGGAGGTGTTATCTGACGTAGTCGAGGATTCGCTGATTGCGCGCGCCACTTTCACATCCTTCATGCTAATAACGGTGCTTGGCAAGCGGTCTTAGGCTCCTTGTGCTTTTATTGTTGGAGCCTTTTGCTAACAGTACACAGTGAGAGAGAGAGAGAGCGAGCGACTGAAAGAGCGGGCAAACGAGAGAGCGAGCGCAAAAACAGCCAACCGTCCGACTACCGTTCTGTGTGCGACCGCTCCGGCAAACGTTGGACACTTGAATGAAACGACGACGACGACGACGCCGCCGACGAGCTGCATGCACACACAAGTACGCTCCCCATTCCACCGCTCCCCCTTGGGCACCCCTCCCACCACCTCCCGCCGCGCGCGCACACTCACACACATACAACAACAAAAAGCGGGGCCCCAACAACAACAACGAACGTCGTTGGAGGACGTGTAAAGAAGAACAAGAACAAGCAGGCAAGCTCATCATGATGAAAACGAGAGGGGGTGGGTGGAGGGGTCGACATGGGCGTTCGCACCGCTCCAGCGTTAACCGCCCACCAGGCAAAACCAACAACAGCAAAAGCAAGCAGCCCTCTGCTGAGTTGCACTAGTATTTAGTATGTGTGTGGTGTATGAATGTGTGGGTTGGATACGAAAACCAAGCGCGACAAAATTGCGATGCTGCTGCTGCTGCCCGCACTTTGTGGCAGGCTAAATCTGCTGCAAAGAGCTTACTTAAATGCATTTTAAAATGCAGAAGAAGAAACTGTTGATTATCACGTGCCGTCAAAAGCCAAGTTCAAGGTCATAACCAAAGATATATCGGAAGGATATCGATAGTAACTAGCAGGGAGAGAGCGTAAAGAGAAAGAGAGAGTGATCTCTGCCTTATCCTCATCAGTTTGGCTCAGAAAAGCTTTTTGTACCGCTAGGATAGCAGTCTCTAAGACAAAGAGAGCGATGGGGCAAGGGGGTTGGGAAAGTGTTTTTGGGAAAAGTATGGGGTAAAGAAGAGCAGGATGAGCATGACAGCAGAGTGGGCGAGCCAACACACTGGCGTAAAATTTCAGGGGGTTACCTTTCTTATTTGATTGGAGATTTAGGTATCTGAAGGTTTTCTAAGAACATTGCGAAATAATGTATTTATTGAGTTTGGAAAAAACTTTTTGAACAATCATTTTAAAGAGCCCCTATCTCTAGTTTAACATCTCCTCCCCCTTCTTGGAACCACGCTTCTGGCCCAACCAAGTGGCTCCATCGATCCGTCTCTTCTGCCCCTCCCTGTGGGTTCCCCTTCTTCATCTTCTTCTTTAGCTGCTGCTGCGACTCTGGTTTTGTTGTTGCGAACCTACGACCAGTTAACTTACCTACCGCTTTGGCTCCTTCAAAACGAACGTACACATACACATCAGCACACTGGCGAATATTTAGCCAGGCGACGACGACGGCGCCTGTACATCACTATGTATGTGAGTGTGTGTATTTCTGCGCTTTGACTGCGTGTTTGTACGTTTGTATCTCTTCAGCTTGTGCGAGTTTTTTGTTGCTTTTATTATAAGTATTTTTTCGCTTTTCTCTCGTCTCGCCTCGTCTCTCTGCCTCTACCACTTCGCCTCTCAGCCCGCCCCCACTCTCACTCACAGCAGCGACGTCTCTGTGCCCCTCCCCTCACACTCTTTTGGCACAAGTCCTGGCGGCCGGCTCTCCCCCTCCCTCTCGCACCCATAGCTCCCGGTTTGCCAGTTCCAAACATCATCATCATTGCCATCATCATTATTACCATCAACAGCCAGCCCCCAAACAGCAGCGCAGCAACAACAACAGCAACAACAAAAGCAGCAACAGCAGCAGCATTTTGTGGAATGATGAAGGGGGAGCGGAGGGTTTGCTGGGGGACGGGTAGTGGGTCGCTGGGCGTTTTTGGCGTTCGACGGCGAAGGCCTGGCTGTCTGTATGTATTTTGTGTGTGTGGGCCGTTCGTTCGCTGTGTGTGCGTGTGTGTGTGTGCATGCTTGCTGCTGCTGTGTGTGTATGTGTAGCTGTGCCGCAAAAAAGAGAGTGGTACAGGGAAGGGGGGCGGTTGGGGGGAGGGCATGCCTGGAAGGGGACGGACTATGGGCTATGGTCTATGTCAGTAAGCTGGAACGGAGCGAATGGTGAAGGGGGGTGGTGAGCGGCGAGGAGCGGCCTACCGCCGCTGTTGTGTTGTTGTAGCTGGTTGTTGTTGTTGCTGTTTCTGTGCAGTTGTTGTTGCCTTTCGCAAATCGATAAACGATGTCCGGACTGCGGAGTAGGCGAACGCTTTGCGTGTGCACATATGTATGTATGCATGTATATACACGGATGCCTATATAAACAAAACATACACCTATATAAACATTTATAATATATACATAGACACTGGTGTGTGTGTACATAATGTAGGCGATTTTTATATGAGCACCGCCTAACGGAGTTTTGATGCAATCTGCAACCAAGTACATATATACTTCACAACCTGACCCCCCGGAAACTATTTTGTATTTTGTGTTGACCAAACCATTTGGCTTATTTGTATTTGAATAGTTCTTATGTAATTTAAAGACTGTTAAAGCCGTATTTAATCGCCTTTGCACAAATTCTTTATCAATTAGTTACTTTTGTATGCGCAGTGCCCTTATATGAATAAAGATTAGCTGTATGCTGTAATGTATTTAAATTCTATTTATTTATTTCCTACATCATCCTTATAATTTGTTTTTATGTTCTTAAACTTCTCAAATGCAAAGACATCAGTTCAGCTTTAATACGGCAAAAATGGGTGCATTTGAACAACATTTAAATGAAATTGCTGCTGAGCTTTACGGCCTACCAGTCCATCAAGATTTCACTATTGTCAAGAATTTTGTAATGGACCTGGTAAGGGAGAATCGTTTGCTGAGCGAAACATGCCATGTGGCAAGCAAAGACTTTGGTAAGTAATATCAATATGCTTGAAGAACAACAAAAACAAAAGCCCCTTTTGGGACCTGTAGGCAGCAAAGCGCTTGGAATCCAGCGTCCGGGAAGCGATTTTGACGTGATGATCGTTCTTGAGTTTCCATACTATGAGGATATATTCGTGCGTCCGGATCAGCATCGTCCGGGGATGGTGCACTTAGACTTTTATGGTCTCCCCTGTAATAGTTACACGGAGGACAACCTCTTGGATCATCGCTGGTACCTTAAGCGCGAAGAGGTGCAATCATGGATGCAGGGCATTCTGACGAATGTCCACGGACGCTCTGTGAGAGGCCAGAACTATCAATATTATGAACTACGGTACCGTCGTGGAACCAATTGCCACACTATCACCGCAGAATCAAACGATTATGTGTTCTCCATTGACTTTGTGCCGGCGATAAAGATTCATTTCGATGAAAGCGATTGGGAGGCGATTCCAAAATGGGCGCCAGGACCCAAGCGCTCGAACCCTTGCACCTTTATGGTGAGCGATGTTGAGGAGGAGATAGATCGCTTTAAGCTTGGAGGTGAGAACATCCGAGATGCCGTTGTGCTGCTCAAGGCGCTTTGCGAAGCCAAGAACTTGCCGAAAATTCGTAATTACCATTTGGTTTCCACCGCCCTCACTTTAATGGACAATGAGGAGGTGGAGGATTGTTCGCTGCAGTATGTCTTTCTTACTGTACGTATTTCTACAATATCTTTAATTTATCTAAATGATTTTTGCCTTTTTTTTTACAGCTACTATATGATCTTATCGATGCTTTGAAAACGAACGATCTCTGCTCTTATTTCTATGACGAGCTAGATCTACTCACAAATTTTAATTCAGAGCAGCTAAGCGAATACGCTAACATTTTAAACAGTGCTTACAGCACCCTCAAAACTTATCCATATCAGTACAAGCTTTCATATGAGCGGTGCAGTTGGCACTTTTTGGGCGACGATGACGAGGATGAAGACTAACTCCCAGTTTCAGTTGTTTAACTTCCTTTTTTTTTACATATTTTTTATTTTCTATACCCTACGAAAAAACAAAAGATTTTAAGAAGTTGATGGCACAACAATATTACTGCATTAAAATGTTGAAATTAAAATTTTAATTCGCTATTACGCAACACCTTAAGTGAAAAAATATCTGGATATTTTTGAATAAGAGCCGAAAGATTTCTTGGATTTGATTATGGATTTAATTTTTGAACAATAAAGAAGTTAATTTGATAAGTGGACTTGGTTTGTTTTTGTTTATTAATGTGTGGTGTTTAATTGAAGAATTTTACGGTTAATCCATGTGGGTAATGGGACCCACAGGTCCTACAATATCCACATCCATGCCCGACGTTAGCTGGCGCTCTTTGATTTGCTGCTGCTGAAATAGCAGCTGTACCAGGATTATCACGTAGTTGGCCATGCCGTTGTACACCTAAATGTAAATCACAGGGAAGGATAAGAGTGGCTTTACCTTGTTTTACCCACCAGGAAAATGGTCGAGGAATTCAGTTTTATTGTACTGCCCACCAGGGCTGCCTGCCGATTGTGCATGCGCCAGTGTTGAAAGTCCTCCGTCTGCCGGCGGGCCACATCCTGTCCGGGAAAGTATCTCGAATAGTTGCCCAGCAACTGCATGCAGTTGCGCTTCTAAAAGAAAGACAGACGTTCTTAACCCAAAGTAAAATAATATTATTCCCAATGCACACCTCCCTCTGCAGCAAGTAGCCATAGGAGCTGGTGATGATCACCTTGTAGGTGTGTATGGTCACGTGTAGCAGCATGAAGGTGTACTCCAGGTCCCAGGGCTCTCTGTCCAGCATCTTTTGGCAGATGACATACACGAAGCAAGTCATAATCGTGAAGTCATAAAAGATGCCGGCGGCAGCCGCAAAACCATACACTCCATTTAGCTCTGCCAGAAGAAAAGAACAACGCTTGGACATATCGAACAGAAATGAAATCCTCTCGTGAACCTCTGGACTCCCATCCCTTTCGTAAAGTTGGCGGAGCAACTGCTGCACCAGTCGCAGGCGCACCCGCAGGAAGTCCATGACTGCCACGTGAACAAAGCCTATTAACCCCAAGGAACTGGTGAGTAGGGTGTACATACAGGCCATAATCAGAGTGGACGGGATTCCACAAGTGCAACGCGCCGTATCAAAGATCAGCGAAATGGAGAAGCTGAAGAAACAGAATCCCACGATCATAGTGCCATACCAATATTTGAAGCGTGACCTTTGATAGTTCCACTGCACCTGAGGGAACACCTCCAGGACAGACCGATCGAATTCCTGCATGCTTGCGACGAGTCGGATGTGCCTGCTTCTTTGGCTGTCTAGCGACAGACAGTATTCCACGTAGGTGATCGAACAACTGAGGCACTCCCATGAGAATATCGCTTTGACCAGCGGGCTGAGGTGCCCAAACATAGCAGCCGCCATCTCCGGATCCCTTAGCTTCACCACCACGCTACCCAAAAAACAGGTAACAATTAAAACTCGCGCCGATAGGGCGTAGGCCGTCGTCCACCGAGACGAGGCAGCTCCTCCATGTTCAGGATTCTTCACTTGAAAAGTCACTAAGCCAAAGTAGAACAATAGGCTAAATAAATTTCCGTAGCAGTAAACAAAGCCACCGTTGCGCTGCATTGCCTTGTGAACTTGAATTTGGTCTGACCAGAGCCGTACAGAACTATTTATTCCCGCGCAGGGGTTAGTAATTATTGATTACACATAGATATGATCGGACTAATTGAATACATCGTTTTCGCCGCCTCTACATGTCTGGTTGTTATACATATTAAAACCGCTCAACCTTAAACAAACGTAAACTGGCGGGCTTTACTGCGGGAATTCGAGTTGGCGGTGGTGTTGTTGGCGGAGCTGTTAGAGTTGGGTGCAGTGCGTCGCAGCGCCTTCTGCAGGACATGGGCGTCCGCCGGCTCAATGCGCTTGTAGTACTGCTCCTTGGTGTCGACGATCTCGAACTCGAATTTCTTGTAGAACTCAATGGCGCCGTCGTTGTTGATTTGCACATGCCTAAAATGGTTGTTTAGAATTTTGATACCCTTTAAAGTGTTCTTGGTATACGAATTATAAATTATCTTACAGAAAAATGCTGTCAAAGTTCCCGTCTTTCTCGGCAAAATTCATAATGTGCTCGAACATGACGGTACCGATGCCCAATCGACGATACGGGGAAAGACATCCCAGAGTCATTATGTACAACCTCCGTTGGTTTTCAGTGGTGTCGATGCGACAACACACGGCGCCAACCACAATGTCGTTGTAGTAGGCCAATTTGGCCAGTTCACCGGCCTCCAGGACATCCACGTAAAACTTGTCGTTGTAGGAAACCGGAAAGACCACCGTATTGAGCTTCTTAAGCTGCTTGATGTTGTGTGGCGTCACATCGCCCAATTCGATGCTGTTCCTGCGCGCGGGAAGCGAAAAGAAGTGGGTTAAGAGACACTTTTAGGTTATGATTCTGTGGCAGCTCCTGCGGGCACAGTCTCCCAATTAGCCTCCTTGGATTCCCACTCACCTGGTCATGGTGTTCGAAATGTTATTTGAGCTTTATCAAAGCGCCGTGCGCCTAAAAATTCTTTTAGAAAAATGTGTTTTCAGCGCCACAGCTGTTCTGATTGTTCAGGTTACTGGCCGCCGGTTATCGTTATCGATTAGTACCGCAGGCTTTAGACCTGTCCAAATAGCTTTAAAATCGATCATAATTTAATGGTTACAATTCTAACTTAAGGTGTTTGTAGAGTTTACTTATATTTTTTTATTACATTTAATTTGTTATAATCAGTTATCAAATATACATCCTTCGTTATAAAGTTATTTTAAGTATTTAACATGAAATACCCAAATAGTATATTTTGTATTCAACGCACCGGTGAGAAATCCCCTAACGCGTTTTTCTACTAACAAGAAAATAAACAAACGGAGTCAAATTTATTTATCCGTAGAAATCAAACTTTTTTTCGTGCAAAATGAATCCGAACATGAACATGATGCCCATGTCGGGACCGCAGATGATGCAGGTGATGCAGTCGTCGCCGTCAGGACCTCCTGGACCTGTGCCCGTCCAGCATCAACAGCAACAACAGCCCCAGCAGTTGCAGCAGCAGCCGGCCGAAAAGTTGGACAACATATCCCGGGTTAAGAGTCTGCTGGGTCCTCTGCGAGAGTCCATGTTTCTCACTATACGGTCGAGTGCCTTTACATTGCAACAGAACAATCTCGCGGATAACTTGAAGAGGGACACCGGAGCTCACCACGTACCTCGATTTGATAAGCACTTGGAAGACTTTTACGCCTGCTGCGACCAAATCGAGATTCATTTGAAGACAGCTATGCAATGCCTTCAGCAGCAGAACTCCTCAAATCATTACCTCCCAGGACCGGTTACCCCGATGCGCATGGAAACCTTCATGCCGGATAACGCCGGCCCCATACCTTATCCTACGTACTTAAATACAGTCCGGGTACACGTCCAGTCGGCCAAGGACATCCATGATACCCTCATCAGCGCTGCCCAAAACATTTCACAGGCTGATTGATAGTTTGTGGGGCACTAGAGCTTATTGTTTAGCATCATAAGATTATAATTAGAAATAAATACTGAGAAGAAAAAATGAGTTAGTGTTTCTAACATTTTTCCAAGCACATTTTGATGATAGTCGAAGTGGGGCTTTTATGTATAGTAAAATTTAAATGTAACACGTCTTAAAAAAAGGAATTTCGTATTTGCGTTTACTATTAAAAAATATTAAAAAAAAATATAAAATAAATATTTTTTTGGGGACAATTTTCAACATCATGTGAGTTGTATATTGCCAGTGTGAACGCTCTGCTGCAGCTGCGCTACTGCAGCAGTAAAATCGAGTCACAAATTATCGATAGGCAACAAACGGACGTGTCAAAATTAGAACGCAAAAGCAAAACACAGCGGTGCCGCGCATTTATTTACAAATAAACTAGAGGTAAGCCCACGGATCTTAAACAAATATTGCTACTTGTTTAAAATAAACGTTTTCCAATTTCTAGCTTAAAAAAATAGAGAAAATGGCAGATGAACAACCCAATCTTGTGGCTGGACACCCACCTGCATGTAAGTTATCTTGCAGTTGTGTGTGTCTGTGTGCTGGCATGTTGTGTTTTTACGCTTTTTTTTTTTTGAGAATCCAATAAGAAATCTACGATTGCCCCGTTGGCAATTAATAAAGCACCAAATCCTATCAATTGCCACAATATCTACAAACCTTATCAGTATCTTAACCTGTTTCGGCCAAAGCTGATAAGTAAACAAACAACTCGCACACATACACACACTTAAAGGCATTGCTTCCAAAAATAATTTTCACTTTGTGCTGACGTCAGTTGCATTTTGACCTAAAATGTTCTATACCCTTGCATTGGAGTTTTAAATGTTAGTCAGCTTGCTTAAATGAAGTAAAGATTGGTCAAACTTTATATATATTTTCTGACCAGAGCCATTAGATGCCCAGGTTTCATTTAAAGGTTGGCTAGTTCAAGCCAACTGTTTCTGTTAGCCTTATTTTATAACCTTAAGATAATCATTAATTGCTACCAATCAATAGAGTTAGACTACCTCCTTAAAAGTGTATAAAATATAGGGAATATTTCCTATAATTGACATAATTACTAGTTGGTCTTCACTTCTATTTGCCTTATTTGACTAATTAATATTTCGTTGTCGTTTTTGATTTCAGTGAAGGCAGGAGGCATGCGAATTGTGCAGCACAAGGCGCCCACGGCCGAGCGTGCGCCCAAGGACGCAGAGGACTGCACTGGACTTACAGTGAGTCGTGCTCTAATATAATTTACTGAGAATTGTAATAACTTATCTGTTACCTACAGCAACCCATAGCCGTGAACTCGGGATCGGTGAGCGGTGCTCCCGTCAAGGGCAACACGGACTTTACGCCCGCCTCTGCCCAGGTGGCCCACTCCCCCAAGCCCCCGGCTGCAGTGCAGCAGAAGCCCCAGATCCACATCCAGCAGCCACGCAAGTGATGCGGACTCCGGCCGGCCAACTATTATGAATTAACCTAACCTTTTGATCTTTTGTTAAAATCCATAAGTCCTCAATGGTATTGATGTCGCCTGTGAAAGCGATAACTAATCTGTATGCATTTGCTAGTTGCATTCCATAAATGAATTATGCTGATTCTCTGAGTTTATATTTTGTAATAAACGATATCCCTTTTTATATATTTCACGTATTTTGTTTTGTTCTTTTTTTTTCACTTTAAACGGAAGTAAGTTGATCTGTAACCACTCTTAAAATTCCCAACTGCTTTTTCAGCACAGCTTGCGAATAAATAGGGTACCTTTTACCATGTCGAATGCCCCACTGAGCTTCGGTGGTCCGGGGTGCGGACTTCAAATCCGTAGTCGATTAGCGTCGAAGTGGTTCGATTCCACCTGGGGGGCGGGGCGAGTAAGTGTTCAAGCTTGAATTTTGGATTTTTAAACATGCTTTTTATTTTGAATAGCCCGTTTATATGGCATTCGCTGCCTTGACAATCCAGGACCGTAAGATGGCCACATCGGCGTAGACACCGGGGTAGTTCTCGTTTGCACACTCGTAGCCCCAGGATACAATGCCCACCAGCTGGCTGTTGGCCACCAGAGGACCACCAGAGTCACCTGTGCAGGCATCCGCGTCAGTGGTGGCAGCACAAATAGTTTCCTCGCCCACAAAGTCAGCACCGTAGCCATACTTCAGTGAGGCACACTCCGCTCGATCGATGATCTGCAGCTGGGCCTTCTGAAGGGTTTCGGCGAGGGCACCATTATCCGTATTGCCCCAACCGGTGACGGTGGCCGTTGATCCGGCGGAGGGACTCACCCTGGCCAAATTAATGGCTCGCGTAGAGAGGCCAAAGGTCAGTAGAGTGGAAAGACGCAACACAGCAATGTCGAAGTGCAGGAACGTGGAATCAAACTGCTCGTGGACTTTGTACGCCGCCACGGGAACCAATGTTCCGCCGTAGTTGTGGTTCTGTGCTCCCACGCGCACCTTCATCAGGGTCACCGACTTCCCGTGCAGACAGTGTCCAGCCGTGATGACGATCTCCTTGCTGTAGATGACTCCGCCGCATTCGTGACGCGCACTGATCTGAATGGACACCTGCCAAGGGGCGTTACGAATCACCTGGTCATCGCCGCCCACTATCCGTCCACTGGCGTCTGCACTCGCCGCCTCTCCGAGGAGCAGGAGGACCAAAACCGAAACAACTAAGCCGTAAGCAGTCATGTCGAAAGCCAAGTGCAAACTGCTAGTATCTGCCCATGAAACCACTTCATGACGGGACTCTTCGCTGGGCTGTAAAAGTAATCGCCGGCTAATAGCGGCTTATCGCAGGTATTATTGATACTCCCGGAAAGCGTTGGCCTGCTCTACACGAAGCAATATTGGTCTTAGACCAAAACCAGGTTGCCTAGGTAACCTTTGTCAAACAAACTAGTTTCCAAGATTGGAAACTGAGACATACAAATTGAGTTAAAAGTAATCATCATGGAGGAATGGAAGATAACGCCCGAGGAGATTATTCGGCTGCGGGACAGCTGCCTGAAGTGCATCCGGGATGGAGAACTTTATGAACTACGCAATGATGCAAAACTAAGGGCTGTTTATAGCACTCAAAGCTACGAGGAGTTCAAGTAATTAACTACAAATTAAAAAATTCAGTTTAATAAAAGCCTTGTACTTTCAGGGATATTGTAGATGCTGCTCATCTTCGTCCAGTAACCAGGAGTGACAAGAACAACGTCCAGACGAAGAGCCGACTTTGGAACTCGGCCGCCCGCCATTAATGATTAATTGTCCCACCCAAATAAAAGCTGAAGCACAGAGTTATACTCAAACTCGTTGTATTTTGCAAGGTTCTTAGGCGTTGTTGATCACCCAGGAGCGGAGAGCAGCGACATCGGAGTACACTCCAGGGTAGTTGGAGTAGGCGCATCCGTATCCCCAGGAGACAACACCGACGAGGACTCCACCGGAGACCAGTGGGCCACCGGAGTCTCCCTGGCAGGCGTCCTTGCCGCTGGCAGCAGCGCAGATCATGGTGCTCTTGATCTGGCTTCCGTATCCGTAGGTGGAGGAGGCGCACACCGACTCGCTGACGATGTTCACGTTGACGTACTGCAGCTGGGTGGGGATGGAGCTGGATCCGTAGGACTGGGTGCCCCAGCCGGAGACGGAGGCAGCAGCACCGTTAGCGGGGTTGGAGCTAGCCAGACCGATGGCCTTGATGGTGGAGCTGAAGGTCAGGGAGCTGGCAAGCTTGATGATGGCGATGTCGTTGACCATGGTGTTGGCGTTGTAGCCCTCGTGGTTCTTGAAGGAGGAGACCTGAACGGTGACTCCACCGGAGTTCCAGTAGGTGGATCCAGCGCGGATCTGAAGGACGGAGGCGGACACGGACTGCAGGCAGTGGGCGGCGGTCACGATCACGTTGGACGAGTAGATGGATCCTCCGCAGGAGTGGCTGCCACTGCGCTGCAGGGAGATCTGCCAGGGGAAGCTGCTGATGGTGGTGGCGGAGCCTCCGACGATGCGGCCATCCAGCTGGGGCAGGAGTCCCTCGGGGACGGTGCCTCCCAGGGCGCAGGCAACAGCAGACAACAAGATCACGAACTTCAGCATGGTGCGAATCCAATGAGTTGCTTTCTGAACCGGACACCTCTTTTATAGGGGGTTCCTATCTTTGCGCCGCGATTTAATCAGAACTTTCAATTATTTTTATCAAAAGCGTGCCTGGAAAACCCAGAACAGGTCCGTCCAAGTGACCACACAAATTCCTGAGCTGTTAGCTGATAGATTTGAGTAGTATTATATAAATTTAGTTTTGATAAATATCTATGCCGACGCGCTCATCCACAAGAGTCCTTTTAGAGGTGCTGACCTAAAAAAAGATTTAAACAGTTTATGTTTCTTTAGTTGTCGCAACATTGTATTAGTTGTATTCTTTATTTGGGACGTGTCAACGCACAATTTAATGGAAGTCAGAAGATATAGATCCCCGATTTCGGTCTTCAATAGCAAGAAATCATTTGGAAAGGTAGACAACCTAAAAGGCTTAGATTTCTTAAAATCAAATGGAAGGCTAGAAATGATCTCCCAAGTTGCTTATCAAACTTCTAACTGAAATTTCAATACTCTGTGCAAGGGTATCAAAAAATCGAGCTGAATGACTAGACCACAAAAATTCGTACATTTCAGAAAAGATACCCCTAATCAATTTCCCAACCGACAAAGCCTTTAAGTCATCGAGATATTGATAAGTTAAGGGCAATAAGAAGTCGTTGACTTGGCCAAGATGTCTTACAGGAATATATACATGGTATAAATGTAGGCAATGATCTCGTGACTTTCTTTTTTGAGTCGGGGTCCTTTTGATAACTAACTTGAATATTTATTTGCTCGCTTAGACTTTTAATATTCTTGTTTGCTTTCTGATTAGGAAGCATGGGACTTTGGAGTGGAGGAACATCTGCCGGCCACTTGAACCAAAACTTTTTTGGCTTTTCCTACTACGCAAAAGATAATAATAATTGAAAGTTCTGATTAATTTTCGGCACACAGATAGGAACCCCCTATAAAAGAGGTGTCCGGTTCAGAAAGCAACTCATTGGATTCGCACCATGCTGAAGTTCGTGATCTTGTTGTCTGCTGTTGCCTGCGCCCTGGGAGGCACCATTCCCGAGGGACTCCTGCCCCAGCTGGATGGCCGCATTGTTGGAGGCTCCGCCACCACCATCAGCAGCTTCCCCTGGCAGATCTCCCTGCAGCGCAGTGGCAGCCACTCCTGCGGAGGATCCGTCTACTCGGCCAACGTGATCGTGACCGCTGCCCACTGCCTGCAGTCCGTGTCCGCCTCCGTCCTTCAGATCCGCGCTGGATCCACCTACTGGAGCTCCGGTGGAGTCACCGTTAAGGTCTCCTCCTTCAAGAACCACGAGGGCTATAACGCCAACACCATGGTCAACGACATCGCCATCATCAAGCTTGCCAGCTCCCTGACCTTCAGCTCCACCATCAAGGCCATCGGTCTGGCTAGCTCCAACCCCGCCAACGGTGCTGCTGCCTCCGTCTCCGGCTGGGGCACCCAGTCCTACGGATCCAGCTCCATCCCCTCTCAGCTGCAGTACGTCAACGTGAACATCGTGAGCCAGTCGGTGTGCTCCTCCTCCACCTACGGATACGGAAGCGAGATCAAGAGCACCATGATCTGCGCTGCTGCCAGCGGCAAGGACGCCTGCCAGGGAGACTCCGGTGGCCCACTGGTCTCCGGTGGAGTCCTCGTCGGTGTTGTCTCCTGGGGATACGGATGCGCCTACTCCAACTACCCTGGAGTGTACGCCGATGTCGCTGCTCTCCGCTCCTGGGTGATCAACAACGCCTAAGAACCTTGCAAAATAAAACGAACTTGTTGAATATTAACTATCCGTTTTTATATTGGGAACTGTAGTCGGATTATAGTGTGCTTTAGCCGTAATCTTCTGGCTTAGTCCGACAAACGGGATTAGAAATATACCTATGGATTACACTGTGCGACAAAAAAATGTTTGAGTTGATTTTTTCTTATTTTTCACTTCTACTAGTCAAAATAAGAATACAAGTTTTTGGATTTGTTAATATCAATAGCCAATCAGCTTCTACGCACACTCAAAGGTCCCAAAAATGCGTGTTTTTGCATATTTCACAGCCTTATAATACCATATTGGGAAAATATTTTTTCACCGTTATAAGCGTTTTATGCAAGTTCAATATCTATTAGTTAAAATATATTAAGCAAATATACCGTTAGGCTTTTATCACAATGCTTTAAAAATTTTTTCTCCCAGCTCTATACTCTGGGCGACTTCGTATGGAACTTGTTACGCGAGGATGCCTCTGAAAAAGCCAAAAAAATCAGAAAAAAATTTCACTTTTAAAAAAAATAATAGTTTATTGGAAGTAAAAAAAAAATAATATTTTGAGTTAAATATTTTCATAATAATAATTTCATAAAATTTATCATAAAAAAAGAAATCCTATCACTTAGAAGGTGGCATAAATATTTTTGTGCATAACTTATGCCCCTTAACCGAAAACAATCAAAAAAGTAACTCAAACAAACATTTCGTTAAATTTTGTCGCACAGTGTTATTACTCTTCCTCAACATTGTTTATATTTTAATGGTCCATACACATTTTCAGGGAGTTAAAATGTATATAAATATCAATTAATATACATATCGCGGCTTTATTTCCCAAATAGGGATAAGGCAATTTGTTTGAACTTTATGGACATTATTGAACATACTTTTGACAATGTTATGCCACTTTTTCGTCCAGAAATACCTATAGAACTACTTGTATAAGCTTTTAAAGCTTTCCCCAGAACGTATTTGGATAAAATAATGCGAGGTTTTCACTAAGCATCGGCTCGACATTCTTGAAAAATATAGAAACCTTGAAAATTGGTTAAACTACGATCCCTAAAAATATATATATCATAATATTATATATATTTATATTAAGATGAATCGGCAGTCAAATTTTTCAGTTTTATAGACGAAATTCTTAAAATGATATTCAACAAGACAAAAAAATTTTTTCAAAAACCAATACTCCTTAAAAAAATATTTTATTATATTTTTTTTGTATGTTAAAATCAGAAATATTATGTTTCTTCTATAAATTGGTTTTGGTTTTCGCCTATAGGAGCGGCATATAGTTTATGCTCTCTTCAAACCTATAAAAAACTGCAATGAAAAATAATACTTTTGTTTTTATACCCTTGCAGAGCAAAGGGTATTATAATTTCAGACAGAAGTTTGCAACGCAGTGAAGGAGACACCCCAGACCACATATAAATTCTTGATCAGCATCACGATCTGAATCGAAATACGTCTGTCCGTCTGTCCGTTTCCCTTTTAACTAGTCTCTCAGTTTTAAAGCTATCTTGCTGACACTTTCCCAAAAGTTGTGTAATTATTGCACGCAGTATATAAGTCGAAACGGGCCGGATCGGCCGACTATATCGGATAGCTCCAATACGAGAGTACGAATTTAAAAATTCTCAGACATCTGTTTTTGATCAGATCGACTTGATTTTTTCCAGATGGCATTTTCTAACTGCTGTTGAATTTCAAATTAAATTTTATCAAAATCGGATAACTCTATCATATAGCTGCCATAGGAAAGATCAAAAAATAGGTATATAAATAATGGAAAAAAATTATAACGTCGTTGTTTTTAATCCCACGAGCATAATTTTCAAAATATTGAGTTTAATAATAGCCCTTGAATAAAAAAAAAAATTTCATTAAATCCGTTATCATATAGAAAAATCTATATAGAAATAACAGAAATAAAATTATAACATCGTTGTTTTTCATCAGACAAGCACCATTTTGGAAATATAGAGTTTTCTAACGACTCTTGAATTACGAATTAAATTTGATCAAAATCGGACAACTATATCATATAGCTAAAAAATTTATACTAATATCGTCATAGCTTCGATGTTGTTTATCCTTTATGCATTTGATGAGCATTCATCAAATATGTCTGCAAGGGTATATAAGCTTCGACTTGCCGAAGCTAGCTTTTTTTCTTGTTTTAATTAGAAAGTCATTAGACTGACTTCTCCTATTGGGCTTGCCAGGTCAGATTGTTAGTTTAGTCCTCTATCCTTCCGAATAATTTTCCGTAAACTTTCAGACTTTGAATTAAATGGTTGACCATAAATGTAAATAATAGACGGTTATGGCCTTAATCAACTTCTTAATTGAATGATTTGGGATTTTATAATAGATTTTGTTAAACTTTCGTTTATGCTGGACTCTTAACTAAGTCAACCCATAAAATTGATTCTAATTTGAGAGCCCAATTACTGCTTGGATTCTGTGGAGAGACACCTCCAAAGAAATAAACAAAGACCGGGTATGTTCAGATTTAGTTTAATTCGCAAAATGCTTAGGCGTTGTTGACCACCCAGGAGCGGAGATCAGCCACGCTGGCGTAGACACCGGGGTAGTTGCTGGCAGCGCAGCCGTATCCCCAGGACACAACGCCGACCAGGACTCCGCCGGAGACCAGTGGGCCACCGGAGTCTCCCTGGCACGAGTCCTTGCCGCTGGCAGCAGCGCAGATCATGGAGCTCTTGATCTGGCTGCCGTAGCTGTAGCTCGAGGAGGCGCAACGGCTCTGGCTGACGATGTTCACGTTCACGTACTGCAGCTGGGTGGGGATGGAGCTCGAGCCGGAGGACTGGGTGCCCCAGCCGGAGACGGAGGCAGCGGCGCCGTTGGCGGGGTTGGAGCTGGCCAGACCGATGGCCCTGATGTTGGAGCTGAAGCTCAGGTTGCTCTTAAGCCTGATGATGGCGATGTCGTTGACCATGGTGTTGGCGTTGTATCCCTCGTGGTTCTTGAAGGAGGAGACGCCGATGGTGACACCACCGGAGCTCCAGTAGGAGGAACCAGCGCGGATCTGCAGGGAGGAGGCGGACACGGACTGCAGGCAGTGGGCGGCGGTCACGATCACGTTGGCCGAGTAGACGGATCCTCCGCAGGAGTGGCTGCCACTGCGCTGCAGGGAGATCTGCCAGGGGAAGCTGCTGATGGAGGTGGCGGTGCCGCCGACGATGCGGCCATCCAGCTGGGGCAGGAGACCCTCGGGAATGGTGCCTCCCAGGGCGCAGGCGACGGCCGACAACAGGATCAGGAACTTCAGCATGGTGCGAACTGAATGGATGCCCCCTGAACAGAATTGCGCGCTTTTATAGGGCTCGCTATCTGGCGATAGTGTCTCCTAATCAGCGGAAAGGGGAGATCCCTCGTGGTCGAGGAGGATAACGCAGTGGAGTGGCCGCCGCCTGATAAGCTGATTAGTTCTCAAGTTCTGCTGGCCATATCTTTCGGGGCAAATGACGCCACAGTTTTGGCGAAGCTATCGCTGTCAATCAAGTCGAGATCTGCGCCTCGCTGCTTGTATATAAGGGCCGCTGATCCGCGGATCAGTATTGTAATTAGCAAAATGCTGAAATTCGTGGTACTCCTCTCCGTTGTGGCCTGCGCCTTCGCAGGCACCGTTCCCGAGGGACTCCTGCCCCAGCTGGACGGACGCATCGTCGGCGGCTACGAGACCAGCATCGAGGCCCATCCCTACCAGGTGTCGCTGCAGCGCTACGGATCGCACTTCTGCGGCGGTTCAATCTACTCCCACGACATCGTCATCACCGCCGCCCACTGCCTGCAGTCGGTGGAGGCCAAGGACATCAAGATCCGCGTAGGCAGCACCTACTGGCGCTCCGGCGGCAGCCTGCACTCCGTCCGCGCCTTCCGCAACCACGAGGGCTACAACTCCCGCACCATGGTCAACGACATCGCCATCATCCGCATCGAGTCCGACCTGAGCTTCCGCTCCAGCATCCGGGAGATCCGCATCGCCGACTCCAATCCGCGCGAGGGCGCCACCGCCGTCGTCTCCGGCTGGGGCACCACCGAGTCCGGTGGCAGCACCATTCCCGACCACCTCCTGGCCGTCGACCTCAAGATCGTGGACGTCTCCCGTTGCCGCTCCAGCGAGTTCGGCTACGGCAGCAAGATCAAGGACACCATGATCTGCGCCTACGCCGCCAACAAGGACGCCTGCCAGGGTGACTCCGGTGGCCCGCTGGTCTCCGGCGACCGCCTCGTGGGCGTGGTCTCCTGGGGCTACGGATGCGGCGATGTGAGGTACCCCGGTGTCTACGCCGACGTTGCCCACTTCCACGAGTGGATCGAGAGGACCGCCGATGAGGTTTAGGCCCAGACAAACACTTCAAATAAAACGCAATTGAATCAGCTTACTTCCCTCTCTCTCTTTCTCTTTCTATCTCTCCCTTTCTCTTTTCTTTTGGCCCGATTGCGTGGCAGTTGTAAGCCCTTGAGTTCGGGAAGATAAGATCCGTTGGCAGTATAAAAGGTTTGACTCGGAGCATGTAAGTAACCACTTGCCAGCCGTGCTCACCATGCTGAAGTTCGTGATCCTGTTGTCTGCTGTTGCCTGCGCCCTGGGAGGCACCATTCCCGAGGGACTCCTGCCCCAGCTGGATGGCCGCATTGTTGGAGGCTCCGCCACCACCATCAGCAGCTTCCCCTGGCAGATCTCCCTGCAGCGCAGTGGCAGCCACTCCTGCGGAGGATCCATCTACTCGGCCAACATCGTGGTGACCGCCGCCCACTGTCTGCAGTCCGTTTCCGCCTCCGTCCTTCAGGTTCGTGCTGGATCCACCTACTGGAGCTCCGGCGGCGTCGTGGCCAAGGTGGCCTCCTTCAGGAACCACGAGGGCTACAACGCCAACACCATGGTTAACGACATCGCCGTGATCCGCCTGAGCAGCTCCCTGAGCTTCAGCTCCAACATCAAGGCCATCGGTCTGGCCACCTACAACCCGGCCAACGGAGCCAGCGCCGCCGTCTCCGGCTGGGGCACCCAGTCCTCCGGCTCGAGCTCCATCCCCACCCAGCTGCAGTACGTGAACGTGAACATCGTCAGCCAGAGCCGTTGCGCCTCCTCCACCTACGGATACGGAAGCCAGATCAGGAGCACCATGATCTGCGCTGCTGCCAGCGGCAAGGACGCCTGCCAGGGAGACTCCGGTGGCCCACTGGTCTCCGGTGGAGTCCTCGTCGGCGTTGTCTCCTGGGGATATGGATGCGCCTACTCCAACTACCCGGGAGTCTACGCCGATGTTGCTGTGCTCCGCTCCTGGGTGATCAGCACTGCTAACAGCATTTAAGCAGACAATCCTTATGGCGAATGTGTCAAAAACCCTTCAATAAAACTTTGCAATACTATACGTAATCTTTGTGTACTTTTGTTTTCTTTTAAGTTTATTATTTAATAGTTTTTAGCACTATAAACGTAGGTAGAAAAAATATACAAGTATTCGTACAACCTGTTAGAAAAGAACCCAAAGTAAAGATTTTAATAAATCAACTAAGTTTAAAGGACTTTAGATTGATTTTTTTTACCAATTATCATAAATTCCTAATTAAAGGAATCCCTTTTTAAGAAATTCCAATTCTTTTGCCTTTGAAACTGACCCTTTAAAGTTTATTAACGCCTGAATTTGGTTATCCAAACTTGGGTAATAAAATCTTATTACACTATCGAATAGATAAACAATAGGTAGTTCTTGAGCTTGCTGACGTCGCAGTCGTTATCTCCTGTAAAGTTCACGGGTATTCACATTAGATAACTCGACGTGCCTTCTGCGACTTCCAGCGATTTCAATGGGCTCAAGTGGCTTGAGGTAAATATTTGGCCAGGAGCGATGTATCTAATCAGCCTGGAGTACATCGCGTGGCCGCAGCTCCACTCCATCTTCCATTGATAAGTTGAGTGATGGTCTGGACAGCTGCGGAAGATTAATTAGCCGCAAAATAGGGAAACAGATAAGATTTCGCAGATTTGGACACTGGAAGTTGTACGTTTTATTGGAACGTGACTTGTGAAATATAATACTTAGCTATATGAAATGGCATTTAAATACGATTGACCGTAAGGGATTTGATTATTTCATATTAAGCAACAAAACTAAGCAAGCAATTAATAAAAAAAAAACATTGAGCAACGTGGAATTGTTTTGTTGATAAAGTTGTTTATAGCAAATTTTGTTATCAATTTGATTTAATATATAAAAAAAAAATTCATTGGAAATTTTGCGGTTGATTCACGCCATTTTACTTTGCGAAATTGTGGTTTTCATTGGGTGAAAGAGGTTCGTTGATATTGACACCCCTTAATTTTCTGGGTATTTCCAGTGTGACATCGCCTTTGCAACTTTCGGTTTAATTGGTGTTTTTTTAATGAGCCATTAAAAATTGTCAGTGGGTTATATAACCTAGTTTCGGGAATTCCAGGTCGTAGGAACCACCTTTACCTTTAAAAAGTATTTGAAATTTCCATTGAAAGTCAATTAAGTAAAGGAGTGCCTTGCGAAATACTCATCCAATTACTCAGGCTTTAAGAATCCAAGAACGATATATTTTCTATATCTATTAGTAATAATGCTATATAAAAATTAAGCGTATTCCTTTAAGAATAAATATTTGATTAATTTATTACCGAAACAACTCCGAAAATACGTTTATTTACTTTTATATTATACCAAACGTGACTTTAACAACTGGCCTTCCAATTTTGGATCATAAATATTATATGAATGGCAAGTCTTATTGGTGTCATCGCATTGTCGGAAAACACAACAAAGGTGTGTCTTATTGGAAGCTCACCTAATCGCTTAGACATTGCCAACAACAAGGTCAGAAAGAACAGCAATCTATATCTAATAACACCTCTTCAAGTGCCGACTTCCCAGTTTTGACTGGTGCTCCACATTTCGTGCGCCTTCTTTGATGGATAGTTAGACCCGATTGATAAGGAACGTGCTGACTGGATTATTTTGGTTCCGAAGTGCAGAGTATGCTAATTCCTGGGCTCAAAAGATCGAAAGATACTGTCAGCTGTCCACTCGAGGGTCACATTCCACCCACTCGATCACTTTTCCCCAGACACGATAGAAGGTTATAAATGTTGGTCGCAGTTCTTTGATAGCTCAGTATTTTTCCAGAATGCAGGGATTAGTGGCTCTTCTGATTTGTTTGGCCGTGGGTTCTGCCTTTGCCGGCTCCGTTGGCGTTTCCAATGGCGATCCCTTCGAGCGCGAGGGCCGCATTGTGGGTGGCGAGGACACCACTATTCGAGCACATCCCTACCAGGTCTCCCTGCAGACCAAGAAGGGCAGCCATTTCTGCGGTGGAAGTATACTTGACAAAGATACAATATTAACGGCCGCCCATTGTTTGGTGGGCAGGAAGGTGTCCAAGGTGTTCGTTCGCCTCGGTTCCACCATCTACAACTCCGGCGGGCGAGTGGTGGCTGTCCGCGCTCTGACCTACAACGAGAACTACAACTCCAAGACCATGGAGTACGATGTGGGCATACTCAAGTTGGCCGAGGAGGTTGAGGAAACCGAGGACATTCGCTACGTGGAATTGGCCGAGAAGACGCCGCCCACGGGAACCACTGCTGTGGTCACCGGTTGGGGTTCCAAGTGCTACTTCTGGTGCATGACCCTGCCGACGATCCTCCAGGAGGTCTATGTGGACATCGTGGACTGGCAGACGTGTGCCTCCACGGAGTACAAGTACGGCGAGATCATCTACGACAGCATGGTGTGCGCCTACGAGAAGAAGAAGGACGCCTGCCAGGGCGACTCCGGCGGTCCTTTGGTGGTGGATGGCAACACCCAGGTGGGCATCGTCTCCTGGGGCTACGCCTGCGCCTCCAATCTGCTGCCGGGAGTCTATGCCGATGTGCCCGCTTTGCGGAAGTGGATCCTCAACGCAACCGACTCGTTGTAGATACATACATATGTGTAATAAACTACGTGACTAAGCAAGCATACTTTTAGGGATTGTAAAGCCTAAACAATTTGTAGAAGAACTTACTCTTTTTGTGGGTCAATTACAAGTGATACTTTGTTTGAGCACTTCATAATCAGATTGAAATAACAAAAATTATGGACTTAGAATTAGTGAATTTTTTTAATTCCAACAAACCTATTTATCGGAAATTTGGTAGGGGGTTGCACCATAAAAGTTAAAAAAAATGGGCAAAACGTAAAAAATAACCGATGATGCAGTTCGTTACAGAATTCGAATTCAAATGTTTAGAGGTATGCCACTTCAAAATCTGATTATAATTTGAAAAGTTGTGAACTGAGGATTAGTGATATTTGGTCAAATTTAAGCAAACCATGCGTATACGCAATATGACAAATTTGGTATTGCGTATACGCATAGATGGTTTCTTTAAATCTTATTCGTGTAATTTCCCTCTTTTTGTTTTAAGAGTCGCAATAAAACTGTATAGGGCCTAAGCTTTTATTGTTTTTAATTTCTAAAAGTAACAAACAAGTTTTTGTTTAATCCAATAATACTTATACCAAGAATAAGGCTAATTGTTTGCTTATCAAAAATAATCGATGTCATTGCTCTTAGTCAACAAAGGTTTTTCAAGCTTACGGTAGAACAAATTCCGCAGAAACGCTACTGCTTTCGGATGGCCATCTTATCGGTGTTAGACCGAAAGCAATTTATTGACCAATTCGCGATACGGCAAAAGCTTCTGGCTGTTTTCGAACAAGCTGAAATATCCGATTTAGTCACTCACCGAACAACGAAATGAACAAAGCTCTTCTACGGATTTTAGCGGCCTTGTTCCTGCTGGGAACTTTGGCCGTGGATGCCATGCCAGATGGCAGGATTGTGGGTGGTGCCGATACCAGCATTTACTACACAAAGTATGTGGTGCAGCTGCGCAGGCGCAGTTCCTCGACTAGTTCCTATGCCCAGACCTGCGCTGGAAGCATCGTGGATGCGGTGACCATAGCCACCGCTGCCCACTGCGTCTACAATCGCGAGGCGGAGAACTTCCTGGTGGTGGCCGGTGACGATAGCCGAGGTGGCATGGATGGCGTGGTGGTGCGCGTTACGAAACTAATCCCACACGAGCTGTACAACGCCACGATTACGGATAATGATATTGCTTTGGTGATTGTGGATCCTCCACTGCCTTTGGCCAGCTACAGCAACCTGGAAGCCATCGAACTGGCAGAGGAGCAGCCGACGGTGGGTGTCCAGGCCACCGTGAGTGGTTGGGGCTACACGGCGGAGAACGGGCTGTCCTCCAACCAGCTGCAGCAGGTCACAGTGCCAGTGGTGAACTCCACAAGCTGCCAGGAGTCCTATTACTGGCGACCCATCAGCGAGGGAATGCTCTGTGCCGGAGTTCAAAACGGCGGAAAGGATGCCTGTCAGGGAGATTCCGGAGGACCTCTGGTGGTGGACAACAAGCTAGCAGGGATTGTCTCCTGGGGAGAGGGATGTGCCAGGCCCAACTATCCAGGGGTCTATGCGAATGTGGTCTACTTCAAGGACTGGATAGCCAAACAAAGAGCAAATTATGCATGATCAGGATATTTATGTAACCCTATTTAATAAATAAATAAATATAAATATAAAGTTTAAATTGCGTAGCTTTTTATAGTTTTAAGGCAGGGGCCATATTCATTTTTGCTTTGCGTTGGTAGCTTACATAACTGGTCAATAAAACTGCACTTATCGAATCCTTGGTAATAAACTTTTTTATGAGAATAGTGATGTCCAAGTTCAAGCTTCAACTTTGTAAAAAACTCTGGGAAAAATGTTTAAAAAATTTTAGAAACTAAAAAAAAGAAATAAGAAAGAAATAAAGTTTAACAATATGTTTAGGAAATAAACAAAAAGTTTGAAAAGTCCAAACCAATCACAATCATGTTGGCCAATGTTATAGTAGACAATAAAGCCTAATCAAGCCTCATACTTACGAATGACCATGCATATCCAGAATAAAATTTATGGACTATATAGTCGGGCTAGACCGATCGATAAGCCCTGCGTTTGCCGGCCAAGTTCTTGGGCTGCTCAGTTCTCGATTCTGCTCGCCTTGGCCAACATGTCGCGCTCTTGGCTGGTTCGCCTTTCGGCCCTTCTCCTCTGCCTGGTGGCCTTCACCCAAGGCCTGCCCCTCCAGCAGGCCGAGAATGAGGATGAGAAGTCCGTTCCCGGCGGTCGCATTGTGGGTGGCTACGTGACGGACATCGCCCAGGTGCCCTACCAGATCTCCCTGCGCTACAAGGGCATCACCACGCCGGAGAATGCGTTCCGCCATCGCTGCGGAGGTTCCATTATTAACGAGACCATCGTCCTGACGGCGGCGCACTGCATCATTGGCACGGTGGCCAGCCAGTTCAAGGTGGTGGCCGGAACCAACTACCAAACGGGCTCGGATGGCATCATCACCAATGTCAAGGAGATCATCATGCACGAGCAGTACTTCTCGGAGTTCGCCTACAACAACGACATTGCCATTCTCGTTGTGGATCCGCCAATTCCGCTCAACAACTACACCATGAAGGCCATCAAGTTGGCTTCGGAGGAGCCGCTCGAGGGAGCCGTGAGCAAGATCAGCGGCTGGGGCACCACCTCGCCGGGTGGCTACTCCTCGAACCAGCTCCTCGCCGTCGATGTTCCGATCGTGAGCAACGAGGTCTGCGATGCTGATTACGAGAACTTCGGCGACGAAACCTATCGCATCACACCGTCGATGCTCTGCGCCGGCGTCCGGGGAGTGGGTGGCAAGGACGCTTGCCAAGGTGACTCTGGTGGTCCTCTGGTGGTGCGCGACGAGCTCCACGGCGTCGTGTCCTGGGGCAACAGCTGCGCCCTGGCCACCCATCCGGGAGTCTACGCCAAAGTGTCTTATTTGAGGCCCTGGATCGATGCTAAGTTGGCAGAGCTACAAATTAATTAGAAAACCCGAATTTCGCAAATAAATTTCCCTTTTCGGCCACGTGCCTCGGGGTTTTCCAAAGCTAAACGTGTTTATCATTTTTTCCCAAACGTAATCGTCTTGAACATTGATTAGATCAACCTTGAGCAGGTGGATTGAGATTAAGTGATTTCCAAGGAACGAACAGCGATTGAAAGTGCTAATAAAAGGAGCCCAAAAAGTATGCAATAACTTAGACTTCTGATTACCACACAAAATGGTGATTAGAGTGGACCAAAGAATAATAGGAAACAATCATTTAAGTAATTATTTACTTTTAGGGTCCTAAATTTCAATAAAAATTGGAGAAATGTAGTTACCTATTAAATCATTTTTTAAGCACTTATTCATTTCTTATAAAAACTCTCTAGAAATTTATAAAAACCAAGCAAAGAGCTTAAGAGCAATGTACTACTCTTGGGATACTTAGAGATTTTCACAAAATATCCCACCAACAAAGTGGCAATCACCTCTGGAATGGCTTTATCTTGGCCGGACCCTGTGCTCGCACTGCTATCGGGAGTTATCTCGAGCACTGGCCATTAAGTCAATCGATGGAATTCCGCTTGGTTCGAATGAATTCGCCATTCGCAATCAGTTCGATGGGAACCTCACGGCCGTGCAAATCGATGGAGAGGATTATGTGCATCCCGCTGCTGCTGCTGGCGCTTGGACTGCAGTCCATTGTATCCATCTCAGCCCAACCGGAGCCCAGGATAATCAATGGCACCACGGTGGACATCGCCCGGCATCCGTACCTCGTATCCATTCGCTATCGAAGGGACAATGAGTCCAGTTACAAGCACGAGTGTGCCGGAGTGATCTTCTCGGAGCAGGCGCTGCTCACCAGTGCCCAGTGCCTCCATGGTTTGCCGGAGGACAGCAAGCTCCTGGTTGTAGCCGGAGCAAATACCCGCAATGGAACCGACGGGTTTGTCTACCCCGTATCCAACTGGACCCACCACCCGGACTACGATCCCCTCACAGTCGACAATGACATCGGAGTTCTGCTGCTGGATGAGCCCCTGAACCTCACTCACTTCGCCATCCGCTCCATTGCCATCCGTCCGGAGCGTCCGGCAGTGGGTCGCTTGGCCACAGTGGCGGGTTGGGGCTACCGGGAGGAGTGGGGACCTTCCAGCTACCATCTGGAGCAGACCCAGGTGCCATTCGTCAGCTTGGAGCAGTGCACGGAGATCTACGGCGCGGGTGAGGTCACCGAACGGATGATTTGCGCTGGCTTTGTATCCCAAGGAGGAAGTGACGCCTGCCAAGGAGACACCGGCGGTCCCCTGGTCATCGACGGCCAGCTGGTGGGTCTGGTCTCCTGGGGACGCGGCTGTGCCCGGCCCAACTACCCCACCGTCTACTGCTACGTGGCCAGCTTTGTGGATTGGATCGAGGAAACAATAGCCGCTGCTCGAGCGCAATAAACAGAGGCATTGCCAAAGCAACCGACACGCTATCTTCAAGTGGCTGCCGCCCCGGATAGAGCTACCTAATTCAATAATAAAACCGTAATCAAACAAACAATATACCAAGTTGTCGATTGTGTTATTTGGTAATCTCCTTATGTAATTTCAGGTGTGACAATGTAGAAGCAGTCCTGTAGCTTATTGAATACAACTTAAATTGGATGAACTACATTGAAGACATATTCAATAGCTTATTTTACAGGAAGTCGATTTTGCCCACATCCGCGTTGGCGGCGACAGTCTCCTCTATCCATTCATAGAGATTGGGAACGGAGGCGTAGACTCCGGGGTACTTCTCCCGGGCACATCCCGTTCCCCAGGACACGATGCCCAGGAGGGTGTTGTTGTAGATCAGTGGACCGCCGGAATCTCCCTGGCAGGCGTCCTTGCCACCGCCGGTCACTCCGGCACAGAGCATCCGACTGGTCAGCATGATGGAGTAGGCACTCTTGCACTGGGTGTTCTCCACCACGTTCACATGGACCTCCTGCAGGACGTCCGAGATGGTGCCTCCCTCGCTGGTGGTTCCCCAACCGGTCACCGTAACCTGGGTATCGTGTTCCGGTCGCTCCTTGGCCAATTCAATTGGTTTTACGGCGTCGTTAAACTGGAACTCTCCATCCAGAATCAGAATGGCCGCATCGTAGTCATTGTTGAGGGTGCGGTAATTGGGGTGAATGATGAACTGCCGAACAGCCAACTCCTGTTGCGGTTCCGTTGGGAACCAGATGTGCGAGGATCCGGCCACGATTGTCAGATTCTCCGGCCCCGACAACGTGTTAACACAATGCGCCGCACTGATGATGATGTTCGGTGTGAAAACGGTGCCACCACATCGGTGGTTTCCCCTGTACCTCATCGAGATCTGGTGCGGATAGTAGGTGATGTTCGTATCCTGTCCGCCGACAATGCGTCCATCCAGCCGGGGCACCTCCACCTCATCGTTCCGGGGAATGGGATCCGCCAGGGAGCAGGTAAATCCCACCAAGAGAAACGCGACCAAAATCCGTGACATTTTCGAGCAACTGACCGCGAAAGCATTGCCATGCTTGGATTTATAGAACCGCCTTATCGAACGGCTGTAGATTGCGGTTGGATTGGCCATTACTCAGTAATCTGACGAATCTAGCGATAGGGTTTGTAATCTAGCAAAAGACATGGACAATGAGCTGGCCATAAATCTTGGCCGAAATTTTCTCTGGGATTTTACGCTACTACGGTTTTTACCTTAGGTTCGTGACCTTGCAAGTTTTTTGGCTAAATCAATAAATCTATCATTTTATATGTGGCTTTTCCAATTTAATAGAACTTTCATTTTCTCACTGTCGCTTTCTTAAACTATTGATTGGTATATTAATTTATGGCAAGGGCTTGCTGTAAGAAAAATAAATTAACTTACCCAAAAGTAGGCAACCTTTAAACAATAAAATTGACTGTTTGAAAAACCATCTGTTTAAACTACATAAGTCAAAGTTTTATTAACGATACTTAAATGTAAGCCATTTACACTGGGACTAAGACTAACTTACACTAAGATTGCACATTTCCGGCCCAAGACTGCTGACATTTATCACAATACGCATCCGTTACGAAACTAAACGATTTTATTTGATGGTTGATTGCACTTGGATTTCCTGGGTTCTTCGCTTTTCTTGATCTTCCGTTGATACCCGCACTTTGCGTATTGGATGCAGTTCCCAAGGGTTTCCTCTCCTTTAATACTAATTATTACCAGCTAGCTTAGATCTATAAGAATTGCACCTTGTGGTTTGGCAAGAATCTCCTATTTATTGCACTGATTGCTGCTATTGCGTTGCTTACTCCTAAAATAGTGGAAGTCTTTCGTCTGCTTCTGTTTCCTCTTATTGCACGTCCCTAGAAACTAGTTACCTACTAACCTACGATCCCTATCCTAGCTCTTCCGAATCATCTTGTAGAGCACGGAGTGCGTTTCGATGCTCTCCGCCCCGGACTCCCACATGTCCTCCGCATTGGTCTCCTCGTCCGTCTCCGAGGAGCCGCAGCAGGTGCTCCTTCCGCGTCCATTTTCATCCGAGGAGTAGGATGACATCGTGGTGGTGCTGCCCCTTACATTTCGCTCCTGCGAGTTCGTCTGCGAATGCGATCGGGTTAGGGTTTTATCCGAATCCGCATCGCTCAGATCGCCGGCAACCACGGCTATATTCTCCGGCGATCGACGACTGTGACCCGGAGAAACCATATGCTCGAGATCTTCGAACCGATTGTCGTTCGGTCCGCTCTCGTCCTCGTTGTCCTCGATGGTGTCCACCCGGATGATCTGACCCCGGCCGGAGAGCATCTTGAAGTTGTACCGATCGTAGACACTGCGCTTGTACAGCTCCGTGGAATCGGTGCTCATGTAGCCGCTGTCCAGTTGCCCGAAGCGCTGCTCGTAGTACGTCTGGCTGCCCGGCTGTCCCATTCCGGCGGACTGAGCGGCATCCTCGATGATGGAGGCGATGCCGTCATCCTCCAGGAACCCGGCGGAAGTTTTGCTTCCATAGGTTGGAGCAGGACTCTGGCTGGGACTGAACTTGTTGGCCGCCATGGTAACAAACTTCCGCCACGCGTTCTTCAGATCCTTGGCCTTTTTGGCGCGATCCTTCAGTCCGATGGCTATCTGCATTCCATTTGTGAGTTGGGCCTGCTCGATCTCGCAGCGGTAGACGGTTTGTACGTTTCCGCCGGAGCTGGCGTTTCCGGAACTGCTGGCCGCCCGTTGAGGGTAGGCAATCCCCACGGGCACCCCGGCATTCCGGTACATCTCCTTGGTTCGCTCGGAAAGATGTCCACTGCTCCGGTTCGAACGCGAGCTAATGGATAGAGCGTCGAACTGGGCGAGTTCCACCTCCTTCATGGCCTTGTTGCTGAACTCCGGCTCGGGAGCGGTGTCCTTTGGCGAGGGGGTGTCCTGTCCCGGCTTGGAGGACTCCTCCCGCTGGCTCTTCCGCCGATTGAGATACTTGGTCAGGCTGTAGTCGTTGCGCAGGCTGTTGATCTTCTTGTTGTACATCTCGTAGTCCTCCTCCTGCGATTTCGCACCCATCTTCTGGGTCTTGCCACCCTTCGAGTGGCTCCGCTCCTCCGTGGTGGCCGATATAGCACTGGACATGGTGTTGTTGCACGAGTTCTCGAACTCCGAGACCCCGGTGACCTCGGTGATCTCGCTGTGCAGGCTGTAGGCATCCTCCTCGGCTCCTCCGGGGTTATCCGATGAGTTTGGGGGAGGCGGAGGCAGTGCTCGCTTTCCCTGAACCAACGGAGGGCAGTAGTGCTGATTGCTCTTCGGTCGAGGAGGTGGTGGCTTATCCACAGGCTTCGGTGATGAAATCGTAATGGTGGTCTTGTTCACCTTCGTCACATCCACCACCGAGTGGGTGGGAGAGGTCTCCATCAGGCGCTGGCGACGGGAGTGTTTAGCCTCCAAGGTGAGAATCCGACCCTCTTCCTCGGGGGTTGGCGGTGCCTTCTTCTCGTACTTGCCGCTCTCCTGGGCAACCAAAGGTGACTCGTAGATCTCCCTCAAGTTGCGAAACGAGTTGCTCGACCGCAGGATGAAGGAGGCGGTCCTCGGCTTCATGGCCTGACTGGGAGCCGGACTCAACTGGCGACTCAAGTCGGGCAGGGAGCTAATCTGGCTGAAGTCCGAGTCGATCTGCTTGTGGCCATCCCAGGCGGAGATGTCGCAGAAGCTCTGCTTCTTTGGCTTGCGGTCCAATGTGTCCGGCTCGAACTGATCGCTATCCGTTCGCTCCAAATCGGAAGGGGGTTCGTGCTCCACCTCGATGGTCATGCTACCGCGAAACGGAGTGTCGTACTTGATGCGTGCCGCCGCCTCCTTCTGCCTCTGCTGCTGCTGGCCAGGATGCGGATGCTGGTGCTTGGCAGCCAGGCGCTTCTTCATCTCGCCCTCCTTGCGAAATCCGTCCAGGCGATCGTACACTGTATGACTGATCTCCATCTCCTCCTCGAGTGGGAGAGCCGTACTCAAGCTGGGACTCAGCTGGGAGCTCACATCCGAGGAAGGAGAGCTGGAGGAGTGCGAACTCTTCCGCTTGCTGGGCTCCAAACGCTCCAGGCTATCCGTTTCATAATCCACTATTAAGTACTGCGGGGATTTCCTTCTGTAGATTGGGGAGTCTGGTTGGAACTGCTTGAGAGACTTGCGACTCAGGGAACTGTAATCCGGAGTGGGCACCGATGGAATGCTGCTCTGCGTGCTGCTGTAGATGTCCTTGATCCGCTTCTCAATGGTGCTATCGTAATCTGGAGTGGGAATGTGCGCAGCGTACTCCCGTTTCAGGGAATCATAGATCACCTCCGCCGGCTTCATGTTCCTCAGCATATTGTAGTGCTGGCGATCGAAGGAGGTGAGCGAGGTGGGTGTGGAGTTGGCGGCGGCGAACTGTTCCAGGACCTCGCTGCGCTTCCTCAGCGACTTGGAGCGACTGGAGGAGCTGCGCAGAGAGGCCGCCGGTGAATCGGCCAGCATGAACTTGGGATTGTTGTATATCTCCCCGCCAGTCTCCGCAAATCCATAGACATTGGCCGCCACGGAGAAGGCGGAGAATCCCTCGTAGCTGCTTCCCACGGGAGTCTTGGACTTGGCATTTTGCTCTGGACTGTTCTTTCCGGGACTGCGACTGGATTGAGAAGTCAGTGCTGGTGAGCTGGACTTGGTAGGACCCTCTTCTGGCTTGGATTTCTGCATGGGAGGTGGCGGTGGTCGCTCCTTGGGCGCTGTTATTTCCTTTCTCAGGGATCCCTTGCTGGGGGAACCAGATGCCTTCTTCGTAGTCGGATGACCAGCTCTATCCAAGGTCTTTTGAGCTGGAGTAGCCTCCGAATTGGGTACACTTTGCAGCCACTGCTCAATGCTGTTCCTCTTGTCACCCATTCCCTTGGAAGCCAAGCTCTGCTGCAGCGGAATGTTGAACATGGTGGGTGAACTCGAACTGGACTCCGGCTGCAGTTCCTCGGGAATTATGTTCAGAGAAGGTTGATAACGCTTGGCGGCCATCTTGTACTTGGCAATGGCAATGACCTCCCGAATCTTCTGCAGAAACTCAATGGCAGCTTGAGGCGGTTCCTTAAAAAAAAGAAAATTTAGAAAAGGTAACACATATTAACTAAGATATATTATAATAACAAATTATACCTAGATTATTGTTATTTATTCTTAACTTACCGCCAGTAAATGAGGCTCGAAGTAGGCCGGATTGAAGTAGAGCTTCTTGCGTACATTTCCACTGACCATGGCACGCAGGTTCTCCAGCTTCTCCTCGCTCATCAGCTCATCAATCACCGCCACATTCTCAGCGGGCAGGCACTCATTGTCCTGCAGGAAGTCATCCACATCCAGAGCGGCATTATCTGCTCCACCAGTTGGTTTTGGTGACTTGCTCAGCTGTGGATGAACCAGCACCGAAGTCTGCAAGCAATAAATCATTACCTTTCATTTGTAAACGATTAGTTTTCATCAAACCACCTTGATCTTCTCCTCCATTTCGCACTCGGAATTCGAGTTGGAAATATCGCTGGCAAAACCGGAATTGTGCTCCCTTTCGCTCAACTGGGGAAAATGCTGCAGCAAGGGATTGTTTTTCACAATGCCCAAATCCTCTTTGAGACTACCGATACTAGTGCGTGTATTGGACTCATTTCCATTCCCCAGACCCATACTGTTTGAGGAGTAAATGCTGCCCACTCTGCTGAATGGAGCTCCATAAGTGACCTGATCGTTCTTGGGATAGTTGATATCATTGGTCAAGTTATCCAGCGAATGGCGAGAATTGTGGCGTTTGCGCTTCTTCATGTAGAGATATAGAAACACGGAGGCCACATAGATCAGACCCAAGAGCAGGCTGCAAATGCCAATGACCACGTATTCCCGCATAGTCATGCCATCCGAAGTGGAGGCCAAAGTTGTGGAGTTGGCTGGTTGGAAAAACACCTCGGGGACATCTATTAAAAATGGTTAGGGAGTTACACTTCCTATATTTGAACCCTTCAATATATAATATATTGTTACACTTACTGTGGGAATATTTCACGGGACTTCCGTTCACCCGGAAGGCAACACACGGCGAATGAACATTTCTGGGCGGCATTAGAGGTTCGCCCTTCAAATGGCCACTGGAATTCAGGGCCACCGTCATATCGCGACACACCAAGTGGACCACAATCAGGCGACCCTGCATCTTCTGGCGGAGATCGGCTTCACCCAGCCACAAGAGGAAGCTGCGTCCCTCGTCGCGGAACAACCGAAAAGGGTAGTCGGTATCGATGGGATTCCGCAGATCCGACCAGCCATTCGAACTCAAATACTGGGCACCAGTTACAGCACAAACCGGAGTCTGAATGCCTATCAAATAAACATTATTATACAATTTTAGTACAATACAAATAGGCTAACAAAATGGATGTAAGCTTTGGGTCGTAAATTAAAAGCAACAAACCATCAAACTCTTTCTAATAAATCGTTGACTTTCACAAATTTAAATAACTTTGCAAAAAATACTCTTCACTGTATGGAATGTCAATAAATCTCTTGAAATATGGATAGTTAACATAACCAGTTAATGTAAAGTGCCGTAAAGCATGACAACTTTTAAGACTTTTCCAATTAATATTATATCTAATCAGGATTGTCAACGAACTTGACGAAATAAGGACATTAATAAACCAGTTTGTTTGGCAAATAACCACTTAAGATTATGCAAGGTGATAAAGTGCATTACTTACTGGCAAAGCTGATCTCCCTGCTGGGATAGATGATCTGACCTTTGAGCGGCAGGAAGACAAATGGAATCTTTTCCGACGAGGAACCACTCACGAACGGCGAAAGGGAGCACTCTATGACAATGGATGGAAAAATGGGGAAACGATTAGGTTTTTGGGGTGTCGGAGGTTGTGGGAAAATACAGTCAAATCACTGCGATAACGATCGACGCTTATCAATTACGACTCGGAATCGGAATCGGTAGTGAAACTTCATATTTGCGCTGTTGTTTTTCCGGACCGCCCAGCTCTTACTTTCTGTCCAACTGGGAGTCCGATTCCAAGTCCAATTCCGATCCGCGAGTTGGATTCCAAGTGACTGCTGAGTTAGACCCCGAAATGGCAGCGGGCTGAGATTGTTTATGTTGGCTGGCAGACGACGGCGAAAGTTTCCTTTCATTCATTAGCAGCGGGGAAACAAGCGATTTGTTCAATAATAATAACATTTTTTCCCTCTTTGCGTCACGTTTCGTTTTCATTCTGCAGCCCTGCACAATTTCAGTAGCTGTTATTACAGCATTTCTTTCATTTGGTTCGACTTTTTTTCTACTTTTTTTTTTCTGTCGAATTTTTTTTTGCTTTTTCAGTTGGGCAACCATTGTGCTCGGATATGACAAAACAATGGATGGAAGGTGTCTCATATGTGGGAGCAACTCCCACCGCGAAATGGAGCACACAATTTCGTTTGGGAATCGTTTTTAAGGCCGGAGGCTTCCGCAATGTTTACTCAGCTTTACTCACCATGGATATCGTCCACGCAGATCCCCAGGTCCTCGCGATAGGCCCTCTGGTAGGGAAGACATCGGCAGGTGCAGCCACTATCCCCACTGGAGTCTGGATTAGCCATCTGACTGCGACCCTTTTGCATCTTGAGACGGCGGGTCAAGAGCTCCATTTGACCGCCGGCCAGAGACGAGGTCGCCGGATTGAGTCCACCTGTGGATTCGAGGATTTTGAGATTTGGGGGTTTGGGGGATTTTCACCGATTATGACAGGCGCGCACTTAAATGCTAATCCAATGCTCACCGTTGCCTTGGCCGCCATCGCCGGACGAACGCACCAGGGAAGCCGTTCCGCTCGAGAGACCGATGCAGGTGTCCGCATTGCAGGCGCTGCTCAGACCTGCGGGGAGAAAACGTTAAGATGGATTGAGCCGGGACTTCACAACATCTTCGTTCGATTGACGGCTAATCAGGCGGGCTGGACCGGACTGAAGCCGGCCTAACTGGCAAAATTAATGCTGCTGTCAGCGGTTCAGCCACGAGGAAAAACAGCCGCATCACGCAGTCGAAGATGCCAAATGCCAATGGCAGTGACACTGGCCATGCTTTTAGAAAAATAAGCAAGATTCAATAAAGCATTTTAAGTATTATCCATTAATTCATCGAAGAGAATTTTCCATAGCTTGTAAATCAGCTTATAGTCTTTGATATATCATATATCTTTTTGGTGTTTTAGTTTACCAAGTTTAGATTATAAAGTTTTTAATGGGTAGAGAACACTTAACTGTCATCGCAAATAAATTGAATTATGTTTTAGCATTTCGCTTGATAAATTAGCATACTAAGAATTAAATACTTTAGAAAAGTAATTTGTTTTATGGAGACTTTTTCTAAATAGCCATCTACAATTATTTATCTCTTGGAAAAGAAGAGAAGGTGTTGCGTGTTAAGAAGGTATCTACTTTAACCATTAAGTATAAATAACATTAATTGTCTAGGAAAGCAGTTTTAGAAAAGATTTAAAGTATTGGCCACCTGTTAACGCATTAGGAACGAGCTGCGGAGTGACGTTAATGGGTATGTTTGGTGTTTGAACCGATTCCCCCTTCTCGATCATATATAACTCACTCGGGAGCGTATAACTCACCTGTCGTGTGGAAGGTATCGCCGTCATGATGTCGTGTCAGGTTGACGAGTTGCCCGCTGCTCTGCTGCAGTTCCTCCAGCAGAAGGCTGGCCGGCATCAGTGGCTCCTCGCCGAGATCTTCGTCGGGATAGTGGCTCCTCGCCCTCGGATGCGCCGGTGGTCGGGGTGCCGAAGTGGGCGTGGCAGGCGGCGGGCGGGAGAGGAAAGCGAGCAGAAGGAGCAGCGGTAAGGATTGGAGCCGCATCTTAACAGCAACATCGCTGGACGAAACACACTCAGGGGGATTCTACGGCGCAGCTGCAACTGGTTGGATAGAAAAAGAGGGGAGTGAGTGGGGTGAATAAAGAAGACAACCGCTAATTAATTAAAAAGAAGTCCAAATTCGTAGGTAGCGAAACGAAACGAAAGCGGCCGAGCAGGCAAGTAAGTTGACATTCTTTGGGGCAGCGCTTAATGAGGCAGAAATTGTTTAGTCCGTTTTGCTGGAAATGGAGCAACATCTACATCGAGTTGGTGCTAGTTGTAGTCCGGCGGCTAACGGACAACATTTAAACAAATGTTGCAATTAAAACTCGTTCTGGCGGCAAGTGTATACTTATTGGCCGCCACGCAGTGGGGAGCAGGCATAATGCCCCGGCCGCTGTTCCAGTGGATCAAGTGCGTCGTCGCAGTGGGAAAACGCTAGTTTTCTGCGTGTACCGTTACCAAAAGCCCGCTGCACTTGGCTTAGAACACCCCGTTTATACCGCTAATCAGTTGCACTTTAGCTGCTTTCGGCCAGGCCAATTTACATAAATATTTCACACACACAGCGCGGAGCGCTGGCACCACAGAAAAATTATTGGGGACTCCTAACTGTTCATATCTACGAGTTCTACTGATCTTAGAAGAACAGTGTGCCTGCCGTCTTTTTTGGCTCTTCAAAAGAAGAACAAAAGAGACGGGTGCGTGTGAGTGGGAAGGGAAGAGGTGGGGGGGAAGAGGGAAGGTATATAATATCTAGAGCCATAATGTGCGCGCGAATGAATGAGAGAAGAAAGCGATAAAAAGCAACAGTTGCGGCCTAATTTGAAAGTAAAATTTCTTTACAAAACGCAGTAGAACAGCAACGAAAACTACAACAAAAAAATACACAAATAAATAACAAAAAAAGCTCACTAAAGTTCGGAGCCTTAGTCTTTTGATTGACCAGTCACCGTCATAATCACCATCCATCTACCTTGGAATCTACAAGCTTAGCCATCGCCATCTCGCCATCTCCATCTATCACTCGACTTGCTGTACAGTTATGGCATTTAAAAAAAATAACAACAATATCATTTCTATTATTTCTCTTTCTTTTCGATTTGTTTACGACTTTGCCTTAGTTATTCGGTTTTGGTTTGATTTTAGGTTGTCTAGTTTTCGGCTTTTTCGGCTTGTCTGCATTTTCGAAACGAATTTAATGGCAGTAATGACCTGCTTTTCGCTTTTCCAACTGCAACATCAGCAAAACCCACAGAGCAATACCAACTGAAACTGATGCGATTTTGATGATGCTGGGAAAACTACGTAAAAAAGTAGAAGACTGATGATTCTGAGATCTGTTTTATGTGGCTTATAGTGAGTGGTACTATGTAGTGTATGTAGTCGCACTCTCCACGGGGCACCAATGCTGGGTCTTGACTCTTGCGCACTCGACTAAACTCAATTAACAGGTAATTGAACCCAACTGCATAAATTAGCCATATTCCATCTATTCCATCTCATTTCAGCCCATTGCAGCCCATCATCCGCCGCCATGTACGCGATCATTAATTATTGGGCAACACGAAAGAGCGTGTGCGCATTGTTCTAAGTCTGTGCATAAATTTATCCATAATAAACAAGAGGCAGCACTGCAATAGCAGCCTGATCGACGAGGGAGTACCCTCGAATTTATAGGTTTGTTCAACAGAGCGTTAAGTTCTAGAGACCAAAAAATTACCACTGCCTTTGGGTGTGTTTAAAATTGGGTTAACACAAATGGGATGAGCGACAATAAAATACAATAAATTGGTAGGTTTGAAATTTTTTGAAATATGTTCAACAGTTTTTGTGTGTTGTTGTGTATAAACAAAACAAATTTTTTCATCAAATCGTGTATTAAAAACTTACATTCAATTTTTACCCCTACTTATTTACTTATACAAAATTTTATTAACATCTCAATTTGTTCGTGAAACTCAAACACTAAAAATTAATATGGATTGGCTTACCCACTTGAATATTTATCTAGTCTGATTTGTTAATTCAAACCCCACCTCTTGAGCATTAGTAAGTGTGAGTAAATTTGTCAACTTTATATTCACAGTCCCAAAATAACATTTTAAAAAGGGTTCATTATTAAACCCATCGAAGTCATTAACTGTCTCTTTCTGTTTGAATAGTGTGCTTTCTAATGTGGTTCAAAAATAACTTTCAATTTATGCTAACGGTAATTAACACCTAATCTGTTTTGACGCCAATAATTTAATAATATTTTTTAACTTCAGGAAATAGATTTAGAGATATATGTACTTTCCCCTGGTTGAGCATGCCCGAGAAAACTGGCGAGGGGTATTAAAAATTACCACAACGCATTCTAACCTGGCCATTGCAATTCACATGAACATGCAGCGAGCATGGAGCTCGGAGCTCCGAGATTGGAGCTTTGCAGTTGGCCGGGAAGCATCTCCGGGGAGCAGATATGGAACCATTGTCTGGCCGGAGCAGCAGCTACACTTCCGAGTGCAGTCGACGTCACACTCGGCGTACTTTTAACACTTAGAACACGGCAGCGGTGCAACTAAAATCAGAAAGGCGGGGAACTCTGGAGAATCATCCCATATAGCCAGCATAATAACAAATTTCAAATTTATTCCGCTGTTATTTTTATTATCTTGGGTTAGTCCATTGTGTGGCCAGAGGAGCGCATCATTTGCTCGCCGCCTTAATGTGCTTTAATATGTACTTAGGCCCGCCGGCTTAGGGCCAAGTTAGTTGGCTGGCTAGCTGGATGGCCAACGGTTTCGGGTTTCGGGTAGTTGTTAAAACCGAATTACGGCAGTGCAATGCCCGGTGTTTTGCTATGGTTTTTGTTTTTTCTGCCTTTCCAGCAAATTACTTTCTCCCAAAAAAAAGCCGAAAATAAAAAAAAGGTTTTTCAATTTGGGAGAGTGCCCATGCCCAGTGACCTAAACTCAATTGGCAATGGTCTGATTAACCCAAGCCAAGGGCACAACAAGCCCATTTCCCTGCCAACAAAACAGATAGTAGATGTGATCTGGATGTTCCTTTTTTCTTTTTTTTTTTTTTTTTTTTTGTTGTACTCACAGCAGAGCCCGGTTTAAAGTTGGTGAATAAATTAACACCTTCGGCCGTTAATTTTCCTGACAAGGTACACCCAGGATTGCTTTTCGCACATAAACTTAAGCGGTTTCTTTTTCGGTTTTAACTTTGTTAACTTCACTTTGCATCTGCTGGCAGCATTTTCACACATTTCTTCGGCAGCATTTTCTGCACGTTTTTCAGCATTTTTGAAACATCTTCATCTCGTGCCACACACTCGAAGACAACACTAAAACAATCTGAGCCGCGATAAATGTTATTGTTTTTAGAAAATTCGCCTCGTTTCGTTTCGGTTTCTTTTGTTTTTCCCTGATGGCCGCAAAGAAAGCGAAGACAGCGGCGGCTTTTCTTCGCGTTTGGGGTTTTTGGTCACTTGGCTGGGGGGATTTTCTTCTCGTTCGCTTTTCTTTTCTCGACCCGCTAAGACGTCTATCAAGGTCGCCGTCGGTGGAGCGACTGCCAAAGCGATCGTGGCCCAAAGAAACCAAAGCCCCGAGTCGTGGAAAAGATCAGAAGAGAGTGAGGCGGTGGTGGTGCGCTCTTAAACGAGTTTTCTTTTACCCAACTCCACGCTCTTATATCTCGAAAGTATAAGTTCGGCTTGTGAGTGTTTTGACAAATTGTACAACCAACTGCTAGGTTATAGCCAAGTGTTGTGATGTGTGAAGCCGAAGATCTCCGGCTGCAGAAGACTAATTAACGAAGACTGGGACAGGTTCTGCATCGCACATACGCCGTGTGGTCGGCGGCGGCGGAAAATGACAGGAATCCCCAGTACCGTTTCGAAGATTCACGCTCCAGTTTGATAAAAGCCGTGGACCAAGAAAAAAAAAAAGGAAAAACACAAACAAACGTCATTTGTCATTGGTTCAACTCAATTTATGACAATTTACCCGCTTTAGTTGCGCTCGAGTGTGCAGCTGCGTTTCATGGAATCTTCAGATCCGAAGAACTGCGAGGCAGAAAAACTGAAGATTCCAAGATCTGAAGATCCAAAGATCCAAAGATCCGGAGATCCGTGCTGCAGAACAAGTGAAAACTTTCGAAAAGCTATACGGCAGGTGGAGTTATGGGGCTGCCTCGAATTACACAGCCAATCTGTTTGACATAAGCGAGTTATAACATATATAGTAAGGCGGTCGGGGCAACAAGCCAAAAAGACAATTACCGCAAACTGGTTTCAATTAAAAACAGTTAAGCAGCACTGGCACAAAAGCCCGCAGAAAGACACAAAACAAAAAAACATATAGAAATATATAGAAATATTGGCATCTCCTTTTGCTGGCGCTGCGTACGTGCAGTTTCCCAGTTGGAGACTCCAAACTAGTGTCTTCAGTACCGCAGTCTTCAGTACGCCAGTCTTCGGTCTACAGTCTACAGTTTGCCGTCTGCAGCCTTCATCGTCTTCATTCCCATCTCGTCTGGCCAATAATTATACTTTAGTTGGCGACGCGGCTGCAACTATTTGCTTTGGCTGCATTTACAGTTTTGGTTTTTTGCCGCTAAAGTTGCCGCCCGTCATTTAGAAAGTTTTAGTTTCGCAGATCTCCATCTAATGATACCCAAGATCCCGCCTTCTTGCCCACTTGGCTACCACTCCGCATTATCCATTTAGTCCATATAGAGTTCTCGGTAAATGGCCCATCGATCGATGTATTTATGTTTTTATGACTGTGTCTATCTGCATTTCATGACGCTCAATGCTCGAATTTGTATTTCTGTGTCAGTCGGCGATTCGAATCTCCTGATGGCTGTGGCCATGGCCGAATGCTCCTTTGGGCTCTTATCTATCTGGCTGGAATAAATTTGTGGTCGATTTGGCATTGCGTTACCTACACACAATTGCCCGCGTATCTGTTCGCCATTTACCCATGCATGATCCATAAATCTTTAACTGTAAAAGAAGCCAGCTCCAGCTTCAGTTTCAGCTTCAGTTCCAGGTTCAGATTCAGGTCCAGGTCCAGGTCCCGGTTCAGGACCACATGCACATCCACAGCCCGGTCCTCGTCCATGTCGTTGTCCATGTCCACATCCATGTTGAGGTCCAACTTATGCAAACTTTGGGCACACGTCTCTAGATCGCCGGCGGTGCAGCGGTGAGTCGTCTGATCTGTGGCTGCTGCTGCTGGAAAACTGGGAAACCAGTTCACGTCTGGGATGAGTACACTAAGAAAAAATCATATATAGTTGAGAAAGAGTGTATTCGTATCTTCTTCTCTAAAGGGAAACCTCTTCTTTTGTTCCTAAAGGCAATTGAGTCTACTAATCTCCGTAACTTATTTATCACTTTCAGTAATGAGTTGGAGTTTATTATTTGTATAAATATTTCCCTGTGCACCAGGATTGCGGAGCTCCTCCTCTGACTTACAGCTCCCTCTGGCCAACATTATTCCCCATGTTGGCTAGTTATTGATACGCCAGTGGCGGCGGAGTGGAGTGTGCGGACGAGCTAAACAAACTTGCAATTGTATTCATAAATAACTATTGAGAAATGTGTTCTTTTTTCTCCACGTCTGCGGTCGCGCACTTATTACCAATTGCTTCTGCAATAAACATGAAAATGCGCTCATTGAACTTGGTCCACATCGAAACCCGAGTCCATAACGGTTAATGGAGGATGCGATGGTGATTCCCGCTCTGGGGATTTGGTAGTTACTTAAGCTGCCCACTGACCGAGATCTCTGCATCCCTATATCATCCAACTTGTTCACATTAAAGCCTGAATTAATTACAATATTTTATGTAAGCTAAAGTAGGTTTCTTTGAGGATTGTTTAATAAAATGTGCACATGATTCCTAGATTTCTAAAAGGGGAGCGACAAGCATTTAATCACTCGAACTGGAAATTAATGAATGCACATCACGCGTTTTTCCCGTCATAGCATTTATAATTACTTCTCGGCTCCTTTGCTCTCGTGCTCTTTAATGGGTAATTAAAAATCAGGTGTCAAACCATAATCTATATGGCTACCATTTTCAGCAAGTGATTTTTAATGGCTCGTAAAGTTTAATGAACGCAATAGAAATTAATGGACAAGTATGTTTAAGTTTAGAATTTCCATCACATAAAATCCTTATGGGATGTACTTATGTTTTTTTTACTTGCTTAAAACCTCTTTTACTGGCCATTAAAATCAGGTGTCAATCAGAGGCAATTAAGAGTAACACGCTGATAATTGTTATTACTCTCCTTGCTCGGATTGAATAATTAAAGTCCTGGCAGGCGACTGAGTCATTAGCCAGAATCCCCATTGCGTGTGGCAATATTTGGATGTGGATTTGATGGCCTGGCAAAGTGGCGTATGACAGCGCCATGGGGTTGCGTGTGCATCCTGGTCAAGATCCCATAGCTATATTACCCTTCGGGCTTTCAGAGGCCGAGTTCCGGGGCCTATCCATCCATCGCGATGGTTGATTGACGGCCAACAAGCCAAATGCATTTCAATTAAACGCTAACCGCTACGATTCTACAATATTTCCATTTCTGGGCGAGGAGTTAGCGATCTTGTGTGTGAGTCTGTGTCTGCGTTTATTTGTCTGGTCAGGTGTGCTCCGATCTGCAGTGTTTTTCGTGACCAGAGCGAAGCAGTCCATGGCAATCCAAAGCGAACCGAACCGAACCGAACCCAAACTGAAACCCAAACCCGTAGGAGAACAATTCCAGAACAGCGGTCAACTCATCAGTATGCTGTATAAATTAGAGCATCAAACGGCGCTTTGCCAACTCGGAACTGGTCTATACTGTTACTGCTGCAGCACCACTATCCCCATCCACGATGCGATTCAACTATTCAACTGTGGATGAGGTGCTGCATGTGGCTACAATCGCTTCTGGCTTCTCCAATGGAATGGGTTGGGATGGGTTGGGAGATGGAATGGCTATGGCCATGGGAGTGCAATGACGAGGCGCGGAGTCATCGACGCAACTTGTGCACATATTGTTTCGAAATTGATATCAATTTGTTTTAATGGCCGGCCCATTATGGAGCCATTATATGGTTAGTCCGTGGGTTACAATAAAACACACTTTGTTACAAGCATTACGGACGCCAAGCCAAACAACCCATCAATTTGGACGGGGCTGTTGACTCGTGCTCCTGGACTCCATCGACTCGTCTCTCGTCTAATCCCAGATTGATTCCAATGGCCTTGCTAAATGCCCATGTCCAACCATCCGACATCGTCGGTTAATAAATGGCATATGCATGCATGTTGCCATGGAAGCGGATGTCCAGACACCAGAACCAGTAAACGAATCTCGATCCAGCCCACGGGATTATGACGGAAAGTGTGCTGGTGGAAATTTGAATAGCGAACTGGAACTGGATTTATAACATATCGATGTCTCCGAGGAGCCCCGTGGGGATCCTGATTAAGACATAACTCATTCTGCACAGTTTACTTATGCGGATGGTGGTCCATGGAGGTGACGCGCCACAGGAAGTTTATGATCCAGGTTGATTGAACCCAGCCCATCGCGACTATTTGGTTGGCTGGATGGAGTGGGGATCACTTTGCGGTGATCATGTTTTGCTATACGCTTCAAAAACTGTGAATAAACAGAAGCCTGGCATTTATGCGATATATTATACATTGTTCTTAATGATGCTGATGATCTAATAGAGCGCCCGAGTCACGCGAATTTAGAGTCGGGTTCATTGAACGCCATACAGAGTGACCGAAAGGTCCATCAAACCATCAAACAATCAAACCGTCAAACAATCAAACCACATATCATCCGATGTGTCAGTGGAAATCGATCAAAGCAGTGCGATTTGCAGCACATGTTCTCAATGCAATCATTTGAGGAAATCAACTTGGTGGGCGTTGCCAGCAAAACAATTGCTTATAAACATTGTAATTAGGCCCTTGGGGCCTTCTTGTATAAAAGGAGCTGGCCGCCAATCCAGGGAACAGTTTATAGGAATGGCTGACTTGGGTTATCAATCAAATCTTGGCCTCTTGCGGCGGTTCTTCGACGAGTTCCGGGGAGTAAGCCGCCAGGGAGACTCCTGGCCTCATCCCACGCCTCGCACTCAACTACGTTCGCGCCGCCCTGAGGTGAGTGGTGTTGCATCACCTATTCATCCATCTTTCCTAATCTTTGTAATCCACTTTTTGCTCTTTGCACACCCACAGTTTGCTGTGCTCGTATCCCAACAAGAAGCTGGCCAGCTTGCCTCTTTACCGGTGGATCAACCTGTTCATTCTGTGCAACATAATGAACATATTGTGGACCATGATTTTTGCCCTGCCGGAAACCAAGAATGCGATCGATATGGGCGACGACCTGGTGTGGATTTCGGGGGTGAGATTCTACTCTGATTCACCACCCACTCAACGGGCACAAAACTAATGGAACTCTCCAACTGACAGATGGCTCTTGTTTTCACCAAGATATTCTACGTGCATTTGCGCTGCGACAAGATCGATGAACTTATTTACGATTTTGACTACTACAATCGCGAACTGAGGCCCCATAATAACGATGAGGAGGTTTTGGGCTGGCAGAGGCTGAGTTACTTGGTAGAATCGGGGCTATATATGAATTGTTTCTGCTTGGTCAACTTCTTTAGTGCGGCCATCTTTCTGCAACCTTTGATTAGCGAGGGCAAGCTGCCCTTCCACTCCGTTTGGCCCTTTCAATGGCACCGAATGGACCTGCATCCCAATAAGTTCTGGGCCCTCTACATCTGGATGAGTGTTACCTCGCAGCACAACCTTATGAGCATCCTCATGATCGACATGGTGGGTATTTCCACTTTTCTGCAGACTGCCCTCAATCTCAAGCTGCTGTGCATCGAGATGCGGAAACTGGGTGAAATGAGGGTCAGTGATGCCCGGTTCCACGAGGAATTCTGCAAGGTGGTTCGTTACCATCAGCACATCATCAAGTGAGTTTCTTTTGTCTTAATACCAGGACTATCGAGTATGTTTTGTAGACTGCTCGAGAAAGCCAATAATGCTTATAATGGCGCCTTCAATGCCCAAATGATATCCAGCTTCTCACTGATTTCTATATCCGCTTTTGAGACAATGGCTACGGCGGCTGTGGATCCCAAAATGGCAGCTAAATTTGTGCTTCTTATGGTGGTGGCGTTCACCCAATTGTCGCTTTGGTGCATCTCAGGCACTTTGGTTTATACACAGGTAGGGATTTACTACGTTTGAACATTGATCTTCAAATAAGTTCATAAATGAGTGGGTAAAAACTTTGTTTTACTGATCTAAAGATGGCAATTTTTAGATGAGCTTAAACTTTTACTATCTTTTACAGTCTTTGGAAGTTGCTCAGGCTGCTTTTGATATAAATGACTGGCACACGAAGGCTCCAGAAATCCAAAGGGACATATCATTTGTGATCATGCGAGCCCAGAAACCGTTGATGTATGTGGCCGAACCCTTTTTGCCCTTCACCCTGGGAACCTACATGCTAGTAAGGACATAAAACCAATTAACTAGTTGCAAAACTAATTAACTACTTATTAGGTTCTAAAGAACTGCTATCGCTTGCTGGCCCTGATGCAGGAATCAATGTAGTTCGTAGCTTGTAGCTTGTGAAAATAAAAGTTGAACTCTTTCTGGGCATTTGCATTTGCATTTGCATGGCTCGTTTAGGTTGTCGCCGCGCCCAAACGACACTCTCGTGGGGCATCATTAACAATGGGGACGGGCCACGCACACCCAGCGGCGACAGGTGGAGCTGCCCAGCTGCAAAGTGCAGAGGAGGAGTCCGCGATGCACTGCCTCTGGAGCCAGCCTCGAACTTATTCAGACGTGACACGCATTGTCATGATCTGACCCAAACGCCAAACGCCGAATGCCAGACAATGAAGAGCGGCGATCGTTTAGTATTCGCTTGGTATTTAACATTTGGAGTTGTCCACTTGGGGGACACTAGGTGATGCTGCTCCATGCCCTTCACAAGTGGGAAGTGGGAAAGTCGCCCGTGTCCATGAAACGTTGACCGGCCGAAATGTCATTATGTGCCATGTGCACATTCGGCCAGAACGAAAAGCTCCACCACTTTTAAAAACTTCAACAACACACCCAATTCCCGGGTGCGTGTACTACTGCACTGAGAAAAAATATGATACTCATTTTTTTTCTTTAATATATATTCTATACTTGGTTCTTACTGTCTCAAGGGTGACATAAAGTTCCAACCTTTTCACGCTTAAAATTATAGATTGTTTTATTATACATATTATATTATAATGTTTTATTAATGCTTTTATTAATCAAGAATTTATTTCATACTCTGGGATCGAGTTAAATGATTTTAAAATTAAATTAAAGATCAATCCAACTTTTTTTCTGTAAGTCGGCGACTCCCCAATTTGGAGGATGGAGTGGGTGGTTGGCCGGCGGTTCGTTGGGGGTGGGCTTTTGTCAACTCCGGTCTGCTCGCCGCACTGATTAACATTTGAATGGCAATCCACGTACGAGCATTTAGAACATTGTGTCCATGGCTCTTTGTTGCTGTCTCCACATCTAATTAATTCCCCTTTTCGACCATTGTTGCCATGGAGTCGCTGCCACTGCCGCTGCCCCCGCTAATGTTAATCGCATTGGCAATCGCGATGGTAATGGTAATCGTAATGGTCCAACCACCGATCCAACTGCAGACCAGCGGCCAAGTTGGGTTCTCCAATTCAGTTTGTCGCGCCATATTCTAACGATCGGTCGGGTTCGGTCCCCAAATAAGCATCTGCCCACATAATCGCTTCAAATCTATCATATTATATCCCATTACTCAAGGGATATCCTTGAAACCATAAACGGTATTTAAATTAATTAAGTGGTTCTTGAAAAGCAAACATAAATTTACATGTGATTGAATTTCTGAAATTTAAAGAAATTTTTGGAACTCTATAAACTGTATTAATGTTTTTTGTATCCAAGGACATTTAATTTTCCCGAAAGTGGAATACCAGTATATGTTATTCCATAGTTGGTTGTGTTCCAAAAACTACAGGATCATCAAGGATAAAAAAAGTGAATAGTGAATATCAAAAATGATAAAGGATAAAGGACATATAGCATAAAATAATATTCGGTTCAATGCATATTCAAAGTTTCATTATCCTTTAGTATCCTCTTTTCCTTTATAACTATCCATACATAATTTCACAATTCTAGGTGAGCTTTTTAAATTTAAACGCGACACTTTCCAAGTACAGCCACCACTTGAGGTCAATAGCTAACGTTTCCCCAAAACTCTTTCGGCTTTTGTGCGGCGGTTGGGCGGAGAGCATAAAGAGTTGAGTGGACAATAAGCCGGAAGCGACATCCGGAGTTGCGGATCGATATGAGTCGAGCGACACGTAGCTAGGCTAGATTTTCGTTTAATGATCCAAATTCACGTTACGCATTGTGCACATTATGGCGGCAGAAAGGCAGAAATATATTTAACTATTCATGTGATTTTCCCATTTTCCACCCGCCGCCACACTTCTCGCCGCGGGGAAATTCTCCGTATTGAGGTCGCATATTTCATGTCATTTTGTCAGCCAATGAACTAATTAGATCATGTCGGATAAACCAGCGGGACTAACCACGAATTCTGATTCCAGTTAAACAGCACGCAATAGTTTCGACACCAGAAAGCCACCAGGTTGCGGCTAATAATGCCGCGATCAAGCTAGGAACCACCTTTCGAAGTAATTTTAAATTGAATCACAGTGGATCGTGGACAATGAAACCCAAAAAGGGATTACACCTGCTGCTGACGGCCCTACTGGTCAGTCTAAGTCTTAGCGAAATTAATGGTAAGTTCAAGTTTAACATAAAACATTAAAACATTTTATTGTACTGAAGAAATTTGTTAAGCCATCTTACAATAATATATTCTAAATTGGAAGAAGATGTAATAATTAACAGCAGAGGGATCTTATACTATAAAATCGTTCACGCGCAGGTCAAACAACCTGCAAAAATGGCTTGGGTCGAGTGCTCTATGAAAGATTGCCGAACCAGCAACTTCAGGGTTATGATGACGATGTGGTGAGGGATACGGCACCACCGTTCCGGGTGCTGGAGAAGTGCCAGGACTTGTGTCTTCGGGACCGTTCCGGATCCAATAATCTGGTGCGAACCTGCACCAGTTTTGATTTCCAACCAGGCAGTCGAATCACCTCCTTTGGAGGCAATTCTGAGTACGAAGAATCCCTGTGCTATTTGACCTCCGAGCAGGCTGGACCCGAGGGAATTGGAAGTCTGATGCTGGTTCCCAACAGTGTGCACTTCAATGAAATATGTCTGACTTGTAAGGGATTTAAAAAACCTTTAAAACATTCCAGTTTGTGAATATCTTCTCCCTTCTTTAGCGAGTCGCCCGGAGAGGGAATGTCCCAGCAGAAGATATGTATTCGAAAGGCATCCTCGCAAGAAACTAAAGCTGCCCATCAGTGACATCAAGGAGATAACTGCTGCAAATCGCTCGGATTGTGAGGATAAGTGCTTGAATGAGTTCTCCTTCGTTTGTCGATCGGCAAACTTCGATTCCACAATGCGATCCTGCACGCTGAGCAGATTCACCCGGCGCACTCACCCAGAACTAATGGAAGATGATCCCAACTCCGATTACCTGGAGAACACCTGCCTGAATGGTAAGTCCAAAGCACACAGTCCAAATGACTTAATTCAACCCCCGGGAACCATTGATTAGCCGAGCGGCGTTGCGATGGACTGGCTGTTTTTGTCAAGGAGGAGAACAAACGCCTGGGTGGCCCCTTCGAGGTGGACATATTCAATAACATGACGCTGGAGGAGTGCCAGACCATGTGCCTGCGGGCCGAGAAGTAAGTACTGCGGCTAATAGCTCTATTTTCAGCGACGCTTTAGCTAATTGCACACACAAACCGCAATCCCACAGATACTTCTGCCGATCCGTGGAGTTTGACGACCAGAGCAAACAGTGCATCCTCTCGGAGGAGGACTCCATCTCGCAGAAGGATGACATTAGCATCAGCTCCAGTCCCACACACCATTTCTACGATCTCGTGTGCCTCGATAATCGTAAGTGGCTACCGTAAAGACCCTCTCGTGTGAGCCGAGAAAAGTCAACAGCGACAACAAGATTACAGTGGTGCATCCCATCACAACGGTCGCATCCACATCCACATCCACATCCACATTCGACTTCTATTACCCCAACCACCAACTATATACTGTACTATACTATGTTGTTTTCCCGTTGCAGAACGAGCCAACGATTATCCAGATAACTCAGTCACCTCGCACCTCTTCTCCAGCGGCCGGCGGCCAGATACGGCATTCCAGCGGTACCGCAACTCCAGGCTGGGCGGTGAGTTTCACTCCGAGATCACCGGCCGTTCGCTGAGCGAGTGCCTCGACGAGTGTCTTCGCCAGACGAGCTTCCAATGCAGGTGCGTTTTCAGTTGCCGTTGTCTTGATTCTAGTTTCGATACCCTAACACAAGATACTTTCGCTGGCTGATCCCATAGCTTTAAGGGAAAAGTAGAAATGTAGACTTACAAAGATGTTGAATCCATTAAACCTTTATAACTATATATATTATATTATATATTATATTATAATTTTTAGGGTATTCCCATCTTCGTTGTCCTTAATCCACTTAATCGTTCTGGTTCTCCTACTGCCTCACTAACGAAACCACTCTATCCTCTCGCAAATTACAGGTCTGCTGTGTACAGCGATCGTTTTCGTACTTGTCGCCTGAGTCGGTACAATCAAAAGGACGGCATGCGCATTATATACGATGCTGATTATGATTACTACGAGAATCTAATGTGTAAGTTGCAAGAGGAGGTGCTAATAGCGGACCAGTAATCCCTGACTTTGCTGCTGGTTGTGGTACTTGTTTCTATCCGCAGTGAACGTGGTGGGCGGAGGCGCCGACGGCGATGGCGGTGGCCACGGAGTCAGTGGCGATGGCAAGCGACCCGGGGATCAGTCGGGCAGCAACTGGAGACAGCCTAACAAGCACGACGACCGCTACGGGTCAGGCGGTTCAGCCGGCGGAGGAGGATCGCACGGGGGAACGGGTTCTGGCGGCTCTCGACTGCCGACAGGCGAGGGCGTCGACTATGGCCGGCCATACGATCGTTATCCGGACTTTGCGAGCAACGAATATGGTAGGTGGTGCTGCACTTTATGATCTCTAAATTAGCTTTTAATACCCACTTTAACCCCGAACAGATCGCAATCCTTATGGCGGAGATCGCGACAGAGATCGCTACCCGCCAGATCGTTATGGCTCCCGATATCCCGCCGGCGGAGATGGAATGGGCTATGGCAGACCGTATGATCGTTTCCCCGATGATTATGGTAAGTTGAGTTGGATAACTTGATAAGCCCTTATAACCCTTAATGTCACAACTATAAAATAAGCTCACTTATTGCTAATTCTACTGACAACTAATTCACTAACCCCACGCCAGATCGGTACCCAGGTGGTCCGGCTGCCAATGGCGATAGAGACCGCGACCGGGAAAGGGATCGAGATCGGGATCGTTATCCAAGCGCTGATCGAGATCGCTATCCAATGGATAGAGATCGCTATCCCGGCGACCGGGATCGTTATCCAGGAGCTGGCGACAGGGATCGCTATCCGGACACCTATCCACCGGAGCGTTATGCGGACAGATACGGGGATCGACGATATCCGGACAGGGAGAGGGATCGAGATCGCGATAGATTGCCTTACCGCCCACTGCCCTATCCCGGAATCAACGACAATAGCCTCCCCAGTGACCTGCCCCACACTCGACCCTATCCCACGGATGATGATGCTCCCTTCCGGCCGTACGGATACGGAGGTGGACGCTACGGGGAAAACAGATACGACAGTCGCTACCCTGCATCGCGTTTTCCACCTGGTCGCGAACGAGATCCTGTGGGCGGTTACACGGGAAGAGATGCCCCGGATAGCATTTTCCCGGACAGAAGGTACAGACCTTCGTCCCTGGATGGTCCGAGGTATCCGTACTTGCCCGACTCACGTGGTCCACCGGGCAGATACGATGACATCGTACACAGTGCCAGGAGACCAGAACCCGACTCTGCGAAAAGATACCCCCCGGCCCCAATTGCTCCAACGGGAAGTGCTAGCAAGTACGCCTCTACTCCAAACCGGTTTCCGGTAGGTAACGATCGCTATCCCATTGACATCTACAAGTACGGCAATCGTCCGGGACCCAATGATATTGGCAGGCGACCGGGTAAGTACTTCGGAACGGGACTAACCAACTACCACTCGTAACCCGTAACCCATTTGGTGGCAAGTAAAGATAGAAGTAGATCAATGCTAACTAGTGTACTTAATTAGGCCTGGAACGTCCGCCACCTCCTTTCTATGATTACGACTATGAGGAGAGATATGGAGATAGGTATGGACCCTACGATCGGGAGTACGACGGTCCGCCGGGAAGAAGACCTCCAAGCGGTGGTCCCTACGGACGCTACGATAGTCCCTTCAATCGACCCTACGGCGGTAATGGTCTGGACGATCGTCCTCTGCCCCTCCCCGGATTAGGTCTCTCCCATCCACCCACCGCTTACGGAGGAGGTGGAGGTCATGTGGGTGTGGGAGTGGGGGTGAGCTCGGGTCCCCGACCTCCGATCACACGGTGCGAGGAGAGCGACAACTTCAAGCAGATTGCCGCGCGGCACAAGATGCGTCGCCACTTTGTGCGACGAGCTCTGATCGTTCCGAGTCTCATCCAATGCGAGCGGGAGTGCATCGAGAGCCGGGACTTCGTGTGCCGCAGCTTCAACTATAGGTGGGTGGGGAAAGGGGGATGCAGATACAAGATAAGCGCTACACGAAACGCTACAAATTCACATTGCAAATTTCAATTTGCAGAGACTCGGCCGCCTCCAGCTACGAGGACAGAGATAGGGATCGGGATCGCGAGTCGCCAAACTGTGAGCTGAGCGACAGAGATTCGCGGGAGCTGGACATCCACGATCCGGGCACCTTCGACGCCTCCAACTATGATTTCTACGAGCGCAGCATCGGACGCAGTGATGGCGAGTGCATGGACGGTGGGTGGAGAGCTGGCTGAAATGATCATGTATCTTAATTAAATAAAATGCATAATGTATAATCTAGTGACACAAACCTGTAATGAGGAGGGCATGGAGTTCACCATTCGCACACCGGAGGGTTTCTTGGGGCGGATTTATACTTATGGATTCTATGATCGCTGCTTCTTCCGTGGGAATGGAGGCACTGTCAACGTATTGAGGCTCAGTGGACCTCAGGGTTATCCCGACTGTGGAACTCAGCGGGTAAGTGACCTAACCACTTGGAAAGCTGGAAAAAAATTCATTAAAAATGTATTTTTCAGTATGGCGATACCTTGACCAACATTGTAGTGGTTCAATTCTCGGACAATGTGCAGACGAGCAGGGATAAGCGCTACAATCTGACTTGTATTTTCCGTGGTCCGGGAGAGGCGGTGGTTAGCTCCGGTTATATAGGAGCAGGGTAATACGGATTCCAAATTTTCTCCGACTTTTTCCCACTCACACTTTTTACTTGCAGATCTGGTAGTCCCATTCCCATCGAATACTTACCAGCTGAAAATACTTTGAGTTCCAAGGTTCGCTTGAGTATTTTGTATCAGGGAAGACCCACCACCACCATTGCAGTGGGTGATCCTCTGACCTTCCGGTTGGAGGCGCAGGATGGCTACAACCATGTGACAGACATCTTCGCCACCAATGTGGTGGCCAGGGATCCCTATTCCGGACGCAGCATCCAGTTGATTGACAGATTCGGTTGCCCTGTGGATCCGTTTGTATTCCCTGAGTTGGACAAACTGCGCGATGGTGACACTCTGGAAGCCCGCTTCAATGCCTTTAAGATACCCGAGTCAAACTTCCTGGTCTTTGAGGCTACCGTTCGCTCTTGTCGCGAAGGATGCCAGCCGGCTTATTGTCCCGGGCCAGCGGGTCGCCAGGAACCTTCCTTTGGCCGCCGGCGAAGATCGCTTAACACCACAGAGGAACCCGAACCGGAGGCACTGGCTCTGGAGGGCAGTAGACAACTGGAGGCTTCCAACTCAGACGAAGTCACCGTGGTCAACAGCACCACTGTAAGTGCAACTTTGGGACAGGCTCCTTTAAATGAGACTCAATCGGGTGAGAAGGCCAAGGAGAACGAGGAACCCGAGCAAGTGCGGGAAATGATTGAGGTGATTAGTGAGTAAAGAGAACGATCCACAGAATGTAACAAATCTGCTTTAGGTGTTTGAAACCCGGGAGGAAATAGAGAAGGAGTCGTATCCCCGCAAGCTGGTGGCCCCCGTGGAAACTGTGTGCATGACTCCCGCCGAGTATCACGGGCTAATCACAGCCATTATTCTCCTAATGATCCTGCTGTTCAGCATTACGCTGGTGGCGGGTCTAGGCTACAGGTAGGGAGTGCTTAAGAACCCAATCTAATCCAAAGATCGATGCTAATTGGAGATATATTTGCAGGCGCTACTGGAAATCCATCTCAAAGAATCGACTGGTGGACAGGCACTCCCCGATCCATTCGCTCGGACACTCCCATTCCTCCATACGCACCCATGAGCGGTTCACCGAGATCGGACACATGCCCAACCTGAACGGAGGAGGAGGTGGAGGAGGCGGCGGAGGAGGAGGAACTGGGGGCGGAGCCAATCAGAGCGCATCGAATCGGGCCTCAAACGCTTTTCGCACCAACATGTCCATGTTCGGCGGCTCATTACACAAGACGTTTGCCACGGGGTGAGGAAAGGCAGGCGGCCAGTCGAGTCGTCGTCAATCGCCAACCGGTCCACTTATGGGGTGCCTAATGTCTTTACAGAAACTTGGCGCGCATGTGCCAGCTGCCGGTGATAAATCCCATGCGTAGTGCAGCACAGAGTGGCCACCAGTTCGAGGATCCCAGCGAGCCCATCTACACGGATCCCTCGCTCTTCGAGCGTTCCAGGCAAGTGGCCGTCCAACCCGTAACAGATCCGCAGAAAAAGCCCCCATCCACCGTTTGCAATTGTAAATATGTTCGCCTTTTATTCCGATTTGTCTAACCGTCACTCGACTACAAGGGTCTGCAGACGCAGAGGCCCACCTTGTTGCAAAGTCCATCCCGTCCGCCGGCTATTTGGCAATGGGTAGTGCACCAGTCGCCTTGCAACTGGCACAGGCCAGTGAACGTGGGCATATCACCTGTAACTAAACCAGAAGTTAACTCCCAAGTTAGGCACTATCTCCGGCTTTGAATCGGACTCACTTGCATGGGCACCGACTAAACAGACTAACAAAATAGCCAGACAGATGCGTAGGTATTCCATGCTGATGTGCTGTCGGATTCAGACTAAAAGTCAAGTCGTGAAGGCGATAGCCCGTATCAGTCAACCGAATCTCGAACTCATCTTTCGTCGCTGTTCTCTTGCGAAACATTTGACTTGTATTTAAAATGTAAATTACTGATAATTTCCATTTCCATTTTGTGTTTCATTCACAGATCGCTGCGAAGTCTGACTATGGTGGCCGAGTCCGAGGACAATCAGGAGGTCTGAGATCCAAACTCCAATCCTCCTGTGATTAGTTGTAAATAAGCTAAAGGTTCTAAACTCCATTTAATCAAAGACAACCCGACAAGTATCCACACGCGATATATCTTTACGCTAGCTAAATGCGTGGAGGAGCCTCGAATATTCAAGTAGCCTAAGAAGTGCACCACTGACCAGTATCCAAATATTATGATCTTATGCTATTTAACATAGTTTACCTAAGCCTAACAACAGAAAACACAATTATTCTCTATACCAGCTAAGATATGAAACGCAATAAAGCCTAAACTTATCCATAACGCAGCCGACTTTCGTTCTGCCCGAGGGAATGCAAAAGCGGTCATTAATCAGCGTGCAGGAGGATGCAGATGCAGATGCAGTGGCACATTGAGTGGCTTGGCCACTCGAGGGTTAACGAGCCAGGCCAATTGCCAATTGCGGTGGCAGTTTCCGCTGCAGACAGTAGCCAGCGGGGATTTGCAGTTAGAGCTGGAGGATCGGTCATAGGCCGGCGAATAAATCAAGCAACAGGGCGGCTACTGAACGTAACTGAAAATAAGCCTCTCTGGCTTAGTGGGTCACGCAACTTTGCATATCATTAGGAACTCTTTCTAGCTGCATACTTCTGTAATTAGGAGCTTATTATTCGCGTTGGACAGTCCTATCATTAGTCGAAAAACACATTTTTCCATTCCTTTGCATACAGTTTAATTAACACTCTCGAATAATTTAAAACCTTTCATTGCACACTTAAACATACATGAATAAATTAATGCTGATACGGAAACCCCTTTTGGGCCCTCCTTATTGCCGCTCTTGACTAGCACAATTGAAAAGCGATCGACAAGAAAGCCTTGCAAATGCCTTCTTGGTGGGATTTTGGACCAATGCTACTCAATATTGTGGCTGAACCGTAGCACGCCTAACAGCTAACATAAGTTACGAATTATAGTTTACATTATTTACAGAAACTAGTACCTAGCCCTTTAGTCGTCAAAAAAGAGTATTTCTAAGATTCGCTTTTGTGCACTTTTCTTGCGTTCCTTGTTCATCTTGAGAAGCTCCGTGGTGACCAATTCGCCCAGTAGATGTTCCGACAATCGCTGCACGCCCGGATGATTGGGCGGTGCCTGGAATTTCCCGAAGTTTGAGGGGTGTGAACTGTTGGCCTGATGTGGAAACTGCTGGTACAACTGGAATAGGAAGTCAGTGTTCGACGGAAACATATTCTGGTGCTGTTGTTGTTGCTGATTGTTGTGACTGTTGCTGTTGCCGCTGGCGTTGTGGCTCCCGCTATTACTGCTGGTGTTATTTCCATTTCCATTTCCATTGCCTCGCTGCATACCCATCGAATTACTGTAGTGATTCTCATGCTGCATCAACACCTGCGGCTCCATCAGATCATGGCTATTGTCGTCGGAATCGTCATCCGAATCGTTGCCAAAGTGACTGCCATTGCTGGTCATTTGGTTGTGTGCACTGCCATTCAGCTGAACACAGGGTTTCTTCATGTGGAAATTGCTGCTTGCTGATGAGTCCATATCGTCGCCCTTGGCGTTGTAGACATGTGACTGCTGCATCTGAAGGTTGGAACTGGTGCTGATGTTACTGCCTGGGGCGCTGGAAGAGGAATGTACTACCGGTAGCTGCTGACCAGATGCCGGCGACTGTTGTTGCGATTGCTGCTGCAGTTGTTGCTGCTGAGGATGTTGGGTGCCAGCCCCGATTCCCTGCAGCGGCGACGACAGCGGCGACTTCATCGAGGACGATGTGGAGGTCAGGCTGCCGGCGCTATTCTGCGCTCCGTTGACGCCTACAGAGCCATCCTTGTACTGATCCTGATAGCCTTGCGAAGAGTCGGCCATCACAGCCGCAACGGCAGCCGCTTGCTGTTGCATCTGAGACTGAGAGATATGCTGGAGCTGATGCGAGGCCACTGCTGCAGCGAAGTCCTTGAAAACCTGGTCCGCCTCAATCTTTACTTGGCCATTAACATTCTCCAGGGCCGAAGCCGCGGCGGTGCTCAGGGCACTCATGCTATGCTGCTGGTCCGGTTGGTGGTAGTGGTGCCCCTGACCGGAGCTGCCAAACTGGGCCACACTGTTCATGGAGCCATTCGACTTGTCCACCTGGTACTCGTTGTAGCTAGAGCTGTTGGCGGAATGCGGCGATGTGAGGAAGTTGCGCACATGGCGATAGGACTTGCGCGGCTGGATGTGCTGGTCCAGGAACTTCATCTTCTCCAGATAGGGGCGCGACAGGTGTTCGTAGACAGGCGGATCGCCCTGCTTCCGTTGGGAGACGTAGCGCTCACGCAGGTACTTCCATCGCTTCTTGCAGGTGTCCACTGGAAAAGAAAACAAACTTTATACACAAACTTTGGCCGGAGGAGCTCCTCTTTCTCACCGTCCGTACGGAGCTTCATCGCAATCAGTTGCCAGGCCTCATCCTTCGTCTCGTACTTTCCGCCATTGGCTCCTCCGTTCAGGTAGTACTTCTGCCGGTTGTAGATCACCCCGTGCTGGGCCACTTCGTCAATTAGCTGTTCATCCATCATGTTAGTGTAATTTGCGTTTGCAGCTGCCAATTTGCATTCGGTGTATGTCAGGCCATTTCCAACACTGACCGCGGTGTGGCCAGAGCGTGGTTATTGCAAGGTATCATTATACAAACAATTGTAAGTCACTTAATAGGGGGAAAAACATTTGTTATTGTTGTTTCTATAACAAATTCGGATTACAAACTATTTAAAGAGAAAACAGTAAAAGGATACATAATATCAAAGAGGTCCTTGCTATAGGAGATAAAGTAACTTTCTTTCATAAATAAAAGCCATCAAATAGCTTAATATTGCAAAGCAACCTTTTTAAGGTAATGTTAACATCCCCAAAAGTATGCTTTAGTTTTGAACCAAAAATTCTAAAAATAATAATGAATAAAATTAAATATGTAATATAAACTCCCATTTACTTCGTTATTTCCAATGCAACTTCCTAATATTTCGCAAACGTAAAGAAAAACAGGCAAATTTGTGCTACAAAACCTAGCAGTATTAACGGTATTTTTGCAGCCTAAAAAGAGTATTATTTTATCAATCAAGCTGCGGTCACACTAATCCGTTTCGTACCCGAAGTTGAATTGTAGTTTGAGACCGGATAGTTATCAACCAAAAATCGTGAATAAAAATGTTCAAGCTGGCACGTATGCTACTGCCGCAGCAGCGGATTCTCGCTAATCCGCTGCGCCTGCAGCGCCTGATTTCCACCAGCGACGAGGTGAACGCGGAGCCAATCCTCAAGTCCATGGACACCATTGGCGGCCTCCCCACCGAACTGGTCAACGAACAAAAGCTGAAGAAGACAAGCAGGTAATCAATCTACCGGTTTTCGCACTTGACCTTTGCCTGCTGCTTTTGTTTACATTTCGACCGGTGTGGAATGCATGTTTTGGATGCCTGATTTGGGCGTGATTTTGGATTTCGGATGCGGAAATTTTGTGTTTTTTTTGGGAGAAAGTTGTAGATACCTACTTATGCAGTCACGTAGGCCATATATGTGTGTGTATGCCGTGTGTTAGTTCTGCACTCTATTGTTCTCGACTTTGTTTTTTCTACAGAACCTTATCGACTCTCCAAAATCATTCGGTGCCAATTGCCGCTCGCGTCACGGTGTCAAAAGATGAAAGCCGTGACTTTATGGCTGTGTTCCCAGGTGGGCTGAGATTGCTTATGCCAATTATCATGCTAATACTAGTGCTAAATATATTTCGCTTCGCAGATCTTGTACGTGACATTACCACCGTGACGAAGACGTATAATTGCAACGACGCCGCCAAGTGGTTCGCACAAGTCCTTCAGTACAATGTTCCCAGGGGAAAGAAAAACCGAGGCATTCTCACTGTTCTTACATATAAAAACCTAGTTCCTGCCCAGGATCTTACGCCCGAGAACATCAAACTCGCCCAGTATCTGGGCTGGTGCGTAGAAATGGTAGGAACCTCCCAGATAAATAGGTTTCCCTGCTAACGAGAACCTATTATTCCCACAGCTCCAAAGCTTCTTCATCATTTCCGACGATGTGATGGACAATAGCACAACCAGACGTGGTCAACCCTGCTGGCACAAGGTTGAAAACGTTGGTATGACCGCCATCAACGATGCCCTAATGATCGAAAACGCCATGTATGCCATTCTTAAGAAGCACTTCAGTCACTTAGACTGCTATGTGGCTCTGATGGAGCTATTCCACGAAATCACATACATCACCACCTGCGGTCAGTCATTGGACCAGCTGAATTCAAACCGATGTGTCTCGAAATTCACCATGGAAAACTACAAAGCTATTGTGGAAAACAAGACTGCCTACTACACCTTCTACCTACCGTTCGCCATTGCTTTACACTTGGCTGGGTGCGTCATTATACTTTTATTTGAAATTATGTGTATTCTAATCCGCTGTGCAACTGTTTAGATACAAGGACGCTGAGGCCTTCCGTCAGTCAAAGACCATTCTTCTTGAAATGGGCAACTTTTTCCAGGTACAAGACGATTTCCTCGACTGTTTCGGTAATCCGGAAGTGACTGGCAAAATCGGGACTGACATTCAGGACAATAAGTGCTCTTGGCTTGCAGTAGTGGCCATGCAACGAGCCAATGTCGAGCAAAAGCAAATTATGGTCGATTGCTATGGCAAAGAAGGTAAGTTTTACACAAAACATGTCACAAACAAGTTATTAAAGCGATTCTTTGCAGACCCAGCTAAGGTCGAACGAGTCAAGGAGCTTTATAAGGAACTAGGACTGCCATCAACGTATGCCGTTTTTGAGGAGGAATCCTACAACATGATTAAAACGCACATACAACAAACCTCTCGTGGGGTGCCACATCAAACCTTCCTGCAAATTCTCAACAAAATCTACCAACGTGACTCTTAAGATACTTGATGGCAACGACTTTACCAGAACGTTTTTAATTAAATTGTAGTTTTAGCATTTATATGGATGAACTGTTAGCATGGGCTCAGCAATTACAACCGAAATTAAATTTTAACTATACATACAAGTTTTGTTATTGCTTAATCATCTGTGAAATCAAAAGGCGCAAAAGCCTTTCGAAAATCTTCTACAAGTGCCACTTCTTCGTCCCGATCAAGAAGACAATCTTTCCAGTTGACTTTCTCATCGCAGTTCAGTAAATTCTCCGAACAAAAGACGTCCCTGGAAATAAGCAATTAATCAAGCAGCTAATACCAGAAATTTATATTTTAACGCACCTGGCGAAGTGAAGTGGAAAGTGTTTCATCTGCCGCGTAATAAGAGTTGTATCGTCGGGCAACTCAGCCAGGAAATAAGGACCCATTTCAGGTAGCATTTTCTCAGAATCCAAGGCCGGCAAGGTTTCAAATTCAAGATTGAATTCTTCAGCTTTGTCCTGAAATATTTCAGGTTATAGGAATTAAAGTTCGCCACAGGAAAAAGCCTTGGACTTACCTCAAAACTATGTTTTATTTTCCACGCATAGCCTTCTTCAAAGGCAAGCGCATTGATTTGTAGGTGAACAGACTTGTAGTGCCTCTCAGTGAAGCACACAACCTGCCCTGTGGATTTAAAGAACTTTCGCAAGGCTAACTTGAACTTATTTAACTCCTCCCAATCCTCAGGACTTAGTTGTGCAGCGCAAGGAACATGTTTGGTAGACAATATCATGACATGATGCTTATTTATGGGTCCTTTAGCTAGAGCCAAATAGAAGTGTTCTCCCACAGTGATAATGAGATGCTTTTCCACATCAGGCGAAGATAAACAGAACCAACACTTGTCTGAAATAACTCAAAATTTTAGAGAGACAGACTGCAAAACATTAGAAAAACAAACCTTGTTCAATTTGTGGTATTTTCGGTCGTTTATCTCGTTTATTATTATCACCACCTGGACGCTTGCGATTTCCACCATCCATATCGTAAAAATATTGTCGACTTTCGGACTAAAGATGGACCATTTTCAGAATCAGTTTAGTAGTTTGTGGAAGCTTATCGCATACGTACCGTTTCATTCTTATTGATAGATCCACCTAAATCTAAGCCAATGAAAGGACATGGTATTTCGTTAGTTGTCTTCTGCACCAGGTCCAGTAAACGTGATTTATCAACTGGTTTAAGGCTCAGCGCATATATGTACTTGGCTTTTTCGGCATTTCCAACTTCCGCAAGTGAAATAAAGCGAGTACAAAGTTCGAATTGGGTAGTCTCATCCTTGGGCATTCGGAAAGGAGCACTTTCATAGTGGGTACCATTAATGCCACAAAAGTGATAACGCGGCTTGATCTCACGGCAAAGAAATGATACCAACTTGGATGCCGTGGCCTGTAAAACATGGTATTTTAAGATACTGTTGAAGCTGTATTTATAAACATACGTTCTCTTTCTCCTGCATGCCGAATGGCCACTGCGATGTGAGTAGCACATCTACTCCTCGGTACTCCGTGGAGCAATTCTTGGACACCAGACAGGAGTTTCGAACGGCTATTACATCGGCTTTGCTGAACTGGTGATCGGAACCAGAGGAATCAGTTGCCTCAAAGCCACTTAAGTAGGCAATTTTAACGCCACTGCTTAATGTGTAGACTCCACGTCTGCCAAGATATGTGAGATTGGAGCAGATTTCACCATCCGCAAGATTTTCGAAATATTTTTCGTGTTCCTTTTTGTTTGGACCCAGAATATAAGTGGGAACGGTGACTAAAATAATGAGAGCTTCTAGTGAGTGATAAATGGTTAAAATAAACAATATTTACTGTGTTTGAAACCATTTTTGTAGGCAATCAGTTCCTCGTTTTGTTTGTCTTCGCCAAAAAAATCGCCGACACAACACAGGATTTCAAAGGGTCCCGCCTTTTTGTTGACCTGCTCCACACGTTGAAAAAGTTGTTTGAAGCGACCCCGCACATCGCCCACAACTAAGCTAGGAGGAATAAAACGAAATAATCATTTAATTCATATTTTTAATGCACATTGTTTACTCACATTTTATTGCCCGCGTCCATGATTTTCGATGACTAAACAATCGTTTTGCAAAGGGCTGCCAACTCGTTGCTCTAATTAGGTGGTGAAATTCAAATTTCAAATTGTTGTATTGTTGTAACATTTTTATGATTGTTAAGCTAGTTAAATATTAAAAAAAAAACTCGTTCCCTAAACCGAATTTAAATTGGATTAATAATGTATTACTTATTAAACAAGAGTCTTTAACATCCATGACACACTTTTTAGCGAAATTCCCGGCTCTAAAGTTTTTTCGGCAATTGCTGTTAAATTGACCGAAGAACGTTCTATAGCTTACATAACGAACTATAACCTTACTGCAATGTCAACGGCCCGAAACACGACATTATTTATGACATTGGCCCCAAACAGCAGCAGATTGCAACAATGAACTTTTGCTGGGCTTTTCTGGTCATGCGTGGCTGGCACAATAAAGTGCCCATTACTCTTTTGCGTTCCATTGGATGTGGAGCTGCGTGTGGGATATAAATTGGGCCTTGCGACTCCATATTCAAATCAGTCATTTTAGTCAGTCAATCGCAGTAATGTCGCCCAGTCAAGTTTTGCTGATCTCCGTTTTGCTGGGAGTTTCTCTAAACACCCTTCCAGTTTTTGGCCAAACAACTATCGATTGCCAAAGACCCCCGCAGCTTGTGGTACGTTTTCACAGAATTTTATATAAAATAAAGATGACTCTTAAGGAACTGATGCATTTTTTAGGATCCTGCTCTTTGCTGCAGAGATGGAGGTCGCGATCAGGTGTCAGAGCAGTGCGCACAGCGGATTCTAGGAGCAGTAAATGGACAAAAACCCGGAGGTCCACCATCATTAGATACTGCTGCAGTAAGTTATTTGTAAATAACATTAGTAAATTGTAAATGAAATACCTTTTTTTTTAAACTTAGTGCCTTGCCGAATGCATCCTTACAACATCCAAGTACATTGAGGAACCTCAAAAACTTAACTTGGACAACATAAGAAGCGATCTTTCGGCCAGGTTCTCCAACGATAGTGTCTATGTAGAAACAATGACTATGGCTTTCTCCAAGTGTGAGCCACAATCGCAGAGGAGACTGGCCATGATCTTACAGCAGCAGTCCCAGCAGCAACAAGGCCAGCAGCAGAAACCAAGATGCAGTCCCTTCTCAGCCATAATGCTCGGTTGCACCTATATGGAATATTTCAAGAACTGTCCGGATCATCGATGGACTCAGAATGCCCAGTGTGCCCTAGCCAAAGCCTATGTTACACAATGCGGTTTGGGAGCCTAATTTTTATTGTTGAGTTAGAATTGTATATAAAAAGTAGGGAATAAATTAAAAATATACCATGCTGTTAACATGCATTTGTTAATCAAACTCCCACTACAAAATTTTTTTTAAGTAACGGCTTTTTAAAAGCAACGTCTTACCATGACCAGAATACAGTGTGTCGGATTTTTTAGCCAGAATACAGCCTCACTTATAAATTTATCGATGTATCGTTTGAAAACATACAATTTTCGTTTGACAATCGCAGCTTCCTCTCATTCGTTTTTTCGTAATTATTGAGATAAAGTCGCAAGTAAAACGCGAAAAGTCAAGTGCGAGGTGCTTCTGAAAAGACAATCTTGAATAGTTTCAAAATGGTTGACCTCACCGACGCCGGTTCGCCATTCCAGCAATCCATTCCCGATTTTGCCTTCTACGTGCCGGCTGTTGTTGTTTTTACCCTGGCAGGTGAGTCCGCTCCCCCTTCCCCTTTTGTAACCACCGCCCCTTCCACTTTTTAAACCCCTCCCAAATGTCATGCATGCTATAACCAGGTCGAAATCCCGACCGCGAATTGGGTCGAAAGACTTTCACCAAGCGAGCAACTGAGTGTTGGCCCCTTTCGTAACTCCCCTTTTGCCACAGCTGTTTGGATGTGCCGTTTGTGTTTGGTTTCGTTCTTATCTGTTTTGGTTTGAGATATTTTGATTTGGATTGTGCTTTTGGCAATATGTCTTACGTGTTCTAAATGGTTATTCTGTCACTATTCGGATTTCTTGTGTACGTAGTCAAAAGTTTGTGGGTTTCAAGAACGATAAGGTCTGCTTGATAAGAATTCAATAGTCCATGTGGTACAGTCAAACCTCCTAAAGAACAATATCCCCGTCAGATATTCGATTTGCAGTCCATAATATTCGTCTATATGTTGTGTATGTTTCCCAGAAATTTTGTATCCCACAAAAGAAGAAATATTAAATAAAAAACTATAAATAAATAAATATAAAATATTCAAATAAATTTCCATTAAAAGAAATTGAATTTACAATTGAAAGTGTTTGTAAATATTACATTCGTTCACTTGTAAGTTTGTAAGCTACCTGTATCTCGTTGGTGCGCTTCCTAACTTGAGTTTTGTCTATGTGCTCGTGGGTCCGGGACTAATTAGTGGCTCTCCCTTATCGCATACTTTACCTATACCTATATTCTCTCCGCAATGCCAACTTCTTCGGACTAGCTTTAAAAATATGCTGACGGCGGAGGGAGGCAAATTGAAAAGCGCAGCAAAAAATCAACTAATGGGCATATCTGAGAATAATGAAATACAATCGACTGATTACACACGAGCGACAGCTTATTTTCTTATTGAATTTATAAATTTTAGAGAGTGTCTGACCAGTCTTCCCGAACAGCAGAAGCCGGAGCACGTAAGCACCGGCGATTGAGCGCCAAAAATTAAATAGTTTAAATTGTGTGATCTGGGGATATGTACTATCTTTGAATTCATTAAAACAATTTTTTTTCCAATCGTGTATTATTATCTCTGCATGCCGCGTGTCAAACTTGTGTTAAAGGCAATCAAATAAGTAGTCTCGAAATCAGTTCAGTTTATTTTGCCACGTTGTTTGTTTCTGTGATTTTGTTTGCCCCCCAGTAGCATGTTACCCAGAAAGCTGAACCGTAAATCATGATATCCTATACATATATATACCATCCATTCAGACGCGAACCGCTAAAGGCGATAGCCCACAAAACACACTGCCTGTAACTAAAAACCAGAGATTAGATCATGGCTGAGGACCCAGTCAACCAGAAGGCATTCGCTGAGGACGTGGCAGCTGCCGCTGCAGCCGGAGGACCCAATGGCTTTGCCGGTCCCGAGCCGGGACATCCGGACTTCAAGATGCCCAGTGCCGAAGAAATCTGGAAACTGGTCGAGGGCATGGAGGGGATTTCGGATGATGAGCGTGCCGAGCTCCGCGAGAGCATCTTCAACCCGAAACCTCCGTCACCGGAGGATTTCATGCGGCAGTATGGACATCCCGGCCACAGTTCCCGAGAATACCTGGTGTTCTTCGTGATGTTGGCCCTAATACTGATTGTCTTTGGTAAGCGTCCTCCGGAGCAGGCAAATAACCTTATCGGGTGCGATATCCGCACCCACTTTCGCGGCTTCTCGGCTGGTGAAGGGGACGATAAGGTTTTAGGGGGTTTCAGAGGGCCCTGCCAAAGCACTCATACTCTCAAACCTCGGCTAGAATGTTTGCTTCGTTTATAGGCGTTCGATTTTCGATAAGATAAACCAATTGGTGAGCGTAGAATCCACCACAGAGACACCAAAAAGCCAGTACTTGTCAGAGACCCATGCCGGCCAGAAGTTGAAGCCTAGACCCTTTTTCGTAAATTGCCGTACCATGAGCTTGTCGGGTTCCCATGACGAACTCGGCGTTATCGAGCAGCTGAAACAGTCCATAGAGACGATCGTGGCCAAAACAGGGCCCAGCAGCAAGTTCTCACAGGATCTGGTCAAGCGGATCGGCGAGATGCAGAGAAAGCTGGAGGGTCTGGCAGAAACGGATCGGCATCAGTTTCTCGCCGAGATGAAGGACAAGTTCCAGGAGACGATAGGCAAAATCGAGCAGCGTATAGTGCAACACGCCAACATAGCGCAAACCTACTCCAGTTCCAAAGTGATGGCAGTGATCTTTCTCCTTGTCTCAATATTCGGTCTCAGTCCCCTTGATTTTTATCCACAACCGAATAAGTTTATTAATCAGTTTCTTTTCAACCTTACAGCTCTCTTCGGCTACAAGCTCTACAAATCCCTGACGGAGAAGGAACTCAAGAAACAGGAGAAGCTCAAGAGCAAGCAGCAGAAGAAGGCCAAGAAGTCCAATTGATCAAGGAGGAGATGAGGAAATCCTTAATGTAGTAGTTTCCGGCACTGCAAACCCTCCATCTGTTAATCAATACAATCGCCCTGTAAATGAATAAATTATGAACCAGTAAACGTAATCAAATAAACAGTACCCCCATAACTCTTTAAATGCCACGGTAATTGTGTTGTTACGAGGAGTCGAATTAATTGCCATTAAAGTCGGCGCAGCCATCAGGAAATGCAAATCGGTGTCGTGACCGAACTTGTTGCTGCCATCTAGGTAATCCTGGCCTCCGTTGTCATGGGAGACTCGGTCGTTTTGTCGAAGCGCCTCCTGTCAGGCTGCTATTAATAGCCAGATTCAGTTTCCAGTTACCCAGTTAAGCAGCAACACTCGGAGGATTCAACAACATTTTCGGAAATAGAAAACATGTCCTATTCCAGCCGTAAGTTAAGTTTTGCACAAGAGCTTGCTTTTAACTTGGTTTGTGGTTCCCAGGTTTTGGTTTTGACTTCCATTTGCCGGACGAGGGATGGTGCTACCCGAAGAACGACATGCACTTCATCCGGAGCGCCGAATGGGTGCCCGTGGAGAAGGCTGGCGTGGGTCGCTCCTTTGCCAACCCGAATGGCGTGATCTATCCGCGCGTGGTCGGCATGATTCCGCGCTACGGAGGACATGTTCCGGGCAATAAATTCCGGGTGGGCAACACCTACGGCCGTTCCACTATCGACGCCAAGCGTCATCTGGCCCTCAACCACGATTGAATCGCAGGTTCTTAGATCACTAGCTCACTTATAGCCAATAAAATTTGCTGTGTTACGCTTAGAAAAGCACCCAAAATAAATCGTTAACTGTAGTACAGGCGATTGAAAAACTGTCATTCTATGGCAGATTAAATATAATCAATTAACAATATACATAAGTGCATTTTAAAAATTTATTGCTGCCCCCGGAATAAATATTAAATCATTTAATTGATAGCATACAATTTAAAAAACCGCTTCGGGGGGTCATAATGTTTCGTCGATATCGATAAGATTCCTAATGAGCGCGGTCCGGCAACGATATGTTGCAGGTTAAAAATATTTAAATTTATCATTTTGTTAGCGAACTCTAGGATTTTTTAACGGAAGCTTAAGATAGAATGTTAGTAGCACGATCCAGAGTCTGTTATAGATATTTTTTTAGTTAAAATCTTGATGAAACTACGGAAAACCGCTGAAAACCAGTGTTACCAAAACGCGAAGGCCGAAATATACACTGTTTAGATTCAAAAGTAATGGGTATTTTGCAGATCACCGCCAAAAGTTTAACAACTGATAATGTAAATAACAAATCATCATTAACAAACATTTATTATTGCCGGTCATTCTATATTCCCCGTTAAAATCTGATGAAATTATCTACTTGCCAAGGAGCAACCAACCACAAATATTAACCAAGAACTTGTGGCGAATAGTTGGTTAACAATGGTGCCAAATTTACTTAACATTTGGAGACGTGGCCTCCACACGAGTTCCGCCCGGTTGCAGATTGTCCAAGGCGCCACGCCCACTAAACGAGTGTGCATTGTGGGCGCCGGACCCGCTGGCTTCTATGCCGCTCAACTGATCCTCAAGCAACTGGACGATTGCGTGGTAGATGTGGTCGAGAAGTTGCCAGTTCCCTTCGGACTCGTGCGGTAAGATGATCTATCCAGCTTTATAAGGATGTGCTATTGGTCCCCAGGCCAAAGCCGAAGAGTGGACCCACAATGGAGCGAAATATGCCACTGAAGTAGGCTGAAATGGGAGTGGATATTAGGAAGCTTATTGTGAAATTGAAAGTGAATACGCACCTCCAACCTGGTCGAGACTCCACAGAGGATTGGCTGCAGTAAGAGCCGAACTTATAATCACCACAAAGCAAACACCCAGTGGAGCACAACCAGGCACCTGCATCTTGGTAACCAAACTATGACTCCCTTGACAAACTCGAATGCTTATATCCGCACCCGGTTGCGTGAGCACGGCATTCCATTGCATTATCGCACTAACGACTTGTCCCATTATGCAAATCGCCTATTGCAGCTTTGGCGTTGCACCCGATCATCCAGAGGTCAAGAACGTAATCAACACCTTCACCAAGACCGCCGAGCATCCGCGTCTGCGTTACTTTGGAAACCTATCGCTGGGCACGGATGTGAGCCTGCAGGAGCTAAGGGATCGATATCATGCCGTGCTGCTTACCTACGGTGCGGATCAGGATCGGGAGCTGGACCTGGAGAACGAGCAGCAGGGTCATGTAATATCTGCCCGGAAGTTCGTGGCCTGGTATAATGGCTTGCCGGGTGCGGAGAACCTCGCTCCGGATCTCAGTGGTCGCGATGTTACGATTGTGGGTCAGGGCAACGTTGCTGTAGATGTAGCCCGAATGCTGCTCAGTCCCCTGGACTTCCTAAAGGTTAGTTTGTTTTTTTTTTTCACATCAAGCCTTAAAAGCATTAAATTGTTTGTAGACTACAGACACCACAGAGTACGCCTTGGAAGCTCTATCTCGCAGTCAGGTGGAGCGAGTGCATCTTGTGGGTCGGCGTGGGCCCCTCCAGGCCGCCTTCACCATAAAGGAGCTGCGAGAGATGCTTAAGCTGCCCAACGTGGACACACGCTGGCGAACCGATGATTTCTCAGGTAGGAAGCAAGGATAACCCAAATCGAATCTTAATGGTATTCTTCTCGTTTAGGAGTTGATCTGCAGTTGGATAAACTGCAGCGTCCTCGCAAACGACTCACCGAACTAATGCTCAAGAGTCTGAAAGAGCAGGGCAGAACTTCCGGCTCCAAACAGTTCCTGCCCATCTTTTTGCGGGCTCCAAAATCGATTTGCCCAGGGGAAATGGAATTCTCCGTGACAGAACTCCAACAAGAGGCAGCAGTAGCCACCAATTCCACGGAGCGTCTTCCCTCGCACTTGATCCTGCGCAGCATTGGTTACAAATCCAGTTGTGTGGATTCAGGCATCAATTTTGACACCCGCAAAGGCCGTGTTCACAACATTGACGGTCGCGTTCTTAAGGATGATGCTTCAGGAACAGTGGACCCTGGTCTCTATGTTGCCGGCTGGCTGGGAACTGGACCCACTGGCGTCATTGTGACCACCATGAGCGTTGCCTTTGCGGTGGCCAAAAACATCTGTGATGACATAACTGTGAACGTTGTGGACACTAGTTCAGCAAAACCTGGATACGATGCAGATGAAAAACAAGTAGTCACTTGGGATGGCTGGCAGCGCATCAACGATTTTGAGAGCCAAGCGGGAAAAGCGAAAGGAAAGCCACGCGAAAAGATCGTTAGCATCGCGGAAATGCTGCGAGTGGCGGGCGTTTGATGTCAATGTTCCATTGGTGGTGGTTGACAATAGTCGCTTTAAGAACAAATCTAGCAATCATTAATTTATATGTCGTTTGAGGCCTTTGTTATGCATTGTAAATATAAAACTCATTTATAAAACACTTGTAAATCTACTGCTTAGTTTCCAAATTATTTGTCTAAGTTAAATTCCAGTTAGTAAAATGGATCACGCCATAACGCCGGAGCCGCACTTGGTGCCAGGGTAAGAAAATAAACTTACTCATCAAGTCCTTCTTTATTTTACACACGTGATGGCTTTTCAGGTACACTGGACACTGTGCCCAGAATCGCGACAGAGTAGGCCGTACTTATGGAAGACAAACCCACAAGCTGCTCATAGATCCCTGCATTTACCATGCTCCGGAACTTATTGTGCCACCCATTCATGCAAAGAGAGGGCTGAAGGATTATCCAACCGAGCAAGAGTTGAAGATTCTGCGTACTCGAGAGGGGCTGGTGGACTCTGTTTACAGGCATCCCATTATACCGGGCTACGCCGGATTTGTGCCGAATATACGGAGTCAGACTGGCAAGCGGTATGTGGCCGCCGCTTCTGCGGGAGTGGCTCGCCATGAGACCCTGATGGAGTGGTATCGCTGCGAAAAGCGAACGCTGAATCATAGGGATCTGCTTGAAAGCGGGAAAGGTCTGTTCGACCGCAAGATTAACGAGAGGTTGCTACCACAGACCTACTACCGGTCACCATTAATTCCGGTGACCGGGGTGTCCAAGGGCATCAAAGATGAGTGCTGTCCACCAAAAACCGAGAAGCTGTCCTACAGCAAGTTCACATCGCCGCACTTCCTGGAGGACGAGGATGCCGACAAGTTTATTATCAACGGATACGCCGGACACATTCCCATGTCAGTGACCCGATTCGGGGAGTCCAACAAGGTACTCACCCGCCGGGCGTTGTGCAGCTTCTCGGACTACATGTACAAGCGGAAGCGGGATACTTGGTGCTGTGGACAGGATCTCACCCGGCCTGCCATCACCTGTCCGCCCGTGGAGCACTTTATCGTCTACCACAAAGACGACGGCATGGTGCCTAGTTATGCGGGCCACGTCCCCGGGGAAATGTACAAATTCGGGCGCACGTACGGCAAGACCACTTACGACGCCAAGCGCTGGCTGGAGGTGCATAAGAACCTCACTGTGCTGCCAGAGGTGGCCAACCTGGACTACGCCTACTAAGGAGCCCCATTTAAGGGTATCTCCCCTGGCACAAATTTTAAACTGTAACGTTTTCCGCAGAGCGTTGCCACAACTTGCAGTGAATGCAATATTAACTGGCTATCTTGCACCTGGTCCCACCGGCGATTGTTGTGATGTATCGATACAACAACAACATCCCCAGCTTTCTATCTACGTCGTTTGTTGCAGCAAATAAATAAGTTTTAATTGATTGTGCGCCTCTAAAATGTACGAATCGTGTCTAATGCCGCGACCAACTGCTGTGCAGTGCCCCCCGTAATCGGCGCCAATGTGAAATCGGCCGTTTGGGCAACAGAAAAGGCATAAAGTGTCAAAAAAACGCTAAGGGAAAAAATCTTTAGAATCGAATTCGAACAATTCAAACACACACACATCGTGCTGTACCGTTCACACACCGCATCGCAGTACAGTACCGCAGTGCGTGCGAGTGAGACGACCAGAATATCGGCAGATAACATACATTTGTGTACCTACCTCTCTTCCAAGTGGTGAGTTGAATGCCGATTATGCACCCTGCACGCGTCGCACCGAGCATTGTATGCAATAAGTAAAGTGCATTGCAGCGAACTGAAAAAAAAACATAGTGAAACTAGAAACCCCTGGAAATTCTCTATCTGAAAGGACCCAATAGAAGCCCTCCTTCAACATATCCTCCATTCGACTAAGATTTATGGCGGGAACTCAAACGGAGTGTGCGCACAGGTCACTAACAAGTCGGTGCGACCCCAACTGCGGTCGACTTGTTTATTAAGAGCGAACAAACGAATAAAAATAAAAACAAAAAAATATATATGTAATATCTTGTGGCAGGTGAGATTTACGACGGTACGTTGTTGTTGGTTTTCAGAGAGGAGCTCTTCGTATTGAGAACGGGGGCGAATGGGAAACCGTGAAAAACCGCCAAAATGGGTTGAGTTCTTTTTGCATCGATTTTCCCGGCTGATATAAAGTTTGAAAAGTGTCTTAACGGAATAGAATCATACAATTAATAAAAGCACCTACATCTTAATGAATCGCTCGAAAATATAACGGTATAAACGAATAATACTCAAAAAAAGTTGTAAATCTCCTAATGCTTCCATTTTTTTCTTTTGATAAAGAATAGATGCATAATCAGTTTTACATATAGTAATACGGATTTAAATTATGAAAAATCTGTAATTTAAATTTAAAAGACCGACATATTCAGGGATGTAACGGCTTTTTTTTTTGTCGATGTAGTGGTTCGAATACGAATTTCAACATTGATGGCAACAAGCAATGATAAAGTGTAGTGTAAATCAGGTAATAACTCTTGTACTCTTTTTTAATTGCAGAAGAGCGAGTGGAGTGATGAGCGAATCTCTGACTTCTCAAGTGGAGGAGACCAAGGTGTCCGATGAAGATGGCGCAAAAGAGAAAGCTGAAGTGTCCACGGCCAAAGAAACCGCTGGATCGGCCATGAATGTGGACACAAATGACACTGGTGGGCAGCAGCAGGTACAGAGTGACCCGGGAGATAAGGAGAAAACTGTCACGGTGGATATAAACACACTTACACCTTCGACGCCCTCTCAAACCCCGCCACAATTGCTGGCCTCTGAAACTGCCACATCGGGAAGCGCGGCTATCATCCCGGAGAACATTTTATCGCCGCCCAAGTCGGAAACACAGACGGATGAAACCAACACGGCCACATCGACATCCTGCTCCCCGGCTTCAGAGGGTCAGCGGTCTCCTGCTGCAGAAAGCCAGCAAACGGCTCCTAAGGCGACGACGCAGCAGGAGAAGGCTCAGCCAACAGCAACAGTCAATGGCTCCATACCAAAGTCGGGAAAACCTCTCTCCTCAGCGCTTAGCGGAAAGAAGCCCAGCAAGGCGGCCACCACGTCACCACGAGCCTCCCGTTCCCGCAAGCCCAAGGCGTTGCCCATGTACGAAAGCGAGATTAGCGATAACAAGGTCGGCATCAAACTGTGCATAAAGAAATCCGACGCCGGAGAGGGTGCTCCCGCTGGGGCCACATCTCCACCAGTCGTTGTTCCTGTGCCCTCGAAACCGGTGCGCAAGCGCGTACGCAAACCAAAGCAACAAGACAGTGATGAGGCCGAGTATGAACCCCGCAAGAAAAAGGGTGGGGGAGGTAGTAGCGGAGCAGAGAAAAAGGTTTCAGCGAGCTCTGACGCGGAAGCTGCCAGCGAACCGATCGAGCAGAGTGTCTGGGCGCAAAAGCTGCCTGAGGAAGTCCTCTATAGGGTGAGATTCGGTCAAGTATCTAAATAAAACAAATATATAACGAAAGTTGATTTTGTTTTAGATCTTCGAACACGCAGTTGACACGCAGGGCTGTTTGCCCACCCTCTTTCGCCTTGGCAGGGTTTGCTCACTCTGGCGCCAGGTTTCCCTTAGGCCCACTCTTTGGCGAACCATGGATCTGACCACTTGGGTCAAGGAGAAGTATCGCACTGAACTAAAACTCAAGTGGTTTGTAGACAACCGCTGCAGTGCCTGTACAGAGCTGAATGTTTGTAAGTGGGGAAAACAAAGCCTGAAACTATCATATAACTCAAGTTATCATTTCTCAGCCAATTGGAAAATATCAGACATAAATTGCTTCCTTGCCAAGTTGTCAGCCGGTTGCCCGAATCTGGCTGGCATTACGCTCTCCGGCTGGAAAGGTTTCACCTCAGATCATTTGACGTATTTAGTGGATAACATGCACAAGTTGCAGCGCTTAGACTTGAGCTCCATTAATGTAAGTTGTGACGTATGGTTGCTAAGCTTTTTCTGATGCTAATTTTCAACGACCAGGTTGAGATGAATGCAAGCAAAAGTGCAGTTGGTGTCAACTCCCTGTGCAATGCATTGCAGACCATGGGCAGCCGTCTAACGCATCTTTACTTGGCGCACAATCGTCTAGCGGGTATTCCGCAAATAGTCGGAATTCTTTCGGTAAGTAGTGCTACATCCTACTCGCTTTGATTTGTTTTTAATTTGTTCTTGTTTCAGACGCACTGTCCGAATCTAACGTTATTGGATCTCTCGAATGTGACCACTCAGGCCACTTCACACGGTGTACTCCACATTGAAAAGTTGCAGCGCGGTTGCCAGAAACTAAAGGTCCTGCGGGTGACAAACTCTCACATTACACCAAGCACGGCATCAATGCAGGAAATTGTAAGACGTTCGATGTTATGAATGATGATACGGTTATTTAAATTGAAATTTTTTAGATGGACTCTCCTGGCTTTCCAGAGCTGGAAGAACTGTCGGTGGCTGCCTTGACGGATGAATCACGCATCATCAGCGACGATCACCTACAGCGCATCCTGAAGAGCAGCTCTAAGCTCAAGCTGCTTGACGTGCGCAATTGCACAAGGCTGACACACGAGAGCCTTATCCGTCTACCAGCGTGGGATATCAAGCATTTATTCCTGTCAGGGTGCTCAGTAACTCGGGACATGGGGTAAGTCTAATGTTTTATTATTTTTAACTATTCGCTATAATTACCTTTAATCCCAATTAGATCGGGCCTCGAACTCATTGCCTCTAAGTGGGCCCACAGTCTTATTGAACTGGATCTGGCTTGGGCGAATATGCAACAACCTATTGATAATGCGCTTCGCGCACTCGCTGAGAAAGGCAGGGAGTCCCCGATGGCGTGAGTATATACCTAATTAATTAAACTATTGTGAGCTTATTAAACTCAACTTGCGCCTTGCAGTCATTTAAATCTTTGCGGCTCCTCCGTTTCCGATGAGGCGGTTAAGGAAATACTGACGAACTGCCGGAAGATGAGCTCTATTAATCTGGCATCGTGCCGCGGATTGCCGCGTGGAGTAAAGCGCCTGATGCAGGGACCTCAGGAGTTGGGTGAACTACGAGAGGTTCTGGGCGTACAGCTGAAGAACAGTAGCGGGAGCAACTAATCCAGTCAGTGGCCGAGTCCACACATCGGTTTTATTGTTGATCATGCGGGCCAAGTTTAAATGTAATTTAAATTGTTGCATCCCTCTCCGCGCGAAAGGCGTTAAGCGCTTTTGTTGATTTTGTAAAGTAGTCCGCAAACAAATTGCAATATTTGCATATTTGCAATCGCTTGCATCTTCCAATAATGCTTATCTTGTTTATAGGCCTTAGGGTTTAATTATTGTACTATTGTACTAGTTTAGTATTCTCTGCACAGTGGCAGCCGTGAGTTTCTCCCTTCTTGGAGGTTCCCGCATTAGATGCTGTGTAAAAGAGCAACCTTTTGTAAATGCAATATGTATTCATAATTTAGTTGATTCGAATTTTTTGCAGCGAGAAAATCATTCACTTTCGAAGCCGACCCGATTGTATCGATTTTCATTGATTTTTTTTAGTACATATATAATTATATATATTTACTGATTTATTGTTAGTTAAGTCCGACCATTGAGCGTTTGTAAAGTATGTATACAAGAATTTAAAATAAGTTTAAAGTGTATGATGATTCGCAATACAAAAATGATATATTTACCGTAAAGTAGTCGTCAATTCAAAGTCGCTAAGGCAATTTGTAGAATGTTTTAACCCGATAGAATTGTACATATTGGCGTTAGAGAAACTTTCTGATTGGATGTTTTTATAAAAAAAATAACCACTTATAAAAGTAACGCATATAACACACATACATAACATAAAGTAAAACAATTCAATTGTTAAGCATTATTAGCAGTTAAGAGACGGCAATTAAAGGTACATTTAATTTAAAATAAACGCAAACATTTTCAATCCTACGACCAGACCAGCATTGTCTTGATTCATTATCAGAGCAAAACAAGGCTACCTCGAATTGGGTTTATTGTATAAGTTTATTCAAATATGTGGGAGATAATATTGCATTACGAGCTATTTACGGCCAAGACAGCAATTACAGTACGAACCCAGTTTAGGTTAGATACATCAGTTCTATTGATCTCCTACTCGATTTAGTTCTTCTGCAGCTTGTCTACGTCCTGAATGTAATCGGTGCCGACCTTGACGATGGCAGCTCCTGTTCCTAATCCTGCTAAAGTAGCCAAAAGGGCGTTATCCTGTGGCAAGGCAGACTTGATAAGTGCCCAGGCGAGCACAGATCCCATGGAGAAAAGGGTGGCTCCCAGCAGGGCGTACGCTCCCCGCTTGTTGTTCTTCACGTTCTTTAGGTGTGGTCTTCCATAGATGTAGAAGGCACTGCCCACCACCGCTGAGATGAGAAACACGTTCGTGAGGTCTTTCTTCGGCAGGATCTTGGGCACTATCTGGGGGTTCATGACATTCACCGCAAGGGCTCCGTAGCTCACCAACCCGTGGAGCGGAACGTAGTAGTTGAAAACATTTTCCTTGGTGAAAGGCTTAAGGCCCACTTTGTCACATATGCTGCAGGCGTCGTTTGACTGTGTGCTGGCCATTATTTTCGCTGAAAATGCAATTAAATCTTAAGATCCCGGTTTGGTGGGGTCGATGAGTCGTCTTCTTCTTCTTGTTATGTAAAGAACAGGGTTGCCTAGGCACACCAGAGCTTTTAACTTTGCCGGTATTCACGGTCAATCTGCAGAGAATCACTGTTCTCGGGTAAAAAGTAAAAATGTTTTGACAAAAAAATAAAAATATCCGTCCGGTTGTAGTAAGTTTTTGAGTATAAGCAAAGACAGTATGGTTTTCAGAATCATATTTTTATTGGATTTTGAAAGCTACGTTGATGTTGAAAAAGTTAAATTTCCCATTCCATTTTTTTTATTCTTTTTTAACTAAGTATTTCCGCTAAATGGTTTTATAATTTTGCTTTTGAATTTCATATTTGGTAGCACCTTAAATACTTTAACTCATTGTGGAATTAAAAAAAGATCTAAGAAATCATTTGAAAAGCATCTTTTAAAGGAAACACCGTAAACTTGTTTTCAAAATATATTGTTTAGATGATTTAGTTACTAACATAAGATTTAATTAGAGGTTCCGGAGTTAGTTACCTTTTCAAACAAAAGCATCAACTCTGATGAACAGCCGGCACAGTGTGCAAAACCAGGTGGCAACACCAGCCGGCGCAGGAGAATGAGTGGGAGAGGGACAGAGTGGTAGGAGAACCGAATAAGGAGAGACAGAGAGCGAAATAGGTGCGAAAAATTTGTAGTTTGCTGGAAATTCCTTGATTTCGATTTGCGAAGTGGTAAATATTAGCCACCCAACAAAAGCCCCGATAGATGTACGTGCACCGCGAGCAGCATACACCTAACACCAGCTTCTGAAGCACTCCAGTCCAGAGATATCGCCCACAGCCACACTGCAGCATATCCGCGGACGACATGTTGACGCACAAAACTTGTCAAGCACGTAAGAAAATGCAGGTGAGTGCGCCAATTGGAAATAGGGAACCAAAGAAACAGGTAGTAAAACTAATTCAATTAAACCACCAAATAGGTTTCCTTTGTGATACGGGACGCCGAGGAGAAACAACACAGGAATGGCGTCAATGCGTTGCAGCTGGATGCCAATAACGGCAAATTGTACTCTGCAGGACGCGACGCCATCATCCGGGTGTGGAACACACGTACGGACTCCAGCGAGAAGTATATACAGTCGATGGAGCACCACAACGACTGGGTCAACGATATAGTGCTCTGTTGTAATGGGAGAAACCGTGAGTTGCTGCAAATAGTCAGCTTACATCTTGAAATTAATCCTTTCGTCGCTTAGTTATTAGCGCCAGTTGTGATACCACCGTCAAGGTGTGGAACGCACAGAAGGGTTTCTGCATGTCAACTCTGCGTACTCATCGCGACTATGTCCAGGCACTGGCCTACGCCAAGGATCGCGAGCAGGTGGCCAGCGCCGGCCTCGACAAGGCCATCTTCCTGTGGGACGTGAACACACTCACCGCTTTGACGGCCAGCAACAACACAGTGACCACCTCTAGTCTGACCGGGTCCAAGGATTCCATATACAGTCTGGCCATGAATCCCTCGGGTACCGTAATCGTGAGTGGTTCCACGGAAAATATCTTGCGTATCTGGGATCCCCGTACCTGCATGCGCAGCATGAAGCTGCGTGGCCACACGGAGAACGTCCGCTGCCTGGTGGTCTCGCCCGATGGCAATCAGGTGGTGTCCGGAAGCTCCGACGGCACCATCAAGGTGTGGAACCTGGGCCAGCAACGATGTGTTCAAACCATCCACGTTCACAAAGAGGGCGTGTGGTCACTGCTGATGAGCGAAAACTTCCAGTACATAATATCCGGCAGCCGGGATCGCAACATAATAGTGACTGAGCTGCGAAATCCTAGCAACAAAACACTGGTCTGCGAGGAACAAGCGCCCGTACTCAGTCTTGGCTATAATATTGACAAGACTGGGGTGTGGGCCACCACATGGAACTCAGACATTCGTTGCTGGAAACTGCCCATGTACGACAGATGCACGATGAACTCCTCGGGCGGCATGGACGCACAGTGGACACAGGGCGGCACCGAGGTGGCCTGCATAAAAGGAGGAGCTGCCATAAAAGAGTGCACGGTACTGAACGATAAGCGTTATATAATAACCAAGGATTCCCAGGATCAAGTTGTCGTCTACGATGTACTGAGAGTGGTCAAAAAAGAGCAATTAGGAGCCGTCGACTATGAGGCGGAGGTCAAAAAGCGCAACAAGCAGGTTTACATTCCAAACTGGTTCACTGTTGATTTGAAAACCGGGGTAAGTTTAAGGTTGACTTGAGCTGAAGGTTATTAAACTATTAATATATTTCTCTGAAGATGCCAACAATTGTCTTGGGCCAAGAAGAAGTTGACTGCTTCTCGGCTTGGGTGTCTATTGAAGCCGGACTTCCGGAATGCGTCGATCCTACAACAGAAATTAAGGTGACTACCTAGCAGTCCGCTTCTTAAATAATTTGATCAATTGAAATGCTTGGTTTATAGATCAACTATGGCAAACTGCTGTTGGAGGCCCTGCTCGAATACTGGACACCACCGCATAGCATACCACCAAACGAAATGGAACCCGACATGCACGGCAATGGATACTTCCAAGTGCCGAAACACACGCCCGTCATTTTCAGGTGAGTAGTTGCATTGCAACCATGTCTAAACTATCGCTTATTAATTACACTTTTTTCTAAATTAAATAGTGAAGTGGGCGGCCGCACTGTTTGCCGACTTTTAGTGCGCGATGCAGCCGGCGATAGCGAGAGCACCCTGCTCCACGAGACAGCGCCACAGTGGGTTACCGATGTGGTGATCGAGAAGAACATTCCCAAGTTCCTCAAAATACCGTTCTTCCTTCAGCCCCATCCGCAAATGACCAAGCCAGAGCGTACGAAGAAGGTGATACCTTTTAAATGTAAACAAAAAGAGGCTTCTTATATCCTTTGTAAATGTTTATTTAGGATCGACTAGTGGCTAATGAATTTATTCAATGCCGCAAGGTTTGCGAGCATGTTTTGGAGAAGGTACTCAACGCGGAGACTACGCCAAGTGGAGGCAATGCGAACAATTCCCTGCAGAATAGCCAAAGCGATGCAAACTCGGAGGGATCCCAACTGCCGGCTGAGGAACGGATTGAGCTGTGGTGCAATGATAGGGTAGGTGGAGTGGCTGCTAAAAAGTCGTGATAGAAGTCTTAATATTCTTTAACTTTTTTTTCAGGTGGTGGACCCGAACATGGACCTCCGCACTGTACGCCACTTTATATGGAAGCAGTCTACCGATCTTACATTTCAGTACAAGAACAAGCAGAATTTCAACTACGACGGTAAATAAGAGAGCGCTCGCATTGATCAACACAAGAACACCCTCACAACACACAACGCATACTTGATTTTCGCAATTGCGATTGGCTAACCGAGAGTTGTGCTTATATATCCGCCCCATAGGTTCGATCGGGGATAGTCTGGAGCGCGTGGCGCGCAAGTATTGAACACTGGTATGTGATCTCCCGCCTAACCGCAGCAGTACCGATGCATTATTGAATGAGAACGAGATTCAGCAGATCGATTAACCATTTTGTATGTATTTATGCAATGTATTTGCGTTCGTCTTCGTAACGTGGACAAAAACATTCAAGGAGAATCTGTTCGAACATTTTCTTTACATTTAAAAGTGCACCCAAGTGCTTCTGTTTGTTTATTTCTCGTTAGGATTTCATAAATGTACTTCAGATTCAGACTTATAAGAATTAAGCTTGCGACACACACGTAGATAAACATTGCAAGGGAGTAACTACAGACATACCATTTAAACGTATTTGCATCTGAAGCATCTAGACCTAGAGGATTGCGCATATATGTATGTAATATTCACAATTGTTTCACATTAGGGTTATACATAATTATTATATACATAGGTTATAAGTATAAGTAATCTGTTAAAGATAAAAAAACAATGCAAAGGCAGTAGTTCAACCTGTAAAACGCTCTATGCAAGCCAATTTGTACATAAGTAACAAGCGAAAAACGAAAACCAGGATGAAAAATCAATTAAAGTTATTAAATTATTTGGAAATCAAGCTTGGCTTTCATTCCCTAGGGCCCCCATTTAATTGAACGTAACTTAAAGCGCGCCTCTACCTCCGCCGTCTGGTGCCAGCCACCCGGGAGTAGGATTCGATGGTAGTTAGCAACAGGAGGAGCTGTTGCTTCAGTGTCGTGGGTATATGGTAGCCATGGATGATCCTTCTCGGAGCGTTGCTTGTCCGGATAAGCCAGCGGGCGACGAGCCACAGACAACTTTCGCGGAGGGTCCGCATAGGGAAGTGGATCAGCACCTGGCTGCGCACGTCGCACAGTTGCTCCGGATGCTGGGGATTCTTGGGCACCCGCACCCGGACAGGCTGAAAGATCCTCCGGGAACGCACGTGCATCCTTTCGCCGGTGTAGTAGTCCCGGAAGAACCAGCTGTGTGTGCTGAACGTGTTCACTCTGACCTCCTCGAAGGGTTTAAGGGTAAGGTACATGTTTTCGCGATCACGGTCGCATACCCAGTACAAATCCAGGGTACGATTCGTTGTGTTTACGAACAGCACGTACACTTCCACCACAGGTGCCCCCGCTCCCTGGAGCCCCTGACCCTGACCACCCACCAGCTGCTGGCCATCGCGGTTGTTCTGCGCTATTTGAAGCGCCATCTCCAGCAGGGTGCTAAGCCGATCCGCAATGGCTACAAGATCAATTTTCGGTCTTTTAAGTCCACACAAATCAATTGAATAGAGTCGAAACGAAATCAAACAATGCTAACAACAAGTATAGATAAAATTCACTCCTTATCAGTTACGGTAACATTTTTTCGCTCCCGTCGCTCCCCCTGGTCACACTTTCGACGAACAGTCTATCGATATCAGAGAAAACAGCTGTCCTTCTGCCACCTCTAGCGCAGAAGTAAACAAAAAAACTCTAAGGAAAATCAAAATATGCCGTTTTGCATAGCTGTTATTGGCAAGGACGTAAGATTTTCTCTTATTGTTTTGTACAGTAAGCAACCTTAGTGATGTCCACAGAATGCCCCACTTTACTTGACCACCTCCGATATGGAGCAGGAGTTGGATCTGCAATACCACGTACACGCCGCCTTGGATGTCGTGGAGGAAAAGTGTTTAATTGGCAAGGGAGCTCCGGAGTCCAAGGAACTCTACCTGGGACTTCTCTATTCCACAGAGAACCACAAGATGTATTCACATTCATGATTTCCCCGTTTAAATTTCTTAACTCATGGACTAAATACATTGCAGCTACGGATTTGTGACCAACACCAGGGTGAAATTCATAGTGGTCATCGATTCCAGCAACGTTGCTTTACGAGAAAACGAAGTGCGAGCGGTGCGTATTAATCCCATCCGAATATAGGCCATTATAACTCAAATGATTAAAACCTTACAGATATTCCGTAATCTTCACCTGCTCTACACAGATGCCATTTGCAATCCCTTCTACATTCCCGGCGAATCGCTGACTTCAAAGTGAGCTGAATTATTATGTCTATTTGGTAATTTATTATCCCTAATGGCGATTAATTTTTGCAGGAAATTCGATCGCGCTGTGCAAAAACTGATGAGCGGCAATGCCTAGCTGTAGATTTAAACTGAACGAACAATAAAGCAAATTATTTCTCAGTCGTGTGTCTTGATATCTACGTTTTCTCTGGCCCGATGTCAAGGTGGCCTGGCCTAGAGCCCGCCCGAAGCTGGATTAAAATAGTGATACGCACTAGAAATACGTAAACCGGTCGCTGGCTGACCGGAGCCAAAAATTATGCAAATTCGATATTTTTGACGAAAATAATTCGAGAATTAATTATATCTTTACAATGTGTCTACTAGTTGACACATACTTATTTAATGCCCCCGCGTCAAACTCGTCTTTCTGATATGGACATTGTTATGGCGTCTGCGGAGATCTTTACCTGAACGGCAATAACGAGGCACATATAAACTTGTATTTTCTCTTATCTTATGCATAATTAATAAATTTAAATCATCCGCGTCACTCCACTTGAACTTGGGCGCCACCGGCAGAGGAGTTCGAAGCATCAGTACCATATAAAAAGCGGACTGAAATTTCAGTTCGATATCAGTAAGCCTTCTCAAGTCTTTCAACAAACACCATGAAGTTCTTCGTAAGTGCCATTATCCCGGAGCAATCCTCGATGGATACTAACTGATTGGTTCTTTGGGCTCCTTGTAGATTGCTTTCGCTTGCCTTTTGGCCCTCGCTGTTGCCAACGAAGATGCCGGAGTTCTCCGCAACGAAGCTGAAGTGAACGTGGACAACTTCAAGTATGCCCTGAAGCTCGACAACTCTGTGGACGTCGAACAGGCTGGTAACCTGAAGGGTGAAGAGTGGGTTGTTAATGGTCAGCAGGCGTGGACCTCTCCCGAGGGCGAGCAGGTGTCCATCCAGTATGTCGCCGATGCCAACGGTTACCAGGTGCTGTCCGCCAACCCCCCTCTGCCCACCCCTCCCCCAATCCCAGAGGCCATCCAGCGCGCTATTGAGTGGATCGCCGCCCATCCCTCCAAGGATGCTTAAGTTTTTATAAATATATGCGTTGAAAAGTGTTAACCATGCGTCTTTGTACTTTGCCAAAAGGATCTGCGTTTGCAGCTAGTGTAAAAATTTTAATAACTCCGCTTATCATTAATGGACAGAAACAAGTTTGCCCAATATCATAACACCTCACAGCAAGTGAAGGTCACCTGGGCAGACGAAAGAGATGAATATTTTTAAAATAGTCAAATATATCCGAAAGATGAGCATTTATGATAGTGGTGCCCCTGAACTTGAGGTCCCCCAGACAGTTTCTCCACTTTCGTTTTCAAGAACAACAGGTTACAGTCCACTTGCATACTTTCAGGCAGGAAAACTCCACCCACACAGCAAAGTTACTAGTAGATTTGATATATTACTTAATATGAAAATATTACATACCGGGTTAATATCTATATATAAACTTTGATCTTAAAAGTAACTTGATAGTAAACTAGTAGGCTTCAAAAGGTTTTAAAGAAGAAGAGAAGATGAGAGGTAATATGGTAAGCAAAACCTTAAATTGATTTATAACTCAAACAACTTCAGAAAAAAGACAACTTCACAGTAAAAGTTGCAATGATTCCAAGCAATTTATCGGATACGACATATCAGATTGCTTATTTTGGGCTAAGTGTTGATCTTAAGAATGATAAAAATATTTATAAAAGTGCAAGATCTGTTTGAAGAGGTTCTCGTTTCTGTGTGGATACATCAAGCAATCCCTTTAAGATTCAGCTGTGCGATTCTGAGTATGCCACTGCAATTATGACGACGAGCAAAGTGAATGCCGTCGTTAATTACGTGGAGAGGCTGCCTGCAACCAGGCGCAAAAGTAGCAGTATCCAAAGTAGTATAAGTGGTCGATCCGCCGCGACGATCAAGGCTAGACCTCGTCGCCTTACAAATGTCAAAATAACATTGAAATGCTTGCGCTCCGGTTACCGATTTGCCGCCAAATCCGTTGATTCTGGGTCGTTGAGGCTAATCGCTCTGGAAGCACAACATGAAAACCCCGACAGACTGCAGGCGATGAAAACAAATTCCCGATCTTGATGGATTGAGATGCTGAGAGGGCGATGTCAAGATGCCAACATGCTGTCGGGGTATCAAATCGAGACAGCACTGGCGAAAAATAAACCACCTAAAGCAATCATAAACTATTGACATAATGAAAAAAATATATTTAAAATTTTTGAAGCTGCCAAGTTCTTATTATTAACTATTAATTATTTAACTAACATTTAAATGCAGTCCTTGCGGCGCCTCGGATTCTTTTCTCAGGCTCAGCTGTTGGCCATTTCTTACCCCTGGCATCTTGAGAAATGCGTCTCATCCATTATCTGCTAATAAATTAATAATAATATAAACAAATGGTCAATATGTCACCGTGACGTCAACTTTTTAGCGGCTGCTTTGGCTGGCGCTGTCATAATTCGTAAACAACATTTGGTTTCCTCAATTTTCCCGGTATTCCATAGCCACATAAACAGAAAACCGAAATGTATGCCAAACAGCCATTTTATTAAAATGTATAAATCAATTTGCATATCATGGCTGGCATTAAACAAAGCGAAAATTAATATTATGGCTGATTTAAATCTGAATATACGTATCGTATAGGAAGCAGAACCGCAAGAGACAATATTCGAATCGTTTATAAAAATGTTTCAGCACGTTGTTCGTTTGATATTTCCATGTGCGAGTATTTGCGTGGAATGATTCCATCCTCTTAATTAATGTCGATTTTTTAATTGCTCGTTAATTTGGTCGAGTTATAAAATAAAATGATCTTGTTGGCCCGCCGTGATTGATTCATAAAGCGTGTCACCGCTGTGAATTGGAAAATGTGATCAGATTTGTTCCAATTATGAAGGGATATCTGATACATATTTAAATGAGCACCACTTAGGCGTACACTAAGGGAAATTGGACCATTGAACTTGGGCCACTTTCGGTTTCGTTTGGAATTCGACAGAGTCACGTTGGGTTCAATAAAAACGAAACCGAAAACTTTAAGTCGTAAAACAGGGTTTGATTTTAGTTTCGTGTGGAGTTTGCAGTCATTTAATTTGCCATAAACAAAGACCAGTATCGATAGAAAAAGAATGAAAAAGAGATGTTTTTTTAAATAAGTTAATTTAAGACTTTTTTATCGTCATTATTGCCGTGTTTAATTTTAACAGATGGTGACAGCGGACTTGGAACTGGTTTATAATCAGCGGAAGATATAGTCATTCAATGGGCCTCCGAATATTAGGGAATTTTTTCCGCAGTGCTGCGTAAAAATAGTCATTGTTAAGCTTAGCAAACCACTACAAAATCGTACTGGGTGGGTGGATCGCCTGGCAATCGGTGGTGGTGGCATTGGTGGTGCTGCTTTCTGGTGGCCAGGCACAGTAAATTCGGCCAGTGCTCGATGGTTTTACAGTGCTTTTCGTATTTTCCATTCTTTTTTCACTCCACAAAAATTAGAAACACATTTTAAAATTTCCACGGGTTTGTGTGTGCGTGCACTTCTTTTGTTTATTTCCCCTGGTTTTATTTTCGAAATGCCGCTGAAAACCATAAATTAGCTTGTTACTTTTGGAATGCCTGGCGATCTGTGTGGGTGTACTTTGGTCTTGGGGATCTCGAGAGCTATACCAAGAAGTGGGGAACTGATTTAGTCGTTAGCGGTGATCGATCTGGTGAACAACTAGCACAGGATTTAACATGGACAACATTGTGAGTGGAGAGGGATTAGGAATATTCAAAGGATTTTAAGTGGCAGAAAAGAACTGCCCACAACAACTCCAGTTATTTAATTTCAGTAGAGATCATCATTAAATTTTATTCTTATTTCCGCTTATTTCAGGATGAAGATCTGACCCCTGAGCAGATTGCCGTTCTGCAGAAGGCATTCAACAGCTTCGACCACCAGAAGACTGGCTCAATCCCCACTGAAATGGTGGCCGATATCCTGCGCCTCATGGGTCAGCCCTTCGACAGGCAGATCCTTGACGAGCTGATCAACGAGGTTGATGAGGACAGTAAGTATTGAAAGGCTATCTAACTTATTATCAAACAGTATACTGATCCCTAATCCTTTCTGCAGAATCTGGTCGCCTGGAGTTCGAGGAGTTCGTCCAGCTGGCCGCCAAGTTCATCGTGGAGGAGGACGATGAGGCCATGCAGAAGGAGCTGCGCGAAGCCTTCCGCCTGTACGACAAGCAGGGCAATGGCTACATTCCCACCTCCTGCCTGAAGGAGATCCTCAAGGAGCTGGACGACCAGCTGACCGAGCAGGAACTGGACATCATGATTGAGGAAATCGATTCCGACGGCTCTGGCACCGTTGATTTTGATGGTGGGTGTGCGGACCAATTAGCCGCCGTCAGTCGGGCGATAAAATTCTTAAATTCTTTGGCCGGCTGCCAAGGTGTTTTCCACAGAAATTATATCAATTTGTTCCGCGACGCCTCTCTTCCCGCTAAAGAGGGGAACTGCCCTTGCGGCACTTTATTTATAGATCTTTAGATCTTTACTCAAAAGCAAATAGAGGCAACACCACTTCTGTTCCAAATCTTATTAACTTATATAGGTTTTTGGACTTTAGTTTATTTCTTCGTATGTAATTTTTGTGAAAGGTTTTTAATAATAACAATACAAAGTATTGTACAATTGTATATGCCTTAGTTCTGGTCACTTTATTAATGATATTTCCTCCCATTCAATTAATTTTACAGAATTCATGGAGATGATGACTGGAGAATAAGCGTTCTGGACCCAACTTGTCTAATTAATGTCTACACACAACACCCGATGCTTGAATAAACGTTTTGTATTTTATTTCTACGATTGAGTAATCATAATTACGCTATAAATAATCCGCTCGTTCAGGAACTACTGCCGAGGTAGAAAAACCCAGAGCGCGGCAAACATTCTATGGCTGCAGTGCATCTGCATCCGAGTTGAGTCATCTTAATTGCCACCCTCTGGCTGCGGATTATTATTTTTCGATGTTTATGCAATGGACTGGCAGGGGCGTGGCCGTCTGCTCATTTGTGTGTTAATTTGGCAAGGCCACGCGGCGTATGAGTGATGCATGTTGCGCATACGCAACGTGGCCGATTGAGTGTGGACTTTTTTGTGGAGTTTTTTCGTTTGATTGTTTCGTGTTTTGATTGCCGACAGTGCGTGCAAATTCCTTTGCCACTTGGCTGGCGTTCTGGTCCGCACAGCTGTGACCATCCCATGCAGAATAAAACCCACTGACAACCTGCGAGGTTTTTGCCTTTCCAAATAACCAAACAGCCATACCAGCCAGCCATGATGTTGGCTGGCAAATGTCAATGAGCATTCTCCTTGTTGGCAAAAGATGTCAAGCATTTACGCTAAACTTGGCCGCCGCGACATGCAGTGAGTTTTCCCAAAAAGCAGCGAAAAGAAGCAACTGCCCTTTCTGCAAAAGTTTACGAAAATAAAAAAGGAGAAGGGGCTGCGGCAGATGGATGTTGCCACCAAGTGGAGCAACTTGTTTTGCGCAATGGCAAGTCTTTCGGCCGGAGGGTGTCGATATTAGTGGTATTTATTACCGTTTCAAATCCAGTTTTTGCCAATCATTAGGTGAAAGGTCAAAGACTGGACGCCCTGTGAAAGAGGTTTGGATTGAGTTAGACCTAAGTCGATTGTCAGATTTATTGACATCCGTCTGGGCAGACTTCTCAATATGCGATTCTTGACACCAAGCGCATTAAAATGGTTTCCCAAACGTGCAATTCAATGGAGATGAAGCTGAATGATGATGATGCGCTCGAGCGTTGAGAGTTTCGATTGGATTCCAATTTACGAGCACCACCAGCACCACCGGCAGCCGTTGCTTGCTAATTTTAACCCACCAGCCGAGGAGAGATGTGGCTGAGAGCGTTTGTTTAACAAGACAAGGTACATTGAGTAAACGAGATGCCGCCGTTGAGACAATAGTCGAACCCATGCACCTCGGATGCACCGCCTCCCTTCGGCGTGCAATTTTTTTTTTTTTTTTTATATTTTTCCTCGGCTGGAAAATACAGGCATCAGCACCACCACCACAGCTGCAAGCGTTTGCAATAAATGCCATAAAGTATCAAAATCTCAGCCAGCACTCGCTCAGCTCTAAAGCGGCAAGCTCCGGCTTCAGATTCAGATTCAGTTTCAGCTTCAGCTTCAGATTCAGCTGCAGCTACAGCGTTTTCGTTCATTCCATTCCATTTGATTGCATTTGGCGCCAAACCAAGTATAAAAGCTGGAGAACCTGGGCTGCGATCGGCACACAAGTACCGTGACATTCGAGGAGCCACAACACGCGGTGGCACTGCAGCAGTGGTGCAACAAGGACTCACGTGGATTACCTCAGCTCAGTGGATAAACTGCATCGGAAGGACTTGGGTGGCAAGGATTCATTGCATTGCCTTTAACTGTATTTGAACTCTTTGAAGTTTTCCAGCAATGGCTCTTAAGTGGGTGAGTTCAGTGAAAGATAAATGAAAGTAATGTGAGTCTTGAGCACCACAAAAAACTAAAGTTTAAGGACTGGTATGTTCGGAGAAATTGTACTTAATTATAATACAAATGTTTACTTAGGGAATCTGCCTCATGTTCATTATTGAAAGTGAATTTAGGATCTTCTTAAATTTCGGATAGTTTTTACATTTGTAACACATTAATTGAAAAAAGGACAAAGTATTCAAGTGTATTATTGCCCATAAAAAATTGTTTTAAACAAATATTTATTTCTCAAAGAGAATCTACTTAAAAAATGTAATGCTTAAATATTAATTCCTTGTTAAACCGAAACTATAGAGAAGCACATTAAGAACTAAGCAGAAGTTATTTACTTATCCCGAAATCGACAATGTGTTTCCCAATGACCAACTGGCTTCCCCCAGCTGGCAATTAAAAACAGCAAATTAAAACAATAGACCTAAGGAATGCCCCATCTTGATGTGTTAAATTGGCAAGGATTTCCCCATCGCACTTAGCATATCCGATTGTCTTGAAGAAGAACCAACCAAGTGGTCCCCGCAAAACGCATAAATTAACGGCCCATTTGCAATCGGAGATGGCGGATGGCACGCAAAGTTGCCCAAGATGGATCGGTCGTGGCCAACACGCCCCCAAAGCAGATCATCGAAATGGAAGCAGTGGCGACCCAATTGGCAGCCCATTTGCAATTACCGCAATTATATTTGCGGTTGCGAAACGCTGTCGAAGATGTCTGCTCGATGGTCACGAACTTCGAAAGACTCCCAGTGAGTTTGGCCCAAGGGGCAGGCGTTGGTTCGTTCGCTGGATTCGGTTGCATGTGCCGCAGATGCCGCCGGATGAGTCAGTGTGGCAAATGTCAGAATTTCCACATTACAACATTAATACGTTATAGCATTATAACATTATTTCATTGTTCAGCTGCGCGGCGACAAGTGAGCTCATCATCGCGCCAATCGATCGGAGCTGCAGTTCGGTTTATGGCCAAATGGAATCCGTAAACGGTTTAAACTTCAACTTGACACTCCGCTCCGTTTACTTAACCTTCCCAGCGAGCACTCTTCCAATGCGGACTTGCCGTTCACACGCTGCTGCATCTTCAGACATCTTCTGTCTAACAAGAAGTCCATAAATATCAGAGTTCGCCTCAGGCTGCGACAGCTCCACTCCACTCCGCTGATGATGAGCTCGATAGTCCCGCCACAGCTAAAGCCAAAGCCTTAATGGGCAATTCCATAGATCGCAGGCAACAATAGAAAACGTGAGCGGATCGGATTGCCGCACTCAGTCAATGGGCGAATGCAGTTCCATTGATGAAATGGCCGACATTTGGCCACACTCTTGACCCCGATTGAGGTCTTAAGTGGGGTCAGGTTACACTTTTTTTCTAAGATTATTTCTTTATGTAAATCCAAGGTCTTCCTTTCCCTAAACTTAGATGCAAGTCATAAAGAAGATAGTTTTTAATTACCTTCTATAAATTTAATTCAAAGTTCTTAATTAAATATAATATTAACCTTAAATTGACATTTTCTATTCCGATAGTGAATTAATATCCTCCCAAATAGCTTTCCCTCTTCCAACTTCCACTATAAAACATTCTAATCTCTTAATAATCTCCAATGATTTATGGAAGAGGCCCAAATTGATATAACATCTAAAGATATAAAAGTCAATTTTTTCGCAATTAGCCACCCCCTCGATTTTTCTATTTATTTTGCAATAATAAAGTGTACCAAAGTGATGCTCCAGGCAAAATTCGAAGCGTGCATCGCGATGATCGTAAAGGCTGGATTCGCATGAACTTTCCATGTGTCTTGCATAAATTTGTGAACTCACCCAGCCAATCCCCCGTCTGTCTCGATCTCTTCCAGGCTCTGGTGATCACGACGCTGGCGTTGGCCCAGTCAGCGAAGCTGGATAACAAATACCTGCCTCCGCCGGCAAGTGCGGCGAGTGCGGGCGGCAGTCCGGGAGCGGGACTCCAGGGACCGGGAGGTGGCTTCGGGGGAGGCGGACCAGGAGGAGGCTTCGGCGGAGGCGGAGGAGGAGCTGGTGGCTACGGTGGAGGAGGTGGCGCTGGAGCTGGCGGCTTCGGTGGAGGAGGCGGAGGTGTACCTGGTGGTTTTGGAGGAGGTGGTGCCGGCGGCGGAGGATCTGGTGGCTTTGGCGGCGGTGGAAACAATGGATTGGGTGGCTTTGCCAACGGTCGACCCATCGCACCTGGCGGCGGTGGTGGTGGCGCTCCCGCTCCTCGTCCCAGTCCACCAGGTGGTGCTCCTCCTGCCTCTGGACCTCCCATTCCGATCCTCTCCTTTGTCAACGAGAACGACGGGGATGGCAACTATCGCTTCAGCTACGAAACCGGAAATGGTATTAAAGCCCAGGAGGAGGGCACCGTGAAGAACAAGGGATCCCCGAATGAAATCCCCTCCGTGATGGGATCCTACTCGTACACAAATCCCGAGGGAGAGGTCGTGGAGATCATGTACACGGCGGATGAGAACGGCTTTGTGCCTTCGGGCAACGCTCTGCCCACTCCACCACCCATTCCAGAAGCGATCGCCAAGTCCCTGGCTGCCCAGGGAATCTCCGTGCTGCCAGGCGGCGGTTTTAGTGGAGGATCCGGAGGTCAGGGTGAGTAGCTACGCAGAAATAGATTTTTTGTACCTTTATTTAACATCACTTATTTTTTGCAGGTGGCGGTGGTGGCGGAGGTGGTGGATCGGGATATGGCGGTGGATCAGGATATGGGGGCGGTGGCGCTGGAGGTGGATCCGGAGGAGGAGGCGCAGGTGGATATGGAGGTGGAGCAGGCCGAGGCGGTGGTCCTGGAGGTCCCGGTATGTAAATCAATATTTTTTTTACTTTTAAGTGTTTATGAAAATAACACATTTATATTTTTAGGCGCACCAGGAGGTGGTGGATTTGGAGGTCAAGGTGAGTGATCTTGTCATTCTACACACTATGGACTAAAAGAACCTTAACTTTCAGGAGGTGGTGGTGGTTATGGAGGAGCTGGCGGCGGAGCTGGTCGTGGAGGTGGTCCCGGAGGTCCCGGTAAGTTAACTACTTTCCAATTGCATTGAAAACTTTCCAGATTTTTAAAACCAATACTATTTTAAATGAATTTTGTTTTCAGGAGCTCCAGGAGGAGGAGGTGGTTATGGAGGCGGCGCAGGCGGCGGTCGCGGTGGAGGAGGTGGTGGCGGAGGACCCGGAGGTCCCGGTAAGTTTATTACTACATATTGACAAAATAAAATTTTATTAAACAAAAATTCCTGTTTTAGGAGCGCCCGGTGGAGGAGGTTTTGGAGGTCAAGGTTAGTGATATAATAGTTTATCCCTCTTTTGGTTTAAAAAAATATATTTTTAGGAGGAGGTGGCGGATTTGGAGGCGGCGCCGGACGTGGTGGTGCTCCAGGTGCTCCCGGTAAGAAATTTACTCTATTTTTATATAATGGAAAGGAATAAGTTTGTCATATTTGTAGGAGCTCCCGGCGGAGGCGGATTTGGAGGTCAAGGAGGAGCTGGAGGTGTTGGAGGTGGATATGGAGGAGGTGGCGGCGGAGGCCGTGGAGGCGGTGGAGCACCAGGAGCACCCGGTAAGTATATAACTTGGTTTCAGACTGGATAAAGCTCTGAAAACTATATTAATTCTATCTATTTTTATTATGATGAAACCATAATTGCAGGAGCTCCAGGAGGAGGTGGATTTGGAGGTCAAGGTAAGTGATCTTGAAATTTTCTCTACTTCCGGCTTGACACATATTTGTTTTCTGTAGGAGGTGGCGGCGGATATGGAGGAGGCAGCGGACGAGGTGGTGCTCCAGGAGCTCCTGGTGAGTTAATGGTTTTTTTTTTTTGGTTTTCTTAATTAAAATGTTTATTAAATTAAAGGATCTCCAGGAGGAGGAGGCTTTGGTGGCCAAGGAGGAGCTGGTGGCGGCTATGGAGGCGGCGGCGGAGGAGGTCGCGGTGGTGGTGGAGCACCAGGCGCACCAGGAGCCCCAGGAGGAGGTGGATTTGGTGGTCAAGGTAAATGTTTTTAAAATTATATCTAAAGAACCTCTAGAACCTCTAAATTTATTTATTTTATAGGAGGAGGTGCTGGTTACGGAGGTGCCGGCGGTCGTGGAGGTGCTCCAGGAGCTCCAGGATCACCTGGTAAGTAAACTTTATAACATATATTTTGGGGTTTAACCATGTCTTTTTTAAGGAGGTGGTGGCGGATTTGGAGGCGGCGGCGGACGCGGGGGTGGTGGAGCACCAGGAGGTCCTGGTAAGTATAAAAAAATTGTATTTGTATTATTTATTAATTTTAATTTATTATTACTTTCTAGGATCTCCCGGAGGACCAGGCTATGGAGGTGGTGCAGGTGGCGCAGGTAAATATTAATTCACTTCACATTTTTTTCTGCAATTAAAAATTTTGTAAGTGTCACTTTAATGTTAAACCATTGAAATCTTCATGAGAAAATGTTGTGAAGACTTGTATTTGAAGAGTTAAAACTTAAACTTTATTAGTCAAGTGTAATTCCCACGCGAGTTGGTTTTTATAATTAATTCTGTGCACAGACTTTGTGGCCGGTTTACCCACGATCCACTGACGATCTCTCATAAAATTTAAATTTTGAACTAAAAGCGGTGTCTTTGTAGTGACAAGAGTTACTAGATAATAATCATTTAAAACTAGTTTTATAGAAGTTAGACAATAAAGAGATTATACAAATTAAAGAGCCAATCTGATAATGATTATTTAACTTATTTACAGGAGGTGTCGGTGGAGCACCAGGACGTCCAGGAGCCCCAGGATTGCCGGGTGGCAATCAGTACGTTCCACCCCCAGCTGGAGGAGGTGGTGGTGGTGGTGGCCCAGGATCGCCCGGCAGGCCAGGATCAGGAGCTCCTGGCACAGGATCACAGTACATTCCACCTCCGCCAGGAGTGCCCGGTGGAGGCCGCGGCAACGGAGAGTTTAATCCTCAGACAGGCTATAGCTACTAATTCGAAAAGCAACTCCAAAACGCCAATCAAATCTCTCAAACCGAAGAAATTCCAGTGCAACGCAGGCTTCCCTAAATGTTCTTTCACTCAAACGATTAATTTATTTATGTAAGCTTCCCCCTTTTTCTCTTTTGTGACAATGTGTGTGTGCAACTATCGAAATAAATGAATCTTGAAAACATGAAATATCTATTTTTAATTTGAGCCCAAGGTAACCCATTAAATCAAACAGATTGACTTTTCAGATGCATGTATTTCATGCCTTTGAGTTGCGACTACATTTCGACTAAATGATCGTTAAAATTATATTTCTTTCTGCAATTATTTCTTTGGGGACTTCTTGAATCGCCTGCCATACTGGTTGTAGCCATAGGGATCCACTAGGTTGTTGGGTCTGCCCCTCAGTTGTTGGGTAATCAAGGCCTGTTGCTGCTGCTCATTCTGCTGCTCCTTCTGCTGTTGCTGCTGCTGTTGTTGCTGCTGCTGCTGCTGTTGCTGATTCAGATTCTGTTGCTGCTGTGCCGTGAGATTGCTGCCAAAGGATTGCTGGCCAAATTGTCCGGCATATTGCCCGGGTAAATTACCGGAATGCAGTTGGTTAAACGGCTGATCTGGCTGATATTGCCCCGAGTTCGATTGCTGTTGCTGCTGGAAGTTGCGTTGCTGCTGCAACTGTTGCTGCTGCTGTTGCTGTTGCAGCGGGGTCAAAGCCTGTTGTCCTGGGATCTGAGGACGGAATGGTGCATTTGGCAGCGGTGGTGGCAGCTGGCGGAAGGGTGTTTGGTAAGGATTCAAGTTGGGATTCAGCAAACCCTGTTGATAAGGTTGGGCACCAGTGAAATATTGCGGAGAAGCGGGAATCCCTGTGCCCTCCGCCCGGAATCCATTCTCATCCGCAATGTAACGTACTGTTATGGGAGTTCCCTCTGGTGAGGTGTACGAGTAGGAGCCCTGAATCACCTGGTTGTTGGAAAATAAATGCAATAATTGCAATCATTATAAAGATTTGTACCAAAAAGTATGCTACGTTTATTGGAAAGTAAGTTAAGATTGCGCGGAAAAGATTGCAAATCTTGTAGAAACGAAAACCCACCTGAGCCTCCACCCCCTCGCCGTATCCCAAGTTCTTGACGTAACCCTGAGCCTGGGCAGTGGTTCCATCGGCCGAGGAGTATCCATAGGAGAAGCTGCCATCCAGATTGAGTTCGTTTTGGTAGGCAGTGATGGGCACGTAGTTCTGCTGCTGGTACTGGTTGTACCTGGTGTAGGGATTCTGAAGGCCAGCGTCCGTCAGCGGAGGAGCCAGCGGGTTCAGGGGATTTCGCTGACCCGGGAATAGTCCTTGACCCTGGACAGGATTGGGCTGGCGGCGCTGGAAGGGATTGGCTGGCTGTTGGAGCGGCTGCAGCGGGGGAACCTGCGGCCGTTGTCCCTGGAAACCTGCTCCTGGCAACTGAGCCTGGCCGGAAGAGAACCACACGGCGGCCAGCAGGCAGGCCACCCAGCGGATCTGCCGGAATCGAAGGGGCGAGCGGGGTGCAGACATTTAGGCTGTCAGTGGGCGGGTGCCGTGGATCATAAATCTCGCGAACGGAGCACAAATTACACGCTCGATAAACTCCCGACGACGACGTAGAGCTGGGAAATTGAGCTGGCTTTTTTTTCTTTTTGATTTTCCAGAACCGATATAGCGAACCGAAGCAAATCCGTTGCTGCCACTTGGCGGTGGAAGTCACTGATCGAAAGTCGTGCCACGACTGCAGCAGCGACTCCGGCTGCCAGCGGTATTTATGTGGTTCTCGATCTCAGCCCTAAAGCTCAGATCAGTTCAGTTCAACTCAGTTCAGCTCAGTTATGGTCAGAACAATCGGTGGCTTCCTGTGCTCTTGGTATCAGTTTCTGACTGCATCTGACTGATGTTAGATTACCACCGCCAGCAGCGGGTCGAGTGTAATTTATCTACGTGTTAACAAGCCGCCGCTGGGGTGGCAGCTTTATTGGTTTTTTATCGGCCATTGACAGAAGGACAAACGAATTTCGTTTGGCTTTGACCACCGGCCAACCAAGCAACCAACCAACTGATTGATATCTTCACCTTCTTCCGCGCACTTGTTTATGAGGCTGGCCCCCATATGCAAATGCAGGGCTTTTTGCACCAGCACCTGTCTTCGCATCTGCCCCGAAGGTGTTTATCTGAGTTATGTGCCGACATGGCCCCTCGTTTTCCCTTGGTCAAGGTGGCAGTCGGACCTCAACCCGGTCCATAAACATCATTTGTCAATCAGCGCATCCGAGCGATACGATTTATCCCCAGGATAGCTTGAGAATCAGTCTGTCCAACTCGAGATCGAGGTGTTCCATTGTTCCACGCTCTAGTGGGATTATTCATCGGGCTGGGAATGGGTTTGCAATTGCTCATGTCTAGGTGTGATGCGATCGCCATCCGTCATTTATAACTGCCAGCCATCTGACAGATACAATTTCGTTTGTCATCTGTATGAGCTGCCATTAAAATTCGAACATGTCTTGTTCCATGTTCCATGTTCATGCTTTAATTGCATATGCTAATTCCGATGAGGTTTTCCACTCCCAAACAAGGTCTATATATTCCGTTGGGTTGGGGTCAGCATATTAATGTTGTTTTTGCTGCATCTACGAAAAATCTTTTCTTTGCTGCTATATTTTTGCAAATAATTTCCGTTTCAGTTAATAAATTCTGCGTAAACGTAATGCTTGGTTTATTTTTAACCTGGCCAATATACTTCCTTTTTTTCCAAGTTATTCAATATCCCATTCAGCCTAATAGTATGCTAGGCAAACTAGATAAAACTTAACAGGTTCCACATTCGACCTTAACAATGTTTCTGTGCGCTTCATTTGTTTTACAAAGAATAATAAATAAAGTTTTTATTATAAATAGTTTTTTTTTTCAACTCGAAATTATTTTATAGATTCATACGCCTATGCGGAGTTTCTTTGCCCTTTATAACTTAAATATAAAAATAATTTTTGGAAACAAATCTCTAAATCACCTTGGAACCCAGTTTGAGTTATTAATTAGTAAAGTAGCTTTAAATGTCTGTAAAGGTAAAGTAAAAATAAGCCCTATAAAACTGATGTGTTACTGATTTTTAGGGATATAAATCCAAATTCGCTTGTTACATATAATATTTGGGGCTTAATCTCCGAATCACCTTGAATTCAAGATAACATAATCTATAAATATCTCCATAAAGTAAAATAAAAAAACCCATGAGAAACAATTTGTTTACGTTTCGCCTAATGAGATGCTTCAATGTGAGTGCCAAATATAAATTATAAATATGCTTTAGCCCATATTGGCCAAGCGTCGCATGATTGATTTGCCATTTGGAAGACTCCGAAACTGGAATAAATCCAATGAGAAATGAAATAAATGCGGGAAACGAGCGCAGAAGATGGCGATGCGGGGAGCGACATAAAAATGGCTTGCCAAATTTATGCAGAAATGCGAGACACAACAGGCGCACAACACACCGAACAACACACAATACAACAACAACAACAACAACAACACAATGATGTTGGCCCGATGAGCAAATCGCATTAAAGACAGGTCGGACACTCCTCCCACGACTCCAACTGCATTTTGTATTTTGGGCTTAAGGCTTCGGGCTTTAGCCTTAAATCCAACTAAAAGTCGGACAGCCGCGGCGGCGGTTATTAATAGACTGCGGCCAGAAAAGTGTTGGCTTCGCAATGGCTCAGATGTTCAGATGTTTTCTGCGCCGCAGCGGCCTGACATTTTGTAATTGTGAATTCCATTAGTTAGAAATTATGGCCGCCAGCGGGGCTAATTGATTCACTTTGAAGGCAGTGCGTAGTGCGACTGCCACCTCGATTGCGGATCGGGGTTCTGTCTTCTGTCTTCAGTCTTCTGTCTTCGGGTTCCGGCTGGCAGATCTTGGCTAAAGGTTAACGTGTCGCAGCTCTGAATTATGACCTCGTCGTCATTGCAACTGCTACATTAATGAGTTTCAACTTCTGCGGCAGGCGCGTCAAATAGCACATATTGCACACTCGCAAAATCATGAAATTTATCCGTTTTCCTGGATATAGAAATATAAATCTAAAAGAGCTTATTAAAGATTCCATTACATTAAACATTAATCTTTCTCGGGATGATCTCATTGATTAAGTTTGAAGATTTAATTGTTGAAAAGATGTATTTTAAAAATAACATTGCAAACAATTGCAATTTGGATCTTAGATAACTAATTCCTGCTGTGTTGTTTAATAAAAAGTAATTTAGGTAGTAATTAAAAAACAGGATGTTTACATTTAGTTTACTAATGAGTAACCTTATTAAATAATTAATTAAATTAAAGAGAACTTGGGAGTTGTTCTCTTAAGATTCAAAGGACTTCAGATAGCTTAAACAAATCTTTAGCTATTTGTTCAAGTGCACTTTTGCAGCATTACCTAAATCATCGGAATTAAATCCAACTCACTGGGGACTGGGGGAGCCACCGAGAATCAATTTATTAACACGTTGCCCGAGAGCCTGGCCATTTTGGCAAGTGGAACTGGAAATTGTAACTGGGCGGGCCAAGGCAAATGCCAAAATGCAACTTCTGCCGCAGTCGGCTGCTGTGGCAGTCTTACGAAATAGCTGGAAATTATTATTGAATTCTTTTTGTCTTGCCGTTTGCCATAAATGTTAGCCGCTTCTCAAAGCCGCCAGAGGTGCCCACCCACTGTAACAGAGCTTCGGAGCTCGGAATTTGCATGGAAGTCAAGAGATTTGGTGGAAGTAGTCTGGTGGCGCAGTCAGCCGTTACCATTTCTGCACCTTTCGCCTGCCACAATGCCAGACTGTTACCATGCCACTAAGCCAGTATGGCACACAATGCCGCATAGCCAAATTTTGACAAATTTCATTAGGTGCTGCACCTTGGTGGCAGAACCCACGCGGTTCACATGTGTTGTTCATGGATGCTATCTGCATTGTAAACACGACAGTTTACCAGCTCCACACTTCTAAGTGGCCATTTGAATTGCAAATCGGAGGTTCAACAAACCCCAGAAATGGCGAGCAAACTCGACCTGCTACTTTCTACTGACCTCAAAAAGGCATCTGGCATTGCATAACTTTTGTCTGGCGATCTGAGATCTGATCTGAGATCCGAAATCCAAGGGGGAGAAATGTCTATAAATTGCGTCTAACGGAGGGAGTGCTATAAAAAGCGCAGATTCTCGATGAGCGCGCTTAGTATTAGCATAAATCATGTTCGCATTGGTAAGAAGCCATCGAGATTCGGCAGCTCATGAATAGCCGAGCGTTTAGTGACTCCTATTTTTCTCTTCTTTTTTTCGTTTGGGACTTTTGGAACTTCCAGTTATTGATCTTGACTGGCTGCCAACTGTGGAGTTGGCCCGCTGAGAGTGCTGCCATTAATGGACCGGTGCCAATCCTAAAATCGTCGGTCGAACAACTCAATTCTGGCTCGTATTTGCTTTCCTACGAGACCGCCGATGGAACTTATCGCGAGGAACTGGCCATTGTAAAGCCGAATGCGAAGAGAACCGATGATGACGATCTGGAGGTATCCGGTATTTATGGTTATATCAATGAATCGGGCCAGAAGTTGGTTGTCACCTACACGGCGGACAAGAATGGCTTTTTGCCGCACGTTAAGTACGTCGCCAGTCCAATGGGGGAGACTATAAATAAATCGCCATAGAGCCATTATCTTTGATGGGCACACATTCTTTGAAATGTTAGCCAGACAATTACCAAAGCCAAGCGCCGATCCAGGCGCAAATGCCCAGCTTTTGGCCAGAAAAGGAGCGGCACACGGCAAGAAATTATACAACAACTGGTTTTCTATCAGATCGATAAATGCAGATATTGCTCTTAAAAAATCTTGATGGTTGTATCTACAGAACGGAAGCTGCACTACTAGATCTTCCATATCATTAGGTTTTTATAGCTTTCAGCTTTTAAGCAAAGGTCTGCGCATTTGATTTGACATTAAAAATAATTTCTGTATAATATAGTTAATAAGTGTAGTAAAGGAATATGTTAAAGTATACGCCTAAGAAATAAGAAATCAGTGTTAATGTTAGTATTAACCAACAAAATATTATCATTAAAGAAATTAGTCTTCAAAAAAGTCTTTATTTTGTTTAATAATAGTCAGTTTTTTACTCAACACAATAATTGTATTGTAATGATTTTTTTTGCAAATATTATGTTAACAGCCCCGCAATTTTGTTGTTAACAGAATTTTTTGTGCCGTGTCCAGCTGGTGTTTTCGAAATCGCCTGCTCATCGCTGGTATATTTAATTTGCCGCAGATTTTGAAAATTAGTTAAGCTGTCAAAGTTATAAATTGTGGCAGCATCGCAGATTGCCCTTTGCCATCGGCGATGCAAATGTCGTTCGGTGCAGCGAAATGAATTAGTATTTATCACCCCATGAAATGGATGACGAAAATAACACGATCGTCATTATTAACTAGCCCCGGAACTACCGATGATTGGTTTAATGGCGCCGCAATGTAAATGAAATTGCTGATGCGCCCCGCTGCGATTCTGAATCTGGCCATTTGTCAGCCGAAGATGTTCGATCGATGGCTGTAGATAAAGCTGAATAGATAGATAGATAGATATACGCCCTGGGCTACGGGGGCTACACCCCAGTGCAGATCATAATATAAATTGCATCAAAGCTGGCATTTTACACATTTCTGGGATTGGTGTGGTGTGGTGTGGTGTGGTGATTCTGTGGTGTAAGGTGCGAGGTGTGACTGATTAATCGCGACACCTGGCGAGTGGGTGAAGCTTCGCCAAGTTATGCATTTTCAGTTGCAGTTGCAATTGCACTTGTATTTGCAGAGGTGTCATCAAAACGCCGGCGTCATCAAACTGAATAATATTCCCGCCATTATCGTGACACATTTTCCATGTTTCCATGCTCCAAAAAAAAAACTGACCCACCGCGAAGACCTTGACATTTAAAAACTAGCCGCATTTTGAAATTCGCCAGCGTATCGTCTACATAAAACGGGATGCAAACATGTTTAGCATGTTTAAGCGAAAGAGCCGAAAAGAGCGGGATGCGATCGAAATATTGAATACTGAGCCAGGAGTGTGTGCAGCTATAAAAGCCAACTGACCGATCCACTTTGAGTTCACACGCGCTTTAACTCTCGCTTTCTACGCTCTTCAAATCGCCAAAAATGTTCAAGATCGTAAGTGGAATCAATAAAGGATTAGTTGCAGTGAATGAAATGTTTAAGGATATGTTTTAAAAAAAATCAAAGATAAAAACATTCGAGGATTCAATAACTATTGTACTTTAATATAACATTTTTTGTTAATGAAAATCATATTTAAATGCCACGTGGAACAGATAAACCTGATTGATAAATATCACGTGTCTCTTATCGATCATATAGGAATTTTGTATTCAGTTTATTGAATAGTGATAAAGAAACCTTCCTCAATCTTTTTATTTATTGTGAACTAATAAACCTGATCTCCTGCAGCTTCCTCTTTTCGTCCTGGCCGCTTTGGTCATTTGCTGCCAATCGCTTCCCGTGGAACCCGAAAAGGAGCCAGTGGCCATTTTGAAGTCGGAGGTCAACAAAAAGGCGGACGGAGGCTATGACACCAAATACGAAAGTGCAGATGGAACCAGTCGCTCCGAGGAGGCTGTTGTGGTGGACAAGGGCACCGACAAGGAGGCTCTGGAGGTGAAGGGATCCTACAAGTACGTCAACGATCTTGGCGAGGAAGTCGAGGTCTTCTACACCGCCGGAGTGAATGGATTCGTGCCCTACGGATCCTCGATCAACCCGGAAATCACCGCTGTGGCCGAGGCAGCCAAGGATCTGCCCAAGCCAATCTACCTGGAGAAGTCGGAACAGTAGGATGTGTTTTCTGGAAGAGATCTCGTAAAAGTTAATTCATAAGATTGATGGAGAGCAAAAGCAAGCTGTAACTATGCAAACGAAAATAAAAGACAAAACCAAAAGATGAAATATAGTCGAATCGTTGAGTACTAATATTTGAAATTTGCATAATTCACACTTTTTTTGTTGACTTAGCCGGCAGAGACACAGAGAGAAAAAAAATATGAGAAAAAGCAACAAAATCATTACGAAAGAAAGATCATGATGATATATTGACAAAAGAAAACATTTAAAATTTAATTTGAAAGTTTCATAATCGTGCGGGATCGACAACCAGCACATTTTTATTGTTTTTTCCCCTGTGCACATGGTAAATACCCGAAAAAAATAACCTTGAAAACCGAGTAAAACTTGGCACAGAATCAAAGTCTGGGACTCCGAATGATTAAGCACCCGTTTGGCCACTTTGCGGCGGTACAGTGAGGCCTCGAGCTACGAATGAGACATCTGCTTCAATACATCATTACACGCCTAAACATCGTTCATTAGCTTTTATCAAAGACACACGAAATTAAGACTTAACAAACAGGAAAACGTAAGAATGAAATTGGTCATTTAATGAGGCATAAATCATCTACAGAATTTGCATATTTGATGGGGATAGACTTGGTTGTATAGGTACATGTTGTCTATCCATCCACTCCATAGCCATGGATCACACCCTTCTCGAGAAGAACTAGAACTCCAAAAAAGAATAAATAGTAAGAAACCAGAAGAAAACCACAAGCTCTTCGCATCTTGAAGTTGTTTGTGAGTGCTGCAAGCATTGAGAACAACAATCCAACCTCCACGAAAATGCAAGCCGTCTCTCCAAAATGTCCCTCCGAAGGCTGTTTATAGATCTTGTTACAATTTAATGATATAATTTCCACTGTCACTTACATTAATTTTAGCGGGAGCCTTTAAAAACGCCTCTACAATCAGTGGCAAAGCTAGAACCACAAAGGTTCCTGCAAGGAAAGTTGGCTATAGAAGTTCTTATGCTCTTTATAAAATATATTTTGTTTAATTACCAAATACGGGTGATGAGAAGGTGGCCGTGAATGCCATGCGAGGCCATCCCTGGTAGGCCAAAGCGATATTGGCCACCAAATCGTTACTGTACATTGCCCAGCAAATGACCGTCGCCAAAGCAAATTCCTGACTCACTTTTAAGACGGTGGCCAAGGTGAAAAACATGGCATTTACCTCGGAAGTAAGACAGTAGATCAGGAAGACGGTGGCCAGAAATCCGATAACAGATGTGTACTGTAAGGAAATTTGAGCAACAGATTTAGTTAGAATTTGGCAAAAAAAAAAATAGAAGGTGCTTAATTCCACAATGTTACAATGGTTTCAATACATTTTGAAATTTACAAAAAAGGTTTAAGATATGAGAAATCTGAGATCTGAGAATTGTACTATATTTCCGGTTGTACTAATTTTTAAATATTATACTTTTTTGCTGTTTTGCAAACAAGTTATTTGACTACGTGCCAAAAATTATATTTAACTTACCCTAAAGAATCTGGGCGGGGTGTCGGTGCGCGTGAGAAAACATATAATGAGTGCCACAGGCACCATGATCATGAGAGTCACGATATAGGCGGCAGTGCCCAGAATGGTATGTCCCCGGACTAAAAAAAATGTTAGGGTTGATACACTCAAATATTATCAGATAAGCTCACCGATTATGTAGGCAGTGTAGGTGGGGACCAGAACCACTTGGAGGCTGAAGAGCAGCTTTGACCAACCATAAAGGGGTTTTTCCATGTCCACCACTGGGATGAGTATCCTCAATATCATATCGATGGGTTGCTTCACAATCAGGTAGACCTTCAATAGTATTGTCCCCTGTCGGAAGCGCTCCTTGTCGAACTCACCAACGGTTCCCCAGAACTGCTGAAAAACCCGATGATGTCGTCCACCTTGACGATCGGCTGTCCTGTCGATTACGTAACGATTTAAAGGTAATGTGTCCTGCGGCTTTAGCTCCCCCAATTGCACGTCACCAACGGAAGGATCTTGTTTCTTTTCCAATTCTATAATACATTTTTCAATGGGTTATTGAAGCTATTATTTAGCTGAAAGGTAACCCACGTCGAATGCGAGCCTTCAGCAAATGTTGATCGATGAGGGCCACTGCAACGTAACCCAAGAAGATAAAGCCACTGGGCAAGGCCTTCAGCCAGGTGATTCCATCAGGACGCTTGTGGATGAAGTCCATGTAGGCCGTGTTCAAGAAGAGAAAGCCAAAGTCCCGGAGGTAGTAATTGGGCTCCATGCTAAAGGGCCTGGTGAGTATCACCATTCCGGCCACGAAAGTGTGCAAAAACATAGTTTGCGCCATGCAAGCGAGGAAGGAAAACCTTGAGGAGTCAAGCCTCGATGCAATGGCGGTGAACAAATCCGGAGATCCGTTTGCAATGGCCAGAATCGTAACCCCAGCCGTGCTCTCATTTAACCGGAATGCATCTGCTATTACCTTTAAAGTGGGACAGAAACTGCGGAACTATTTCTTACTACCAAATTAAATGAGTTTTAAAATAAACCTTACTAGTGATGTACGGCCATCTGCATCATCCAAAAGACATAAATGGTTATCAAGAGCATTCCCAGCACACTCCAGAAGGAGTTGAAGTGGCTTCGGATTTCCTCCATGCAGTAATGCCAGCCCAAATAGTTGATGAGGTTCATATTGGCAACACAATCATGAGCGGTCAACACAAAGTTGCATCGCTGTCTCTCCGGCAAAGTGTGGACCGCGAAGCAGGTGGTGCCAGTATTCATTTTTGGCTTGGTATTTATTTTATTTAACTTCTATTTGATGAGAGCTGATTGAAAAATCTAGACTTTCTAAAGTTTCGAATGACTTAAGTCTGATGAACTTTGTAAAAATGTTGTGCTCTGTATTATTATGATTTACTCTTTCTAATAAGAAGATTTTAAAACACAGATTCGTAAGATGTTTAATTATAAGATTTTAATGAACCTTTTTAATTGTTTACGAGTAGGAAATATAATGACCAGTTTTGCAAATCCATAAAAATGTTTTTGCTTTATTTACCAAGTCATCTATATATTTTTACCCTCCCGAATTCCTAACAAACAAAACATCTCAATTCGCTTTGTTTCCATTATCGCTCCCTCGCTTGATTATAAAAATCGTTAATCTTTTCATATTCTCCAATAAAATTCTAAGCCATGATCGTCATGGCAAGTTTGTGGTCGGTCGGTGAGATAATTTCTTGTTGTCAGCTTTCTGCTTAAATTAGCACTAACCATAGCGAAATTTATGATAAGTATTTATATGCAGCACGGAATCCGCATTTCACATGCAGCTGCTGTCGCCGTCGTCCACTTAAATCAACATTGATGCGGATTTCAGATAGGGAATCGTTTTATTGCTAGCCAGTTAAATTAGATCGATCGTACTCGGTTTTAAATTAAACAATACTTAGGTAGTCTAGTAGTGGTAGTTCTAGGAAAGCTTAGGCAGTCTTCGTCTTCGTCTCCGACTCGATCTTCTTCTCAATCTCGGACTCGATGGCGGCCTTCACCTCGGAATCGAGGACCACCTGGACGGGCACCACCTGGGATTCAGCGGGCAGGGGCTCGGACTTCTCCACCACAGTCGATGCCTTGGCCACCACAGCCTCCTTCTCCTCCTTCACCTCCTTCTCCACGGGAGCAACTGACTTCTCCACGGGAGCCACAGCCTTCTCCACAACAGAAGCAGCCTCGGCACTCTTCTCCAGATCCTGGGAACGCGCCTTGCGGTACCTCTGCTCCTCCTCCTCGGAAATCCTGGGCAGATCGGCGGCAGCCTTGGCCAGCTGGGTGATCTCGGCGGGAATGATGGTGCCCACGGGCACGAATCCGTTCTTTCCAGCGGTGTAGGTCACCTCAACAGTGTTGCCATCAGCATCGATGTAGCGATAGGATCCGGAGACCTCCAAGGCCTCGTCGTCGGTGCCGGCGTTCTCGACCACGCCCTTCTCCTGGCGGAAGGACTGGTCGCCGCCCTCGTAGCTGAAGTGGAAGGATCCGTCGGGCTGCTTGTCCGTCTCGAACTTCAGCACGGGAATGATTTCGCGCTTCTCGGTGGTGCTGTCGACCTGGCCAATACTGGCGGCCAAGGAACCACTGGCCAGGGCGAGCAAACAGATGGCAATCTTGAACATTTCGGTGGTTAGTTCTTTTCTTTTTTTGGGGGAGAAAATTGGGAGAGAGAGTTTGAGGTGCTTTCTTGGCGAGAACCGGCGGACGACTTGGCTTACGACATCTGCCATCCACTTTATATACCGGCGTTTAATGTGCGCAGCAGCCGCGAATTAGCATCTTCCAGTCCCATTACGCCATAACCAAAAAATACAAAAATACACCCAAAACAAAACGAAGTTAAACAAAAAAAAATAAATGGAAAAAACACCAAAGAAATTCTATGGAAGCGGGCAGAATGTGATTTAATAAAACACTCACAGCCAATGGACAAGATTTGCATATTTTATGATTCAGCGACTCGTTTAAAGAGTGAGCCATCGCCGAGAGGTCAAGTGATAAGGCCAAAAAGGAGTCACTGTAACGAGATCGATCCGAATATTCCAGCAATCGCTGAAATTCCCGCCTCAGCAGGTTGATCATTGCGATCCACAAACCACGTCATAAACTTGTTTCGCATTCGCTGGAAGGCAGTCCATCAGTCGAAGTGCCCAAATACCTCTCTGTACCACTGATTGATTGCCAATGTTTAGGAAACTGCACCCGATTAGCATAGTGCTCCATAGTAATCCACACGCCACTCCGCCAGACAAAGGGGCATAAATTAAGATACACTTGATGTGCACTTAAAACGAGTCTATATATCGGATTCGGATTCGGGTTCGAATCGCACGCGATACATCAGCCATCAGTCATCATCATCACACGGGAAACTGTCAGCCCACCGTGATTGTGTTAAAAAAAACAAAAACACACAAACCATCATCGAGGAGGAGTGAGTAAGCCAATCGCAATGGGCCGCAAATTGTATGCCAAATGTGAAAAATGCAGTAAGCCAGCGAAGCCAGCTCTTCCTCTCTCAGCCAGCAGCACAATTTTCGAAAAGCAGCGCGAAGGCCAAAGCAAAACGCGGGCAACCGCGAAATTGGCCAAGTAACATGGAAAACGTACCAGAAAACCAAAAAAAAAAAAAAAATAAAAGGAGAAATGAAGGGGCTGCGGCAGTTGGCCAAAAATCTCGGGCGATGTTCATCATGTTCGTGATCATCTGCAAAGTTGGTTGAATTTTTTTTGGGCAGCAGTTGTTGCCGTAATTTTTATGAATTGCAACTGACATTTCCTACACGCTGGCAAAAGTTTAAAGTTTAATCCGTGAAAAAAATTGCCTTTAGCCGGCCGGCAAAAGGCGGCAATAAGAGCGGGTAACTGGTGCAGTCGAGGGAGTGGCTCGGCGACCTGGTCAGCGAAATTGGCCAAAAAGGGCAGGCTGTTGGCGAGGTGAAAACAAAGACAAATGATGCTCTTTAACGATGCATTGAATTGGACAAGTTGGCTACGCCTTATCCCGAGGCCCATTCAAATGTCAGTCGATGAAGATTCCAATAACCATTGGCAGCCATGTGGCCAAATGGCCAATTCATCAAAATCGAATCCAATTGCAACATCTGTAATCTTTTAATTAATATTTGACTTAACGAATTATTGCAGCCAGCCGAGCATCCAGCGGGGGCACTAATCAAATGAAGTTCGCATTGCTAATTCACATAAATTACAACGCCGCGGATCTGTAAGCCGAAAGCTGTAAGCTGAATGCTGCATACGCGGCGTATGCGCAACGCCCATTTGCATTTGAAACTCGTTGCGCATACGCTACGTGGTACACTGCCGCAGCGACGGCAGCTCTTCCGATTCTGAGGCTGATGCTGATGCTAAGGCTGATGCTGTCAGGCAGACAAACACTGTTTGTTTCGCATCGAAACCCGCTTCTCTCGCCCTTCTGGCCAACGAATCTGGACTGCTGCACTGCATCGGGTTGCGGATGCTGGCGCTGCTTCTGCTTCTGCTGCTGCCGCTGCTTCTGCCGGCTGATTCTGCTCTGCTTCCAGCGGCGGTGAATGCGATTTTGGTATAAAAACGTTTGTGGCAACTGCAGCCCAGTCAAAGCACTTTTGACGAGCCTCCCAGCGCAGTTACCGCTATCAAGTCGCGAATCCGAAGTGAGTTTCAATTGTTAGAAGTTGCGGTGGTGGATCCTTAAAAAACAGGATCACAAAATACAACTTAAATAAAAAGAAACCAAAGTGGACATTATCCTGCTCAGAGGATATTATAATAACCTTTTAAAGCCCATGGAGCATCCAGCTTTTTTGGGCCAACCAGGATCCTTAGCTTTTCATATGGATATTTTTCCCACGACCTTCATCATCATAACCATCATCATTTCGAAGAACTTTCAAATCGCAAAAAGCCAATCGGAGTATATCAGATGCTAATTGCCAAGCAACGAGTTTGACATTCAAACACAAAGCCGCCGGCAACTCAATCGGGCAGCAACACTAAGCTTTAGACACTAAACACTGCACACTGAACACCAAACACTGAACACCGCACCTCATCTGCAAAATATGACTCTATTTGCCAACCCGTTCACCCTCGCGCCTTTCCCCCTCTTCTTTTTCGCCCACAAAAGGTCATGACGCTCAGCCACGCCTCCTTCGTAGCCCTCGTTTTGGCCCTCTGCTGCCTCAGTTTCATTCAGGCGCAGCCACAACGCGGACTTCCCCCGCCCCGCGGCAACTCCTTCGACGCGAATGCAGTAATACTCAAGCAGAACTTCGACCTCAATCCCGATGGCTCCTATCAGTACAAGTAAGATTACGATTTCAAAAATCCAGACATATTTATAGCATTGTCACCACTTTGAAAATATAACTTCATAATTTAAGTCATTTTTGAAAATCGAATCCAATTGTGATGAAAACAAGAAAGTTGTATGACCAATATGATCATCGGTTTTAGCACTAACGGCTTATAACATTAAGTAAAAGGATTTGATTAAAGATAACATAGCTTTGAAGTAGGACATCATATAAAATTGAATTTATAACATTTCCTTAAAGAGCAGAATGGACAATAAATCCGTATTATGTATTTCGTAATTGAAATTTTTTAGACTGCGCAAAACCAACAAAGCATTGCAATAATATTTTCTAAATTCATGTTTGACTACTTAAACTGTATATAATCCCTAAACCGTTTTTATGTTTACTTTGTAGCTACGAGACGAGCAACGGAATTCGCGCAGATGAGGCTGGCTACTTGAAGAACCCAGGAAGTCAGATTGAGGCTCAGGTTAGTGTGCTTTCGGGGGCATTCTCCCCATATTGAAGTAGACTTTGCGGAGTAACTAATACCATATTCCGCTGATCTACAGGTAATGCAAGGCTCGTACTCGTACACTGGACCCGATGGCGTGGTCTACACCATCACCTACATCGCTGATGAGAACGGATACCGCGCCGAAGGTGCCCACATACCCACTCCACCTCCAGTTCGTGCCGCCGGCGCTCCCGGAAGATTCTTCAAGTAATCCAGATCGGACCGAATTCGTGTTTTAATTCTTCATCGTTATGCTCAAGTTGGCAATCAATTCGTTGCGGGTCAGTGTTAACCTGACCAAAAGTGAACCAGAGACAGGAGAGAGAGAGAGAGCAGCTGCTCGTTGAAGGTCCTTCATCCCACCCACAATCATTTCCATTCAAACTCCTTTCCCCCAAAAAAACCTCTTCATCTTCGTGCTTCACCTGTGCATTTCTACAGCCAATTCCAACTCTAATCTACATTCTACACTCTACAATCGACATTCTACTTAGTGCTTAACAAACTGTGTGTGAGATAAACATTTGTAAAATATTTAAATCCGATTGTTAAATGTCGTACCGCAACGCATGCTCCGCAATAAAACAAAAATTGCACAAAAATCTATTCGATGTGTTGTAGGGTAAATCCGTTTTGGTAGAAGAATATCAACAGAATATTGTAGGATGCGCTGAAAAGTTTATCTTTTTAGGAGAAGGATCTCAACATTGTTATGTAGGACATGGCCGTGCGGACAATCTGAAATGGAAATAATAAGAAAGTCTATTTTGTGTAACTGGTTTTTCAGGTGTTATAGTTATTATGTAAACGAGCCGATTAGTAATAGTAAATTCCCTTAATCAAACTGAGAAAATCAGATCAAATGAATGCATCTTATTGCTATTCAAAACCTACCGATGAGAATGCCTCCATGTTGGCCTCGAAAAAGTACCCAGTGATGCGAAATCCCCGATGGGCTCGCATCATGCTGATCAGCAGGGATCGACAGATCGAAGTGGAGGCTCCACCAGCTCCCAAACTTTCGTGCCAAGGACTGTCGTAGATGGCCCACTCGAAACTGGCACTCTCCGTCTTCAGATTCTCCCCGCAATAACAGTAGATGTAGGCCTGAATGATAATGGTGGCTATAAAAGAGGCGTAGTACACGCCCTCCGTTTGGGCAAAGGTTATAGAAAATAGATAGCCCAACATGCAGAGTTGCAGTGAGGAAATGAAGAACTGGGCACAAATGATGGGTTGGTAGCACAGATTCAGATCGCTGCACATATCCAAACTTGTTTGATATAAAGCGAAGACCTTGTTCAAAGTGGCCTGGGATTCCTTAAGACTTCCGCCTCGAAATCGAACCACCTTGTACTGGGCAATCTTGAAGAAGGCACACAGATTGCTGGTGAAGGAGCAGAAAATAGTATCCAAACTGACAGCAGGCAAAACCACACCAGTCGAAGCAAAGGCACTCCAAGTGAAGCTCATTGCGTAATTCCGAAGGATGTGAATGTCCCAGGGAAAACTGGGGAATTAATCATTAAAAAAGATTTTATAAGAGTATTTTTTTATTACTCACAGACAGGGAAAAGGCAATTCTGGTTCAGCATGTCCTGCTAGCCAATAACCAAGACCCATTCTCACAAAAGGCAAAACACTATTCAACAACCAGGCGAGAAAAAAACAAATCCTGAACAGAGTACACATACGTTGATCCTGTTTGTTAGCTGCATCAAGGATTTCTGCATATTCCGCACCCTGGCCCGCCTCTATAAATATTTAAAATAAATTTATAAAGCAATGAATTTATGAGTAAGCAATTCAAAACCTACCATCTTTCATCAGCAAGCGAAACTTGTCAATCAGTCGCTTGAAATCCTTGCGCAAGTAGAGAATCATGCTGAACTTGAAGAGTCCCAGAATGGTAATCAATAGAGCCACCATGGCATCGGCCAGCAGCATCACATGCTTCCAATTGTGGAGCACAGCTGCCAGGATGAAGGGAAAAATAGCTGCTATTCCGAATACGTTGATGGCTCGATAGGGTCGCTTCCACATCTCCCGATTTTCACTGAACAGATCGAATCCCAGCAAGGCGATGGTGCTCTTCTGAACTTGCAGAAAGGAATCCATGTCGACTAGGTTTGATTTGGTCTCACACTAAGCAAAGTCAGCTTGGACCAAGCGTTTTAAACTTTTCCATTGAGCAAGGACATGCCTATTAACAATACAAGATGACTAATGAGTCGCGACTGTTAAATACCCTTTGGTACTTTGATAACTTTTGATTGCTTTAATGTACATTATATTTTTTTCTTTCTTTTCAAATTTTGGAATGTATTTTGAAACATCTATAAACTCAAAAATTTTCTAAAGCAAGTTTGATAAATTATCTGATAGGTTCATTATTCGAAAAGTAGTTGCAAAATCAACGTTTGGATTGTGATACCCCCTGAAAGGCCATAATAACAGGCCTAAAAGCCATTTCCGTTTGACACCTCTTCAGGCATACGAAATGAGAATCAAATTATAATGCTTCAATGTTCTTTATTAACGCCTCGACCTCCAAAGTGGGTGGAGATCCTGCGACGTGGAGCAATTGGTGGGCTTTGGCCGGAGGCGTGGTCAGCGATGTCAGCTCGAGGGGATGACAGTTGTACAGCCTTATCGGCCCCAACCGCCGCCCCATCCTCCGTGTCTGCCGCCCCATCCGCCGCCACCCCATCCGCCTCGTCCTCCCCATCCGCCGCCGCGTCCACCCCATCCGCCGCCTCCCCATCCGCCGCGTCCACCCCATCCGCCACCACGGTGACCCCATCCGCCGCCCCACTGGCGAGCCTCTCGTGCTCCATCGTTGGCGTGGTTGGCTCCCTGGTCGGCGACGTCGAGGAGTCCGATCAACTGCTCGTTGTTGTTGGCGGTGGCATCATCCAAAGCGTAGGCGCAGGCCAGGCACAGGATGCCAATCAAGGCGAAAATTGTTAGACGCATCTTGCTAGCCGGTCGTTCTATTCGATTCGATTGATTGCTGGTTAAGTCTTGAGTGCAACTGATGACTTTTGGCTTAGACGGCGGGCCTTATATTGGACGAGCTGCGCACTCGACGTTCCTGTTCTCATACGCATCAATAAGCTGGCTTCTCTCTACTGATTACCCCCTACCTCCCCCCAAAAGTCCCCTCTCCTCGTACGTCCATGTATTCTTAGTCAACCACATACTATATACACACCTGGTTGAGGTGCGATTGTTTAGGGGCTTTTTTGACCGGGTTTCTGCTTTGCATCGTTATATTTCACCACACAATTATTACACTCTTTGTTATTTTGTCTGCCTGCTGGTTCTTTTTTTTTGGTCATTTTTTTTTTTTTGACTGTCATTACTGAATCATTTAAAATTTAAATGTCTCATTTGCGAAAGTTGTCGGGATGCTGCTCCTAAGTGGTTTCATGCATAGATCACTCGACTTGAGGCTTGCAGCCTGTCAACAATTGGGACCTGTTTTGTTTTATTGGCTTTTTTTGGACTGCATCTGGCAGATAAGCGTCAATCCGATGCTCCATAAAAACCATTTGATCATCAAAGTCAGAAATAGACCTATGATACTATCAACTTGTTATCTAAACCGTAACTAGTTGCAAATTTATTTAATAGTTAATAGTTAATATTTAATATTTATGATAAATGAGCTTAGCATTCAGAATTAATCCCTTCTGATAAATTGACATGTGCCAGTTACCGCCTATTAACATGTAGTAAAACCTAGAAATGATTTAAATCTGACGTGTTTACAGCCTAGTTATTTGTGAAATGAAAATCTATCTCTTGGGCGCCTCCATTATATAAGATCGAATACCTGTTTAAAAAATACTTTATCTAATGGGCTTACAATAATCGCAATTATCACATATATTCACAAGGATTCATATGCAAATAAGCTCCCAATTGTTTAATGAATGTCAAGATCGACGTGTTTGATCTAGACTTTAAAAAGTAAACAACAGGGGATTTACGAGTGCAAGCCATTGAACCTAAGCTCACAAATCAGGTTCCCCTCGAAATAACCCAACCGCTGTTTAATATTCTGTCAATCGAAATAAAAAATAATTTAACTGATTTGCTTAATTTGGTCGAGCGCATCAAAGCAAAAACAAAAACACGCCCACTGCTGAGTTATATGTGGATGAATTTTGTGGATAAACTTGGGTTCCACCAAATTTAAATATTTTGTTCTGCAGCTGAAAAAGTTTTTCGGAAATCAAAGCTCTTCTTTTGGAGTGTTAATGACTGGAAGAGGGCTTGTCATTTAAATACTCTTACAAAAGGTACAAACACTTTTAATCATTTTACGATAATTTTGAAAAAATGAAGACCAAATTTTCTGTTGGTCTATTTTGCAAAGAGTAAAGGAATATAGTGTATGTTAATATAAAACCTAAGTCATATTTTCAAATTCATTTATTGGGTATACTTTCTTGGAATTCTTGCTTTACTATTATTAAATTTTGTAAACTTAAACTCCCATCCAATATAGAAATAATTTGAATAATGTTTTCGAAAACCTTTTTATTTTACAGAAAGTAGGATTGTCAACGGAAGTATATTATTATTTATGGAGTCTAACGACCATAGTGTCCGCCGCCTCCGTGATGCCCACCATATCCACCATAACCATGTCCACCGTGACCATGTCCACCACCGCCGCGTCCATAATTGCCATGTCCATAACCGCGAGTTTGCCTCGATCCCCCTTCAGTGTGGAGTCCTCCGTGATGAGCCACGCCCAGCAGATCCTCCAGATTGGCGCCATTATCCTCCGAGGCGAATGCACAGACCAGGCACAAAAGGCCAACGATGGACAGCAGGATCAGACGCATCTTGTAGATACTTCGGGTAGAATTCTTGGTAGATAGATTGTTTAGCTTGAGCTTGGTTCTTTGCTTTGTGCAACTGTGGATTCGAAAGCCAAAGACGCGCTCTTTTATTCGGCCAGCAATCCATTGAATCTAATGACAGTCCTGTTATATTTTTTGCTATTCTGAATGATCTTGTTTATGGTGGGTAAATTTAATCGTTTCCATGAAATCCGAAAACGTAAACAACCGCGATGGCTTTTGTTTTTTGACTTGGCTATTAAAAAGCTCTTGGCAGCTTTGGATTTTTTGTTAACCTAATTGCGCTTCAATTTGAATTTTAGAGCTTTAAAAGAACTTGAACAAAAGTTTTTAAAGTTGGCTGTTGTTTATTTTGAGAGTTGATGTTGTTATTTTGGAAGCGACTGTTTTGGTGTATTCACCACCAATAGCTGCTTCTCCAAGGTCGATAGGAAATTCTCCATCCGTTGTTCCATCCTCCATTCCAGTCGTCGTTCCATCCTCCATTCCAGCCACCTCCCCATCCTCTATTCCAGCCTCCTCCCCATCCTCCCCATCCTCCCCATAACCAGCGAGCTGTCCTTTCGCCCTCCTTGGCTTCCTGGGCACCCAAATCCACGACATCCTCTAGAGTGATAGCAGGAACCGCATCCTCGTTGGCTGGATAAGCCGAAACCACACCGTAAAGAACCACAAAGGCCATCAGAAATACTAGCTTCGACATCTTGACTTACAGTCTTCGCAAGAACTGAGGCTCAACTCATCTTCATTTTCACATTTTATACCCTCCAAATGCAGTTCTTCACCCACTAATTGAAACGTATTTGCAAGTTGCATAGAAAAACCTGTAAGACCATCAGTAAACAAATAGTTTTTTTCACAAATAACATTAAATTAAGGCAAAGCAATTTACATGGCTTAGTAAGGTAAAACCAATAAGCATAAATTAGTTTAATGGTTATAAAGAGCAACCAGAAACAAGTTCCACCTATCAAATCAATTGCATTATGCAGATGAGAAATAACCCTTTTAACAAATAAAAAACATTTATTTCAAACATTTAACATGGCTTTGAAGTACGCATAACAACATTTAAAAAACTTGGACTAAACATATAAATTGCCTATATTAATTAGTTCATACAATTACAAAACAAGTTTTTTAATTAATAGTTAAAATATTTACGGCCATAAAAACAACAAATTCGTCATAATAAAAACCTTATTGATGCATCGGCAACTTAACATTATTAGTTCTGAATATAAAGAATTATAATACTGACTGATCTACCCGGTTAGCAAACTAAGTAAACCGCTCAGCGCTTGGGAATTTCCACCCGCTCCTGAAGCTCCAGCTGCCCCGCCCCCATTTGCGAGCAGGGGGCGTAGACTACTTCCAAGAGCCTGGCCCAAAAGACCAGCTAACTGGGCCTGTTGGGCGGTGGAAAGCTGGGGATTACCAGCTCCAGATCCCGAAACTGCTCCAGTTGAAGCTGCCGAAGTTGAGGGACTAAAAGCAGGAGAACTCGTAGCTGCACTTCCATAACTTCCTGATGAAGGATAACCGGAGGAGGATCCAACTCCAACGGAACTGTAATTTGGCCTGTAACCGTAGTAAGGCGGTGGTCTTTGGTATCCGTAGTTGTAGTAACTGGGTCTGTAGTAGTTCTGCGCATAACCATAACCATAGCCCGGATATCCATAGTTGTAACCATATCCATAGTTGGGTCGGTATCCGTAACTATATGGTCTATATCCATAACTAGGATAACCACCACCGTATCCGTATCCAGAATCCGAAGGGTCCGATTGGGTGCCAGCAGAAGATGATCCTCCTGGACGAATGGGTGGTCCTGCAGCCAGGGGAACATCAAAGAGGGGACCTCCACCTCCCAGCAACAGAGGCGTTAATAATCCCAGAGTCCTGCCCTGCGGACGATCCGTTTTGGACCTACTCCTCTGTCCATGGACCACCAAAAAAAGAAGGCTCAGCAGAGCCAAGCGCGCGGGTAAAATCATTCCGTAACCGAAACCGTCGAATGCAGATTAACAACTGAAGACAGACCGAAAAAAACCCAATAATATTAATACCACAGAGTTCTTAAAAAAATTTCCAAATGTGTTTGCCAAAAAAAAAGAAACAATAGCAGAAGACCTTCGGCACCTTTAAAAAATGATCGCAGGTCGAGCGGAACTTTGCAAGTTTTTGGCCAGAACGTCATCAACCTGTTGCCACCACGCTGCTTTCACGCCCAGTTCGCGATCGTCTCGTTTTGGCCCAGTCTGCAGACGAATCATTTTGGCACACACCCGACATTGACCTTGCCGAAAGTTGGCCAAATAAGTCAGAAATCTGTTTCACACCGTTAACTCGATCGCTCACTTCCGCAGGTTTTTTTATGTGTATCTTTTTCGATTTTGGCTTGTTGTTTCATTCACTCGAAAAAGCCAACAACCCGGGGGCGTTTCTGCTATATTTGCCGGCTATAATAATAAAGTTTGTCAATAGCAAAGTTAATTAGCGGGCTGGAAATCTATTCACCCCTGAGAAGATGCATTCTATTAAAAAATTCGCAATAGCGATTCTGAGTCATCTTATACTACAGGTGAAATATAAGAGTTGAGATTCCCCATTTCGTGTTTCCAGGGCTTTCTGGACCCAATCGAATTATAATACTGACACTAATTGATCGGCGTTTCGCCAGACGTGGAAATCTTTGCCTTTTAATTCGATTAAGTCTGGCTAGACATCTGCCAATTAGTCAACCCGATTAGGCAATTAATACACTCGTGTCTTGGTTTATATAATATTTGTATATAGTTAAAAACCTTTAAAATATGTTGGTTTTTTAATATAATTTAATCAGCTCATAAAACCTACCCTTAAGATAATAAATTCAACCCTTGGTTAGTAAGTCGTTAACTTTACTACTGTTTACTACTAAAGCTATACCACTAATACCTAATTATGGGCACTCCTTAAGTACTTTTTTTACACCTCCAAACCGGTTTAGTCCTTCGTTGTGATATACGATTTGTTTTGTTTATATTTTTTACGATTATTTTTCTCATCATCCTCGCCTTTTTGAAATGACTTTAATACTGGTCAATAAACTGGTTTTACTTTTTCTTATTGAACCTGTTAATATTCACGAATATCCACATATGTGTTTCCCCTGATCCACAAATCAGACACCAATCTTAGCTAAAAAAGTTAACTCGATCCCCCATAAAATGCATTTAATTAACTGCGCAAAATAAATCTCAGATTGGGTCAGTGATCACTTAATATTTGTTAACTGGTCTGCGTTCAACCGTAGGAGAAGTGAATCCCCAACTTGGGGGCTGGTCCAAAAGGTCTGATGCCAACAGAACTATTGGTACACAAAAAAAGTAATAATGAAAGTTGTTTACAAAATTCAGAAAACTAATTTAAGCTAAATATGAATAAATTATCAGTATGTTCCTGAGGGAATTATGAATTTGTGAAGTATTGTAGATGGACATTGGCAAAAAAAATAATATAAACAAAAAAATTTATAAACACCTAACGATCAAAATTTATAATTCTTGATACTGATTTTTTTCCAATGAACTTTTTACATTGTTTCAGTTTTTTCTAACATGTGTGAGAATTTAGGGGGTCTTTTGGGTTCAGCACCTGACGCGTCTGGGATTTCCGTTGACCTCAAGTTTTTGTGAAATCATCAGCATCAATTGATAATTGCCTTACGGGTAACTAATGATACTTGGATGGCAGAGCTCTGGATGATGGAGCTCCAAAGCACTTGCTCTTCAAAGGGGACCTCCCCGTCTTATTTGGCTATAAAAGTTAGAAGCCAAGTTGTTTTGATATTAGAAAGTGTTTGAGTGTCCATTATGAAACAATATCTGGTGTTTGCTCTCGTCTTCGTGGCGATTCTAGCGCTGACCAGCGGTCATCCTGCGGAGGATCAGAAGGTCACCTTGGAGGATGCCGAAGTCCAACCGGGAATCGATGAGGAATCTGGAATTAGGGCTGCTCGTCACTTTGGCTTTGGCAGACGATTTGGAGGAGGAGGCTGCTGTGGAGGCGGTGGTTTCCGACCAGGTGGATTCGGTGGATACGGCTATCCGGGCGGAGGCTACGGCGGATATCCAGGCGGTGGCTACGGAGGAGGCGGTGCATCTGCCGCGGCATCAGCTTCGGCTTCGGCTTCAGTCAGTTCAGGCTGGGGACGCTAATAATTGTAATACGTTCGAATTTGATTAAGCCGAAAATAGATTAAAGTCGAAACGAAAACAAAAACATTTCTGTTTATTTCGGTCGATAATTGGGGGGTTATTTGGTGTAAGGGGCGTGGCAATTCGCTTACGCACTTAGTCGCAAATACTACGTAAAAAATGGAACCGGTCTCCGAACGCTAATCAATGAATGCGATCCAAACACGTTGGGAGTTCTATTTTTTCCACAATTCATAAATCTTCCGAGCCAAAGATTCCGCTAGTTCTAAACCAATAAACTATAATAATTGGTTAATTGATGTGGTTTTGTTTATATTGGATGTTAATATTTTTTTTATAAAGTTTGTTGTTGTTTTGTTTATATTGGTTTGTTTTTGTTTTTGCCTTTTCAAGCAAGATTTGCCAACGTTTGCGAAATTACTTAAAGGAGTCGCGAAATTTTGAATAATGTAACCTGTTTTGAGCCATACACTAATTGACGAGTCAATAAAAAGCTAGTTCGACCAATTTTTTATATCCAGACATCTGGTGTTGGGACAGGGTTTTTGTGGTTTTGCTTTGATGCACTCCCGAAAAACCTTTATTAGTGGAAATTTACCTCCAAGTTCCTGGCACATCATTTCACCAGCGGAGATGAACTCCAGATAATGTTTGTTTGATACTGGCGATCTTATGATTCACGACATTCAATTAGCAAACTCAAATATTTTCCATCTCGATTGTGGAATTCATTTCCTTAGAAACAGGCACGTTGTCAACATGATTCATGTTTATTTCTAAGTTTTTCGCGAGTGCAATTAATTAGCGCCTCCCACATCACGCAATTTACAATAACAATTCATGAACATTATTTATTCAATGTAATAAATATTTTGTAGTGACAAAGCTTAGCAATTGGAGTAAACCGATAAAGGCTATATAAGAAAATGATTTATGGGACTTAGAGCTTAGAATTTTTATTCTGTTTAATTGTTCGCTGTTCAAAAATATCTGGAAATATATCCCAAAATAAATGCTCAAAGTGTTTAATCACGCTGTAGACTTACTTGACTGGCACTGCGGTACCCAACCTTGTGGTTTTTAACTTCAAAGTGATCCCACAAATATAAAAACGTAGAAAGAGTCTCCAAGTTTATATTTAAATTTTATGTTGTGGTTGGCAACCACAACTTGAATTATATAATACAAAATATTACGAATTTAGAGAATACAAGAAACCGTAGATTAAATTTAAGCCAAGAAATGAGATCTCAAAGAAAATCTTATAGCACTTTTAGAGATATCGAATGCTACGATTCCTCATTTAAGACCCGTTTTTATGGTAAAAAAAAAAGAATTTCGAGCTTATACGTCACAGATCTACTTCTAAGAAATATCTAATTGATGAGCAATTTTTTGGTCTTTGTGATCTTACACAAGGCCAACTCCCTTTGTGAATCATTCGCATTTCGGCGGTGCCTACCGCAACAAAACACAAAAAACCGCAAGACGCAAGAAATGCCTCCCCCCAAAAAGGGGTTCAGCCCCCAAATGACGTCACAAGCGGGGAGTCGTGAAAGGAAAACCGGCAAAAAATAGCCTGGATCGCTTTGACGGAAATGTTGTGCGGCTCGATCCCTGCTAATTGAATCGAAAGATGCGCGGCAAATCAAATTAGTGCCCCAATATTGTCACCACTGGAATTCACTGGCTGACTGACTGGGCGCTTGGGTCTGTCATAACAATTAGCGCGTATCGGGGAAGATTCGCGGCTATAAAAGCCAACGGCAGACGGCAGTTAGGGCACAGAACCCCAAGGAACTCCAATAGCAGTGGACATACCAATCCAGCTAAAAAAAAAAACCTTAACTTGAAACCAAAAATACTTAAATACCTGATAAACATGAAGTGCATCGTATCCTTCGTTGTGATCTCTATGATCTTCAGTTTGAGCCTGATCAAAGCAGCTCCTGTTAGCCAACAAATCAGCGATCCAGGATTCGTTTCGGCCACGGATATTACAGGAGAGCCAGTTCGCCAAAAGCGAGCCAGTGCGGATTACTATCAAGGCGACTACTTCATCTGCTATCCCAAGAGCGAAGTCTATGGAAAATATGGAAAGGGCTCCAACCGCAGATCCTACGATGCCGATGACTATGCCCCACATTACCTCGCCGATGATCCTTTGTATGTTCGCCAGGCTCGTGCGGATGCCAGGAGGGCTGCCTACACCGACAGCTTTGGCAAATAAGTCACTTAACTGGTTAATCCAAATCTAAACAATCCACAAAGTTAGGGAAAAGAACAGGTCTAGATTAAGAAGTTGTACAAAGAATATTGTTATTATTTATTAAACACAAATTAAATAAATTTATAATTGAAAATATAAAAAATGTCTTAATTATTTAACAAGCCTGGTCATTTAATAATTGCTTATTTTTGCATAAAAAATTGGAAACAAATCGACCCAAGGGTCGATGAAATACAAATACATATTGAAAATCTGATTAAAATTAAAAATGTTGTGGACATAAAATTAGTGCTATTTGGTCAATTTTGAGCAAACCAATTTTTTGGAAATTTGAAAAGGAGTTGTATCATAAAAATTTTAAAAAATCTGACAAAAAATTAACTGATAGTACAGATAATTATTATACTTGTACATCGAAATACAATTTTAATTTGTTCAGTAGAACATTTTTTAGTATACTTTTGGGCAGTGGCCGAAACCGAGTTCCCAGACTCTTAATTTCTTATTTAGACAGTACGCCCCCGCATCGCCCCTCAGATCTGAGTTAAATATAAACCCCACTCGACGACTCATTTGGTGAGCAACGATTTTCTGCAAGGCGAACTCCGTGCGCTGAGACATTTCGCACCTTATTTGCCTTGGGCATTAGGCTAAAAGTGTGAATTGTTTATAAAGAGATTACAAAACCGAAGACGGGGCGCTCAGTGGGCCGCTGTGTTCGACTTTTGCCGCCATAAAAACATAAAAAAAAGGCATCACTTTAAACGAAAAACCAAGGCGGATAATTGCAAAAGAAAGTTTTCACCATCGGCCTCGGCATAAAAGGCGATTTCGGAGAGCCGGAAGCAAACAGTCGCCTTCAGATTTTGCTACCGAAATGAACAAGTTTGTTGCAAAGAAAGCTGTCCTGCTCCTCGCCCTTCTGATCCTGGGCACAGCTGGAGCCAATCCACTGGATCGGGAACTGGATCAGGATAACCATGTGCGAAAGGAGCGGCAACTCAAACCCGCCGCCTCAACGGATGCGGATATCAAGATGGTGGCCAATGTGACTCCAGCGACGGCTTCTCAAGGCATGACCATGGCCATGGGAATGCCGATGAACCAGATGGCTCTGAACTCCGTCGGTGGCCAGTTGGTGAGGTATCCCAACTATCCTGGTCTGATTTATCCTGGAATTACACCCCCACCCGGATTAAATGGAATCCCCGGCGTGCAGACCAACATTGCCAACAACTTTCCTTCGTATCCGGATCCCAACTTGGGAGGATCTCTTCCCGGCTTCAATCCCTTTGGATATCCCGGTGTGCCACCCATGTATGGAAACCCAATCCCGATGTATCCCAATCCCCAGCTGCCCAACGGATTTGTGCCCAATCCTGCGGTGGACAACTTCCAGTCGCTGAACAACATAGTTAACATGGCCAATGTACAGGGAGTGAATGGTGGCAGCTCCGGACTTTATCCAGCACCTCAGGGATATCCAGTGCCCGCTCCGGGATTATATCCATCCCCCCAGGGATTCGGTGGACCCAACTCGGGACTGTATCCTGCTTCTCAAGTCAACATGCAGGGATTGTATCCACCACCCGGTGGTTTTCTGGAGCGCATGACCATGCAAACCTATGCACCCAACTTCTGAATGGGTTCCGCAACTCAATACTCAATAAGCTAATTTATTTTATTTATTTTGCAAAATACAAGAACATTTAAACACAAAGAAACGTTTTTAATTATTTTATTCAGAGCTTAAACCGAAATTATTACTAGTTTTCAGATAAATAGAGATGGATTTTTTCCCTGTCCGTTTTAGATGACTCACAAATATCCGTAGCCGTTCTTCAGTTAAAAATATCATATATCACCTGAGGAGTAACCTCTTTTTAGGCGCTAATTAAGCAGCAGGTGTCAAGTACAAGGTTGGTAATTTAGCAAACGGGAAAAAGGGGACAAGTTTTAAAAGTGAAAAGAGCAAAATTGTTTTCACCCGCGGAGCCATTGAACCTTTTCCATTCTATCGATATCTCCTTATAGATAAAGATACCTTTTCCAACTTTGATTTACGATCCACAGTGATTTGTTGACCTGCGCAATGTATTTATCTGAGTACCTGGGTCATTGATAAGTTGTTCAGGTAGTTGGATCGGTTCGTGTGTGTGTGTTAATCCGATAATGGAGTGTGTTCAGCTGGGTATAAGAACCAAGGGTGAAAGGTCACGGAGCACCAGTCTTAAGTGAACCATATCAGCATGAACAACTCCGCGTTAAATCTAATTCTGTTGTTTTTACCTATCCTCGTGTTTCTTCTCATGGGAATTTGTGAGTCGAAGCCTTGGTGGCCAGCAAATGAAGCAGGATACGATGCCAGTCTGGATCCTGTGGCCTGGTCGAGATCCTTCGTCCCGGATCAAGTGAGGAAAACCCGCTATAATGCCATCCCAGAACCGAGAAGCAATCATCGCCGCCGACAATCATCTAAACTTTGGTACCAGAAACCCGTTGCCGAGTTCCCCAAACACTTTGTGAGTGCAAAATACTACAAGAGATTCCTGAGACGGCGACAAAAACTGGCGGCACGTGAGAGATACGCACACTGGAGGCATTAGCCGGCTAATTTATATACGATACCCCTAGGTGCTAAGCAAATCTTTATATCTAGTAATTAGCATGATAAACAAAAGACTTAAGACACAAACGAGATGTCTTTATTTTTAGTCGGCCAAGTCGCGCGTCAGCAAAATCCTGACTCGCTTCGATTAGCAGGAGCTTCAAACTAGTTCTCAAAAAAAAAAAACGGGGGGCCAGTCCAGCAAAATCTTGACCAAAAACAAACACAGACTAAGGTCAACGCGATTACGTTTCAAGACCAGCCACCTGGTAATCGCAATGGCAAACATGATGTAACAACTATCGTTAAAGACCTGAGCAAACCCAACCATTTGCACACACACTCACTCGTTCACTCACTCACTTGAAAACCAAAAAAAAACTCGGCCCAAAAACCCATCCCAAAAGTCTAACAAAATTTTGGATGAATGAAAGTACGAGTATATTTGGCCAAGATCGCCGATCGCCGATCGCAGCCGTTGCTGGGCCCACAAATTTTGTTGATTCTGCGAATTAGCAACTCTTCGCACGAGCCCAAGACCCAGACCAGAAGTATATAAACCTAGTTGTCATGGCACTTGGTATTAAGTACCAAGCCAGCCAGCATCCATCAATCAGCTAATCAGCATATCTCTTGGAATCCCTTTGAAAAAGTCACACTATGAAGTTCTTTGCTCTGAGTCTCGCTGTGATTGCCGTGATTTCCTGCACATTGGCGCTACCCGTTGAACTGGTGGATGGAGAACAACTAACCCTTTGGGAACTGGAAGCGGATCAGGATCCCCAAGTGGATGAACTGGAGGGCGAACGAGTTGCTCGAGGATTGGGAGGCCTGGGAGGACTTGGCGGAAAGTTCGGCGGCTTCGGAGGACTCGGTGGCCTGAAGGGAGGATTCGGTGGTCTGGGTCATGGATTCGGCGGAGGCTTCGGTGGACACGGCTTCGGCGGCGGATTCGGTGGACTCGGCAGCTTCAAGAGCCTCTTCAACAAGAAGTTCCGTTGAAGTAGCAGCTCTAACCCAAAACTATAGTCTAAGAATTTCGTAATAAAACTTAGTTTAGTGAATTTAAAAGTTTCCTGTTTGATATATGGGATTTAGAGCTCCATAGAACTGGAGTTCGGGTTCTGGAGTTGTGGTAGGTATTCCAATTCTGGTTTTAACTGTGGGGGAGTGGTTGTTTTGTGCTGAAAACGATTTAAGACCTGGCGCACTTGCTTGGCAAAACTTCGCCATAGTTGGAAGGGTTTAGGAACTAAACGAAATATTAAAAATAAGGAAATATTTTTAAAGATTTTAATATGATTTCTTACCTGCACTTTGGGGCGGTGCCACCTGTGGATCGAATTCCCGCTCATCAAGAGAAGAAACCAGCACCACCGTGATCCACAGCAGCAGCAAGCGAAACATTTTTGCAAACCAACCACGCCGCCCTCTTATAAACACCTTTGATTTAGCTTTCCCCACCCATAAACTCGAAGATATATTCATAAAACCCAATAAACAACCGATTGAAGGGACTTGCATAACGTTAAAAATTTTATTGCACCTTGAAGAGGCAGTACAAAAAAAGTATCACATAGTCTGATTATTAAAATTCACAGCAACGGATTAACCATAGAAGCCACCGCCGTAGTAACCACCGCGACCGCGATAACGAGTGCGGGTAACCACTCGAGTTCTCTGGAAACCACCGCCATAACCGCCTCCAAAACCACCGCCATAATAGGGTGGTGGCGGTGGTCCAAAGAAGGGCGGTGGTGGAGGTCCAAAGGGTGGTGGTCCGAAATACTGACGCACTTTCCTCACATTCTCATCTGTAGAATCCGCTTGAGCAGTCACTCCATCTTCCAAAAGTTCAGCGGATTTGGGTTCCTCCTTCACAACTTCTGTTTCCGTTTCATCTCCTCTCACAAAATTGCATAAAAGCAAAGCAGCAATGGTGAACAAAAATAATATCCGCTTGTAATCCATTTCGCAGTCTCGTATTCCTTCTCAGACTTCGCCGAATACTAAAATTTATCCACCATTTGTGCTTTAATTTATAGCCAAAAATTCGTCAAGAACACACACCACCTGGTATCAAAAACAAAGGAGGTTCATTGCCTTTTTTGTTATTTGCCATTGAGTGTCTTTTTTTACATTTTTCGTCTAATTTCAATCTCAACCAAGCAAAGCCGGTGAGAATAATTATTGCCTAGAGAAAACCCAAAAAAATCGTATACACAAATACATTAGGTTGACCCAATCTTAATGTGTTTATGTGATGAAATATGATGCGGAAGTGTGGGAGACAGTGGTACAATATCTAGATCGTTGTCAATGAAGTAATATGATATCGGATTGATCAAAATATCAATTGAATCTTTGTTGAAAGAGAAACGAAGAAAGATCATCATCATTTTATTCTTGTTGTAATATTTTTCTTACATCTTGACAGTTCTTTATCCCCTATTGAATATCACTTAAATATTTTATAAAAAGGAAAAACTGTCAAAGATTAAGCCCATATATAAGAACCAATCCGTCTTAAGCGATAACAAATCAGGCATCTGATTACTCAGTATCCAAATGCTTTTGAAGCCAGCCAACTTGACCCACTGTAATCGCTTGATGGCTTGTTGTTTGCCACTCAAAAAGCCCATCCGCTTCGCCTCGCGCGATTTTCGGCATATATATTAAGGCAAACAAACCGGCGAGAGACTGTTCCAGAAATATCAACTGCGACCACAACCAGTTGAAAATGGAATATGCAAGCTCATCGAATCTGTTGATTCCAAACACTCGGCGAAACGAAACTCGATCTGGCAGCAGTTTTGTTTGTTTATTGTGTACTCTAAAGAGGGTCTCGAGAAACACTCGGATTTATTCGGAAACATCTAGCCAAAGAAACCGCCTTTGAACTTGGCAAAACCCACAGCGCCGCCAACGAAGCCACCTCCTCCGACGCCACCCAGTCCACCAAGTCCACCCAGTCCACCTAGTCCTCCCAATCCTCCGGCTGCTGGGTAACCTCCTCCATAACCGTAACCATAACTCGGAATCGCTTGCACTGTGGAAATGCTGGATACCACGGGTACAGTGGTGATAACGGGTACAGTGGACACAACTGGCACTGCTTGAATGGCTGGAGCTGCCACTATTGGAGCAGCAACTGCTCCTCCTCCGATGATGCCACCTCCCACGATTCCACCACCTCCAAATCCTCCAATGTGCCGGGGTTTTCTTATGCTTTCCTGGAGGGGATCAGCGCTGGAGAGGATCGGTGTTGAACTGACGACGGCGCACGCCAAGATGAACAGGTAGACCGCTTGCCACAACATGATGGGGGAAACTGTTTGGACGGCCCCACTCCCAGCTGCTTATTTATGCAAATTAATTAGTGGCCACTGTTTGCACTTCCAATTTTCATATAATGGGGCAGTGGATAAAAAACCCCGAAACCACTGAGGTTCGAGCACTGTTTTTCGACGGTTCTAGTAAGGGCATGGTGGTTTTGCCCACTAAATAGTGGTTCACACCTCATCATCGTCATCGTTTGTCAAACCGAAGGTCGCTGGCCGGGAGTATTAAAGACCAGGTGACTCTGGTTAAGGTAACTCACATCGTTATTGGACACCAATCGACAAAGATGAGGTGCGATCTGCAAGTGCAACTTTTGCTGTTACTGGGAATTGGTGCTTGGAGCACTGGAGCTCATGGCCTGGGAGGAGGTGGAATCGGAGCAGTTGGCGGAGTGGGAGCCATTGGAGGTGCCATCGGAGGAGTGGGTGGAATCGGAGGAGTTCAGCAGGTTCCTGTCGTCCAGCAAGTTCCTGTGGTCCAACAAGTGCCCATTGTGCAACAGGTGCCCGTCATCCAACAGCAGCCACAGGCTCTTGGACTCGCGGGAGGAGGTGGATTCATTGGCGGCGGAGTTGGAGCAGGAGCTGGATTTGGACGGTACAAGGAGAGCTATCGGATTCGAGCCAGGGGATTCGGTGGTGGATACCGCGCCCGCTACGACAAAAAGTTCGGCGGAGGATTCGCTGGATTCGGAGCAGCGGGAGGAGCGGGAGCAGCGGGTGGAGGTCTGCTGGGTTAGATGTTAGCCTATAATGTAGATAAATAACAAATTTTATACAAATTTTTGTTTGAAATAAAATAATTTAATTTTCTGAGACTTCCGAAAAAAAAATGAAAATGTTTTTCTTATTAAAAAATAAATATAATATTAAAAAATTTTATGAAATTAAATTTGTGAAGTAGAAACAATCAAGACACCCTGTACTTGTTCCGCTCCGGATTTTCGCTGACCTGCGCAGATTCCACCCCCAGCAAAAGTCCAATTGGCGCTCAATGCTCTCCCGTATTTGGGTTTCATTCTCTCTGGTGGTGCATTTTGTCCCATTCATGCCCGTGGTTGTTCTACTTTACTCAATTTGCTCTGATTCTCTCGCAAAGAATTAATCTCTTTTTTGGAAATACTCCAAGCACAGTGGTATTTACAAAAAAGGATAATATTAATAACCAAACAACTTTAATGAAATGTTAACAATGTTAAACATTAGTTGTTTTATTTATCTAAAATACTATAATGACTTAAAAAATTATGTTTAGGGATTTTTTAAAATTGTATTTTATTTAATAAATTTTAATCTTATTATTAGCTGCAAGGTGATTAAATAAAACTATTTTTTGAAAGTGGTTTTTAAATGTTTATTTTTTATTTTCTTTGACAAAAGAGCTACCTTAAGAGCGTAGAACATGCTCTTGGGAAAAAGATTAAAAGCGTTGGGAGAGAGAAAGCGATTGGCGACATGGCCATTGAAGCTCCCTGGACGTTGAAAATAATTCCTGAAATCAAACGTTGTTCTTTTCCCATCGTGTGCAGTCGCTCTCGCTCCCGTTATTCGCCGTTCTGGGATTCCCGCTGGCGGACTCTAGTGACAATCACCTTGATTATCGTTTTGGACCATGTGAAATCCTCCGAGGGCTCTAAAGACCCCCTAAATAACGGTTAACAAAACCTGTGCGCAATAAAAGTGGCCTAAAAATAGCTAAGAAAATAGCGAAAATAGCAAAAATAGCAGACATGCCGTGTTTTTGTGCCTCTGTGTGTGCGTGAAATGTCTGCGAGTGAAGTGGAAATTTAAAAATAAAACAACGCTGGGACAAAAGTGAAATCCGTCAGTTTTTTATTGGCCAACTGCCCAGAAAAACTCCAGGTGATAACCTCTATTTGAAAGTCTTCTTTTTTTTAGACCAGATTTTGTTTTTAATCAAATTCTCAAGGGAAAACTTCAACGCTCTCTCAGTTTACTCTCTCCTCTCTGTGATTTGTTTTTTTCTCTTAAACCACCGCTATTTTCAGTATGACCAGATAGCCTCTTTGGTTTGATTTAAAGTACACAGTGCCATTACTTCGAGTTTTCAATTATCCTCGAAAACGAAGGGGATTTTGAGGGGGAGGTGTAGAAATGGCACCTGCCTTATCTTCGAGCCACAAGGACCGCCTTTGTCCACCAATCCACCTTCAGGCACTGACATTATTTCACTTTTTTGCCAGCCCTTTTGGGCTGCCTCGGTTTTCCTTTGCGTAATTAGTGTGATTGGGGCCAAGCTTGACTCGGTTTCTTGGCTTCTGCTTGTCATTTGCTTGATTGGCAGCAATAACAGTTGCTCATGCAAAAACCCCCCTTTCAGGAAATACCTTTCAAAGTTCATGAAACCCTTCAAAAATCCGAGAATTCCATAGTCAAAAGTTCTAGATGCTCATTTAACGTACTTTTATAATAATTGAATGGAGTTATGAAATTTCGAAATATGTAATTTTATTAATTAGAGTTCCAAATCAACAAAATTACTTGTAATGGAAATTTTAGTTGTAAAACTTTCACTGTACTTTTTAGTGCAACTCTTTGTTGAGTAAAACATTATTGCTACAAATATTTGTAGCTCCATTAACGAATCATTAAAAGGAAAACACGTGTTTGGTGGTAGTTAAAGCAGTGGTGGCTTTCCCGTAGTTAAAATTGCACCACCCCCTGGAACAATATAAAATCCCCCTAAAAGTGGCTGCAACAACCCTTGGATCCCACGCACTGACGTCGTTGCAACTCACCCTGAAAACAGTTGGTAGTTCGGGTTTTTTGTGGGAGGATTGTTCGTTGTACCGACGAGTATGTAGTTCAAGGTCGTTGGCCAAGTTTCGGAAAGTGGCCTCTGGCTAAGATGTGCAGATGGTCCCATTACCATATATAGAGAGGCTGAAACCCCGTGGCAAGTTGAAGGACATGCGAATGCAGCACTCGAGACGCTATTCTTGGGCTCCAAGGCGTCCATTCAGTTGACACTAATCACCACCCACCCACGACCGCTCCATGAAAAAGGTGGCACTAATGAGCACCGGTCATGCAATAGGCCAACGTGTTGGTGACCCCTTGGATTGTGGCACCTGGCCAAGGATCCACGGATACGCCCACCCAAAAACCGCAGAAAAAATAAAGCAGCAACAGGAAGCGCAGTCATTGAACAGTTAATGGAGTGCAGATTGCAACAAGAGACGCCAACATTCCGGGCCACTGGGCAGCTGAATGTGACCATAAATCCGGCGCCTGCTCTAATCAAGCGGCCCCCTGGCTAAAAGCCAATGGCCAACAACAGCGAGCGCCCCACTTGGCCGGGCTTAATGTCAGCTAATTGCATTGGCGCTCCGCTGGCCGGGAGCTCTTTAGACTTGGAGTCGTCAGTGGGGCTTCCCTTACCCCGCCCACCGCATATCAGGTTCAATGGGGAGCAAAATGTTGTTATGGAAACTATACAGTAGAGATTCCAAATAATGGCTACCCAAAAACTTCTCAATGTATCATGTCTCATATCCTGTATATAAATATCCTTAAAGTAAGGTTCCTGTCTAAACAAGTTCTTTATAGTCATCATTTATCTTTGTTTAAATGGATGAATATACCATACTTTTCATAAAAAATTATTTGGCAATTGTTAAACTATTTTATAGAGTCCATACTGTATGTTAATATCCCAGTGTTTGGTGTCCTTTGTGGCGAGTGACGCAAAAGAAGTCGTTATGTGGAAGGGGGAGGTTATGGTGTTTATGGTTGTTGGTCGGTGGGTGGTGGTTCAGTGGGTGGTTTGTTGTTGTGGGTGCCAGCCTTGGGGCCTGAAATTATCATTCGGATTACGTCTGGCCCCGCTGGCCCCCTGTTGACATGTTTATGCGCAAATTTACCAAGTCTCTCCCTTCGCTTGTTGTTAAAGTCCCGTATCGATTTTGTTAACTCGATTATAGGAACAGCGCCAAAGGATAAATTGTAAAGGATAAACAAGGACAGTGACTCGTCGACGCTTGAGTGACATGCTAGCAGCAGTTATGGCATCGGACATCAACTGGGATCCAGGTGAGTGACGCACCTTGACTAAAGTCCAAAAATGATGGATTAACTTTTTGCCTTACTTTTCCAGCTCTTTCCAAACTGATCACCACGCTCAAGGAGTCGGAAAACCTGTCCAATGACCAGGAAATCGACTTCCTGAAAGCCCTGCTGGAGTCCAAGGAGCTGAATGCCTTGGTTAATGTCCACACGAAGGTGGCCAAGGTGGGCCGGGATGATCGATTGGCCCCCGTGCTCTCCACCTCCGCTCAGGTGTTGTACGAGGTCCTGGAGCAGTTGTCGCAGCACTGCCACCTCAACGACGACTGCAAGGAGGCCTTCCACCTGCTGCAGGACTCCCATGTGCAGGTAAAGTTCATTAACGTAAAAGAAAGTAAGCAAATGTGAGATACTTTCAACTAATTTGCAGAAAAATAAAGGAGACCTTTTTAAACAAAATAAATTACTAGATTAGCCTTGTTTATTTATTAATGAAATCTTTTTATATATATGAATAATTGTTTATTTCAGCACCTCCTATTTGCCCACGATGCCATTGCCCAGAAGGATTTCTACCCGCACCTGCCGGAGGCTCCAGTCGAAATGGACGAGGACGAGGAGACCATCAAGATTGTGCAGCTCGTCAAGAGCAACGAGCCCCTGGTGAGTTTTTATCCACCAGGAGCACCATTTTCCATGCCCATTTTCCATCATCGCCGTGATCGCTGTTCTGTGCCGTCGTCCATTGCTTTCCACTGTCCACTTTCGACTTTCATTTCCGCCCCGCCTCCGACTTTCACCCACGCCCCCTTTCGCCATCGCCTTCGCCTTTGCCAACTGCTCCTTTCTGCGCCTCCATTCATTCTCGTACTTCATGTGAACTCTACCTGCCCAATGCTAATCAATTTTGTAAACTTTGCCTTTGCCAAAATCGAATGAAATCGAATCAATTTCTCGAATTCGCCCATAACAAAACCAAAAATGCATTTGTAACAAAAAATTATAAAATCGAAAAAAATGTATAAAAAAAACACAGACAGGAGCACAGAGTGCGGAGCCAATTGTTGTAAGTAATCAAATGTCCATTGTCGTATGTAAAAAGTCCACTGTAAAAAAAAACAGAAACCCGTTTGTTAAGCACTAAAAATAAACAACAAACAACAGCCAGGAAGCTGTGCACACACACCACGAAACTCGTACATACATGAGATACATTCCGTTGTTCCCATTTTGTGGTTATTGTTGTTGTTAGACGTCCATTAGATACACACACATTGAAAACATCGGAAACCGCACTCCACACAGACACACCCAGCGGGAAAAAAGATGTGGAAAATATGCTATTTTTCAGTGGTTTCTTCATACAAGCGGAAGGGCAAAAACCTCCTTCACCCCTTACATTTTTGCCGTCTCTCCTTTCAAAATACACGGGGGTGACACACAAAAGGAAGGGGTAAAGGAGGTTTGCAGGCCAAAAACCTGTGGACGCTCTGGCTGCTGAAAGCAGGGCAAAATCCAGTGGACCTACGGCTGCTGAATGCAGGGCAAAATCCACTGGACCTACGGCTGCTGAATGCAGGGCAAAATCCACTGGACCTACGGCTGCTGAATGCAGGCCAAAATCCACTGGGTTTTGGCCTTCCCGCTTTACAGAATTTCCACATGTAAAAAACAATACTTTTTAATTTGGTATATGCATTTATTAATCTATATACAGTCCAAGGACCTTTGTCATAAGTATTTTTGTATATTATATTTTTTGCTTCAGTGAACGATGAACGCAGATCATCTTGATATTGGCGAAGACTGTAATTGTCGTTTCTGAGTGACTCTGAAAATAAAAACCATAATATATTAATATATAACATATTAATACAAATCAAAAAATATTTAAAAAGTATTGTGAAAAATAGAGAAATTTAGAAAAACAAGTATACTTACCATACAGTACGTTGGAGAAATTAATATATGAATTTAAAAAAAATGTAATTACATAGTAACAAGCATGGCTATTGAAATTTATTAAAAATGTGGTGAGTACTTACAAATGCTTCTGGATTGGCTTCGGCATCGGAGTCCAAGTGGCCGAGTTCTTCAAATGACGAAATCGAAATGTCCGCTTGCGCACGTTCAGATTTGCCATTAATATTGACATATGGGCCAGAATCTTTGATGTCGAATCTATTACAAATTTTATGAAAAGAAACATTTGTTTGTTCTTGTGAAATTGAAAATAAATTTAAATAAAAAAATTACTTACTTACTTGACAACCGCCTCTGGCGGCTAATATTTAGTTTTCGTAAAAATGCTTATGTTCACCATATCCGTAACGCTGAAATAAGGATATACAAACAAAAATATTTATGTTATAACTTACCTTTATCTTGTTTTTTAGAATAAACTTAACTTTTTTTCACTTTTGACACATTTTGCACGACATTTTATACTGATGTGACCGTGCATATTCTGAAGAAAGACAATAATTAGTCACAACTTCGTTGTAACTTAAGGTCATATTCAGAAACCCACCCCATTTAGCGGTCCGAAATTTTCTACTCCTACCCCTACGCCTGCTAAAAGAAGCAGGTTTTCAAGTACTCTAAAAACCTCCTTCCCACTTTCCCGCTGGGCACTGCACTATGTTGAATTTGACCCGTTTTTGTGGCCAAAACTCATTTTTCGCGAGTATGCAAATTTCCGTTTTTTTAATTTTACTATGTTGAGAAATGATCAAATTGCTATATTGTATACCTCAAATGTTAATTTAACAGTGTAGTGTTAAAATAACAGCTGTTAAAGTCAGCTGTTGCAAGCGCTCACCACGTGCTTTTTTAAATGTTAAATTTGTGGTGCAATTTCAAATTGGCATATCTCTCACAAAAAGTCATCAATTAATAAAAATCAAAATGAATATTATTTCTTCAGGTTAGTACTATGTGTTGATACTAATATGTTGCGTGTTTTGTTCGTATTTTTCTAACAATTTGTATATTTAGCAAGTGTTGTCTCCTTGTCACTTTTGGAAAAAAAGTTGAACTTTCCAAAAGGTTTTAAAAAAAAGGTTCAAATTGTATCAGTGAGTGTCCATATACATGTTGTAGATCTTTCAATTCTGAATTCAAAAAATATAAGCTCATTATGCGTTTTTTGCGGTTTTCTGCGTAATTTGAATTATTAGGGAGCATATATTAGGAAGAATACATAGAATAATACAAAAAAAAAAAAAAATTTTTTTGTCTTGAATACCTTCCATATTTATTATCCGATTTGGACCAAATTTGCAGGACGCATTTGAAATAGGACATTTATAATGTGTTTCAAAATTGGGGTCTCTAACTTGAAAATTGCTTAAGATATTCGTTTTTTTTCCATTTCTGTGGGCGGAGGAAGGGGCGTTGACACGCCCACTTTTCTAAAATACGTTCCTATAGTAATAACATTCATTATACAAGCAACCTGCATTCAAAAATCTTGTTAATTTCAAAATTTTTAATTTTGGCCACAAAAACGGGTCAAATTCAACATAGTGCACTGTCTACACGCCACACACACGCACACACACATACGCACGTTCAGTTGGCTTTCAATAGTGACAAGTATTGCCTACTTTTAGGGCGCCACCATTAAAACGGATGAGGAGACGGGCAAGATAATCATCGCAAGAATCATGCACGGCGGAGCTGCCGATCGCTCTGGATTGATTCACGTGGGCGATGAGGTCATCGAGGTGAACAACATCAATGTGGAGGGCAAGACGCCAGGTGATGTGCTTACCATACTGGTAAGTAAACCCCAAAGAAAACCATACATATCTTAAGTAAATCTTATATCTCTAGCAAAACTCCGAGGGCACCATTACCTTCAAGCTGGTTCCCGCGGACAACAAGGGCGCCCAGCGGGAGTCCAAGGTGCGGGTGCGTGCCCACTTCGACTACAATCCGGATGTGGATCCCTACATCCCGTGCAAGGAGGCGGGTCTGGCCTTCCAGCGCGGCGATGTCCTGCACATCGTGGGACAGGACGATGCCTACTGGTGGCAGGCGCGCAAGGAGCACGAACGCTCGGCGAGAGCTGGTCTGATTCCCAGTCGGGCGCTGCAGGAGCGTCGTATCCTGCACGATAGATCCTTAAAAGATGGCACTGATTTGGACTCGAAGCGTAAGCATCCCAGGTTTCCATTCCATTGGTTCCATAACTAACATTCCATCATTGCCATGACTAAAACCACTTTAATTTTATGCCGCATCATCCCATCATTTAAACCACCAATTGGACCCCTCCATCCGCCCATCATTGCCATCGCCAGCCGGATCATGCGCCTCACTCTGCACCACCCCACCTGGTTCCCCGCGTCTGCCTGCCAGCAGCAGCAGTTCCTCCTGTCGCCAGCCAAAGACTAAAAAGATCATGTACGATTTGACAGAGAACGATGACTTCGACCGCGAGCAGATCGCCACGTACGAGGAGGTGGCCAAGTTGTATCCCCGGCCGGGTGTCTTCAGGCCCATCGTGCTCATCGGAGCTCCGGGAGTGGGCCGCAATGAACTGCGCCGAAGGTTGATAGCCAGGGATCCCGAGAAGTTCCGCAGCCCGGTGCCATGTAAGTGTTCCTTGTAGATTTTATAACCTTTTTGGAACACCTCTAATCGGAAATCCTTTGTAGACACCACCCGACCAATGCGAACTGGTGAAGTGGCAGGAAGAGAGTACATCTTTGTGCCCCGAGAGAAAATGGACGCGGACATCGAGGCGGGCAAGTTCGTGGAGCACGGCGAGTACAAGGGTCATCTGTATGGAACCTCGGCGGAGAGCGTCAAGTCGATCGTGAATGCGGGATGCGTTTGTGTGCTGAGTCCCCACTACCAGGCGATCAAGACTCTGCGCACTGCCCAGCTGAAACCGTTCCTCATCCATGTGAAGCCGCCAGAGCTGGACGTGCTGAAGGCAACGCGAACGGAGGCCAGGGCCAAGTCCACCTTCGACGAGGCGAATGCCAGGAGCTTCACGGACGAGGAGTTCGAGGATATGGTGAAGTCGGCCGAACGCATCGATTACCTCTACGGACACTTCTTCGATGTGGAGTTGGTCAATGGAGAGTTAGTTAATGCCTTCGAACAGCTGGTCCAGAATGTCCAGCGGCTGGAGAACGAGCCAATCTGGGCGCCATCGATGTGGGTGCAGTAGAGAGATGGGATTGCCAAAAAATGGAGGAGAAGGAGGAGGAGCATTTCATGCAATTTGTTGAACAACACCAAAGTATTTTTGCCATACGAATTTAGCGATCTGCTAGAGCGACGAAGCGAAGGAGAGACACTATTTACCCGTAGGCGGTCCTGCTGGCCACTCCCGTCCGGCCTTAGTCCTTTTCACGACATGTACCTTTTTGCGTAACAGTGAAAACAAAGTAATGAATACAATAAAAACAAAAAAACCAAAAACCAGACAAAGAGATGGAAATTTAAAAACTCAACCAGCATCTATGTACGATCTTACGATTACGATAACACTTAAATTATAAAACTTGTTGTACAAAATTTATTTGTGTTCAAAGAATGGACTAAATTATAAATGTATTTATTACACGTTGTTGAAATCAAAGCAAAACCAAAACCAAAACAGAGTTAATCCCCCCGTAACCCAAACGCTAACCGTATTGTATCTCAATTGTATATACACTCACTCACTAACTAGAGCATATTGGATACAATAAGAAGTTCTGTGTAACATGGCTCATTTCGAAAACTGATTTCATCCAAACGTAGTGACAAATTGTTGAAAACAAGTGAGAAATTAATAAAAACCTATTTTAAATGCAAAGTTCGAGTTGGAGTTCAGTAAGATTTCGAGAAGACTTAAACACAGCTTTATTGGGCAGCACACTTGTTGACATATTGACATGCTCACGTACACATACACATATATATATATAGTCTATATATAATCCGTCATCTATGTTAACCTATGGCAAACGTGTAAATTTAGCTTAGGCATATGAAGTCTATCCAGGATGTATTGTTCAGTTTTCTTGATTGTTTTTCGTAGTGCGAAGACAGAGACTAATTTCACATCTACCCATGCTAATGGGTCAGGTATCGCTGTTGGCTATATCCTACGATATCCCCCCCTGATAACTTACAGCTAGAGTTGCGACTTGGTTCCGGATCGGGAGGCACTTAGTCCGTAGAACTGGGCCAATCGTCTGGCCTCCCGCCATCCGGCCTCCACTGCTCCATGAACCGTGGAGTAGTAGTGCTCGCTGGAAGCCTCTCCTGCAAACTGGACAATCGGTCGGTCGCAGCGACTCTGCTGCCACGCATCGTCCTCCGACTCCTTCTCCCTCTCCGGCGTGGTGGCCACCACAGTCAGGGGATAAGCCAACTCCCTGGCTCCCGTGCCCAGTTGCTCCGTGTCCATGGATCGATAGGAATAGGATCCTCGGAAGTTATCATTTGTGTACCAAGCGGAAGTGCGGAAGTTCGTGGGCTCTGGAATTTTCCACTTGAGGAACCTTCGGAAGAGGTACATCACACCAGCCTGGACCTCATCCACTGGCAATGTTTCCATGTGCCTGCCATTCTCGTTGGTTATCCAACCAGCCAGGATTCTCGGCTGATAGCTCACCCTGTAGAACCCGAAGACATCCTCCAGCCAAGCTCTTGAGGTGCCGCGAATATCATCCAGATCCCCATCCCTCCAGAGGAGAGTAAATCCCGTCCAGTCCTCCGGCCAAAAAGCCTCGGGAAACTCTATGAATATCTTGTTGACAGTGCCAAAAGCCAGACCATCAATGGCACGTTGTTTCTCCACGGGAAGCTGTGGCTCGAAGAGCCGGAAGTGCTGATCCTTGAGGACTCCCAGGGAAACGGTGACCACCACATGATCAGCTATGCAAATGTCTCCATTGCTCAGCTGGAGTTCCACGCGTCCATCATTTCGGTTCCAATGAATCTTTGTCACTCGAGTGGACAAAAGTAATCGCTGCTCCAGAACTCCGTGCTCCACTTTCAGTTCCCTGGAGCGCATAAGGAGTTTAAGGAGCTCCACGTAGCCCTTGTCCTTCCAGTTGAGCAGGATGTCGCCCTCGCACTCCCAGTAATCCAGGTAACCCCGGCCAGAAACCTGTTCCAGGGAATCCGAGGCCTCAACGGAGTTTTCGAATTTCTGGTAATTAACAAAGAACTCCCTGGCCACCTCGGCATCAATATCAGAGTTCTCCGGACGTCGCAGAGTGTCGTAGAATTTGTTGGTCAGATAGCTGCCCAAGGAACCACTACACTGTCTTAGTTCCAACTGGCGGGTGACCAGGGAATCACCCACAATGGCTTTAAGGCGACTGGCCACATGATCGGGCACCACATCTCCATTTGATCGGACGCACTGGTAGTTCTCATAAACGGGACCCGTGGACTCCAGCAGCTCCTCCTCCTGTTTCTGGGTGAGCTCATAGACAATGTTATCCCTTTCGCCGTGACACCACTGAGCTCCGAGATCGATTACATTATCCGCAAAGGGAATGGTGTGTATCCGACCACCTAGACGATCCTCTGCCTCCACAACCAGCACGTTCTGGAATCCCAGTTCCAGGAGCTTGGTGGCACAGGCCACGCCCGAGGCTCCAGCTCCAATTACGACGATCTTGCGATCCAGATTCCGCTGTGCGCCGCTCATTCCGGGGAACTGAATCTGCTTCTGCAAGTGGAAGGGGTTGCAGGGCAACAGGAGAAATGCAAATTAAATAATAAACAGCTTGGGCTTGAATGCGGGGGAGTGTGAGCGAATGAGATGGTGACAATTGACTATACACTTGAAGAAACTAATAACACGCTTCAAGAAGTTGAAACGGATATTACTTTACAGTTTATTCACAGTCATGTCTAAACACTTGCTTCTCAAATAACATCACTGAAATCTTGGAACGTGATGTTTACTATTTATTGCCAGCTGTGCTTTTTTTGTAGGAACTCTTATATATATTTCAATTTAAATCTTGTGAATAAACAGCAATCTTTTATACAGAAATGTAAAAATTAATAACATTTCAAGAAAACAAGCCTTTTGTCGTTCGCTTTCACTTTCGAAAATAGCATTGTAAATAGATTTCGCAACGAATAAATTTACCTATTATTAAAAAAGCAATATATAGAAAATTGAAAGCATAAATTGTGTTTACATAGGTGGGCCAATTGTTATATAGTGACGCTAGAGAAACAAACCATATATTGCTTTATTTACGTGTTTGATTTTAATATTTAATACCGAGCCCTTCTGGCTTTTGTTTTGCTCTCTTTGAATGTTTTTCTAATTTTCTAAATAAATACATCTCATTTGTTTGAGTGCATCAAGAGCCACCGTTAGAAAATTTGTTATTTAAATTGGCGCAATGCAATTCCAGGCACTTGAGTTTGATAGTTAAGATGTCTCTTGATTAAAAAGTAACGGCATGTCGGCTCATCTTTTTCGATAACGAATTCCTACCCGCAATTCCGACTTTTGATAAGAGTTTCGAAAAAGCTCCTCCACCAATACAAAACCCCAAAGAGCAACACTTTCGACCAAAGGAAAACACATGTCGACAAACCGACGCACTCACAAATATGTTCGCTCGCTTCTGGCTACATGAATTTATTAATAGCCATGGTTGCGAAGGGAAACCGGAGGCAACAGTGGGAGGCGACAGCCCAGAAGGAGTGTCTAGCCAACCGGACCAGCTGGTTATACCTGAAGTTCGCCCGAAATCCTTTTACTTTTGTTTTCCATCGAGAGGAAGTGGGAGGGAATGAATGAATGCGAAATCCACCTCCCTTCGTTTGGCATTGATTTTATATTTTTGGCCAAAAAATGTTCAAGGTTTTCGGCGACAAACAAAAATAAAAAAAAAGAAAACCAGCCACAAACAACAGAGAGAAAATTAAATTTTTCGTTAATTTATTTTTTGGGGGTGATAATGGGTGGAATAATCACTTCACATGGCACACTCCACTCACCAAAATAACTTTGAAAACTGTTTCACCGAATTAATTCAACAATTGAACATTCTGCCGGGATTTCAATTCAATATACTTTAGGTTCGCTGCTAGGAAAACTCCAGCTCCGCGGAAAATGCAAACAAAACTGAAAGCCGAAAACCGAAAACATCACATGGAAACGTGCCGCTCTGCCCGTGTGCTTATGCTGCAACCAGAGGCGTAGTCCGAATTCCAAAGGGGGCTATGTACTGGGTGGAATTCATAGTCCCCCTTTCCGCACGCCTTTGGGCACTCTGCGCAGACCAGAAGCTCCCCAAAAGCTCTGGGCAAAAGCACCCAGCACAGCTGAGTGAGTGGGTTTGTCGAGTGGTTTGGGGCGTTGAGAGAAAATGAGAAGGGGTTCGATTCCCTCTTCAAGTGCACAGAGAAAAACGATCTGGGAATGCCAATAAAAAAATCAAAAATATCTTTTTAGAAAATTATTTTACTAATCTGTTTATTGGAAAGTTTTAAAGTGCGAGCCTTTCCCCTTTTCAAATTGTTAATATTAATCAATTCAATCCTCTTAGCTTCCATTTAAAGTTCATCAGTTAGTAATTATTTTAATTTATATTTGTATGTATATATTTACTCAACTGCATACAAGTTTTTGCTAGATTTGGTTAAAGGAATTTCCTAAGACTCTTCGTTAAATAACTCGTTTGATATTGGTAGGTCCATTTTTAGTGTATATATGTAGATATATCCTTCGATGTATGTACAGGTCAGTTAGCAGTATCCTTTGGCCAAAATCGGGAATGACAGAACTCTGGAGCACTTGGTATATAAGTAGTTAGTTATCTTTTATTACCCGCCTACATTGACTTTACATGATCATCTGTCCGTAGCTTTGGAATTACAATATATATATATATATATGTTTTTATAGAGGCTGGTAATAAATCTGGTTAAAATTTTTCCGTGTATATACAGCAAGGGAGTTTACTTGGAATATGCTGATAATTGTTTTAAATAAATATAATTTGATTTGCGTTTAAGAGCCGGAATTAAAACCAAGCCGAGTTATAAATAAATCTAATTTACACTAAACATAACTGATTTGAAAACACAACGAAAGCAATTACAAAATAATAAACAAAATTATCACAAACAATAACAGCCCGGATAGGATCAGAATGGCGGCCCATTGTCGTTTATCTGCGGAGAGAAAAAGAAATATGTTAGTCTATGATTAAAAGATATAATTTAGAACAAAGGTAATTCTGATTCTTGATAACTGAATTCATATTTAATAAATCAGAAATTCAAAATCTAAATTCCCTTTTGAAAGTTTCGAACCACTCACCATTATTCATGTGCAAGACTTTGGCAACTTTCTTCATGGTCGTGTCCAACTTGGACTCCGTGGTATCGAACTCGTTCCCGAAGTCGTCCAGCATGACCGCCTGCTCGTCCAGCTCGACGCCAATTTGCCGGGAGACGGTCTTCAGGGTGCCAATCGAATCGCTGATCATGTCCAGCTGCTCATCCTGGCCCTGGATCATTCGCTGCTGGATGGACACCGTTTCGCCCACATACCTATGGCTCGGACTGTCCAGGCCGCCGTGATGCGTCTGCCCGTAATGACTGGGACTGTCGAGGGCGTTCTCCAGCTTGGAGTACTTGGTGCCGCTGTGGCGAGAAGCTGCTGCCGCTGCCGCTGACATGGTTCCAGCTATGGTATTGGCCACCGCCTGGCTTCCACTGTTGATCAGCGAGTTTCCGTTCAGGCCACTGGGACACTCCACCAAGTAGGTGCGATCGTTGTGCGGATTCTGATGGTACTCGTTCGAGTTGGAATTCGAGTTGGGAATGGCAATGGAGTGGTTGTGATTGGGGCTGTGGCGATCGTTGTCGAGCAGCGGCTGGTGTGCGGTGATATCTCTGTCCCGACTCCGATTCAGGCTCATTTTATCCTTCATCTGCTTGACCTCATCGCGCGTGTTGTCGATGAAATGGCGCCGGCTGGAGAGTTCGCGGTTGTCGATCCGAAACTTGCTCGGGTTCTTCTCAACAATGCGTAAGGATCGAAAAAGTTAGGGTTAAGGAGAAACCTTAAGTGAATAAAGCAGATCTGATACCCGGTACTCATCATGTGTTCAAAAAGATAAGAATAAATAAGATAATAAATAACTGAAATAATCTACGCCAAAAACTATATTTTCTTACAACTTTCTTTGTATAAATTAAAAAGTATTATGTATTAAATTCGAGACAATAACTTTTTAAGAACAGTATTTCTAGGTTCCACTGTAGTTCTTTAGAATACAAGTAAAATTACAAATGGATTAAATAAGCTTAGAAAATTGTGTTTTCCCCTTGACAAATTCCATACACCCTTCAAACCCCTTGAGTACCGGGTAACGAATTGATTTTCCAACGAATTGGATTGGTTCGGTTTGAAAAGGATATTGATAGTGTCCTCGAGGTCCTCGAGATCCCACTCGATGCTCCGGAGCGAGTTACGCAGCTCGGTGGTGGTCCATTCAGCCTCCGTTCCTCCACTCTCGCCCAACTCCCGCCAACGCAGATAGAGGCCGCGGGTTTTGTTCAGAGCTTTGAATACCTCACTAGAATAAAAAAAAAACAAAAAAGAAAAACATGGGGGTAAGTTATCGGGGGAAATCCAGTAAAACTGCAATAGCCATTGGAGCAGAACGATGGAACCTACTCCTTGACTACGAAAAAGGGATCCTCCAGAGACATGCCGTGCTCTATTCTTGGTCCAATCGGAAATTAACACTCCTAGCAGTTTTTCACCAGCGTGGCGCACTTGACGGTTATTTTCATGGATTTTTCCGGGCGAAAAACCACCCCCGAAATTCCAGGTGGAAAGTGCAAGTTGCCAATGCCAAACACTGGGGGTTACATCAAAAGTCAGCCAAATGGGGGGAATTTATGTTTTCTATCTTTTTAATAGCAGTAATTTCACAATCAACTGGGTTTTATCTCTGGCTAGGAGCGAAGTTTGCACAGCACGTTTATTGATTATTGCACTTGGGGCCGCGCCGCTTATCGCCCGATTTCTCTATAGATTCCGCCGTCTTGGCTAGTTTCACCGATGGCCCAGAGAACACTGTCGTTATTTGCGCTCCAGAGGCTAAAAATCCCCCCAAGAACCATTGGCATTTGTTTACGCCGCTCTCGCGCATGCGCAGTGTCCGTTATTTTTCTACCCTTAGAAACCGTTTCAAAAACATCCCGAACTTTGGCCAAAAAAATTCCACAACAAAAAAGGACGGCCAAAATGCCAGCACTGTTTTTGATTTTAACTGCTCACCTGCTGTTCGTCGCCACCTCATTTAGCAAGCTGCGATCCAAAAACACGATGCTGGACTCTAATTTAAAATACACTCAAGGCTAATTTTACTGTTTTTCTTAAATATTACTTTTATTTTTGTTTTGCTGCCAACAAAAATAACTGTGAGGATTAGTATGACCCAAGCGGGCTAGTGCAGTTTTCCCACAAAAAAATTTAGTATATATCGTATATTGTTAATGGTATGCGTGGCAACTCTAGATTTGAAAATATCGTTAAGCTTACTGGCCTGTAATATTTAGTATAATTTTTATTTCGAGACTGCCACACTTACCAAAGTTGACCGTTTTATTAGACCGCTGTCAAATCAGTTTGAAAAGTGATATCAAAATGTTGCAAAACGACGCGGTGCGGACTTTGCAATATGATAGTGAGATTCGCGTGGCCCAGCAGCCAAGCCCCACAGAACCTAGAGGTAAATTGGGGATATTGTTTTGAAATAGAAATGAAAACACAGCGTGATTCATTCTCAAACAACGGTAAATGTCTGTTACCAACTGATAAGCGCTGCACCGGATTATTTGTTATTGCTAGCGAGTGTGTCACAGTTCGACGCAAATATGCGGCTACAAGTTGGCTATATCTTATCGGCTATCGTTTTGTTGTGGTCTCGGTCCCCTCAAGTGCCTTTGTTTGGGCCGATCGAACCGACCGATCCTACAATATAAAACCATACCCATGGACTTATCTGTATCCAACACTAGCACTTTTGTATTTTCCCAAGAAAAGTAATAAAACTTTCAGGAAAAAGAAGCACACGTAGTTATTGAAAATCAAAACAAAAACCGAAACTCCAGTCTGGTTTTTAGATCTTCTATTCCAATTTAAAAGGCTTTAAAGAGCGCTAGAAAAAAAATAGTACATATTTTAAAAAACAATTTAAGCTAAGCTTAATTCATTAGTATAAGCCACTTAAACTTGTAAAGACTATTACTAAATAAGTCATTTATCAGTAATTTTTTATTTTATTATGCACCCTAAATATAATAATTTACTACATATTTATTGGAAAATATATATGCAAATATTTACTACTAATAGACAAAAAAAATTGACAGAATGATTTATTATAAACGATTTGCTTGTCTGCTTTCAGTTTATGACTCCCATATCAGCATTACATCGCAGCCAAGGCCGGAGGTTCCCCGGATCCCCTTGCCGGTTCCCATTGCCACGGTCACGGGCAGCCGGACCTTTATTCCCCTCTCCGGATATGATTGCCTTGCGGACCTGCCATCGGTACATATCGAACAGACCTTTGAGCTGAACGAGGGTATATATATTTTGGCTATCATCAAATAGGATATTTTTCAATTTTTTAACCATAATTCTCATTGTTCCTCTTCAGCTCTGACTGCAGTCTCTTCAGAGAATCGTTATGTGGTGCGATCTCCATTGGGAGATGCCATTTTTGCTGCCAGTGAGAGCTCCACAGAGAAGAATCGTCTTGTCTGGGGAGCGGGAAGACCCTTTCAGATGCATCTTCTAGATAAAACCCACCAAGAAGCTCTGGTTTTCCGAAAGAAACTAGCCCTGGGATCCCTCTGCTGTCAGCCAAAAAGTCTTGAGATTTGGATTCCACCTGGTAACATTCTGGGAAGAGTGGTGCAGTCGCCCACTTTCATGCAGCCCGAGTTCTTCATTGAGGACGAGAGCACCGGACAGCCTGTATTTTGTGTGGAGGGTCCTGCTAACTCTGGATTCTGCTGTTTTTGTCTTCCTAGGGAGAGCTACTTTAAAGTAAGGATTGATTTAAAAAATATTAAGAAAAAATTCCAAATATTTATTATGTATATGTTTTCCCAGATCCATTCTGGTGGCAATATGAGGGCTTCCATTGACCACAAATGGTTAGCCAGCAAGTCACAGTATACCACAAATATTTACTTTAGTGATGCCAAGCTGACTGCCAAAGAACGGGCTTTGATTCTTGGATCAGCATTTTTATTGGTATATTATTTGCAAAAGTTAATAATTTCAAAATACTATTAACTTTATCTTTTTCAGGAATACCTGTACTTCCAAACCCGCTTCTAACCAAAAAACCAATTCAATAAACCTTGTATATTCACATTGATTTCTTTATTTTTGTCATTTTTTTGTATAAGATTTTATGTTTGTTTGTGTTGGTTTTTTTTTAGTTTTTTGATATATTTTACAATAATGTAATAGATCACTTCATTTTCTTGTTGTTTAACCACATACATACATTCAAGTATATATAGATATATATATCTATGCGTATATATACGTTGCTGCAGCTCTTGCCGTAGCAGTTTGTACAATATTTTCATTTATCTCTATCAACTTTGTGTAGTTTGTTTGACTAACCTACCGCTTAATGCATATATGACAACATATTGATTATTTACAGTTAGCTATTCTTCATCGTTTCGTTTCTCTTCTGCCAAATACAAAATTAAAACAAACAATTAAAAGAGTCTCGTGGTCTCGTCGTTTTAAAAATTAAAACAAAACTAGGGGCATGCATTATTTCTCATTCACCATTTTCAGTTGCTCTTTTTTTATCAGCGTGGCGAGATAACAATTTGAAATAAGGAAGAACTATGTGATTTTCAGATGAATTATTTTGGACATGGAAAACCAATATACTCAGCGTAGGTGTTATGGTTCGTTTTGGATTCATTATTTGGGGCTAGGCCTTATAGATAACACACTTTTCTCGCTTTCGGCGCTTTACATTTGTAGATAGACTCACAGCACTTCAGGAGTTGATGCATTTATGCATTTCGAAAACAAACTATGGTTAAATGTATATAATATATATAGATTTATACGTGTGCTTGTTGGTTTGGCTTATAACTAGGGCTAGCTGATGACGATTCCTTAAACTAAATACTTAAGAGGCAGATCGAAAGCAGATCTGCATGCGTTGTAACTGCCTTGGCAAACCATTTAAGACTTTTTGTATAAGATTCTTTCTGGGCAAATTACCCAAGAGTGTTTACACTGGAATAGCTGACTCGCTTATCATCTGGCTCTCCAATCGCTCGATTGCGATTCGCAATTCGCGATTAGCCCAACACTAGTTGGGAACATAACTGAAGAGAGGTGGTAGTTGGGGGGTCTTATAGGCTAGCTCTAGAGTAAGTTGTGTGTGTGCCCAAATGCGATATGCTTAGACATTTGATATGCGCTCGTTGGAGGTGGTTTGGTCATGGCGGTGGCCCTCGATCCTGGAATTGTAGACGGGGTACTGACTGGTGTCCAGGTGGTAAGCCGCCGGATACTGATAGCCTCAGCTGGGCTGCAGCATGTACATGTACTGTCAGTTGCTCGCCGCCGCCGAAGCGGCCACAGGAACGGCAACGGGAACAGGTAAATCCTGGCCAGAACGAGCCCGCTTCTCGCCACTGCCCTCTGCGGGATTGTCGCTCTCCTCACCCGTGCTGCTAAAGCTGCCCGGCAACCGACGCTTCAGGTTGTGGTTCAGGCCATTGGCCACCGTTTCGTCCTCGGACATGGAACTGCCACGCTTTGGCGTGTTGCCAGCACTGTCGTTGTCCAGCGAGGCGATCGCCGAGGCTATGGCCGCGCTGAAGCCATCTTCGGACGCACTATCCTGCGAGACAGGATTAGCTGGATCCTGGGTCACCGGCAGCATGCCCGAGGGCGTTGTGTAGCCACTCAGCTTGTTGGGATCCTTCTCCAGCAGCTTTTGGGCCAGCAACTTGAGTGATGTCAGCGAATTCTCGCAGTCGCTTGTATCGATTTCAGTGAGACTTATTCCAGCGCGTTCGATTTCGGCGAACGTTCCAAATGGCAGCTTCTGCAGGCACTCCAACTTCTGGACATGCGTCTTCGAGCGGAGATGCTTGGCCAAGTGCCCGTGGATGCGGAAGGCTATCTTGCAGTCGGTGCACTCGAAGGGACGCGGATTGGAGGTGGTTGGAACCCCGAACGTCGACGTCATCATCACCTTGTTCTTGTGCGCCTCGGATCGCTCGTGCTTCTGCAGATGACCCTGCGTGCGGAAGGAAATGCTGCACGGTTCGCACTTGAATTTGCGCTCCATGTAGTGAATGTTCATGTGCAGGGTGAGCTGATGTTGGCGCTGGAACGTCTTGGCGCAGATGGTGCACGTGGGCCGAGCATCACTTGCCATGGGAGCTGGTGGCACTCCTCTGCCGTAGGCTACATGCTGCAAGTCGTTACCCTTGCTGCTTGGCGTGGAGTTCTTGAAGCCATCCTCGCCCACAATCACCGTTCGCTGGGTGGGTTGCGTTGAGTTTGATGCAGCAGCTGAGGATGCCACCGGAGCAGCAGGAGATGCCACAGGGGCAGCTGTTGAAGTGGTTATTGCAGCAGCTACAGATACTGTTGCTGAAGGTGGCGGATTACCCAGCACTCCACTGAAATCATTGGCATCCGGTTGCTGCACGGCAGCAGGAAGATTGGCATTATGAGGCTCAACAACGGTGGGCTTTTCCTGATCCACATTGGTTTCGTTTTCCTCCCTTTCCTCCTTGGCAATCTTCGCTGGCGTTGGCGTTGGTGGAGCTGAAGGAGTTTCCGGACCCATCGAAGGCAGCTCAACGGCTTCAGGTGTCTTCACTTCATGAACTTCTATGCTGGGAACCTCATTGATGCTCATGACGGGTCTATTGTTGGTGGTAAATAGGTTGCTGCTGCTGCTCATCACGGGAGATGCCGCGGAATATACGCTGTTGATCAGATAACTGCGACTGAATTGGCTCTGCTTAATCTTGGCCTGGTGCAGGGCATGCTCCTTGATGTACGTCTGCAACTGAACATCTTCGCACTCCGCGTCGTGCTTGGCCAGCTCCTCCATTTCGGCGGAGATTCGCACCTTGTCCGACACCGAGATCAGGGTCTTCATGAAACCGCTCTCGTTGCCAGCGCTGCCAAAGATCACATCGTGCATCTGCTGGGCCTGCGACTTGGGAAGATCCTGAACAGGAATCTGAGCTGGCGATGGGGAGATGGCAGACATGGAACCCCGTGGCTTAGTGAGATCCATGGGGGCGCTCTCCTCGCTGGCACCGCTGCGTTTTGGCTTGGACTCCTCCGGATTGGAATAATACTGTTCCTGCTTCTGATAGTCGAACGGTGGCTTCGGCGATGTAAAAGAGCAAATCAATCTTTTGGGCAGCGAACCCGAAGAGCCAATGCTGTTGGCAGGACTCGCCGCCGGAAGAGGTGTATCCTGCAGCTGCGGGTAAGGAGAGACGCTCTGCGGAATGGGCGGCGTCATCGATAGCGATAACAGACCCCTGGCTGCCTCGTGCTCTTTTAATCGGGATTTGGATTCGTCCGTGTCTGTAATAAAAATATACAAGAATAAGAATTTGTCTCTGAGAAATCTTAATGATCTTTCTTACCGCTGCTTTCCGATTCATTGTCGCTATAATCATCCGAATCGGATTCTCCGGCCATTGAGGATGTGCGTCCTCCAGCCGAAGTGGATGACTGCTGATCAAAGTCCATGTCCACATCCAGGAACTCGCTATCTGGTGGCATTGGTCCCGGATTGATGCCCAGTTCAATGCACTTCTTGAAGTGGGTCTTTGATTGCATGTGCTTGGTCAGATTTCCCTTGGTTTTGAAACTGTCAAAAGAAGAAGAAAAGATATACTAAAATTAGTAATCTGAAATATATTATTCTTGAAAGGAAAACCAACCTGAAATTGCAGTGACTGCAGGTGAATGGCCTCACATCCGTGTGGGTGCGAATGTGCTTCTTGAGCATCGATGGCTTCTTGCAGCGAATGCCGCACTCAGAGCACACATATCGTCCCCTTCCTCTTCCCCGGATGTACGTGTAATCCTCGTGGGATTCGTAGCCTCCGACCAGAGGCTGTCCAGAGGGACTGGTCTCCAGCTTCTTGGCCTCCGCCTCCTCGTTCGCCTTGGCCGCCACGTTTGCCTCGCTGAGAGCGGCGATCGTGACAGTTGGTGGCGTTTTCAGAGGACCCTGATAGAAGGCACTGCTACTGGACAAAGTTGAAGTGGAGGAAACGGTCTGCTGGGCGGATACGAGATTGTAGCTCAGTTTTCCCGATCCAGCCATCGCAGTCGAGCTGCTATTTCCCAGCATCCTTTGCCGTGAGTCGTAGAGAGCCATCACTTGCTTCAGTTTGAATCCAAGCGGATGAGGCTGATTCTCCTCGCACACCTGCCACACGCTGTACATCGATAGCTTGTGCATTCCAGCCACGTACGAAGGTTGCGGGCAGTTCACCGTGCAGTAGAACATCTTGGTGCTGCACTTCAGACCCAAATAGGTGTAGGCGTGTCCATTGAGATAGAGTTGCACACAGGACTTGGAGGGCCTCGGTGTTTCCGGCGAGATCAGAGGCAGTGTATTTGCCGTGGGCGTAATTCCATGATGGCGCTTTGGCGTAAAGGTTCCAGGTTTCAGTGGCAAGCTAGTGGGTCGCAGAAACTTGGATTTTGCCGATGTCGAGGAACTCGCAGCAGGACTCACTTCCTCTGCGGCATTTCCGTTTCCATTTGGAGTTTCCACATGCAGTGGTGTGAGCGGCAACTCCTGCTGCTTTCCAGCAATCACATTGTCCAGATTGAAATGACGAACTTCCGGTTCCGAGGTCTTTACATTATCAGCCATGCGAAGGAAGTTAAAGGGTGCCTTCTTGGGAGTCTCCTTGCTGTTCCACTGGAGAGCTTGACGCTGGGCAGGAGTTGGTGGCTGGCGGCTGAACTCGCTGGGCAAATTCTGAACTCCACCGAATGGTGACAGGGCCTTTAGTTCGCCAACTGCTCCTCCCAGGAGAAGAGGACTGGGTTGCTTGCGATTCGGACTACGTCCTCGTCCCGAAGGAACTCTCAATTGAAGTTGCTGTGGTGGTGGTGGCAGCAACGGCATTTGTGGTGTCAAACTTCCAGGACCCGGCATTCCGGGCACATGAGGTATTGGTGTGACTGGAGTGGACTTATCTCCGCTGCTCATTGGCGGCAAAGTGAGCGGATTGAAGGCAGTTATCGAGTTGATGGGCGGAAACTGAAAGTGCTGAGGTCCTGAGCTCACGCCAAGCAGTCCACTACCACTAACCAGAGCCATCAGCTTGCGTTCCTTGCTCGACGATCCTGTTTCGTTGTTACCCTTGCCTGAAACATCCTGGAAACTTCCACCGGACAGCAAGGGAGTGCGTATCATCTTGGGACTGTTGTCCATGTCAGGACATTCCGAGATGGGAATCATGCTGCCGCCAGAGTAGGTTAATCGACGCAGTCGCTCCTCCTTGCTCGACTGCAACTCCTGAACACTGTTGCCATTGTTGTGGTTGTTGAAGGAGAAGTTGAAGCTTGGATTTTGCTGGGAGGTGGAAGCAGCCACCTGATCGCTGGTCTTCGCTCGCTTGGCGGGCTGAGCTTCAATGTCGCGCACACCAAACTGTCGGTCCTCGTGCATTTTAGTAATGACCACAGAATCTTGTGCCTTTCGTGGCGCATTCTGCTGGGCGTAGTCCACTAGCGGAGTTTTTCCCAACAGAGGACCCGGCGAAGGCAGCGGAGCATCCACAAACCGCAGAGCTTCAATCTGAGGAGCAGGAACTGTTAGGGGAAGCTGAAGCAGCAGCTGAAACTGGAGCAGGCGCATTTGTCGGTGCAGTCAAAGTGGAAGCTGTAACCGTAGATGTCCTCGCTGGCGTTTGTGCTGCACTGAGGCGACTCAAGACCAAACTACTCCTCTTGGTTTTCAACTGCGACCAGGCCAACTTGGCCAGAGAAAGTGGATTCTTCGAGTTGGCCATGTGGCACTTCAGCTCCGGCAAACTTAAGGAGATCGAATTGGAGCGGAAGGGCGATGAGGCGGGACTCATGGGAGCGCTGGAGCTTGCATCCTGGCAGGTGGTGCTATTGTGCAGCTTCAGATCATCCGCACTGCGGAATTCGCTCGCGCAGATCGGACACGAGTAGACGGCATCATCGCCCTCGCCAATTGGCACAGCCAATCCTCGAGCATTCAGCAGCAAATTCTTGATGATCGAATTGTTAACCTGTGCAGGAGGTGGAGCATTCTTCGAGCTGCTACCAGGAGTTGCAGAGGTCGAAGCTGCTGTGGCCACAGAGCTGGTGGGTAGGGAACCAACTGGCACTGTAACCAGAGTTGGCTTCGGTTTGGCTGACAAGTTCAAGGGCATCACATGAGCTGCCGTCGTTGGTTGCTCGATTTTGGCCACTGGCGTTGCGGGATCCTGACGATATTGCATCGTTTGCATGGGCAGTGGGGAGGGCGGGGGAGGCAGTTGTTGCTGCTGCTTCACAGGAGTCGTAGCAGCTGGAGTTGGCTTATATGAGTTGCGTTTAACCAAGCCATTTGGCGGTTCCAGTTGCTGTTGTTGCTGCTGCTGCTGGTTCTCCTGTTGCTGTTGCATGTACGAATAGTAGTTCTGCTGCTCGAGTTGCTGCTGTTGGATGAGTTGTTGCTGCTGCTGTTGCTGGAGTTGCTGTTGCTGCTGCTGCTGCTGTTGTTGTTGCTGCTGTTTTTGGACTATGGCCTGTGCCAAATTCACTTTAGTCTCGCGCTCTGGCATCTGTGCATTGCTGTTGTGACTATTGTTTGCATGCAATGCCACCGGGTTGCTTCCGTGTTGCGAGCTATTGTTGCTGTTGGCATTGTTGAAGCTGCGGGAACGACTGAGTTGTTTGGGGTACTTCTTCTGCAGCAGTATCTCCTTATTCTCCACAATGGCTTCATTTTGCGAGATCAACTTGGAAATGTGCTCCTGTACTTTGGCCACGTTCTAGAAGAAAAAGAAAGATAAAAGCCGAGATAAGTCATACATTGATTACTACTTTCAGGCAAACACTCACCACCTGCATGCCGCCACTGGAGCTGGCAAAACTGCTGAGATTGGCGGCGGGCGTGGGAGTGGCCGGTGCTGTTCCTGCACTGGAAACCTGGCTATTGGCTCGCACCAGCTGTTCGTAATAAAAATAAATATATGGTTAGCAGTGTTCTAGTAAAAATAACCGTTCTAAAACCAACCTGTTGAGGCGGCAAACTTGGAGGCTGTTGCATCGGTGGTGGCGCCTTTACCAAAGGTGAGTGTTGCTGCTGCTGTTGCTGCTGTTGTTGCTGCTGCTGTTGCTGCTGGGCCAAGTGAAGCTGCTGCAGTTGAAATTGCTGAAGGACCAACGCATGCTGATGAATGGCTGCCGCCGCTGCATCTTGGTTGTAAAACGGAGGCTGGCCAAGGTAGTAAACACCACTGGGTGTCACTGGCATGGCGGCTAGCAGCGATTGCTGGGCCAACAGTGACTGCTGCTGCTGCATCTGCAACTGGATCTGGTGCGAGTTAATGTGGTGCTTCATCTTCATTTGCGTGCTGGGCGAGAGCGTGGGATGAGCAAGAGGTGGCTGCTGCACCAGAGGCAGTTGAATGGATAGCTTCTGCTGGGCCATTTGGTGTTGCTGCTGCTGTTGCTGCTGCTGCATTTGCAACTGTTGCTGCTGCTGCTGCTGTTGCTCCTTGCTGCTGCCGGGTGCATACAGCGAGGCGTTGTGGAACTTCGGCTTATATGGCTTGTAGTCGATCGACTGGCGATGCTGGGCAGTGGCCGAGTGCAGGTTATCCGCAGTGGTGGGTGGCAATGTCCCCGCCGCCGGCGAGCCCAGCGGCAACTGTTGCATGTGCTGCGGCAGCGGCGGCTGCTGGATGTAAGCACTCTTCGCCGCCGACAAAGTGGAAGGTGAGGGTGTGGGCGAACTCATCGGCTCATCGTACGGCGAACCAGCGCGACTTGGCTGCAATAAACCAATAAATTAGATGGGTTTGGGAACGGAAATCTCATTTTTCAACTTACCAACTCGGAACTACTATTGCTCAGTTCTGCATCCTGATCGGACAGCCCGTCATCTGCATCGACTGGCACCTCCAAGCCGCGAGCTCTGGCCGCGTGCGATCGCGAACGGCAGTGCTTGTACAGGTTGCTCTTCGTCTTGAAGGCAATGCCACAAGTGTCGCAGGGATAGGGTCGCTCGTTGGTGTGCGCCCGTATGTGCTTCTCCAGCACCGATGGCTTGGCACAGATCAGATTGCAGTAGGGGCAAACGTACCTACCGGACTTTTCGCCCGGGGGATTTGCTACGGCTGCTGCTCCGCCAGGGATTCCCGGACTTGCCGTCGCTGGCTGCGTCATTTGCTGATACTGGGCAAATGTTATCGGCGATAGCGTGGTGGCACATGCCGCATAGTTGCTGTTCGTGTTGCTATTACTGAGCGGCGTTCGCGTTCTGGCCGCTGCTTTATAGCCACTGTTGCTCTCCTCATGACCAATGGCATTGACATGATTGCTATTTACAAAATTGGCACTGAATTCATGTGTTGCTGCTGGCGGTGGCTGCTGCTGCTGCTGCTGCTGTTGATGTTGCTGCTGCTGCTGCACTGGCTGATGGTTTGGCTGTTGGGTCATCGCATGGTTGTGACCATTGGCCAGCGGCGGTTGTGGTTGTGGTGGCGGCGGCGAGAGCGAACTGTTCGAAGACAACGATGAGGTGCGTACGGCATCGCCACTTGGGTGATGGCCACCACCACCACCACCAGCACCGTTCGTCGCGCCAACGCTCTCCACTTCGGTGGTGCTGGCCAAACGTTTGAACTTCTTGTGCAGATAGCGTGAAATATTTGACCAATCCCCCAACGGAGCCTCATCGGTGGCGGTGGCGGGTGTGGCATTTGCGGTGGTTTGGCTGCTGCCGATGATGATGCTCGCGTTGGCCGCGTTCGGAGCCACTGGCTCCTGGTTGCTGCCGACGGCTGCCATCTGCTGTAGCGTCATTTTGCTATCACTTAGACTTGCTTTATCTCTACACTTAAATTCATAATTATTCTCACTAATACTATTATCACTGTGGTGGTTGTTGTTATTATTATGGTTGTTGTTATTTGATTTATTATTATTATTATTGTTGTTGTTATTGTTATTATTATTGTTGTTGTTGTTGCTGATGATGATGTGGTTGCTGTTGTCAGCAATCGACAGCGGCAACTCGCTTAGTTTATCTCGTGTGCTTGTACTGGGTTTACTGTTGCTGCTGTTGCTATTGCCACCTGCAACATCGGGTGCTGCTGCTGTGGATTTGGACACTGTTGATGTCGCTTCTGTTGCCGCTGTTGCTGTTGCTGCTGCTGCTGTTGCTCTGTTCGCTTTGTTGCTTGTTCTCTGAGTGACTGTGGTTGTTGCTGTTGCAGTTTCTCGATATGTCTGCTTCTTGGTTGATGTTGCTGCCGTTGTTACTGTTGTGGTTAATGCTGTTGCTGCTGCTGCTGCTGCCGCCGCTGCTGCTGCTGTGGCACGTCGCGTATTGTTCACTTTGTTGGTCTTGTACTGTTTGCCTGCGGTTTTATAATGCTTGGCCGTTGTGGTTGTTGCATTTTCCATATTATTATCGAATTTATTACCCTGTGACGTATTTGCAGCAGGCTCATCTGTAGCGAAACGAGAAAGAGAGAGAGAAAAGAAATCCAAAATTAATTCAATGTATTTCGCATAATTTAATTTAAATGCCAATGCTAATTGATACATCCATGATAAGCCCATTTATACATTGGCTCTTCAGCTCCGTGCCCTCTTGAATATTTTATATGATAAACTGGTAAAAATCTAGCTACCAAAACAAGCAAACTGTTTCGCTGCTGACCGAGAACTTGGTCAAGTTTCGATGCACATGAAATATTTACTTTCAGCTAATACACACTTTGGCTGAATAGAATTTTTCTCAATAATTCAAGTGCACTTGCTGTTCGCCTTTGGGTTTCCCAAGAAGTGTACCCTTGTCTTTGGTACACTCCTACCTCCAGCCATTTTATCAACTCTAATTGGGGCTCAATCTTATCGCCGTCTAACTGAGAATGTCAGATACTGAGCACGCTAATTCTACCTGGGCGATCAATCCACCAAGTGAATCACAAATTGCGAATTCCTGTGCACTACTGAAAATCAATTTCCCACTCTGTGAACGTGTCAACATCGATAAAGCACAGTGGCTGAAATATGTATGTATGTATATATGTATAGTATACATATACAGATATATTTGCCTTGTTTCTTTTTTATCAACTTTCTATTTTGAATTCCCCATTTAGCTAGGGTTCAGGCCCCACCTGATGGAAGCCAGACTGGCGACCGAAAAATCCGAAAATCCAAAGAAAAGTGACAAGTGAAGTGTAATGACTGGTGTCACTGGCGTTTCGTTTCGTTTGTTGTTGGGGGCTTCCTTATCACAGCTCGTGCACACATGTGTGACAACGGTGCGTATCAGTATTATAAACCTAGTGGCAGCAGATTACAAACGAGATTATAAAATGTTGCCAAAGAAGAGAGCGAAAACTTGAACATTTTGTTAGTGTCCATTAAGATAATAACTATAAACAAGTTGCAATAACATTGAGGCTTAGAAAATTTTGGATTTAAAAACTAAAAATCAAAACCAAAGCTTTGAAATATGTTTATTTTCATTTTCGAATTCTATTACTTCTGATTTTGATAAGAAAATAGGCACTACTTTAATTTTATAAACGCTCACAGCTGATTGAGGGCCGCTGAACATTGACTTTGATAAGACAGTTTTACAACGCTACACTTTCAACTGTTCCTATTTTCGTGATCCCCACTGTCCGCATATAATATATGACTCGCTCGTCGGGCGATTAGTAAGCCGGGGCAGTTCTCAAATCACAATCGCACACAGTCCGACCGACAGACTGAAAAAAAAAGACTCACTGGCAACCGAGTTGGGTCGCGTTAATTGACTCGACTGCGACTGTTTAGCATTCAGCGTTATTATTATACACATTATACGGCATTATGCGATCGCAGCAGCGGCTCTCGTCGCGTCCCAATGTTTACTCAATTTGTTATCAGCTTTATAAGGCTTTCGAGCCGTGCGACCGCAAAAAAAGAATTGCCTAAAAGTTCCATTGATAATGCTCCAAGCTCCACATACATACATACATAAATATGTACATGCAGTACGTATTTTCGGCGTATGTGTATTTGCCAGATTCATTATCGGTTATCAGTGGGGACTATCGTAGGCCTGAGTCAGAAACAAAGCCCCCGATAAGCGATCCCCATTGTAACCCAGCGATTCGCAATTCACTGGACTGCAGACGCGTTGACGTCAGTTATCCGATATGGATTCGAATATGGTTGTCAGATTGTCAGCTCGTTGGGCAATTAAGTGACATTCACTGGCGATTAGCTGGTCGGGGATCCAAATCCTAATTACATAATCACGTGTAGGAAATACATATGTGTTTGTGTATGTACTCAATTTATTAATAACCGAGTGACTGGGTCAATTACAAGGCGCCAACTGCGCCACAATTGAAATATGTGTAGCGATTATAAGAATGTGTTGTTTGTTGCTAATAAAAACAAAAGCGGAACAACAGAATATTTTTCAAACAGTAAACCTCGAAAGTCAAATAGATTATTCCTACGCACTCAAGAAAGGCATATAGTTTTACAGTAATAATATGGTTAAAAAATTATGACACAAAAGATAATTTTATAGGATTTTCTTGGATTTCTTTTCCAAGGATTTGGATTTGACAAGTGATTAGAAGTAGGTCAATAATAACACAAAAACAGGTATTTAAAAACTATTCGAAAACTATACCCATGTCCAACTGTACATAATCACAAACTTAGTTTAATTGTACAGCAAAAACTGGCGAACTAAAACCAACAGTCACAACAATATAATAAAGTCAAGCGAGAATATAAAAGATAACCTAATCAGAAGGAGGCGCTTATAAAAGCCCCAGCAATTAAAACCAGAATACTCATACTACAGATACCCGATGTACACAAAGCACAAAATGCACTGTGACGTACTGTGCACTATTTTTTTATGATCTTTAGCTTACACTATATTATTGTTGGCCACGTAAATCCATTTGCAACAGCAGTCAAGTAAATATTAATATGACATTTTCGTTATCACGAATTTTTGTTTAACGATTGGGGTTCTAATTACGCCTGTTTGCCAGCATTTTGAGGCGTGAAAACGGCAAGTAAACGTGAACCACATGGGAATGTATTTTATACACAAACTGGAACTGCATTTGCATTGGCATTTATATTTGCATGCACTTTTTTATTGAACCAGTCGAAAAACAATTGCCCCTGTGCAAAGTGCAATATATAAGGCTCTAAGGCAAATAATCTGAGAGGGCTGGGTACACTACTCAAAAGATTGTTTATTCAAAAAAATATTCTAAATAGATAACGAAAAAATGGTTCACTTTTCTAGTTCAGAAAGTAGTAAGGCTATGTAATACAAAATAATCTTTAATATTTAATTTTGAATTCATGTAAAAAATCTTTAATTTAATATTGATAATACTTTTTTTGTGTAAAGAAGTCGGCTTGTCGACTGATTCGCTAACGCAGATATTGAGCACACGCTATCGCCTACGTCACAAGTGCATTTCGCGACTGAATTCAAAAAATAATGAAACAAAAACAAAAAATATAAGAATATAAAAACACCTACAGAAGCACTGAGAAATAATGAAAAATAAAACAGCGAGGTGTGGCAACGGCGCCACAAAGTCCACACATCTGTCTGACGGTCAGTCTGTCAAACCGTCATTCGGTCATTCCCTCAGTCGTCCAATTCCCTCATTTCCCCACGTCAACGACGTCATCGCACTGCAAAAAGCACTAAGCACTCGCCCACTTGGCAATTGTTTATAATTTATTAGCGAGCGTTTTACAGCGGTGGTGAACAAAATATAATACGTCGAATTCGCGGAAAAGATTCAGAAATTCCAGTGAACAGCCAAACGCCTGATAAAAGCTACGCAAACAGACAAACGGTAAAGAGAAACATACCAAAGCTTAATTGTGACCACACGCATTTCTCTGCTCGTCCCGCTCATTTGCATAGATTTAATTGTTGTTTATTGGCGAAATGCAACAATTGAAAATGTAAAAATCGAAAAAGCGACAATCGACAACCGACGCGCGTGAAACATTTAAGGCAACTAGACGAGGCGACCAGCGAAATTCATTCAGAGTGTGTTTTAGCGTGTTTGTGTGTGCGAAAAGAAAACGAAGAAGCGACCGAACAGGGCAAAAACAACAAGTAAGAGGTCCAAAGTCGAGTTATCCGACAATTCTAATACCCAGTAGATGATCTTTACATTTAAAGAAACCATCAAACGAAAAACGATGATTACATTACTTTTAGCATTTTAGAAAAGAAATTATTTCTTCTTCTTTAAAGAGAGAGCTACTCAATCGATTTACAGATTTTTGGGAAATGGCACATCCAGAATACAAATTCATTTCTAAGAAATTTATTTTTTGGCGTATATCTTTTAGGAAATACTTTTGAATTTGTCGGATACCACTACTGATTCAATTTTTTCTACCACTTGTCTTAAGATTTAGGAAGCCGATAAAAGCTATAGGAATTATGGATTTGCAGAATATTAACCAGAAGTTTGCATTGTTGATAAAGCGAATATATTTTTTAATGTTTTAAAAAGTTAATTCATTAATGAATACTCCTAAATCCATGGGGTTACTGGGTGTTAAAAAGGCGCTACGTCAGCGCAGGCAGAAAAAAGTACAATAATCAAATAATTGCGGCAGCTTCGTCTCCACCCCCCGCACACTGACACACACACGATGGCAATCTCGCACACACATGTGCAATTGTCAATCAAAAGTAAGCACAGGGTCGCTGCTTCGTCTTATTTAGCTTTTGATTTTGCGGCAGTCACTGAGAAATGATCAAATCAAGCAAAAATTAAGCAAAAAAATATAACAAAACAAAACCAACAACAGGTGACGCGAAGTACGAAACGAATCGAAATGAAATGAAAGACTGTCGCCAGCCAGTCAGACGTTGTTGTTATTGTTGTTTTCCCCCCTATTGTTGATTACGTACGCCCCACACACATACACGCTCCGTAAAACACGCGCACGCACACAAACATACAAAAATCGGCGACGAACGACCACATTCCCCCGCACAAATATGCGAAATTTTGCTGACTAAGGAAGGTCTGGGGAGCACCAGGCAAAAAAAAGCAAAAGCAAAAAAAAAAAAACAAAGAGCAAAAAGCACATTGCGATAACAACAAAAGCATTTAAAAGCGTAGAAGCAGAAAACGAAGCAACGGAAAAAGTGATAATAAAATAATAATTGCTACAGCGCACACCGATCGCGCGCGAGAGAGAAAGAGAGCAGTCCAGAGTTGCCATAATAGTCGAGGGAAAGACCCGATCGCCAGCCCATCCTCATCCCCCTCCCACTCATTCAATTCAGCACGATTCGCCATCAGTATTGTCAATTCAGCTTTTTTTGCAGTCTACGATTTGTGAGCATTCAAAGTAATTTTAATAATACGTGTGTTTTTAGAAAAAAAGGTTAGCCGCCAAGTATATTGTCTTGGACGAAATTTTAGAA